GTGGTGGTGGTGGTGGTGGTGGTGGTGGAGGGGGTAAAAGGAGAAAGGATTATTGCATCATCATGGCATTCTTATTAGCGTGAGCAGCTTGAACAAAGGCGGCAACATGGGTAGCAAAGGCTTGTTTAGCTTCGGGTGTCATGGTCAAATGATGTTCACGTTCAAAAGTGTCGACGACATCTCTAGGATCACTCGACTCGTATACGTTAAGAGGAGCAGATACACCTGGGACGAGTTCAATGTTGAAAGTAAGGATGGGTTTACGTTCAAGAGGAGCTGGTGGTGGAGGAGGAGGAATAGTGGGTGGTACTTGTTGTTGTTGTTGAGGAGCATACTTCGAAGCTGCTGCACCCGTAGCATATTTTGAAGCTGCAGCACCCGTAGCAGGAGATGAGAAGGAGGTAGTCGAAGAAGATGCAGATGGTGGTTGTGATAATTGAGGTGTGGGTGTAGCATATTTGGATGCACTTGATCCTGTAGGAGTGGCATAACGAGATGCTGCAGAACCTGTCGATGTTGGTGGTGTAGGTTGTGGGGCATATTTTGATGCTGAAGCACCCGTTGCATACTTGGATGCTGCTGCTCCACTACTTGGTGCTTGCCAATTGTTGCTTGGTTGCGGTTGTTGTGGTTGTGGTGGTGGCTGTTGCGCTCTTGCAGGTTGTTCCCAGAAAGGTGTTTCAGCCAATTGACCAGATCCCCAACCTGTTCCAGACATTCCAGAAGGTGGTGGTCGTGTAGTTGATGGTGGTGGTCTAGGAACTCTTCCTCCATATCCTCCTCTACCACGTGCTGATGGGGGTGGTGTTGGCCTAGGCGTTGGTGCCTTTTTCTTTTTCTTCTTTGATCCTGGTGCCTTGGGTTGAATAGGCCCCTTTTTAAGACGATGATTCAAGATGTTTTCCTCGTCCACAGGCTTAAAGTTGGCTCCACGTCGATGCAAGTTGCCAGTACCAATACCATTAGGACCGATCTTGGCATTGGGATCAATAAGCGACTTCCAACCTTCCATCGTGAGGTTCACTTCGGTGGTTCCACTGTCATTGACCTTTTGCGTGCCCCAACTACTGATCTGCAAAGGCATGTCTTCCTCCTCTGAGTCATCGTACGAAGAAAGATCATCGTCATCGTAGTCGTCTTCTGCCAATGGTTGCTGATTCCAGGATGGGTGAGCCATATTCACTCCTTGCTTTGCACGCGTGTGTGTATGTGTGTGGTTGTGTGCGACGCTGCTGTGAAAGAAAGAAAAGATCCTTGCAGTTCCCGTCAAATCAGGCGGTAAAAAAAACACAGCTCCACATCTCCTTGACTACAATAATCAATTCTATCTCGTGCACTACACTACATAGCCTATTTGACACTTGTCTTTTACATGACCCATTTATATCATCATAAAAATTGCTAATAAACATGAATCCGTTTACGCTATAAAGAAAAAAGGAATGATTCTACATAATTCGTCATGCGATGTTTATCCATCACCACCACCACCACCAAAAGCTACATGATGCTTACGAGTATCCACTTTGTTATCGACTATAAGACATTAACGAGATACATAGTAACTTGCATGAATATCATTGAACAAAGAGTGCTTCATACACCATTGGAGAGGGGATCCTCATATCTCACCACAACATCTATTGCTTTGAAGGTGAAATGGGTGCAACTATTGTGTGTCTCCCTGAGATGTAATGTAATCATATATACCCTCTCGTGGTTTCCAATTCCCTCCTTGCATTGGGGTCATTGTTATTTTCAGTGTGAATATGAGGACCCCCTTTTCAACCATTTGAATGTCGTATAGGTTAACTATGCATGATAAACGAGGAGGATGTATGAATGCTGCTGGTTCCCATGACATCTCCCGCCATATGAAAAGGTACCTTCGGTTGTCAAACATGCTACCATGTTGCACAAGCCATTTAAGGGTCCTCGCATGATCTTTTTCTTTTCCAACTACGCATGAACCTTTACAAACAGCAAGGTCCCATTGATCCAGCCAAGCACGTTTCAAACTGCTTCATCGAAAGATGTAAACGTAAATGTCAATCAATATGGCTCCTTTACCGATCGCTTGGGATACAAGATAATAATGAGGGACTTCACGTACCAAAGGGCGGCTCCAAATTCCTCGAGATTATAGCTTGACATCAATGAATGGCTGCTATCCACAATAGTTGGCTGTTATCGAAGGGTTGTATTGATGAAGATGATATGGTGGCTGGTGTACACAAGGTGTTCGATAGGTGAGGTGGATGACAAGTGAACAAAAAGTATACCAAAAGTGAGCAATCAATTGCCCACTTTTGGCACACTTTTTACACGCTCATTTTCCACCGTGATCATCATCATGTCGGATGTCCAATATCACCCTCTTCATTTGCCATCATGTCATGATTATCCACACGCAGCGCTAATGTGTATCTTCACCTCCTTGATTCTCCCTGCTCGGAGCGCCATTGAAACAACAATCAAAACAACAAGACAATGAATGCTATTCTTCCACACCAAATACACATAAAGCAAGGCTTGCTGTCACAAAGGTAATAAGAAGGTATCTCTTCATCTTTATGATTGTGTCTATCATAAAGAAGAAGTACGTATCAATGGAACATGCATTGACCTCTTGCTTTTGTTCATTATTATCTTTATGGAATTCGATCTATACCCCCTTATAGATCCTTCGTGGTATATGGGATTACCCTTCTTGGTTTGTATATTGTGTTCGGATAGTGAGCCTCACTCTGAGAAAAGCGGTGATACAAAGACCTCGTTGTTTGGAGGCGTATCGCCATGATTGCCAGCAGGCTGCTATTGTCAAGGTTGTTCTTGGCTACATAGTGACTGATATCCCCCCAATTTCTTTGTAGCTGTCATTGTATATACGTCTGCGCCTGAGTGTTTTGTTTGTCGGGCTATAATTTCGCTCATTTGATGCCTACTCAAGATGACACCTATCTCCTACTACCCTCTTGGATTACACTTCTTATCAACATTTTACAAGTTTCAATTGCAAGTACACCTTTCGTTCCTTTAACTAAAGTTATCTTTGGACCTGCATACTAATCATTGCTATCATTGATTTGGTTCAACTTTCATCTTCCCTTATATACTCGATGCCGTGCCTGTGGTTGAAGAGCAAAGTGTATATGCACGACGAAAATGGATGTATATTAGAGATGAAGGTTTATTTCACCTGCTGACGTCTCATTGTAATTCATGCAGATGGTATCTTTAAAAATGACATATATAGATAGGTATATTTGCCAAGTGTCATACAAAAGAAGGTAATTTGGCAAGTGTTTGATGTCAAATTTTTCAAACCCAAGTCGCAATGATAACCCCTGGTAGATTATCAACCATCTGCAACACCTGTCCAGTAATTGGGTTGGCCAATAATAGTTCGAATCCCAGCCTGGGGAGCCCCGGTAAAGTCATCTCCACAAATTTAATGCTTGTCATATGGCATCATTGGTCTTCGCGCGAAATGGTCCAGGCACTTTGGCAATGGATTTCTTTAAAGTAGTAGTTTTATGATCCACTCTCACTAATTCTCTTTCTCGCTTATAATGGACGCGTATTCATAAAGATAAGGTTAACGTTTCTAATGATGATTTCAAAGGCAAGCAATGAAAGCTCTACCATAAAAGTATCATTTTGCCAAGAGGTGTACAAGGGCACTTGGTTGATGGGTTACTACCCCGTTGGTTGGTAACACTGCAATAGGAAGGTATTTTTTACCGCCATTTGGTCTCATGTGTTACAGTAGGACCTTTCTAGACACGTGTACTACCTCCGAGGTCGAAGAATGATTATTGATGATGATGGCGTCTTTCGGTGCTATGTTATTTAATTGGTTAGGGGTTTGGTGTGAGTATACGCAAGCCAACGTCAGTTGTTGTCCCGATGAGAAAACAAGTGAGACGCAAAAAAGTATAAAAACCAATAGGGTGAACGTGATGCATATGATCGATCATAAAATGAATAAGCTTTTTTTCTGCCTTGTCATCTTGTTTATCGCAGCTGTTCATGCTGTTGATATTACTCAAGTCAATACGATTACCACCGATGGTGCCATTGCCGCTGCCCAGGCCGTTTTGCAAGCTGCTCGCAAGGGAGAGCATACCGTTGCAGTCTCTGTGATTGATCGTAATGGAAAGTACCGTTTATTGATTAGTGATGATAATGCTGGTCCTCAAACCGAAGAGTCTGCTAAACGTAAAGCTTTCACTGCTGTTTCCTTTGGACGCCCTACCTCGAATTTGACTGCTACTGCTGGTGGTGATGGTGTCACCATCCATGATATCCCTGACACTTTGTTCTTGGCTGGTGGTGTGCCTATTATCTATGAGGATCTTCCTATCGGCGCCATTGGTGTTGGTGGAGCTCCCTCCGGTGATATTGATGAACAATACGCCCGTGCTGGTCTTGCTGCTCTCGGCTTGTAATTCATCTTTTAGTCATTAAGTATGATTATTGGAAATAAACAACCCAAGGTACCATTACCAACTCACATTTATAGCCTTGTTCAGGATCAGTGTATTACATTTAGTATAATAGTGCCCACATTCGGATAGTCCATGCCCTTTGAATGGTGACGGAAACAGTACATGAGAGTAAGCAAGCGCAAACAATGATCATTGATCACATGATTTCATACAAAGATAGCCAATACGACATGTGGAGCGTTTGTGTGTATTCCCAATATCCAAGATCTTCAATTGTGCGCCACGCCAACAATTCATCTTATCAAACATCATCAAGTATACAGGTTTTTATAACAGCAAAGCAGCATGGATGATGTTCATTGTTCCAAAATGTGCGTGGCAATATCAGGTAAGTAATTTAATGAATGGCGTGGATGTAGTAGCATATCCAGAAAATAAACTTTCATTCAACTTTGGATGTATGTCCTTTATAACAAGCATGTTTTATTTCCTTCCTCATATCCCATTTCTATATCCACAATCAAGTAGTAAACGTGTGGGTGCATAGCGGGTAAAAGTCTAATCAGCGAACTCCCCGAAATCAATCTTCATGCTTGACAACCACCACCTCACTCGTCGTTTGACACCAGCCCACATTGACTTACGTCCATGGCCACCCATTCAACTTCCAACACCGGCCAAATGGGAACAACAACGAGCTAAAGTCATCAACACCACCCACGCCGGCCGATCAGTCATCGCTACCAAGAAGCTGTCGTCTGGATCGTTACTACTCTCTGAACGCGCTTGTATTCAATGGCTATACAGGGGACCACAGCGACAACGTTATTGTTTCCACTGCTTTCAACGTGTCAGCCATGCCGTGTCATGTCGTGGCAACCATGCATGTCAATGGGATATCACATACTGCTCTAAGCAATGCGAGACTAGTCACTGGTGGAGGCAGCACCGTTGGCTATGCCGATTCCCTGAACTTGACGTCCTTGACACGGTGGATTTGTTATTGGCACTGCAGCTGCTACCTGGTTCACTCGATGATCTCGACCCTGGAATGCATGATCCAATGTATGATACCCAAATCGAACGCGTGTGTTGTCGGCTCTTTTACATGTCATCACCCCATATTCAAAAGGCATTGACAAGGACACTTGGACAACTTCGATGCAACAGCTTTGCCGTCAAACAATCACACGAGCAAGATGGTATCAGGGGCAAAGCGATTTATTTGACTGGCAGCATGATCAATCACGCATGTGATCCCAACGCATTGGTCTTTTTCAATGATCACGACAATAGCATCCACATACGCACTTGCAGATCCATCAATAAGGGCGAAGGTATCTTTATCAGCTATGGTCCATTAGCGAATCGCGAGCCATCCATTCTAAAACGAAAGGAAAAGCTTCAACAGCGCTATTTCTTTGATTGCCAATGTGACGCATGCCAACAAGAATCGGTCACATCCTCTCCTCAACAACGGTTCATAAAGTGTCAAGCTTGCTCGACAGGTCGATTGGAACGCAATCAAACGAGGTGTGAGGAGTGCCATTGTGCATATGATTGGGACGAGTTGACAAAGGTAAATGATGCCAAAAGGATCCATTATTCAATATGAGCTAATATCATATCATCCATATAGCAAGAGCAGCGGATTGAAATGTGTCTAGCACGTGATGCATTTGAACAAGCACTCAAGATACAACGCCAAGTATACGACAAGGATGCCCATGTTATCGGTCAAACCTTGGATCAACTAGCACACTTTTATGCTATGCGAGGATCGTTCAAGGAATCAGCAAAGTACAGCCGTGAATCATTGGCCATTGTGTGTAAGACTTTTGGACCTGAAAGCATCGAAGCTGCTGAGGAGATGTTGAAGCTATCAACGTTATTGTTTAATGCGTAAGTAAATGGACGTGGATCCAAAGAAGCATTATCTCAACCCCTCTTTTATCCTAGCAACCTTTCTCAAGAAGCCAAAGCACAAATCCAAAAGACCATTAAAGTACATAGAAAGCTTGGTTTAGATCAACAGAATCCAGAAGATTTTAATGAATTACAAACAATGCTGTTTCTTCTTTACAATGCTCGATACAAGTGTGGAATAGGATGTGAACGGGGAGAAAAGGATACAATGTGTAATGAAATAGGAGTGTGTAGGGAAAAAAAGATCAACTAATTTACCACTCGTCCTCATCAGAGTAAACCTCTTCACCACGCTTACGACGTTCCATACGCTCCTTCTTCTTCTTACGGAGCTCACGAGACGAGAGTTTCTCCTTCTTCTTGACGGCCTTGATGGTGTTACCTTGAGCATCAACCATGTCTTCTTGTTCCTCTTCCTTGATGACGGTGGTACCGTTACCAGAGACCCAGTTGTGACCAGAGGCAACGAGCTCACCATTGTCAACCTTCCAGACTTCACCGCAAAGAGCTTCAGAGAATTGACGGTTGTGAGTAACAATGACGACACCACCACCGTATTCCTTGATAGCACCAGCCAAAGCACCGAGAGAGTCACGATCCAAGTAGTTGGTAGGTTCGTCAAGAACCAACATGTGAGGACGATTCCACATGGCAGCACCAATAACCAACTTGACCTTTTGACCACCAGAGAGACCACGAATACGAGAGTGAGTGGCGAATTCAGGCTCCAAACCAACTTCGTTCAAGTGCTTCTCGATTTCCTTGGAAGTCAAAGGACGGTTGAGACCGGACTTGGCAGCTTCTTGAGCATCACATTCAGCGATCTTCTTGCCGAAACCCATTTGTTCAAGACGTTGACGAGAGATCCAGGTGTTGTCAACAGAAGAACGGCCAACCCAAGAAACCTCGTATTCGTAAGATTGCTTGAGCTTACGACGACCAACGATCTCCTCAACGATACGCTTCTCACCATCGATGACAAAGGTTTGGCTCATTTGCTTCTCCTCTTCTTCAGTGACTTGACGATCCACCTTGTCGAGTTCTTCACGATCTTCACCAGTAGCATAACGCCATTGAATGTACTCGTTAGGAGTAGAGTCCAAGTGCTTCTCAATGTGGTGGAAAGCGTGCTGAGCGACATAAGCAATACGCAAGTTGGGGTGCTTCCACACAGTACCAGTATCAGCCTCCATCTCACCAGTCAAAAGCTTGATCAAGGTAGACTTGCCGGCACCGTTAGGACCAATGACAGCAACACGAGAAGAAAGAGAGCATTGCATGCTGATGTTCTTGAGCTGCTTGCGAGCGGTACCAGGATATTGGAAGTCCACGTTCTTCATCTTGAGGATGGCACGTTCCTTGGTCTTGATACCTTCGAGATAGCCAGGCTCAGGGAACTTGAAGGCAATGTTGGCAGCTTCCAAAGAGTAGTAGGCAGCGGCAGTAGGGACCTTCTTGACGAATTCGGAAAGGTTACCCTTATAACGCTTGAGCTTGTAGTTCTTCTCGTAGTGAATGATATCAGAGCACACGTGATCCAAGAAACCAGAGTCGTGAGAAACAATGATGGAAGTGACGGTCTTCAAGCCAAGGAGGTAGTTCTCCAACCAAGCAACGTTAACAACGTCCAAATGGTTAGTAGGTTCGTCCAAAAGCAAGATGTCGGCGTTCATCAACATGGCACGAGCAAGAGCGAGCTTCATCTTCCAGCCACCAGACAAAGAACCAATGGTGTGGGAGGTGACCATTTCTTCAGAGAAGCCATAGTCACGCAAGATTTGGGCAACCTTCTCCTTGTCCTTGGTCTCAACACCTTCGGAAGCAATGATGAAATCAACCAAAGGAGTATCAGCTTCAGAGCCATCAATATCGTGTTCGACGTAAACGGTCTTAAGCTCGGACTTGGGAGGGAAGCCTTCAACTTGCTCATTGGCAATGGCACGCATAAGGGTGGATTTACCACAGCCGTTGTGACCACACAAACCATAACGACGACCACGCTTGAGACGAAGAGCGGTACGGTTGAGCAAAATCTTGGCACCATAAGCAAGGGAGAATTCACAGTTGCAAAGATCTTCACCCTCATCATCTTCCTCTTCAGTATCCTTGGGAGTGACAGCTTCCTCGCACTTGTCAAGAGCCTTGCCAACAAGGACCTCAGCATCAGCGGCGGAGACGAAAGCCTTGATGTAGCTGGAGAGGGATTGGATCCAGTTGTTCTTGAAGAAGTCCTTAGCAACGCAAAGAGCAAGAGCAACTTCAGAGATGTGCTTAAGAAGAGGCTCATAAGCAGCATCAATGTCAGCAGGCAAAAGCTCCTTGAAAGCGGCATTGACCTTGTCTTCCTTCATGGACTTGGACAAGACTTCATAGTCGGCGGTACCAACACGCTTGAGAGTAGCCAAGGCCTTTTGAACGACACCACGGCACTCGGGATCGGCAACGACATCTTGAATCTTCTCCAAAGCGGGCAACAAGAGAGGAAGGAAAGGAGCAGCGACTTCGGGATCATCGACAAGCTTACACATGTTGTCAATAATCAAAGCGGACTTACGCTTGATGGGAGTAGCACGCTCAGCCAAACCACGGCTCAACAAAGGAACCATGATGGAAAGAGTGGCAGAGTCGACTTCTTGGACAAAAGTGGTGGCACCCAACAAGTGAATAGTCTCAGGGACATTCTCGGGCTTGTTGATACAAGCAATGACAGCAGGAATGAAACGCTCGATATCCTTGTTCTCAACGAGACCGCAAATGTTACCCATGGTGGCGGTGGCAGCCTTCTTGATATCAGTCTTGGTATCCCACATACAATCGGAGACAACAGGGATGACATCAGGGATGGTGAAGAAGAATTGTTGAGCCTTGACCTTGGTGAGCTCATCAATCAAGGACAAAGCAAGAGCCTTGGTTTGCCACTTGCAAGAGTTGCCGAGACCACCCAACAAGTAAGGGACGACAATAGCAGTAGCGTTGGCTTCAACCTTGACGACCAATTCCTTGGCAGCTTCAGCGGCACCGTTCTTGACAGCAGCTTGCTTCTCGGCTTGAAGTTCCAAAAGAGTAGCAAGGAAGGGCAAGATGTAGGGCTCAGCTTGACCCTCAACGGACTTGTCAGCCAAAGCCTTGATGGCAGCAATGGCAGACAAACGAGCACCAGCGTTCTTCTTGTTGCCGAGATCCTTGGCAATGGCATCGACAATGCCGAATTGCTTGAGAGCATGAACACCAGTGGCGTTGACGAAAGCAGCAAGCTCTTGAGCAGCGGCTTCACGATCGTCATCGGAGGCACCAGAGAGAGTCTTCAAGAGATCCTTGGCCTTGGCAGCCTCAGTCTCACTGGGAGTAGCCAACTTCTTGACTTGGATGTTGACGTTGTTTGCAGCAGCAGCAGCGGCAGGCATGATGTATGATGACAAGAGAAGGGATGGGCAACAAACACACAAGAAGGGGTACGCCCGAAAAGGAGAAAGAAAGGAAGGAACTAAGCTTTGTTGCCGTGAAGAGGTTATAAAATTTTTTTCGGGCGGGCACTGTTTCACAGATCACACAACGAATGAGCTTTTCGTCTTTGCTCACTAAATTGGCAAATGCTCTATCATTATCATAGGTCTTGTTCTCCATCCAACCAATCGTTTACATACATTAGTATCATGCTGCTCCTTTTGTCAATACATATTAAACGAGAAATGAGACATCACGTATCATTGCTGCGGATCCCACATGCCCCTTCCCCCACCTCCCACAAGCAACATAAAAACATTCAACATGTGAGCCAAATGCAATTAGTGGCACAAACATTAGCCGCATGACATTCCCTCTGTTATTTACCTTGCATTCTTTTCCCACCTCCTTTCATCTCCATGGACGTGCGTTGCATGGCAACCATCCCGCATATCATGGATACAGAAAACATATCGATGACGCAATAAATGATGCACGTACACTGTGACACGTAGGCTGTCGGTGTTTTCCATGTACTGCTTCTTGATCCAAGATGAGCTCTCATTAGTAAAATGATGCTTGCTTTTTATTAGTACCTTTAAATTTGCCGCCAACTTGTATTGAATAAACGACTATCATGGCATATCCACGTTTTGGTTCAAATGGCTTTCTTCGATGGCTGAGGTAGTGGCGTTGCTGTTGCGTTTCTAGAGTTTGGCTTTATCAAATGCACGTGTCAGTGGCAAGGTGTCCCAGCAGCTATAAAGAGAGAATGGCATCCATTACCTTCATGTATACACGTAAGCCCAACGCGTAAGCCAATTGGTGACACCATCATTGCTCGCCACTGCCAATTATAAATGGTAACTTTTTCTTTACCAATACCTTGTTTCGTTTCTTGTTTTACTCCAACAAGTACCATGTACAGTGGCCATTTTGCCTTTGCAAATGTGATTCGACGGTGGTATCCTGATACACCAGCATACATTCTTGTTCTTGGTGTCGGTTGGCTTGATGTAGTATTTGCCCTCTTGTGCCTTTGGGGTATTGAAGGATTTGTAGAAGATCCTAGTGCAGGTTTACAAGGCGCTAGTGGTTTCTGCGACTATTCTCATAGTCTTTTTGGGACCATTGTATTGTCAGCTTTGTATGGGGCCATGTTCGGTGTTCCTGGTATGGTGGCTTCATTGTCTCATTGGATACAAGATTGGGTGGTGCATAACGATGACTTGTTCCTCGACCCCTTCAGCAAGATCCTCCTTGGTGGTACCAATTTTTGGTCGCGGTTTCCAGAGTTGGCATTTTACTTTGAAGCCTTATTCATTGTGGTCTGTGCATGTGCTGCACCCGATGCACGTAAGCCACGCACGATAGCTGCCAATGCATTTTTACTCGCTTTGCATGTGATGTCTCGCTTTATGCTTCCCACCACCATGAAGCAGTTGGTGTCTATTGAAGATGATAGTACTCGGTACTTTGCAACGGGTGCTAATATCCTTGTTGCCATTGTCATTCCAATCATTGTCATGAGCACTTTATTGCAACCCATATCCTCCTCTTCCTCCCCATCAGCTGAGACACAAAGAAAAAGAGATTGACACTTGTGATGTAATAAAAAAGTGATCTCATGATCACAATCAGCATGGTGATGTACAAGTAGTATCGATTGTGCAACAACAATGATATGTCACAACAGCATCAACGTTACAAATGAATACGATCTTACTGCACTGATCAACCAAAAGAAGTCTATTTAATGTTCAACAACAACAACAATAACATGGAACGGGTTTTATAATGTAAAAGGAACCTAAGCTAAGAAACGCTTGGCTTGGCGCTGTAGTACGTCATGATCTGCAGATAGCTGCATATAAAAAGGTCATTGTGGCACCCCGTCGTTATGGGATTGTGATCTTCACGCCTTTTCCTTTCTACCTCCTCACAATGGCGAACGTACCTGATTACTACAGTATCCTTGAAGTCCCTCCAACAGCTACTCAAGAAGAAATTCGAGAAGGTGAGAATGGCTTGGCATCACGAGAGGGGTCGATTGCTCATTGTTCACTTTTTCTTATCTTCCACAACTGTAGCTTACAAGAAGCAGGCATTGCTCCACCATCCTGATCGACTCAAAGACGATGCAAGTCCCGAAGAGCGCAAAGAGGCTACCAAAAAGTTCCAAGTGATAGCAGACGCATACTATATCCTAGGGGATCGAGATCGACGAGCCACCTATGATAGATCCCATCGACGCTATTCGCCTACCCCTGGAGACTCTCAGTCAGATGCAAACCGTGTCTTTGGTGACGTTTTTGAAGAGCTGTTACGCGTTGAAGGTATGAGAGATAATGGTAATCATGACATGTGGTATTGATGTGTGATGCATCATTGTAGTGGAACATCCATCCTATGCATGGCGTATTTTGGGTACTGGTGCTGGTGCCATCTTGGGTTTCATTATTGGCAACGTTGCTGGTGCAGCAGTGGTATGTGTATCTATGGGATAAGGACCATATGTATGGATGGGGTTAATCATCCTTCTTGTTTCAATGTATAGGGTGCTATGGCTGGAAGGACATTGGGAAAGATTCGAGATCACAAAGGTAGCTGTTTTACTATCATCATTGAATGCGTCGTGTTGACACGTATTCATAGGTGTATCCGTTTATACCGCCTTTCAACGACTTTCGGTGCATGAGCGAAGAGATATCTTAAGCACTCTGCTGACAAAATTCTTGACACAAGGTGCCGCCGGCGTCATGAAATGAGTAGCTTTTATACCATAGCAACCACTGAATTCAGGAACCCTCTATATATGTGTGTATCAAACATGATTAATTCCCCATGCATAAATATGAATGTGTATATCTTAAACTATCAAATCGTTTATATATTATAGAAGATCTTTATTGTGATGTATACAAACTTATGATTTCATAAGGATATTGATATGGCTCTTGCTTAATCTAGCACTCTCTTTCATCTGTTTCGTGTCTTTATAAGTGTCAACACGTCCTAAACCAGTGACAATCTTATCCCTTGATCCTAAAGCACCGGCCACCAATAAATCCTCTACAAGTTCACGACTATTCTTGATACAATCCGGAACGCTCACGCTAAGATAGCTTGCACCTGTGACACTAAGGGCATGGCCGTAATGGGATTTGAGGACATGATGTAATTCGCCCATACGGTACATGTGACCAACAACATATTGAGGGATACATTTGGCTTGAAGATGGACCATTGCATACTCGGGTTTTGCATCAATAGATAAATAGGCTTGCATGGCTTTGATGGCATGATTATATGCGTCTTGAGGATCAAGTTGTTCAATAGGCACATTGCTGAAAGCATTCGACCACTGGTGTCCACCAATCATGACAGTGACTTTGGTGCGATCATTATTCGTATCTTGTCCTCTCATTGCATTTGAGTCGAAAACGACGCCCAAAGTACCAGGGACCGGTAATGGAGAAGATGGTGATGGATAAGGAGTCAAAAAGCCAAAGCCGTCATAGTTGAGTTTGACATCTGGGTTATACGCCAAGTTGACAACGGCGACATCTGCGACGGGGTTGTGTCGGAGGTGTGGAAGTTTGCCATCCGTAAGCACCTTGTCCAATGCATACGATGGTAATGCAGAGATAACATGATCCACATGGATATCTTGTTGCGTAGTGGTGATCTACATGAGGTAGTAAATTAGACATTTGTCACTTGCTTTCTAATATCGTTGCTATGTACTACCTTGGATGTCTTTCCTTCACTATTCATCTTGACTTGCAATACGGGTTCATCAAGGATGATTTCAACATTTGGATGTTCTTCAAGTCGCTTTCGAAGTGCATGTGTCACCATCTCTGTACCATCCTTGAAGCCGATAACGCTCATGCCCTCAAGTTCACCAAACCAATCGGGATCCTCTTTGCGTGCTCTTGCTGCCATTCCACGTTCACGAAAGCTCTCGAGATTGACGCCACCTTTCAACATGCCTTTGACAATGCTCCCATGAACGCGCTCATTCTCGTATAACATCCGTAACGTCGATTGGGCTGAGAGCGCCTTGACATCACCCGCATAAATGCCATGGACCATAGCACCTACCAAATCGAGGGCCACGTGGTCGTTGAATCTTCGGGACACCAAGGAATACAATGACTCATCCTCATCCGATCGATTGGCCTTTTTGAATGGTTCACAAAGAGCAGCACCCAGAACGTTTTTGAATATGGGTGGTCGATGAAACAACATGGAGCTCATGGAATTGGGTAATGTGTTGATTGAGCCGTCATAGTAAATGTATCGATTCTTTGCTGATGGATCCGATTTTGGTACACTTAAAAGGTCATCTGTAAGACCTAGATCCCTGATCTAGCATGGTAAGCTTCAATTATATGGGATGAACATTGACAACACTAATTCAACTACTTACCATATCCAACATGATAGCACCACTTACGCCTACGGGTCTTAGACTACGAGGTCCACCTTCGAAAACAATCCCATCTTCTTCCTTATTGCGCGTTGATGCAGTTGCTGGAGAAGGATAAAATCCCGGGCCGACACGCTGACTACGCACCCAACCGCCAACACGTTTAGACCCTTCGATAAGAACGACCTTGTTTGAAGAAGGCCCAAAGCGCGCCAAGTAGTATGCTGCCGAGAGACCAGAAATGCCACCACCAAGGATGCCAATTGTCGACATTGGAAGAGTTGCGCCAATGGGGAACGAAATGTAAAGAAAGAAAACAAGCGAGGAGGGAAAAACAGCTGGAATGATCACACCATAACACGCCCGATTAAGGTGACACAAGGTGACGTTTTGAGAAATCATCATGCAGTATCACCCAAGAAGCACTACTCGCTCATTCATTGATGGAAATGGATGATATGAATGGTATCTGGAATCTTCATTGTTGAATAAAAGGTTGCATTTTCATAAGTACAATGGGGGATGGATGTCTTTGTTCTCGTTAAACTTGAGAGTGGAGGTATAGTAGTCGATGGATTCAACAATGATACGTTATGTGAATAATGACTCTTACAAGGTAATAAAAGATTGATTCATGATGGAGGTTAGGTAAGCATTGAAAACAACCTTGGTAGAGGTATGGTGGGCATCCCTTAAAACGAGATGAAGGATCTTATTGGTGTCTGACACAACACGTTTAATTGGCTATTCAGTATCCACTTCTGGCGATGGATTTATACCCCAGCCCCGCTAAGTGGTGGAGTGTGTGGTGTGTGTGTGGGTAGGTGGGTAAGCTAGGATGTGAGAGGGAGGAGGGGGGGGGAGTGTAAACGAGTCTACTTTTCTTTGCCCTTTTCAGATCGGTTGACAAGAACGAGGACTTATACAACTCTTGCTTCATCATGTCAGATCCTGAAGAATCAACACCTGCTGAATGCGCTCCATCCGAGACACCAACACAAGAGATGAATTCCTCTTCAATAATACGCTATTCAAAAGAAACACTGCTGTCATTACATGACAGTCCTCTCGTTGCCAAACCACCCGATATGCCTCCATTGTCCACTTGGTTCAGGTATCTCATCTCTCTCTCTTTCTTTCCTTATCCCCTCATCGCTCTCGAGAAGCCTGTGGGCGTGCGTGCGTTGGATACAGAGTCGACTTACATATATGCATGTATTACAAATTACAGTGACGACCACGACGCATACATATCAAAGAGCATTCTAAATGGATCACCTGCTTCGACTCGATTGTCAAGTAAGATGGATGATGATGATGATGGTGGTGTATTGCGTATATCTATGGATGCTCATATTCAATAGCGGCCAATAATACGCTAGATAAAAACGTGCTTCTTGCCCCCAACAAGTCCATCTTTTCATCAGCATCATACGACAAACGACAAGAAGATGCACTCAACAATGGTCGTGGATCTCTCACATCACGCTATCGTCCTGTATGTTGAAGAAGAACGAAGGGGGAGATATGACAAGGGTATACTTATTGTGTGCGTAGATGAATGATGATGGCCGAACACGAGATCATAACAACATGTCCAACAAGGATCGGTCGTTGCGTACGGGCGATAGGAATTTCATGCGAGGCGATAAGAATGATCGACGCTCAACTCACAACAACAATAACAACAGCCATCCAATGTCATCCAACAACAACAATAACAACAGAAAGCACCATCATTCACACCAGCAACAACAACATCAGCAACATGATCGTTTAAATGGCAATGATAATCTATCTCGACTCCGAAAAGACAGTAAGTCTTTTTATACACTCTTCATGTTCCATATCACTTATGTATGCATATATAAAAGATCGTCCAGCGCGTGCCCCTGTATCTGATAATACAACAACATCAACACGTGGCTCATCATCATCCGATCGGATTCCTGAGTGGATGGATTACAGCCCTGTAACAGACCAAGGTGCAACAATGAATCAGCAAGACATGCCTATCGCACCACGACCTGAGTCTGGTCTAGATTTGGAAGCATGGAAGCAGGATATGAAACAAAGGGAGGAACAAGATGCAGGGAATGAGACTGCTATACAACCTAATCCGGTTGTATCAGGTAACATTTACATTATGCTCACACATGTCAACATTATCCATTAACCTTTTTATACATAGCAACGGCATCATCGGATTTGGAAATGCTTTTGGGAGTTGGTTCATTGAGTCTTCAACAACAACAGCAGCAACAGCAGCAGCAGCAGCAACTAAAGCCTACCAATGGTGGATCCCCAAGCATGTCATCCAATGGATCTCCTATGGATATTCTATCAGCGAGTATCTTTGATACAAACACTGGTTCTCCATTATTATCAACAGGACGACGTGAGCGGGGCTCACGCTTTGCCAGGTTTTTCGCTCGTCGAGAGGAAGAAGCAGCTGCTGCATCAACTCCTACACCACAACAATCCGAACCCCAAGCACGATCTATTAGTGTGGATGATTTGTTTGGAAACAAAGGAGGAGGAGGATCTAGTGGACTTGGTGGGATAGCGGTTGGCAATGGATCATCACAATCGCCAATGTCGGTTCCACCAGCTGATAGCCCTGGCAACGTGCGTATGCTATCCGAAGAAGAGGTTCTACGTACACTTGGAGCTAAGCGAGGTACACCTGATCAACTCAATGACCTTCAAACACCATCACCACAACAGCAACAAGCATCCTCTGCTGATGGATTGGGATTTGACAAGGTGCTTCAAATATTATCACAACCAAAACCAGCAGCTCCAGGGCAACCACAACCACAACCACAATCCCCAGCCACTACCGTTGCATCGGTTGTCGATAGTGAAAGCATTAAGGAATCTCTCAGCGAGCATAAACCAACTACTACTACGGGTAGCAACAGCCATGATGATCGATCTGCAACCGCTTCACCTTCCTTGTCATCAAGTGACAAGGCATCCCAACAACAACGGGATGAGATTACAAGTGAAAGCAGTAGTCAACAACAACAACAACAAGCACCTGCAGCAGCCAAACCAAAGTTGATGAATAGTCGATTTGCAGGCAATTTGCCCACATCAGTGTTACGACAAATGAGTGCACGATCATCGGAAGGGCGTTCACCATCCATTGCATCTGCCAAATCAGGAACAGCTCGATCATCATTGGGTGCCTCTTCACCTGCATTGTCAAATCGTTCTCCTGCATTACCCAAGAACTCGTTACCAGAATCATCTCCTGTCATTGGTCATCATTCTCCAAATGGAATTGCTTATGCTCAAACAGCACCTGGTTTCCATCATCAGCAGCATCCTCATCGTATGCCACCATCACCAGCCTATCCCTTTAGTGCAGGTAGTCCTGTTGGTGCTTCAGCTGCTCATCATCATCCCCATGGTCCACCACCACCACATCCTCCTCCTATGAGTGGTATGCCTGGTGGTAATATGCGTCAACAGCAACCTCCTCGTAGCGACCCAGCATTAGAACAGCTCTTCCAATATGACAATGCATCACCTTTGGCAGGTAGTCGTGGTGCTGCTAGTGGTCCCATGAATCCAATGATACCTCCACAGATGACATATGCTCAACAGCAACAAGGCATGGATCACCAATTCATTCCTCCACCACAACATCACATGATGCAGCATCCAATGCCTCCTCATCATCATATGCCTCCTGTCGCCAATCCAATGCTACCTCCTCACCACCATCATCATCTTCCACCTCACCTTCAAGGTCAATTGCCTCCACAGTTTATGCAACGTGATATGATGACACCTCCTGCTGGTGCACTTGGAAATATGCCTCCTCCACACATGATGGCCAATGGTATGTGCCTTATTGTATCTTTATAGAATGACATTGGATACTAATAACCACCCTATTTCTACAGGTAATGCAGGTCTTCCACCCCACTTATTTACCAAGAGTCCTGGCGGAGGAGGAGGAGGATGGGATCGTCATTGAATAGTATAGTGTTCACTTTAGCCGATTTTATCATGAGAAAAAGAAAAACAAAGCGCAAGAGAATACTATGACAATGGCTCAAATGCAACGGTACAAATTTTGGATCCAGTGTGTCCACCAAAGGAAAATGTGGGGTACTTTACGTGGGAATGGTATTTAAAGACTATATAAAAGGGATAGTTGTTAGTATGAGAAGGGGGTCATATAGATGAGAAAAGCTTACAGGGTTTGAATCGCTCAATGAGTTCATCCATGGTCCAATTACAACTGGTGATAAGAAAGTATTGATCGGTGATCTTGCTGACAGCCTTGATGTAGCGTTCTCTTGGACCATCTTCACCCTTTGCGTCTGCTTCTTCTTGCTCAGGATTCAATGAGATAGCGTCATAGGTACCTTTATCAAGCACCACGTCAAATGAATGATTATCAGCCCAAGATCCAGGTTCAGTGGATAACAGATCAACGACTTCGTAGTGGATATTATCACGGCCTTGTTCCTTGGCTACGGATTTGGCCAAAGTAATAGCGTGCTCCGAGTAATCAATACCTGTCAATTGCTGATATCCTTCATTGGATAGCTCCAGCAGCAAATGACCGTTGCCACAGCCAAGATCGACCATCCTTGTCTCCCCGCATTCAGCATTTTCAGTAACCCATTCCACCATCCGTTCTACGCTTTCTTCACCAAACCTAAGATACACTTGGATATGAATGATCCATTCTATGAGGGGATACATTTCATAACTTACCATACTTCGCCAATATCACCAAACTCGTTAAAGTTGGTGTTTTCACGATCGTATAACGAGTCCCAACTATTATCGTATGACTTGTAAGTTCACTATTATGGAATGGAATGCAATTGCCAATGACAAGCTTACTATTCTTTGGTGCCTAGTTTTGACGATTCAAAGTCTTGTGAAGGGTCCATAGTGTGGGTCTTTCTGGAAAAGGCAGTTGTGGTTGTCGTTGTCCGAAGAGCATGAAACAATGATGCATTGGTGGGTTACCTGTTCGGTGGCTTGTTGACATTTCCAGGTTGGTGGTGGTGTGTGTGTGTATCCCAGGTCTAACTTCCGTTCCTTCCTCTCTCCCCCCACATAAACAAGACCACAAATGCTGAGGATCGCCGCACGACAGGGTCTCAAGAGGTAATACAAGAGAAACAATATCAGGGCAATGAGAAGCGTACTAAGAGTGTTGTATTAGTGTCAATGGCATGCGCATGGGCATGGTATGTATATACACCTGACATTTGACAGCAAATGGAGAAAAGCTGACACCACAGGAACAATAGCGCTCGACAATGTACAAAAACACCACTGCCAGTTCTCGGTTCAGTATCCAACAGCAACCTGGTGTGCTTATCAGCCAACGCTTGGGAGCTACAGCATTTGTACGCAGCTACACAACGACCGAAGCAACCGGTGAGGCAGCATCAGCAGCATCAGCAGCAGCAACTACCACTGCCACTTCAGTATCCGATGCTGTCAACCAAGTCGTATCACCTGAGAATTTGAGTGAAGCAGCTGCCAAGATTGGCGATTTCAAGGCAATGGGTCTATGCAACTTTACACCTGTGGGTGGATTGGAAGCCATGTTGGAAGCTGTGCATGTGTATACTGGAATGCCATGGTGGGGTACCATTGCTACTGCTACGGTGCTTGTGCGTTTGGCTTTGCTTCCTTTGATGATCAAGATTCAACGCAACAATGCAAAGATGATGAACTTGAACCCCGAAGTGTCTCGATTGATGAGCAACCTCAAAACAGCACAACAGGATGGTGATTCGGTGGCCGTTGGCAAGTACACCAATGAGATGCAAGGTCTTTTCAAGAAGCATGGTTGCCATCCCATGAAGTCCCTTGGCTTGCCTATCATTCAAATGCCGGTGATGGTTTCCTTCTTTTTGGCTTTGCGTGCTATGGCCGAGTTGCCGGTGCCTGGAATGACCACGGGTGGTCTTGGATGGTTCACTGATCTCACTGCACAAGATCCTTATTACATTCTTCCCGCTGTCAGTGCTGCTGGTGTGATGGCTGTCCTTGAAGCTGGTACCGAAGTAGGTGCTGCAAATCCTCAAAGCCGTGGCATGAAGAACTTTTTCAGAGTGATGGCGGTTGCCATGGTACCCTTCACTTATTGGATGCCTAGTGTAAGTAGTATTTGTTGTTGTGAGGGATCATCGTATTCAATGGGATTAACGTGTTGCCCATAGTCGGTGTTCGTATACTGGATCACTTCCAATGCCGTATCCATTGCACAAATCCTTACGCTAAAGAACCCTGCTGTACGCAAAGCACTCGACATTCCCAAGCTCGTCAAGCCCGCCGCTGAATTGCAAAAGAACCAAAAGGGTTTCTGGGAAAACTTTAAGGAACAAACCAAGCACCATGAAAAGCTGGAAAAGGAACGGGCATTGCGTGAACGTCAACGTGCAGCTGTCATGGCCAGACGTGCCGCCAAGAGAAGATTCTAAAGCACACGGCATTCTTGTAATTATTACCTTTCCCCCCCCCTCTTTCACGCATATTTTTACAACGTACACATCCCATCTTCTTCAATCAACCATGTATTTCCTCCACCTCTCTCAACAGCTCTTTTGTTTAAACCCATTGGAACCAAAATTACAATATAGACATGCTTTTGTTTTGCTGTGCATCATAGACGCCACAACGTGTGTTCCATTTTAATGATTGACAACATCCATGGATCCCCGAAAAGGATTAAAAAGCTGTGTGCTGGTGATTGACAACTTTAATGCACTGTATTTGACATCCGCCCTGTTTCATCGTTGACGCCTCCTTTCTCTTACTTGCCTTTCCTTCTTCACATTGCTGCTCATCGTCCTACTGCAATTACGACATTCAACGTAGGCGGTACAATTCGTTAACTTCTTGGACGTGAAGCTTTATTTGAAGCACCCTCACTTTCAAAGCATCCGGCCCAAAAGCATTACCCACGATACAACATCGTTTTAAGCGACAACATCTACTCCTACATTGGTTTATGATATATCCTGGTACGCCTTCCAGATATCTTTGATCCTGATAATGTCAATAAACTTAAAACGTGTCACCAAAACCAGATGTCGATTAGCGCGTTGACACCCTTTCAAGTAATCCTAGACGACATTCATTTCGTAACGTATGATGCATTGCTTTGGATTAGCAAGGAGTTAACAATGCCTTTGCCGTTTTCTAGTGGATGTCTTTATTACTACATTGTACACAAAGAATGACCAATAGCCCATTATTTAGACCAACTTTAAACGATTCTTAAGAGTTGTATGTGACATTGTGTATCACCCTTATCCATAAAAAGCCATGTTGTTTGAGCATTCGAGTATGCAATTGCGTGAGGATTGATTGAGCTAGCTAAGGGCATCACACTAGGGAATACCCTACAGCAACTATAACAGCCCACATGGGATTTTGATGTACCGCTTTCTATGTTTTTGCCGTGCACTTATTTGAAGCGCTGCTGTTCGATTATCTGCTCCATTATGGCGCTCCAACCATCTTCAACTTCTTTCTTAAGGAGTGTTTGCTCGTTGTACGCCTCCTTGTCATGATGCGTGTTCTATTGGTATTTGAGCGTTGGCCTCCAGGCTTGGAACAAGCATCTCATATGATGGTATAGGAATAATGTTGGCTCTGTTTCTAATATGTACCTGTAAGGAAATAGGAAAACGGCTATGGAAGTATCATATTTACCTTCTTTGTGCAACTCAATGCACTGTTTCCTCCTCTTGTTTTTTCTTCTCTTGGGTTGTTTGTAATGAAGAAAGATAAAAAACGGCACGAAACGAATAACCAAAAATTGGGTCGCTTGACGCCAGCTTATAATAATTGGATTTCATAGTGGTAGGCTGTGGACCTAATCCAACTTTGCACATGCATCTCGGGATGTAGCTTATAAAAAGGAACGTGAGTATGCGCTTCATCAAGCAATATGATTAGCTCTTACCTTATCAAAAGAGCTAAATATCACATGACAACAATGACGATGCAAGTAGGATAACAATGAAAGGCTAAAGATCTTCACACATATGAGTATATGGATCGCTCACAAATAGGACTCACAATCATGATACTCACCAAGAGCTTTTGATAGTGTCAGTTATTAAAGAGTGAAGTGATGGGAAGAAAGAGATGTGGAGGAGAGAAGCAATGGGCGACAGCATTCATCTTGTTTATACGTGCATGGTTGGCGTGGGTATTTGCGTGACCAAAAGGAGTGATGATAGATTGGTGGGGCGGCCGCACAAAGAAACCTTTGTGTTTGAATGTTCATGCATAAATCAGGATCTGAGATAAATAAAGGAAGCCGTTACAACCCACCATGCGGGAGATGTGATGACCTGGAACATTGACGCTTGTGTACTATCCTTATCAACTAATGAAGATGCCAACGACTATTAATTTTGAAACGAACACTTACACAAGCATCCTCGAACAACGTCTTATTTCGTGGAGCAGCAAGTAATTTGAGCGATGTCATTGTTGGATGGTAAAAATTGCCACCTTGTCTATCTCAGATCCTGATTCATGCATGCACATTCTAGCATACCAAAGCCCTCTGTAAAGGCTCTTTCCCCCCCCCCCGATTCTCAACAGACGTTTTATCACTCTTCGATAACTGACACCTAAGTCCTTGGTGAGCATCATGATTGAGAATCCTATTTGTGAGCAATCCATGTGCCAGGATTTGTGGTAATCGTTATGGTTTCATTGTCACCCTAGTACTTTTTTCATTTCCTTGTTGTCATTGTGATTTGGCTCTTAATAAGGTAAAACCTAAATCACCTCGTTTGATGAAGGATCACCATTGGCAGAGATGAGATTCTCCTAAACGCACCAACGATGAGGGTGTAATGAAGCTACACTATGACAATCCATCCATGCCCATATCAAATCCCAGCTGCCAGCACATAGCTACTTGACCCTCCTGGATTTCTAAACGGCGATAAATACATTACTACAAATATCCGGAAGGATGATTGTTCGATCAATCAAATCTTATCGAGTTGCATTATACGAAGATGGCATGTCCATTTATATATGCGTCTTCCACGTGTTTGATCTTTGTATATCTATTTACACTTGCTGCGCTATTCCAAATGTGTGATGTTGTATATGTACGTAGTAGACGTATTGCACAATTGCGTCCTTTTATTACATCTGCTATCTTCCCAAACCTATTTCATCATTACTTCTTTGACCACCTTGAATACATAAAAATTAAGACAATACACAGCAACTATTGCCATGGCAACGACTGTTGCGATGGAAACTATTGGATGATACATGCAACCTTCTTTACACGGGCATACGGGTTTACAAAACCATTTGTCTTCGAAAGGATAATCCCAGCGCAATACATTTATTAAGTGAAAGGCGTTTCGATGCAAGAAACCTAGATCTCATACCAGGTAATGTCGCCAACTCCTAGTTTCGATGATCGACAAAACAAGTTAGTGCCTTAATACAACTTTAACTTGCGACTTTTCATTTCATACCAATATCAAAATCACCAATGATCTTTTTGAATATGACTGGTGTGAGATCCTGGATTAACAAAGTGATCAATGAATTAGACTTGGATAACTACATGATAGGTGGAAAGTAATCTTACCAAGTCTCCACTCTTGCATCCAGGGCAGGCGTCATTGATTGTAGCAGTGGTGGTGCCCTTGGGACCCTACATGTGAAGGATATGAGTAAAAGAAAAGCAAAACGAGCAAATTACATGATACGAACTTCGATTTTGATCTTACTGCCGCAAAACTTGGACTTCTTGTTCATGTTTCCGTATTGTTCGGCATTCAAGGCGACGATCATTGATTCACTGTTTTCCTTGGGACCACAGGCACCGTAAATACCACCTTCTTTCTCAGGGACGAACCTATAGAATCGAGATGTACATAGGTGTTAGATAGGATGTTCTTTTTCGAGAAAGAGAGGTGTTGTTGAAATGCATACCAAGTTCCAGTTCCATGGTATTTCTTTGCGCGCTTTTCAATGGGAGCTGCTGTCACCGACAAGATGACGAGGCACATCAAAAGAATGTAAGTCTTGAGCATTTTAGCTGAATGAAAGGAAAGGGTTGGGTGTTGTAGAAAAGAATGTGTGTGTGGGTGTTGTGCGTGTATGCGAAAGCGAAAGAGAGAAAAGAAGAAAAAGGATTGGTGAGGTTTGGAGCAAAAGTCAAAAAGAAATAAAGAGAAAGGGGGGAAATACAAGGTGGTTCTAACCTACAGTAGCATGGCTTGAATTAAATATCGTATGCAATTCGAAGCGAAGCGAGAGGGTATCAAAGGGGGGAGGGAAGCGTTATGGCCTGGTTATGCTGGCGGACCTATCAACATCTTCCAATCCCAAACCTTTGCTGCTCATGCTCACGCTTGATGTGTGGTACAAGATAAATTGGCCCAGTTTAGTCCGCTAGTTTTCAACCAAGCAAATCGTGTTACCGATTTGCGAAAAGATGCAGGTGCCAATTACGGGCGTGTGTGTATTTTTTTGCACCGCCGCACCATGTCTGATATGGTCATTCATCGGTATTTAATGATCATGTACTATGTGAGCAGTGCACACAATGCAAAGGAAATGCGATAAGGTATATGCTAGGACATAGTTTCATACTCCTGTTTGCAATATGTACATGTGGGTTATATGTCGAGAGAGGGGAACGTGCACAACGTGGCAGATCCTAAAGTATGGGGTGGCAACAGCACCTTAAAAAGCATGCCATCTCGCCCTGGTGTTTCCTCAAACGAGGCCTTATTGCCTAAAAATGGGTCAATAATTTTTGACAGCCAGTTTGGGAGGACAAGAGGATCCGCTTGTGCTCCATTGAACAGAGCACATGAAACATGAGGGATCGACGTGGCGGTGATGACTATGCGGAAGGTCAAAAAGAAGTCGTGTATGCCGTAAACCACGTTATAGTCAATCCAAAGACCTGCATATGTGGGGTTTGTAAATAAGAGGATACAGGCTTGCTGCAACTGCGTGTACCGGGTGCTCAACACAATTTGCTCCTACTCCCGTTTTATTATATTTTAGCGCGCTTTTGCCAAGTGGCTGTGCAACAGACGGCCAAAAAGTGGGCCTTTATGGTGGCGTGGACTCAACATCGATACATCTTGTTGATAACGGCGAGGAGTGTAGAAACCCGGTACGTTTCCATCAAACCATCTTTTTATAAGCTTACATTAATTCATGGTCCAGAACTATAGATGGGTCAATCGATGTGGCTAAAATTAACAGCAATGGGGGCTGTTGGTATTCCGTTGCTATGGAACACCCCCTTTATTCAAAAGCCAAGGATACTAGCTAGATTTTCTGATAACATCGAGGGCATCGGGAAACAAAAGGATGCCTGTATAAAGATCAATCAGCGACCTAGCCACAATGTGTGTGAAGAAGCAAAAAGTGCATACCTAATTTAAACAACAGCCTCTCTCTTGCTTAGCCGCGGACCATCGTATTGGATCACCAGCTGTCAGTAGAATTCGAATGAGACGTTCTTTCTTGTTGGATGATAAATGTAGCAAGCATGTGCATGAAACCTTCAAAGATAAGATAGATGATTATTAACTTTGAAACAACACGTTGCTGCCAAAGAAAAAGCACTGACCACCCTTGGATGCTGCAATGTTGTTGGTTGTGTTTAATGTGTGTGTGTGTGTGTGCCTCGTTGAATCCTTTTGGGTTGAATGACTTTGATGTGTGATTGGTGGATTAACAGCGAAATAGCGATAGAAGATTCTGCATTGCTGCGTCACTCATCCTCATTCACCTTTTTCTCTCTCACCTTATACACTTTCTATCCAACGATGGCTGATTCAGCGTCCTCAACTGCAGCAACAGATACCTCATTGATGAATTCGGCATCGGACAAGGTGCCCTTCTTCAAGAAACGATCGACCAAAAAGAATCTTCGCAAACGAAAAGCTGACTCTTCACCCACTCGATTACAAAGCGATGACGATGACGACGACGAGGAGGAGCTCACATCGCAGGTCGTTACCAAGAATCGAAAGCACACAGCAACTCCATTTGTGCAGAGCACACGACGTGGCAAAAAGAGGCGAGAACATGGTACCAATGACGACGATGAAGAGGACCAAGACGACTTTGCAGAGAAGATTGGCGTACAGTATGCTGCTGATCGGTCTGCAAGGATGCAGAAGAGTGATGCCACACGCTATTCAACCGAATGGGAGCTCGAGAATGAAGAACTGGCGAAGCGAAAGCAAGCTGGTCCACAAGCCAAGAAGACAGCCAACTCAAAGATGCAAGTGGGTCCTCAACGTGCACCTGCAAACATTCGAGTGACGGCACGCTTCGATTACCAACCTGATGTATGCAAGGATTATAAAGGTAAGAGGGAGAAAGAGACAAAGTGGGTCATGATAAGGTATGCTCATGCATCCTCTTTTTATATAGAAACTGGATTCTGTGGTTATGGTGATTCATGTATCTTTTTGCACGATCGTGGCGATTACAAGACTGGATGGCAGCTGGAAAAGGAATGGGAGGAAGCAATGAAAAACAAGACACGTTTTGGAAGCACGGATCCCAACAAGTATGCCGTGAGCGATGATGATGATTCGGACGAGGAGTTACCATTTGCATGTTTGATTTGCCGTGAAGAGTTCAAGAACCCAGTCGTAACCAAGTGCAACCATTACTTTTGCGAACAATGCGCCATCAACAATCACAAGAAATCACCCAAATGTTATGCATGTGGTGCATCCACAGGTGGTGTATTCGACACGGCCAAGAAGATGCTTGAGAAGCTCAAACAGAAAAAGGAAAGGATTGCTGAAAACAGCAGCGATGTCGAGGAACAACCAGAGGATGATGGCAATGATTTCACTATTGAGGGTCTTGAAGAGCGTCCGGTTAGCAGTGATAACAATGATAGTGATGAGGATAGTTCATAGACAAAAAAGCTTTTATATACCAAAATCTAATACATATTGAAAAACCATCCCCAATGCCTTGTACAATATCAACATCGCCATTGCTACACATCTTATGAAATGAGACGCGCATGCTACAGTATTCCAAAGACGTGATGTAATATCAGCGACTTGCCGCGGATCTGAGTCGATGTATGAGAACAACGAAACCATCATGTTGCATGCGATTTTGCCATATCAGCACATGGTGTAACCCAACCATGGTAAAGCAGAATTTACCTTTGATATTGACGCTTTATAATCATCTGCATCACCATGCTCATGTTCGGTGGTGGATAAACGAAGCTTTCACAATTGCACCCATGGAAGTGCATAGAATAGTTGTTATCGCATTTGCATATGAGTCATCTTTAATAAATCTCTTAACATAAAACCACTGTAGTACGTTAGCACAATGAATGAGGCACAGCTCCATGTTTTGAATGGTCATGCCATTGTCTTGGTACATGAACGATCAAAGCACCCAGGAGTACACAGGTCCTTTCACATGGAGTCTGTGTATGTGTACATGTAATAATGGTATTGGTATTACACGATCTCGTGGATGGTTCCTCTCATCTTCCAGATCCATGACAATGGACCCAAGGTGGGATAAGGATTTTCGATTGTCTCTTCTCGTGTGAATTGTTACACCACCAATGATGATACATGGGGTGATAGCAATGGTACGATCATTGCCTGCTGAACTCTCTTTTATTGAATGGTGTTATATGGCTATCTTGCTATTCGGTCTCAAGGTGTCAATGTAGATGACATACGAATGCACAAAATTGTACTTTACAGAAATGCCATTGATAGGTAGTAGTACTACATGCGGCAGAAATGATATGGTGATGGTGGATCATTGTAACCGAAATCCATGGAAAATTGGGAAGGACAAGCTGTCGATTACCAAAACACACGTACAAACGGGATTTGCACATGAAGAAGATCGTTTTGTGAAACCTTGTAACCTTGTGCGAATTCCTACTGCTTATTGATATGAGTCAGGTTATGTGCTGGACACCTAACATGAACCCCTTGTTGCTCAATAAGCATTAAAGACAAGCCCATTCATGTTGTATTGTAAACGTGATGGGTGTGGATGGATGCTTGCAATAGTAGTAGGTGTTACTCTCCGACACAACGAACATTGCGTGCTTTTGTTGGAGGAGATAAAGAAGGCTATGATAAGCGAATTACTGCCATAGACAGTGTTGAGCTGGTGAGCGAATACGTTGCATAATTGAATTATGCGTGTTATGCAGATGATGCGCACGATCCATGGTAACTTGACAAATAGCAAACAAGCTTGTTCAAGCACGCGACATTAAAAATGCAGACTTGACCAAACAGCGTTGGTCTTGGTTCCGTGCGCACCTCGCATCACTTTTGCCACACCCGATTTACGTTTTCAAAACACGGCAACAATTCCCACTTTTGTGGTGTCCCACCTACAAGGTACACACGTCCCGTTCAACCTTGTAGATCCTTTTCTCCATTGTCCCATTCAACAACAATATTACATGTTGTGTACAGCTATCTTGTGAGACCTGACCCCAATTATTATAGCCCAATCCGGTGACTTGAAGAAGAAAAGGCAAGTTTTTTTCAACTTGTTACAAGCTCAACGTGATCATTTCTCATCCATACATGGCATAAATAACCAGAACCACATTAGCTTGTCGGCCAACAAGATGAGAACAAAATGGACGTGGGAGGAGGAGGAGGAGTAGTAGTAGTCGTAGTGATCGGGATTCATAAAACACGCGGGTGAACACGTCATCCCCCTTATAACGGAGAACAACCACACATGGGCATCATTGTCAGCTCTTGGCAGCTGAGGAGTAATAGCATTACAAGTTTTTATTTTTGCATGGGAAAGAAGGAGATGTGCTGATACATTTTTATACCTATCGGCGCTATGCTGTGATACCCTCCCTTTTACAGGTTTTCGTTATGGTGGCGAGAGGCTTGGCAGCAGCGGCGGCGGCTTGATAGATATAGGCAATCCATACATGTATAATAATGGCTGAGCATCAGTGCCACACCATGCAATGCATGTATTTGTGAATCAATTATTAAGATTTGTTGAGCTATAACCAAAGTAGATAATGATTGGGATCGACGAGGTGCCTGAAAAGGTGGCGGACAATGTGTGTTGAGTGTGTGAGAAGACAAAGGAATATATTAAATCATTTGGGTGACACAGCGCCAGGAAACAAGATTCAAGTGTTTCTGACGTGGATCATTTACTGTTTTTGAAAGTGGGATCTGCGGGTGCAGATCGTGGTCGTCGAATGTGGTTGGCTGAATCGTTTATTGCGTGTGTACCCAGGTCCAACCTTAAAACCCAAATTTTCGTGCTCCACACACGACATAAAACTCACCTTGCCCAATTCTGTATTTTTCTTTTTTTTCCCAAACGCTTTGCAGCCCCCTTTTCTCTTTCTTCCTTGCTCCCCTTTTGTGTCTATCGCGTTTATGGCTTCGTCATCTGCATCATTTACTACATCTGCTGTGGCTCCAACCACTCATCATCCACAACAACAACCATCACAACAACGACAGCATTATGTCACCGCGACTAATCCATCAGCAGCAGCTGTTGCTGCCGCGGCTGCTGCTAATCAACATCATCCACAACATGCAGCAGCAGCCGCTGCATTCTATCCTACAACATACGATCCCTATACTGTAGCAGCTGCTTCTGATTTATACTCTCCCTTTCATACCGCAAAGCAACAACAAGCACCTCATCAACCACAACAACCACTTTACATGGACCACATGCAGTTCCATCCACAACCAAACAATCCTAATGGCTCAAATGTCCCATCTAATAATGCCACTTCACAGCAACATGATGCCGCTGCTGCCGCTGCTGCTGCTGCAGCAGCAGCTGCTTCTGATCTTTCGGGTGGGCCATCTTTACCTCCATTGTCGCAGCTTTTACCATCGGACAAGAAACAACAACGTCAACAACATGGCCATTTACCTACAAGCAGTACGGTGGTGAGTTCAAGTATGGCAGCACCTACCATCCCTGTTTCATCTCAAAGCAGCAACAATAATGGCAGAAGCAACAACATGATCTACCCGCCTTCAGCTGACTATTCCGAAAGTGGTCGATACATGTTGCAAAATGATGTTGTAGGTGCTGCTGGTTATGCACATCATCATCATTATCCAGCCACAGCTCCTGTTGTACCATCTTCCACAATGGATCCATACGCAGCAGCAGCAGCAGCAGCTGCATCCGTTTCTGGTTATCCACCACAACCACAACCACCCCATCATACACGAGGTCCAACATTACCATCACCGCCGCCATCGGTAGTTGATAGTGTGTCACCCCGTCATCATCAACAATTCCAACACCATCAGCCACAACAAAAGGTGTTTGCATTTGTTTCGCTTCCTGGTATTAACCAAAAGAAGCGACCACGCCGAAAGTATCACGAGATTGAGCGACTTTATCATTGTAACTTTCCTGGATGCAACAAGGTTTGTGCGCCTCATTATTAAAAGTATACTTGCAATCATACTCATTCGCATTTTGACATAGGCTTATGGTACATTGAACCACTTGAATGCACACGTGTGTATGCAACAACATGTAAGTATCATGTATACGCATGACTTTCTGTATCCGGCATAGTTGACATGTCAAAATTTAGGGACCCAAGCGTCATCCATCCGAATTTAAGGAACTAAGAAAACAATGGCGTAAACAAAAACGTGAACAGCAGGCTGCAAACAAGGCGGCTGCAGGGTCGACGGCATCATCACCATCCACCACTGCATCATCGACACCGGCAGTATCCGATAACAATGCTTCTCCTAGTAATACGGCAATGGCCGCACCTTTGACAATGCCATCCAACCATCAACCATCTGCATTATTGCATCACCATCAACCAGGAGCACCTTCGATCATATCGCATCATCAGCAACAGGATTTGCTACCACCCAGCAGTTCGACTCATGCACCTTATCATGAACTTGCTGGTACACTTTATTGATTTACTTTCAACTCCATGCACACAATACTACTATTCTATATATATCCATCTCCCTCTCCCTCTCACCTACACCCACACAAAGACAATGACACAAACACTGACACAACTATGCTTCTCATCATTTTCTTATCTCCCAACAATCTCATGTACATATATCCCCAAGGTTTCTCTCATTCTTTTTTGTTGTATCCCTCATCCCACCATCAAAGTAGTTTTTTGTATTAGGAACGAATGATCCATTACGTTATGCCGGCCACACTCACAGACAAACACACACCGCCCCCTTTTTTATGATGATAAAGATGATGATTTGATTTGTTGTGCCATCCATCGGAGCAAGAATATAATAAAGACGATAACACATATAACTTTTTTTTTTCATTTGGGGGAATGGATGGTCTGTGCAACGAAAGGGATAAAAGATTTCTTTGTTATTCGATGACGAAAAAGGGTTGTGCTTGGGGGAAACGAAAGAAAAAAGGGGCAGGACAACAAAGGCGAAAAGTGTTTTGATGGGTCAAGATCGCCCCAAGCTGAGGGCTACGGTTGGGGTAGTGGGCCAACCCAGACATAATTTTTGGGTAAAGAACATGGCCCATCAAAAGTGTAAAACCAATAGCGGAAGCCAATATTGATCGGTTTCTTTTCTCTTCCACACACACAACACTTCTCTCTCTCTCTCTTTCTCTCCTCCGGTTTCACCTTTTGGGCAAAACATCAATACACACATAACACACACATCATGGTCGACCACAAGAGCTTGCCAACTCACTTTTTAGGTAAGCAATGACAGTTTGACAAAAGAGGACAAGCACAAGTCTCTGACATTTAAATGTATGTAGGAGGCAACTCGCTGGACCTTGCTCCCGAAGGAGCCGTAAGAGATTATGTCAAAGCCCATCAAGGCCACACCGTCATTACCAAGGTCTTGATTGCCAACAATGGTATGGCTGCCATGAAAGAGATTCGATCCGTTCGCAAGTGGGCATACGAGACCTTTGGCGATGAGCGTGCCATTGAGTTCACTGTCATGGCAACACCCGAGGATTTGGCTGGCAATGGTGAATACATTCGCATGGCTGACAACTATGTCGAAGTCCCTGGTGGTACCAACAACAACAACTATGCCAATGTGGAGCTTATTGTGGATGTTGCTGAGCGTAGCGGGGTACATGCAGTGTGGGCTGGATGGTAAGTGTGCCAATGCTTCATTGTGTTACATGTCAAATTTTTTCTCTAACATTGATATTGAAGGGGTCATGCATCCGAGAACCCAAAGCTACCCGAAATGTTGGCTCAAAGCAAGAACAAGTGTGTATTCATTGGTCCACCAGCATCAGCTATGCGATCCTTGGGCGATAAGATCTCTTCCACCATTGTTGCACAACATGCCGATGTCCCAACCATGAGCTGGAGCGGTGATGGTATCAGTGAAGTGGCACAAACCGAGGAGGGCCATGTTTTGGTCGAGGATAAGGTGTATTTGGATGCATGTGTGCAAACAGCCGAAGAAGGTCTCGCTTCTGCTGAGAAGATTGGCTTCCCTGTCATGATCAAAGCTTCCGAAGGCGGTGGTGGCAAGGGTATTCGTAAGGTGGAGGATGCTGCAAGTTTCAAACAAGCTTTCCATCAAGTCCAAGGTGAAATCCCTGGCTCTCCTATTTTCATCATGAAGCTTGCTGGCAACGCTCGTCATTTGGAAGTCCAACTTTTGGCTGATCAATACGGCAATGCTATCAGTTTGTTTGGTCGTGATTGTTCAGTACAACGTCGTCATCAAAAGATCATTGAAGAAGCTCCCGTTACTATTGCCAAGCCTGATGTATTCGAGCAAATGGAAAAGGCAGCTGTACGACTCGGCAAGCTTGTGGGTTATGTATCAGCTGGTACCGTTGAGTATTTGTACAGCCATCAAGATGAACGTTTCTATTTCTTGGAGTTGAATCCCAGATTGCAAGTGGAGCATCCAACCACTGAAATGGTCTCCGGTGTCAATTTACCAGCTGCTCAATTGCAAATTGCTATGGGTATCCCTCTTCATCGTATTCGTGATATCCGTGTACTCTATGGTGTTCAACCCAACAGCGCTTCTACCATTGATTTCGACTTTGCCAACCCCACATCATTCGAAGTCTTGCGTCGTCCTACTCCAAAGGGTCACGTTATCGCCGTTCGTATCACTGCTGAGAACCCTGATGCTGGATTTAAGCCATCTTCAGGCATGATGCAAGAACTCAACTTCCGATCCAGTACCAATGTGTGGGGTTATTTCTCTGTTGCATCCGCTGGTGGTCTTCACGAGTTTGCCGATTCTCAATTTGGTCACATTTTTGCTTATGGTGAAAATCGTCAACAAGCCCGCAAGAACATGGTGATGGCATTGAAGGAAATTTCTATTCGTGCTGCCTTCCGTACCACCGTTGAATATATCATTCGTTTGCTCGAGACTCCAGACTTTGAGGAGAACACTATCAACACTGGATGGCTTGATATGCTTATTTCCAAAAAGCTCACTGCTGAAAGACCCGATCCCATGCTTGCCGTCTTTTGTGGTGCTGTCACCAAGGCACATTCTCAATCAGTCGATTGCCGCCAGCTCTATAAGCAAAGCCTTGAACGTGGTCAAGTGCCCAGCCGTGATATGCTCAAGACCGTTTTCACCGTTGACTTCATTTATGAAGACCAACGCTTCAATTTCACTGTCACCCAATCATCGCCTAGCATCTACACCTTATATTTGAATGGCACAAAGACTCAAGTTGGTGTTCGTGATCTTACTGATGGTGGCTTGCTCGTATCGCTTGGTGGAAAATCACATACAACCTACTCTCGTGAAGAAGTCCAAGCTACTCGCCTCATGATTGATGGCAAGACTTGTTTGCTTGAAAAGGAATCTGATCCTACTCAGTTGCGCTCGCCCTCGCCTGGTAAGCTTGTTAGCTTGCTGTTGGAAAATGGACAACATGTCAAGGCTGGTCAAGCGTATGCTGAAATTGAGGTATGGAAAAAAAGGAAGAGAGTAAGGGAAGCAATAGGACTTATGGTATGTATGTTTAATAGGTCATGAAAATGTACATGCCATTGCTCGCTCAAGAAGATGGTTGTGTCCAATTCATCAAACAAGTTGGCGCTACTCTTGAAGCTGGTGATATCATTGGTATCTTGTCCCTTGATGATCCTTCGCGTGTGAAGCAATTCTTGCCTTTCACTGGTACTATCCCCGCTTTTGGTCCTCCTCATTTCACTGGTGACAAGCCTGTGCAACGTTTCCATGCTACCAAGGGCACTCTCGAGTACATTCTTCAAGGCTATGACAACCAAGCTCTTGTTCAGACCGCTATCAAGGATCTCACTGATGTCTTGCGTGATCCCAAGTTGCCATATTCGGAAACCGCTGCTCTCATGTCATCCATGTCGGGCCGTATTCCTGCCAAGCTCGAGTCCAGTTTGCAAGATTGCCTTGATGCTAGCAAGGATGAGTTCCCTGCCACCAAGTTGTTGGATGCTATTGAAGCCTACGTTCGTGAGCACGTGAACACTCAAGCTGAAGCAACCGCCGTCAAGACCCAAACTGCTCCATTGAGTGCTATCTTTGAGCGCTATGTTAAGGGACTTGCTTATCATGAGTACATGGTCTATGTTGATTTGATGGAACAATATTGCGACGTTGAGATCTTGTTCAGTGGCCAAAACCGATATGAGGAAGTCATTTTGTCTTTGCGTGACCAAAACAAGGATGATCTTGAAAAGGTGCTTGCTATCATTTTGTCCCATGCCAAGGTTTCCAGCAAGAACAACTTGGTGCTTATCCTTTTGGATCTCATTGCTCCTCATGTTGGCACCAGTGGCCTTGACAAGTTGTTCACTCCCATGCTCAAGCGCCTTTCGGAAATTGACAGCCGTGCTTCGCAAAAGGTTGCCCTTAAGGCTCGTGAGTTGTTGATCTTGTGCCAATTGCCATCCTATGAAGAACGCCATAGCCAAATGCTTCATATTCTCGAGCGCTCGGTTACTGAGAATGTATACGGTGGTGGTGTGGAACGTCGTCCTCCCAACTATGAAGCTTTCAAGGATCTTATCAACACCAACTTCAACGTCTTTGATGTGTTGCCCAACTTTTTCTACCACAGCGATCCTTACGTTGCCTTGGCTGCTCTTGAAGTCTATGCTCGTCGTTCTTACCATGCTTACAAGATTTTAGATGTGGCCTACAACTTGCAACATGAGCCCTATGTCATTGCTTGGAAGTTTACATTGCCCAACAGCAGTGCTCGCAACAGCGTTGATTCCAACAAGCGTATTGCTTCTTACTCCGATTTGACCTTCTTGCTCAACAGCACTGAAGAAGAGCCTGTACGCACTGGTGCCATGGTTGCCTGCAAGTCCGCTGAGCAAGTGCAAAGCGAATTGCCCCGCATTTTGACAGCCTTTGAAGAAGATCCTGCTGCCAAGCAACCTACCACACGCATGGAGAATATTCTCAACATTGTTGTGCAAAGTGATGAGGATAAGGATGAGTCTTTCTGGCAAAGTGAGATTCCAAAGGTGGTTGCCCAATACAAGGATGCTTTCCGTCGTGCCCATTTGCGTCGTATTACGGTCATTGTTTACCGTACCAACCAAATGCCCGATTTCTACACCTTCCGTGAGCGTCAAGATTATGCTGAAGACACCACCATTCGTCATATTGAGCCTGCTCTTGCTTATCAATTGGAGCTTGCACGCTTGTCCAACTTTGATATCAAGCCTTGCTTTATTGAGAACCGCCAAATGCATGTGTACTATGCTGTGGCTAAGGAGAACCCAAGTGATTGCCGCTTCTTTATTCGCTCTTTGGTGCGACCAGGTCGTGTTAAGGAGGAGATGCGTACCGCTGATTATTTGATTTCCGAGAGTGATCGCTTGTTGACCGAAATTTTGGATACGCTTGAGATCGTCAGCCATGAATACAAGAACTCTGACTGCAACCACTTGTTCATCAACTTCATCCCTACCTTTGCTATTGAACCTGATGAGGTGGAACATGCTTTGATGGCTTTTGTTGATCGTCACGGCAAGCGTCTTTGGAAGTTGCGTGTTACTGGTGCTGAGATTCGTTTCAACATTCAATCCAAGCGCCCTGATGCACCTGTGATCCCTATGCGTTTCACTGTTGACAACGTTTCTGGATACGTGCTCAAGATGGAAGCTTATCAAGAAGTCAAGACCGACAAGAGTGGCTGGATCCTCAAGTCCGTGGGTAGTGTGGCTGGTGCTATGCACATGCAGCCTGTTCTCACCCCTTACCCCACAAAGGAGTGGTTGCAGCCTCGTCGTTACAAGGCTCATCTTATGGGTACCACCTATGTTTACGATTTCCCCGAATTGTTCAAGCAAGCTATTCATCAACAATGGGTACAAGCCATCAAGAATGATCCCACTTTGAAGGAACCTGGTCATATTATCGAGGGCAAGGAATTGGTTGTTGATGAGGATGGCTCTATTCAAGAAATTGAGCGTGCACCTGGTACCAACACTGTGGGTATGGTGGCATGGCTTTTGACATTGCGCACCCCTGAATATCCTCAAGGACGTCGTGTGGTTGTTATTGCCAATGACATCACTTTCAAGATTGGTTCATTTGGTGTTGCCGAGGATAATGTCTTTTACAAGGCTTCCGAATTGGCTCGTAAGCTTGGTGTGCCACGCATTTACTTGTCTGCCAACTCTGGTGCCCGTATTGGTTTGGCTGATGAGCTCATTAGCCAATTCAAGGCTGCATGGAAGGATCCTTCTAACCCCGCTGCTGGTTTCAAGTACTTGTATCTTACTCCCGAGACCTATCAAGCTATTGCTGCTCAACAAACCAATGGCCAAAAGAGTGTCAATGTTGAGGAAATCGAGGATGAAGGTGAAAAGCGATGCCGTATCACTGATGTTATCGGCTACACCGATGGTCTTGGTGTAGAAAACTTGCGTGGATCGGGTCTTATTGCTGGTGCTACTGCTCGTGCCTATGATGATATTTTCACCATCACTTTGGTCACTTGTCGCTCTGTGGGTATTGGTGCTTACTTGGTGCGTCTTGGTCAACGTGCTGTGCAAAATGAAGGCCAACCTATTATCTTGACGGGTGCTCCAGCTCTCAACAAGGTGCTTGGTCGTGAAGTTTACACATCCAACTTGCAACTTGGTGGTACTCAAATCATGTACAAGAATGGTGTTTCTCATTTGACAGCTGAGAATGATCTCGAAGGTGTTGGCAAGATTGTGCAATGGTTGTCGTTTGTGCCATCCGTTCGTGGAGCTCCTGTTATCACTCGCATTGGTGCTGATCCTATCGATCGTGAAATCGAATACACTCCACCCAAGGGTCCCTCTGATCCTCGTCTCTTCTTGAATGGCAAGGAAGAAGATGGTCGTTGGTTGTCTGGTTTCTTTGATCGTGACTCTTTTGTTGAAACTTTGAGTGGTTGGGCCCGTACGGTTGTTGTTGGTCGTGCTCGTCTTGGTGGTATCCCTATGGGTGTTGTTGCTGTTGAGACACGCACCGTTGAAAACATCATTCCTGCTGATCCTGCTAATGCCGAATCCACTGAACAAGTGCTAATGGAAGCTGGTGGTGTGTGGTATCCCAACTCGGCTTACAAGACTGCTCAAGCTATCAATGATTTCAACAAGGGTGAACAATTGCCATTGATGATCTTTGCCAACTGGCGTGGTTTCTCTGGTGGCCAACGTGACATGTACAACGAGGTCCTCAAGTATGGTGCTCAAATTGTCGATGCTCTTAGCAACTACAAGCAGCCTGTGTTCGTGTACCTTGTTCCTAATGGCGAGTTGCGTGGTGGTGCTTGGGTCGTTATTGACACCACCATCAACCAGGAGATGATGGAAATGTATGCCGACACTCAAGCTCGTGGTGGTGTGCTTGAACCTGAGGGTATTGTTGAAATCAAGTATCGTAAGCCCCAATTGTTGGCTACCATGGAACGTCTTGACGAAAAGTATGCAAGCCTCAAGCGTCAACTTGCCGAGTGCACTGATGAATCCAAGACTGCCGAGATCAAGAAGCAACTTGAGAGCCGTGAACAAGAATTGTTGCCTGTGTATCAACAAATTGCTATTCAATTTGCTGATTTGCATGATCGTGCTGGTCGTATGGAAGCTAAGGGTGTTATTCGCAAGCCTCTCGAATGGCGTTATGCCCGTCAATACTTCTACTGGCGTGTGCGTCGTAGACTTGCTCATGAGTACACTATCCGCAAGATGGCTGATGCTGCTCCTCGTCTCTCTCGCGATCAAATGAGCTCCCTTATCAAGCAATGGTTCTATGACTCTGCTGAAAATGGTCACGTGAACTGGGAGGATGATGATCGTTTGATTGCTGAATGGTTCGATAACCACACTGCTCATGTTGATCAACGTATTGCCAAGCTCAAGAGCGAAGCTACCAAGGAGCAACTTGTCCTTCTCGGTACTACGGATCAAGAAGCTGTTGTCGAAGGCTTTAGCAAGCTCATGGAAACCATGTCGCCTGAAGCTCGCAAGGAAATTCTTCGCAAGTTGGCTACTCGTTTCTAAATAGAATACTAGATGCATTTATTTTTTCATTCTTCTTTACTTCTTTTTGACATTTGTAAATATAAAACAAAGGATAATATAATTCTTCTATTTCTATCTCTTAATCGGCTACGTAACATGATCGTTCCCGGGTTCTCTTTAAAAGCTGTTATCCCAAAGGTCAACACTTGATAAAACATGTTTGAGTTGAGCAAAAGAGTATAGTAAAAATGACAAAATGTACAACATAAACTTTTTATTTGTATTCGTTAATCAGCAACTCGGGCAATTTTCCTCGCACGTTCTTGTCCTACAAGGCGTCGTCGCATATCCTTGTTAAGTCTCCGCCCCGTGGGAAGTTTGAGTGCAGCTTGGGCTCCATCCGTGGTCGTATTGTCCTTGGCTGTAGTGGTGGTGGTAGTCGAAATTGGGTTGTCATCAGTAGATAATGTAGGGCGAGTACAAAGGAGATCATCTTTCATGTTGTCCAATAGAGAAGTAGCAAAAGGACATTGTTCAAGGGACATGAGTGGCCCATCGATGACACGCGATCCGAGTACCTGAACATCAATTTGAAGGTAGCTTGTGTTCTTATCAGCGGGTAGCGGAGAAATCAATGATAAAAGAGCCGCATTGTTGTGGTTATCTTCATTCATCAGGAAGGTGGAGGAAGAGCCATTGTCTTCACAAGCAGCGGTTGTTGATGAATCATTCATGATGGGTGCCACCTGAGAGAATTCACGAGAATACAAGTAAATGTGAGGTCGTGTTGTTGCTGCCTTGTTGTTGTTGTGGATGGCATCAGATGACCATTGCACCAAACTCTTTTCATGATTTTTGACATTGTTGCCACCATTGGTTGTTGTTGTGGTGGTGGTAGTAAGTCTGTCCTGAATCCAATTGCGGAGTGCGTAAGGTCGTACAGGATCAATGAGTACCAAATCTGTGCTTGGTGTAATTGAAGATGATGATGATGATGGGCCACTGTCCAGTGTAGGTCGTGGAGTTGTCGGTGCACCACCATTGAAGAATGTCAAGTCAAGAGAGCTATCAATGTTTATGTTAATAAAAGTAAGCATTCACGTTTGTTGATGAATTACCTTGAACCTCCCACTAATTGCTTTGGGCTACTTCCACCCACAGTGAGTTGATTCACGCTTCTTGATGGCAATGAAAACAATGCAAATGAAAATAATATGATCTATATCGTGAAACATTCACACACAACGGGTATGAGTACAAAGAAAAAAACCATAGCCATTATTTCCCGCCTCAAACCCCCCAATAGTAACATTACCATAAACACCACTCCCGTGGCCTTATTATGACTGGTATTCTTGTTGGATGATAACAATGCTGTGGTGGTGGTGTTGTTGTTGCCAACCATACGTCGTCTCAAATCATGATTCTCTTTTTCCAATGTGTCCACTCTTGATTCTAATTCAGCCACACGAGCCTTGAGCTGTTCGTTTTCTTTTGAAAGGTTTTGCTTTTCTTCTTCCAACGCGTTCAAATGTTCACGCTTACGCTTACGCGATAGGAGTGCTGCTGCTCGATTTTTGATTAATCGTTCTTGTCGCTTAGCAATCGCTGCTGCTTTTTGTGCTTCCTCTGGAGAAGAATGTGATGGCTCAATTTTGACGCTGGCAGGTATAGGTGTGTTGTCATTGCTTGTCAGGGGTAATTGTTGTTGTTGTTGCTGTTGCTGTGCAACCGTTGTAGGTATGATGGGTTGTTGTTGTTGTTGTTGTTCTTTGGCTGCAGCTACAGGTGGGGATGGTGGCGATGGTGAAGGAGAAGTGGATGATTGTTGAGGTGGAGGAGATGGGGTAGCCGTTGTTGACGATGAGGATGTGTTGTTGTTGTTGTTGGGTTGTTGTGGCGGTTGTGCCGATGCAGGGAGAAGTCTTGCCAGGGGTCTTAACTGTGTTGATGGTGCGGAAGCTATACCAATAGGATCCTTTTTCTTACGTCCACGTTTCTTTCTTGGCTGTTCTGAATCTGATGATGAGCAAGAGGCTGTTGATGATGCTGAAGATAGTTTCACATCTTGTTGTTGTGGCTGTGGTTGAATCGATGGCTGTAACAAAGGGATGTTGGGTGATTGATTAATAGCAGCTGCTTGTTGAATGTATAAAGGGGGCACAAATGATTGCAAGAATTCAGGTGGAGGAGGTGCTGGCCAGTATGTCGACGAGGCTGCTCCATTCAAGTTGTTGGCTTGTGGTAATCCTGCTGCTGCTGCTGCTGCCAGCCACGACGTGTAATCCATCATGTTGGCTGTTGGGGCTGCAAACATATCCTCTGATTTATTGGTATACGCGTCCTCTGCATTGTTGATACTGCCATCAGATGATGTTGAGTATGGAGGTGAAAGCGGCTGTTGGTGCTGCTGTTGGTGTTGTTCGTCATTGGATAACGGCCAACTATCGCCTGAAAGACAATCGGCATTCAAATACGACATGAGCAACTCGTCATGCTCCTCCTGTACTTCAGGGTCTGGTTTAATGGTGGGCGATGTCATGATGCCTGGTTGGCGATCGAAAGGAAGGTTCAGGAAAAAAAGAGGTCTGTGAAGAAAGTGAGTTTTCGAATAACCTCCCCCCACCCATATATTTATATAGGCCAATTGCCCCGTGCTTCCAAGTTTAGTATATGCCAGCTTTCCTGTGTAGGCAAGTTACTCGAGAATCATCCAGATACACTCACACATATCTCCTTTTCCCTCTCCCTTACTTTGCATTCACTTCCCTTGCATCTGATAAATTAATCGCATCCATAAAAGATAGTCCTTCTGTGTATGTAAAGATAAAAGCTTGTGTCTTTATTCATAGTAATCGATCCGAGGTAGATTGGGTTACAATCATCAATCATCAATCGACGTACTTAAATAGAAACACGTGGTGCGCACCATTATCCCTTTCCCTTGTTGACAGCATCTATTTGAATGTGATCTTATTTAGTGCACTTGCATAATGAAACATAGTTCAAATGTTATAGTGTTAACAATGTAACATGGGATATTGTGACAAGAGCCCCTTTGTTGGGCGTAACATGTGTGCATCATACACCGCCAAAGTGAAAAAATTCCCAACTGGGAAAGTAGTCGTGGCCGTCCCGCATTTCTTGCTGAACCATCTAAGAATGGGAGTTACATTATTATGCATTGGGTATTACAGGTGATGTGACCCATCTACTTTGCCACATTCATATCGCATGGTGTCTGCTATTCTTCTTCTTATCCTAATCACGACTTTGTTCAAGAGGGTGTTTTGTTCCATACAATGGTAGTATAGGATGGAATAAAAGATCCATCAAGCATATTTTATAGTGGATGAATATTGTTCGGATGACATTAATAGGCACGCTATCAACTTTATTTTATGTATACAAGGATCATGGTAGCATTCAGTGATATCTAGTTGGGTAAGGAACAGGTGCATCTAATGCGATAAAGTAGCCTGGGATTGAACTCAGCAACGTCATCGAGAGGCGGCGGGCTGCGTTTAGGACGCGTAAGTGAAGATGCAATGAGTACCTCGCTTCTTTTCTCTTCCCTCCCCCTTTACCATTAACTCACCATGGACCATTTTCCTTCTCGTTGGGGTAAACCTCGTAACGAAAACGTCGACGCATACAACACCGTTCCTCTCCACAAAAGTCTTCCTGACAGCTTGTCACAATCAGCTTACGGCCCAGTATCTCATACCCAGTGAGTACAATCACAACGATCGCTTTATCCTCCACACGCATACGACACATGATGACTATAGTATCAACCTATTGCTTGTCAATCGTGATCGGTGCTGTTTTCTATTCGTGCCATTACAGCTGCTGACCGTTTATTCACTTTTGTATAGACAACCACTGGTGACTGGTACATCGGTTATTGCCTTAAAGTATCGTGATGGTGTTATGATGGCTGCAGATATGCTCGGTATGCTTGAATGAAAACACTTGATTGGAGGGGAATATCCATTGTCTAACAACATGGAGACTAGGCTCTTATGGTTCGCTTGCTCGATTCCGTAACATTGAACGATTATATCCTGTTGGCGACAACACCATTGTCGGCTGTTCAGGCGATATCTCTGATTACCAATACATCCAGCATCTTTTGGATACTCTCATGTATGCATGGTTATGAGAAATAGGATCGGGTTATAGATACTCAATCGTTTTTGTTCATACAACAGGATCAAGGAACACTGCCATGACGACGGCCATGTTCTCGGCACATCAAACATCTTCGAATACCTCTGGAGAGTCATGTACAACCGACGATCCAAGTTTAATCCCCTTTGGAATGCTCTTGTTGTTGGTGGTGTTGATAAGGGTGAACGGTAGGTTGATCGGTACTTGTCATTGAGATAAAAGGCTCATCGGCATGTCATTGATATTTCAGCTTCCTTGGTTACGTTGATTTGCGAGGCACCACTTACCAAACTACAACCATTGCCACCGGTTTTGGTGCCCATCTTGCACAGCCTATTTTGAGAAAGCGAGTAGAAGGCAGAGAAGATGATCTCACTGAGGAGGAGGCTATTGAAATCATCAACGATTGCATGAAGGTTTTGTTTTATCGTGATGCTCGATCCATGAACAAGGCAAGTAGAATATTCCTTTGGATATGAAATCGATGCTAACATACTCGGGTCAATAGTTCCAAAGAGCAAAGATTACTGCAAGTGGTGTTGAGGTCACTGAGCCCTACAGCGTGGAAACGGAATGGGGATTTGCGGAAAAGATACGAGGTTACGGTGCATAAACACATGCATGCTTTTATTTCATCATTTACAAAGCAAATATATTCCATTTGATCATCACACATGTTGGCTTTATGAGTTGGTCTATTTCAATGAGTTATCGGCAGCATACGTTTCATAGGCGACTTGATAATATGGTTTGTGGTCAATGCAGTCCTCGATCATCATCGTCATCGTCAGTTGAGATAATGTCCGTAGTCCTTTTGTGATGAAACATGTACATGACTTTGTTACCTCATATAGTTTGTTGTACACAAACCACTCTTGTCGAGCCTTGACTGCCGCTTGAGCAGTGAACAAACGTCGTTGTTGGTAAGTAGTCATTCGAAACGTGGATCAAATCGAGAGCCTATAATACACCACGAGCGCGTTGAGCGGTACTTTCAGTCAAATCCCGCAATCATGCCGCTCAATTATCTCTGTCACATGATCCCAGGTATTTTTAATGATCGAGTGGTACCAATTGGCGATTTGATTATGCCTATCGTCTATCAGGGCGTGAACTTAGAAGCTTTAACAATGTAATGTGATAAAAGAACAAAAGCGTCTCGATACGGGGATGTAAATGGTCCAATCTCACTTTCCAACCTTCAGGTTTCTATTCCCCCTTTCAATCCAGAACCAACCAAGTGGTCCACATCTTGCACGTATAAGCTAATAGCATGATAACCAAATTCGATGAAAGAGTCGAAGAATAACAGTATGGGCATTTATCAAGAAAATGTGATAAAGAAATGGGGAAATTCAATAAGATACGGGTGAATCACTTGGGAGTCGATGGGTGTCATTCTGTGCTTGGTTGCTGCCGTCATATCCAGAATCAAAAACAGGTGCAGCGTGCGCTGATTCGAGTATTCCAATATCATCCATGGCAATGAAACACCTCTTGTCCAAGATAGAATTCCTCTCACCAATGCCATCCAATCCATCACCATCCTCAGCCATATGTATGCATATGATATGATCCTTCCTTCCTGCTGACGACGAACCATCAAGTAAACAAAACAACTTTCCAAGATTTCTCGTAGCTGCACTTGATTGCATCCATCCATCCATAACCATTGCAAGTCCAATGCGCTGATAGAAAGGACCTCTGTGATCGTTGCTGATATGCCTTCTTTTCCATCCGACTGTTGGTCAATCATTTGCTTGGTCTTCGCCTATGGCAGCTCAACCAAGGTGAAGATTGGTGTAGTTAATGACTGATAGGGTATCATCAAACTAGACATCACGTATATCCAATTCCTTCCATCTCATGTACCAAACGATATTGAGATCCATGTCCATAGGAATTCGTATGTATTGAAACAAGCTGCTATACGAAAATAAAGCTGCTTCTATACAATGGCTATCTGCTGTTCACGTAGAAAGGCTGCAAGGCAGGTTGCTGGAAGTAGTTGAGACAATGGGATCAAGACCTTGCTAATAGCAACTGCTGCAATGAATGCTGTTACGTTTGATTGTGGTCGACAATTGTACAAAAGAAGGTGAAGTGTCAAGGTACACGGGTGTTGTAGTGGGGTGCATGCGCCATGGAGTTGCCATCCAGTCAAAGACAATCGGATCAAGACAATCGTAGGATTGACATGATGGGTTGAAGCAGGACAATCGTTCGCAGGTGGTAGTTGTATACTTGAATGGGCCAACAGTTGAGAATGGGAAGAAGAGGCAAGATGGTGGGAGTGGAAGAGCTGGAATTTAAAAGGATTCTTCTGATGGTTGGATGGCCTTTCTTGGTTTGAGCGTCGTTCAGTCAAATCCTCTTTAATCAAGAAAGTTGAATGATGGAGATGATGGGCTGGAGCAGGACAATCGTTCACATGCATTAGGTTGGATAAAAAGGGTGAATGGGAGGAATGGGCTATCAAGTGGCAGTTTACAAATAACTTTGGAAAATAATTTTTGTGAAATTGGATGATGTTTTGTGTTTGACCATAGCTCACCCAAATCCCCTCGAATCAAGAAAGTTTAATGATGGGAATGATGAGCTGGTGCAGGACAATCGTTCATATGCATTGGGTTGGGTAAAAAAAGGTGAATGGGAGGAATGGGCTGATAGCTGGCAGTTTACAAATAAGTTTGCAAAATGACTTCTCTGATATTGGATGAACTTCTGTGTTTGAGCGTAACTCGGTCAAAACGTCTCGATCAAGGAAGTTGAAGGATGGGGATGCTCGTCTGGAGTAGGACAATCGTTCATATGTAACGGGTAGGGTAAAAAAATGAATGGGAGAAAGTGGCTATTAGCTGGCATTTATGAACTATTCCTAAATAGTGTACAAGTATCATGCATCGCCTGTGCTGACTGGCTCAAGTTACACAAACACGCTACTTGACAATGAACAAAGACCTCTTTTCATACAGCATGACGCTTACAGCATATGTAAAACATAAAGACTCCCATAACTCAGAATCTTACAATCAAACGTGGGGTCTTTAATAGAACAAGCTGCTCGGCTGGGTCAAAGCGATCTTGTGTCAAAGTATGAAGTTCATCGTGGCCAATCCCCGATTTCGTAATGTCGCCACCAGCCAAACTGGATCTGGGGGTCGACCTCTTCGACGACGACGACCAAAAAAGTATTTTTTGGGCTAGTTGCGACATTGAACGTGAAACTTTCACACAAGGTGCTGTTGGCCAAGCCGAGTCCATTGCTCTAATAAAAACCCCACGTTTCATTGTAAAGTTTGGCGATACAGGCACCTTTATGTTTGTGTGCGTGATGCTATATGAGAAGTGGTCTTTGTTCATTGTGAAGTAGCCAGACCCTGACAGAGCAAAAGATGCAGAGGGTCGTGTTGTGTAACACAGCTACGTTTGCATGAATGAAAGGGTCAATGTATAATTACTTTATGGATCATCTAGGAACAGGCATGTATTGCTAGCTAACGGCCACTTTCATCCGATCACCATTGTTGCGAGATCCACTGCATGGGAACGATGCCCCTGCTCTAGACATTCATTTCCATGATTAAAGTAGGTTGATCCGAGCTGATTTGACTGAGCTGCGGTCAAAGAGGGATTACATCACTCTGGACATAAAGCACGCTCGATGTAGCTTAACCGATGTAATCTTGTGTGAGCGTAACTCAACCAAATCAGCTCGGATCAACCTACTTTAATCACGGAAATGAATGTCTGGAGGAGGAGAATCGCTCATATGTCATAGAGTGGGCAACAGTGCCGATTGTGAGGAAATTCCTGTTAGCTCGCAATGTATGGGCTATTGTCAATAGTATACAGTATCATCCTTCCATCCTTCCAGTCATGCAAAGTAGCTGAGTTACACAAAGAGGTCCCTCTGTATCTTATGCTCTGCCAGGGTCCACCTACTTGACAATGAACAAAGACCGCTTCTCATATAGCATCACGCTTACAAACATAAAGGTGCCTGTATCTCCGAACTTTACAATGAAACGTGGAGTTTTTATTAGAGCAATGTGCTCGGCTTGGCCAACAGCACCTTGTGTGAAAGTTTCGCGTTCAATGTCGCAAACAGCCCAAAAAATATTTTTTGGTCGTCGTCGTCGAAGAGGTTGACCCCCGATCCAGTTTGGCTGGTGGCGACATTGCGAAATCGGGGATTGGCCACGATGAACTTCATACTTTGACACAAGATCTCTTTGACCCAGCCGAGCACGTTGTTCTATTAAAGACCCCACGTTTGATTGTAAAGTTTAGAGATACAGGCACCTTTATGTTTGTAAGCGTGATGCTATATGAGAAGTGGTCTTTGTTCATTGTCGAGTAATTAGACCCTGACAGAGCAAAAGATGCAGAGGGACGTGTTTGTGTAACACAACTATCTTGCATGACTGGAAGGATTGATGGATTATACTTTATGGCTATCCACAATAGTCCATATATTACGCGCTATCAGCCATTTCCTCACAATCAGCGCTGTTGCAAAATCCCCTGCATGTGAACGATTCTCCTGCTCCAGCCGAGCATTTCCATCATTCAAGTTTCTTGATCCGAGCCGATTTGGCTGAGCTACGCTGGAACAGCAAACATGAAAATTAGTGAATCGCAGACCCTGCGAATGTCTCCGTCTTTCAAACTTTTGGAAGCTCGCATTCCAAATTTTCAAATGAAGCACGAAGTTTTTATTAGAGAAGGTTGAGCAGCATGCTCGAGAGCACCCTTCTGAGGAATTTTCAAGTTGGAGATGAGCAACTTCGGGGCGGTGAGCCGTCCGCTCTTTTGATCCCATCATCCACCATTTGGGTCACCCCGCACTTTAAATCTTCACAATGAAGTCTGCGACTTTTAAATGAATGAAGTTGATCAGCATGACCCAGCGAACCTTCTGACAAAGTTTCAGGTTCGAAATGGGGAACCCCAAGATAATGCATACTGTTTCCATAAATCATGAATCTGGCGCTGGCCTGCTTTCCGACTTACATAGTAAACCCCACATTGTACCCTCCCATTCACTATCTTCAAATGAACATGAGGTCTTTTTTAACACAATACTGATCAGCATGTCCAAGAGCACCTTGTGTGAAAGTTTCAGGTTCGAGAAGGGCAATCTCAATATCAAAGGTTTGGATGTACAGCGTTCATGCATTTATACAAGAGGTGTACGACCAATTTAATTTCCACTTGTTCCACTCCCACAACTTCTTGTCTCCTCCTCCCCATTCTCTACTGTTGCCCCATTCAAGTATACAACTAGCACCTGCGAACGATTGTCCTGCTTCAACCCATCATGTCAATCCTACAACTCCCTTGATCCGATTGCCTTTGACTGGATGGCAAGTCCATGGCGTGTACAACCTTCTTGCCACTCCTCTACAACACACGCCTTCCATTGACACTGCACCTTCTCTTGTACTCTCATCTACCACGACCAATCGCAACAGCATTCATTCCAGCAGTTGCTAGTAGCAAGGCCTTTACTCCATTGTCTCAAACAGCGTTCTTTACTTGCAGCAACTTGCCGTACAGGCTTGTTTACATGAACAGCAGATAGCCATTGTATAGCAGCAGCTTTATTTACGTGTAGCAACTTTGTTCAATACATACGACTTCTTTTGGATATGGATATGGATCTGAATGTTGGTTTGGTACATGGGATGGAAGGAATTGGATATACAACGCGTCAAAAAAGAGGGTATGTATCCATTTTTAACGTGGTCATTATGCTTGATGCTTTCATCCTGAACGATTGGTGCATCCCATTATCGTACTTTACACGCTATTCCACGGCAATTGTGATCATCATCCTTGTGCAACCTGTGAACGATGTACAGCCATCAGCATCCATCTCCATGATTTGACACGCCATGCGTATAGCTCGTCACCTCACATCCATCTATTCACCTTCGCTGAATTCATACCCAAAGGATAGAGATTTCCAAATCGATGTATCTCCCCCATTCGAGCAATCCGTTGTACCTCTCAATCTATCTCTTGTGAATGACGTTGGATTAAAGGGTATGTAGTGCGAAACCTTCCTCGTTGTGTGTATGGCAACTTGTTGGGTTATATTATAGAAAGATTCATGGTATGGGGAAATGCATGATTGCAAAAGGGCAACCACTTAATAAATACAGTGGTAAAGGGGAGAAGATGAAAGGAATTGTGTCTTGGGCATTAATGCAGTATCTCTGCTTACTACGGTAGCACGAACGACTACTTAAATAAACAATTTGGTATTCGATGATTAGAAGTGGTCAATCACTAAGCTTCTTTATCAATGATTCACACACAACAAAAGGTGTACAAATTGGGTTTTACAAGGGGTTGGTTGATTAGCGTTGATTTGATCAAAGAGAATCCATCGTATGCATAGTGGCTCTAATCAAGCAATACCATTGGTCCATATTTCACACGGCGCTGAGACGCTGGTCAGCGTGGGCAAAAATTAGGCAACGAGCGCCGACATTTGTGCTCTCCCTCTTTTCTGTTAAAGGACTACATGTAAGCATCCATCATTTATCACCCATCCATCTATTGGAATCCATCATCTAATTTGCTCTTGTATTAGTCACCATGGGTAAGGAGAAGACTCACGTTAACGTTGTCGTCATTGGTCACGTCGATTCCGTAAGTGCTACATTGGCAATGGGATAATCTGTTTGCAGGAAATTGACTCTTTGCATTTAGGGCAAGTCCACCACTACTGGTCATTTGATCTACAAGTGCGGTGGTATTGACAAGCGTACCATTGAGAAGTTCGAGAAGGAAGCTGCTGAACTTGGCAAGGGTTCTTTCAAGTACGCCTGGGTTTTGGACAAGCTTAAGGCTGAACGTGAGCGTGGTATCACCATCGATATCGCTCTCTGGAAGTTCGAGACTCCCAAGTACCACGTTACCGTCATTGATGCCCCTGGCCATCGTGATTTCATCAAGAACATGATTACTGGTACTTCCCAAGCTGACTGTGGTATCTTGATTATTGCTGCTGGTACTGGTGAATTCGAAGCTGGTATCTCCAAGGATGGTCAAACCCGTGAACACGCTTTGCTTGCTTTCACCCTTGGTGTCCGCCAATTGATCGTTGCTATCAACAAGATGGACTCCACCAAGTACTCTGAGGCCCGTTACAACGAAATTGTCAAGGAAGTTTCCACCTTCATCAAGAAGATTGGTTTCAACCCCAAGTCCGTTCCTTTCGTTCCTATCTCTGGCTGGAATGGTGACAACATGTTGGAGGAGTCCACCAACATGCCTTGGTTCAAGGGATGGAACAAGGAGACTAAGGCTGGTGCCAAGACCGGCAAGACCCTTCTTGAAGCCATTGACAACATTGATCCCCCTGTTCGTCCTTCCGACAAGCCCCTTCGTCTTCCCCTTCAAGATGTTTACAAGATCGGTGGTATTGGTACAGTCCCTGTTGGTCGTGTTGAGACTGGTGTCATCAAGCCTGGTATGGTTGTCACCTTCGCTCCCGCCAACGTCACCACTGAAGTCAAGTCCGTTGAAATGCACCACGAGCAACTTGCTGAAGGTGTTCCCGGTGACAACGTTGGTTTCAACGTCAAGAACGTTTCCGTCAAGGATATCCGCCGTGGTAACGTCTGCTCTGATTCCAAGAACGATCCCGCCAAGGAATCCGCTTCCTTCACCGCTCAAGTTATCGTCTTGAACCACCCTGGTCAAATTGGTGCTGGTTACTCCCCTGTCTTGGATTGCCACACTGCTCACATTGCATGCAAGTTCTCTGAGCTCCTTGAAAAGATCGATCGTCGTTCTGGTATGTAAATCTTTTGATTTGGGATATGGGTATTGGGGCTTAATCTCTTGATTTTGCCTCAAATCCTCTTCCTTGATCATTCTCAATTACTTTTTTTATCATTTGCTAATCCAAACACTCTCCATTTCATTCAAAACAGGTAAGAAGCTCGAGGATTCACCCAAGTTTGTTAAGAGTGGTGACTCTGCTATCGTCAAGATGGTTCCTTCCAAGCCCATGTGCGTTGAAGCTTACACTGAATATCCTCCTCTTGGTCGTTTCGCCGTCCGTGATATGCGTCAAACCGTCGCTGTCGGTGTCATCAAGGCCGTTGAGAAGGTTGATAAGGCTGGCAAGGTTACCAAGGCTGCCCAAAAGGCTGGCAAGAAATAAGCTCTCCTATCATCTTTCTAGTCCATGTATGAAGAAGGCAATGTTGTCTTTTTGTCAACAATAATAAACATACAAAAAAGTCGAGAGCAAAAGATATTGGTTGCATTGTTAGATTCTTCACTTGATTAAGCTATTATGCTTCAAATCTTCTTTGATCACAAGAGGTCTCATCAATGATGTAATGTGTCTCACGCTTTTAAATGTATCCATGGGTTGGGATCATGTAGTAATGAATCCAACTGATCATGTCATTGCAGCTGGCATTGACAAACGGCCAACACAACATCGCTTGTTATGTGATAGAAAAATGGGTTACCATACTACAGGTATACACCTGATATTAAGTCATACGTGATCCGGTAAGAAAGAAATGAATTAAACGCCGATCATTGTTGTGGACAATGTATACAATCCCTTGAAACTAAAAATAACATCCCCTTTTTGATGTAGATTTGATAAGCTCTATGGATGAGATGTCGTAGACTTGAATAATAACCATGGCAACAAACAACACATGAACGTAATACTACACGACAAGATCATGTATTCGACTTATTCAAAGGATGCCAAATCAGCATTTTAGATCATGTAATATGGGGAATGGATATGGGAACTCTGATCTGTGGTACGCTGATCTGCACAATTACGCGATAATGGTGGTAAACTGCGGCGCAGCTTTTCTTACTTTATCCAATCAAAGCATGCTCAGCTTCGGCGAGCCGACTTCCTTTTTGGGCGATAATAGGCCGTAGTCGTTGTATATAACCAACCACGTCAAGTACCAAGAATCGGCAGATCAAGGTCCCCAACGAATATAGATCAACAATTATCTTCTCCAAAGAACTTTATCATGTCCACCACTGCAACAGTCAGCAACGATAGCCAAAATCAGCTTACCAACAAAGGCAACGAGGGCGACAAAACAACTCCTACTGAACGCTATGTTCCCGGTGGCAAGATCCCCAATGCCAAGAAATGGATGCTACGGCAAATGATGGCTCTTGGATTCATGATGTTGATTGATGTTGGCATACCATTGGCTTTATACTATGGATTACGAAATGTCGTTGACGTTTTATACGCACTCATTATCTCTGGCATTCCTCCTTTCCTATGGGTCATTGTTAGCTTTATTCGAAGTCGCCGTATCGATGTACTTGGTTGCATCATTGGTCTTTCTTTCATTTTGTCAGGCGTAGTGAGCTTGATCAGTGGTATGTATACAAGATTTGGCTTGTGGTAGATCACCCATGTGTAACATTTTCCTATCACCAGGTGACGCTCGTGCCGCCTTGCTCCGAGATTCAGCTGTTACAGGTGTTGTTGGTATCATGTTCCTGCTGACGTTGCCACCCATAAGGACCAAATGGTTGACAGTACGCCCGCTGACATTTATCATGGCACGCCAAATGTTCTCCGAAGCCTCTTATCGATGGATTGACAAGGATGGCAACAAGCATGAAATGGGTATCGTCGACTGGCAATGGGAGCATATCCGATTCTTCCGAATCAGCATGACCATGCAGACTGCAGCGTGGGGCATTTTGCTTGTTTTGGAATTGGTCGCGTGTGTGCTAATGGTCGAGAGCTCATTATCCATTGACAACATTGTCGCCTACAATAATATCATCACATCAGTGGTCGTTGCTGTCATGGTTACCGTATCCATTCTTGCTGGTATCTATGGTCACCGTGTCGAGAAAAGAATTGGATCTGCATGGACAAAAGAAAACGACTATACCGAATACTATGAGAATCTCAGCAACAGCAACCAAGATCGTGATGGCAATGAATCACCGTCGCCCCTGGCAACAACCGATAACGGTGATCACAAGCATCACCACACCGAAAATATGGCATAAGGCAGCCATGAATATAGCACATCGAACCCTGTATCCTCGCATTTACACCCTATTATCCACACCACTATGCTTCATTGATGACCCAGATTGATAGATCTTCTTTGTAAATATGCCATATTAGAGACATAATCTATTACGTATTTTGATATATAAATCCATTTCAAAACAATAACACCCATAAAAATGGATGCGTATCTTAAAGTAGTAGGGATCCTGCAAGATGGTTAAAATGCCTAATTATATCCACACGCATCCTCTTGGCACAATGACACCTTGTTTTTCACTGGGATTCCAAGTATGTACAGCTAAGAATAGATCTCCGCATCCTCCTTGTGTGCTCCATACTATCAATGATGGGCCATAATGATGAAGCTTATAAGATTTACATGCCAAGGCAATCCTTTTGTCGCGCGTGCTGCTGTAGAGCGTTTTCCAAAAGTTGCATAGTCCGATGGCAAGGGATCGTCCAATAAGCATCCAAAGAGGCTATGCTTAGTATTAAAAGCACCTTCCGTTTTAAGCGACAATAGTCCGTATGTTGATTCTATATAAGCGATTTTGATAGATTTCGTAGGGAAGGATACACAACTCTTACAAGCAATGTCAACTACTGAAATGCCTGAAACATCCAGGGCCCGCAGCTACAATACCAGCTGCAACAAGAATCAAAGTGAGCAACCTGACAACAAGCAAGTCAAAATAGAAGCCTACAGTGAAAGTCGACATGTGCCTGGTGGTAAAATACCCAACCTCGGCAAATGGATTTTGCGGCAATTGATGGCACTTGGCCTCATACTGCTGATCGATGTCGGCATCCCATTGGCACTTTACTATGGATTACGCAATGTACTTGATGTTTTGTACTCGTTGATTATCTCTGGTATCCCTCCTTTTCTATGGGTGATCTATGGATTCATTCGTCATCGACGCATTGATGCTCTAGGCCTTATCATTGGCCTCTCGTTTATTGTTTCTGGTGTCATATCTTTGATCAATGGTAAGTTCACATGCCCCATTGTGAGCCGATGATCACTAAAGATGTATGCTTAATGTGTTCAGGGGATGCTCGTATTGCCATTCTACGAGAGGCGGTGGTTACGGCTGTGGTGGGTACCATGTTCCTGGTAACCTTGATCCCTATCAGAAGCAAGCGATTCACCATGCGCCCTATGGCATACACCATGTTCCGTCAAATGGTCTTTTCAGAATTCATTTATCGCTGGATTGACAAGGATGGCAAAGAACAAGAAATGGGAGTAGCAGAATGGCAATGGCAACACGTGCGTCAATTTCGTATCAGCATGTTTCTACAAACAACCATGTGGGGCATACTACTGGATATGGAATTGGTCGCAGCAGTAATCATGGTCAAGAGCTCTTTGACCCTTGATGAGGTGGTTGCATACAACAACATCATCACATCGTTGGTTGTTGCTCTCCAAATTGTTGTCAGCATCGCTGCGCTCATTTACTGCTATCGTGTCTCAAAGAGGATTGGCGCAGCTTGGACTCGAGAAAACGACTACACCGATTATTACAGCAAGCTTAACAATGACAGCAATCGGATTAAGGAGGATAATGGTGATGCAAGACACCATCACACGGTCCACATGGCTTGATGTTATGTTCACCTTTGCATACGTCACTCCTACACATCCATGATTTCACCTTCATTTTCTGCATCGTAGTATTATCGACATCGGCAATGCAATGTTACTCCAAATAAATAATAACTGTCACCTTGCTTTTAGATGAATGAAGTTCATAGCATCTGAGGAATCCAATAAGAGCACAAAATAAGAGGCTTCTTCGAGATTTGGTGTTTATGCTGAAGACGATACTCCAACGTTTGAAGTACCTTCATGTTCTAATGCCAGGTGCATAGCATGCGTGCTAAGAAGAGTGTAAGAGCTGTATACGATGATGCAGGTATGTTTGGTGAGATCTACATAGGAAGTATGATCCCCTGCGTTATGTATGCCGAGATGTTGGCGTATCAAAAAATAAGGGGCACTTGCATTGTTGTTAAGGCGATGGTGATGGAGATTTTTAACCTTGATTTTCGGTGGAATGTATTATATGCTCCGCACGATATCATCGCTCATGTCATACATTGATTAAGGCTATCCAACGATATCTATGGCAGTATGTGGTGAGCAGGTATCATTCTACAGTTTCGATTCTAACTTAGGTCCCTAACTTTTACATCATTATGAGAATAAGAGGACGGGAAGGAAATAGCCTTAGATGCCGGTGGCTCAGTTGTGGAATGAGCATGGTGATGATACATGTGCATTCTTTTTGCATGACTTTCGGCACTTGTGGTGCATAGATGACAAAAGTATATTCTCATTTAGTCGAAATGCTATCCAAAATAGCTGTCATAGTGGTCATAGAACGGGTTGGAAGAATGAGATCTCGCTATCGTGTTGATATAATTAGTCACACAATACTATGCTTTGCCTAAGCCAATGCAAGGCTAATGCAAACAATAGTGAAAAAGAGTTAACCCGTGTAACAGGATGAGCCTCCCCACTGGGCATGGTTTCTCATGCACACACGATCCTTTTTTATTATAAAAGGGCTGGTCTTTTTAGCCAACGCTGCTTGTTCTTTAGGTTCAATTTTTATTACTCATCTCTCACTCGTATCATGTCGTTTGTTGTTGAACACACTACACCAAAAGGCCTCAAGATCACTTGTATGTACATGTTTAAGTTCATCATCATTGGCAGGGAAGCTAACCAATACCTTAGTGAACACTGGTCTATTTATCAATAATGAATTTGTTGCCGGTGCCAATACCATTGATACCATCAACCCATCCACAGGCAAGGTGATCACTGCCGTACAAGCAGGTAAGCTTGCTTTCCCAAAGACATGTGAATGCAAAACAATAACAATCATGCATCATAGCCGAAAAGGAGCAAGTCGATCTTGCCGTAGATGCAGCTGAGAAGGCATTTCAAAGCTGGCGCCACGTTAGCGGACGTGAACGTGCACGCTTGATGAATAAACTTGCCGACTTGGTTGAACGTGATGCCGAGCAATTGGCAGTTGTGGAAGCTCTCGATAACGGCAAACCCGTGGCACATGCATTGATGCTTGATGTCAGCTGTTTGATGACAGCCCTGTAAGTTTATATGCATGAATGCATACGTCATCTTTAGCTTACATCGATTTTGCCTTTAGTCGGTACAATGCCGGTTGGTGCGATAAGATTCATGGCAAGGTGATTGAAACGGATGGCAAACTTTCATACACGCGTCATGAACCTATTGGCGTATGTGCAGGTGTTATCCCATGGAATTTTCCATTAGCCACATTAGCTACCAAGATTGCACCAGCATTGGCTACGGCCAACACAGTGGTTATCAAGACATCCGAAATGACTCCGCTTTCAGCCCTCAAGTTTGCCGATTTGGTCAAAGAGGCAGGATTCCCACCTGGTGTCATCAACATCATTACTGGTTACGGCCCCATCACCGGTGATGCTCTTGCTCGTCATCCCAAGGTTGGCAAGATCACCTTTACTGGTAGTACAGTTGTTGGCCGACACATTATGAAGACTGCTGCCGAATCCAACTTGAAAAGGGTGACCCTTGAACTTGGTGGCAAATCCCCCAACATTATTTTTGACGATGTTGAGGATTTGGATAAGGCCGTGTCTTGGGCATGGAGGGGTATTTACATGAACGCTGGTCAAATTTGTACAGCCGGCTCGCGTATCTTTGTTCAAGAAAAGATCTATGACAAGTTCCTTGAAAAGTTTACTCAGCTTGCATCCTCTCACAAAATCGGCGATGCCTTTGAAGAGGGCTCCTTCCAAGGACCACAAATCTCCCAACGCCAATTTGATCGCATTATGGAATACATTGAAATTGGCAAAAAGGAAGGTGCCACCCTCCACAAGGGCGGTAAGCGCATAGGCGATGTCGGCTACTTTATTGAGCCTACAATCTTTACAGGTTCGTGCTACCATCACATCCAATCAATGTTGTTGCATAATATGTGCTCACCAGCTACCGTATATAGATTGCAAACCTGAACACAGGATTCTGCGTGAGGAAATTTTCGGCCCTGTTGTCGCTATTTGCAAGTTCAAGGATGAGGCTGAAGTGATCAAACTCGCCAATGACACTACCTATGGCCTCGCTGCTGCTGTGTTTACATCCAACATTAGTACAGCCGTCAATGTCTCCAACCAGCTCGAAGCTGGCTCTGTGTGTAAGTATCACATGTTGAGCACCATAAATGCCGCTTTTACTTAACCATACCATAAATAGGGGTCAATTGCTATAACATGATCGATGTGATGTCACCATTCGGTGGTTACAAGCAAAGCGGCATTGGTCGCGAAAACGGTGAATATGGTCTTGAGAACTACTTGCAGGTCAAATCTGTCAAGATCAACATTGACAAGCCTTCCTTGTAACTTGTTATTGATGGAAAAAGTGGTTGAGCTATAGCAGCCAATGCAGCTAATGTGTTACAATAAATTGAATATTTGTTATGGTATCATCATCAATGGCTTTTTATTGCCTTCTAGCGAATTGTGGTGCTGCTAAAGGTTGAAGGAACATGATGTAAAGTGGAAAGAGATAATAATGCTATGCCTATCACCAGGGGATGTGCAAGAAGAAACGCATCCTCAAGAGAGATATCGAGTCGTAAGATAGTCCAGGGAGTAACGACTCATTGTCAACATCTTGTAGCTCCTTCGCAAAATCACAACACGTCATATAATCAAGAGCGGGATTGTAGCGATCCAAGTCCTTGTATGCTATCATCGTGGTGTCCATCACGGCTCGATCATGGCTGTTGGGCAGCGTCAGGTATGCTATGCGATATGCTCCAAGCCGATCCCAATACAAGATAGTACACCATATCACCAAATCCAAACTTCACGAATGCGTCATGAGAGATAGCTGCGTAAAAAGAAATGCTAAATGCATATGAGTATATGAACCATCCCGCAATCGTTCTGATTAGGATTTACCTCGTCACGATAGACAACTATCACAAAGAACAACGACGACAATGAAAGATGGATAACAATGAAAAGCTAAAAATGACCACAAAGATTAGCACTCATTCACAGGGATATCTACTGATATACTCACATGAACTTGGGTTTTGAGGAGCAATCAATCAAAGCGTAACGATGAAAAGAGAGGAACGAGTGGTGTGTGATGGACGTCGGCATTCATGTGTGTGGGCGTGCGAATTGATATTGGAGATGGTGCATGAGCTGGGGTGCATACGCTGCTATCAAGCCTGGTAGGTGTAATGATGCTTCATGCATAATAGACAAGTGACATCTTGTAGCCCCCTCGATCCCAATGCTCGCTTTGCTCGTCAATCATAGTAGACAAATCCAAGATCCCCCATAAACTAATCCATCCCATAGTAAGTCTAATCGCTTTTGATCCATCCTTCTCTTTTCCAAAGCCTTTACCTTCCTAGCAATCTGAACTTGTAGTTTTTTATGTCGACGTTGTAGTATTGCCTCGTAAATCATCCTCACAAATGGCAAACATAATAAAAAGCATTGGAGACGACGCAAACGCATAGAGATCTCTGCAGTCTCGAGTTCATCAGCAAGTCAAGGTGTTTTAACAGTAGCTCATGGTCGCTCTCGTTTGTTGTTCACTTGGCTGGTGAATTGGTAACCATCGGGAGGTCGATCCTGCCAATCGAAGGAATAAAAGTGATCTCGCGTCCTCCATTGACTCAAACAATTTGTGCATCGTAGTAGTGCAGTTCCATTGTAACTTGTAAGCTCTTCAATGCTGTGTATGTAGCGGGCGCTTTCATCGGGTGTTGCCAGGATTGGTTTCGTGCAAAGAGGGGAGCAGTAAAACAGACTTGCATGACCGAATGCACCAGAACTGGGTCCGCTTCAATTCTGAGCTCGAAATAAAGGGAATGTGGGTGGGTTGATTGATTGCTGTCACTTGCACCGTTGTTGCATTGTTGAGTTACTATCATGTGCCAGCATGGAAAATACATGTTTTGGTCGTGGGAGTATCATCCAAAAGTCTTGTTGATTGCCATAAGACCATGGCTTAGTATGTGAATCGTAGTCTGCTGGTTCGTCTTTAATGCATAAACAAACGTCTTCTTGATCAGCCAACGTAAATAAAGAAAGATCTAGACATTGCTAGCAGAACTTTGTGTGCTTGCAAGTATCCCACAAAACGGCTTTAATTATCCCACGCATATTGAATTATTCGAATACTACAGCTACACTTGCGTGATACAGAATAAGCCTTCGGCCCGAGGATCCGCTGTGGTTTATGCGCAAGAGAGCTCTCAGGCTTCGATAATTTCTGCTTACAACAAGCAATAAAAGTAAAGTTTACGTGTACTGAAAGCCTAATAAAGGCAAGGCACACGTCAGGCTGAGGACGAAAATGGAAGTGGTAGCCTATCGGATTTCCTTGCATAAGGGTTGTACACACCCATCTGAATCCAGCTTATCATTTCATTTGCTGATTTCAAGCTCCCACACACGCAACAAAGACATAGGATGGCTATTGTCGATGGGGGTCATCTCCTAGAAGAATTACAAAAGGTATGCTATCAACATTGTTATCGTCAGCACAAAGAAACATCAGAGGTGATTTGGATACACATGCAGCATAGTGATTGTGTCACCACCATGTGTGTACCAGCGATCCGTGGTTAAATCGTTTGTCATTTCTTACCCTCGCGAGCTTTATTCCCGCTAACAAAAGTATAAAATGGATCACACATGTTGAATCTATACTCCACCTTTCTTTTTACTTTTTCATTTCCTTCGTATACCAACCATGTCTTTTGTCGTCGAGCACACTACACCTGGTGGCCACAAGATCTCCTGTAAGGATGATCATGCTTTATGAACAAGGTGGATTATATACGCTTACAAATCGTGTCCCACGTTGTCATTAGTGAACACTGGTCTCTTTATCAATAATGAATTCGTGGCTGGTGCCAACACCATCGATACCATCAACCCTGCCACAGGCAAGGTCATCACCGCTGTTCAAGCAGGTACGTGCTATTACGCTGTGGCTATATGACATTTTTTATTAATATGCAAATCTCCATAGCCGAAAAGGAACAAGTTGATCAAGCTGTGGATGCCGCTGAAAAGGCATTCCAAAGCTGGCGCAATGTTGCCCCACGCGAACGTCAAAAGTTGATGCTCAAGTTGGCGGACTTGATCGAACGTGATGCAGAGGAGCTTGCTATCGTCGAAACCCTTGACAATGGCAAGCCTCTTACTCAAGCAAAGATGATCGATGTTAGTGGTATCCAAGGTTCTTTGTAAGTATTGGATTTTGATGGCATCGGATCATTGTCATTTACACACTCCTCTTCTCGTTGACTACAGGCGTTATTATGCTGGTTGGTGTGACAAGATCCACGGCAAGGTGATGGAAACAGAAGGCAAGCTCTCCTACACACGTCATGAACCCATTGGTGTGTGTGGTGGTATCATCCCATGGAATTTCCCTCTCAACATGCTTGGCTGGAAAATCGCACCTGCATTAGCCACCGCCAACACAGTGGTTATCAAGACCTCTGAAATGACCCCACTCTCTGCTCTCAAGGTGGCTGCACTTGTTAAGGAAGCAGGCTTCCCACCCGGTGTCATCAACATCATTACCGGCTATGGTGCTATTGCTGGTGACGCTCTTGCTCGTCATCCCAAGGTTGGCAAGATTGCCTTCACTGGTAGCACTGTCGTTGGTCGCCAAATCATGAAGGCTGCTGCCGAATCCAACTTGAAAAAGGTGACCCTTGAACTTGGTGGCAAGTCTCCCAACATTATCTTTGACGACGTTGAGGATTTGGACAAGGCCGTGTTTTGGGCGTTCAATGGTATCTACATGAATGCTGGTCAAGTATGCTCTGCTGGATCGCGTATCTTTGTTCAAGAAGGCATCTATGACAAGTTCCTCGAAAAGTTTACCCAATTGATCGATGCTCACAAGGTCGGCAATCCTTTCGAAAACGATTCCTACCAAGGACCACAAATCTCCCAACGCCAATTTGATCGCATTATGGAATATATTGATATCGGCAAAAAGGAAGGTGCAACACTCCACAAGGGTGGTAAGCGTGTCGGCGATGTTGGCTACTTTATTGAACCCACTGTCTTTACAGGTTTGTGTCATCTTTGCCATCCAATCAATCATGCTACATGTTATATTAATCGTGAACATAGACTGCAAACCTGAACATAAAATTTCTCGTGAGGAAATCTTCGGGCCAGTTGCTGCTGTTGCCAAGTTCAAGGATCAGGAAGAAGTGATCAAGCTTGCCAATGATACCTCTTATGGCCTTGGAGCTGCTGTCTTCACAGCTAACATTAGCACTGCTATCAACGTTTCCAACAAGCTCGAAGCTGGATCAGTCTGTAAGTTGTCATACGCTAAACGCCATTGATTCTATGGATTAATCATTTTGCTTTGTACGTATTAGGGGTTAACTGCTACAACATTGTGGAGGTCAATGCACCATTTGGTGGTTATAAGCAAAGTGGTATTGGACGTGAAAATGGTGAATACGCTCTCGAGAACTACTACCAAGTCAAGAGTGTCAAGATCAACATTGATAAGGCTGCTTAAACAAGCTGTCATTGTAATAAAGGAACAACTTTTAATTGGACAAAATTACATCGCAAAGGGAACTTGTATTTACTGATCGAAAATGGCGTATGAATGTAATGCCAAGTACAGGGTATGGTTTTTATATTAAAAGAGATCGTTGTATCGGTGCATGAAGGAGACATTTGATATAATACATGATTACAATGCGGATGATCTTTGTAATGGACAATCAAGCAATCATTGTGGTCGCCGACGGCCTCGTGTACGTCTATTATCCTTTCTTGGTTCTCGATTTTCATTGACAATCCAACCATCACCACCTGTGTTTGTCCTCCATCCTCCACCAAAATCGGTAGTGCTCCATCCTGTTTGCTCACGTGCTCGTTGATTGTTTGTGGTTGCAGTGGCTGTTTTTCTAGGTGTTGGCTTTACATGCTTTTGTCGGCTATCCCAAGTATACGATTCTGCACGTCGATTTGATCGCCAATTGCTTTCTTTGTTCTGCTGTCCCACTGTTTGCCACTCGGCTGATGCAGCTGGAAATCCTTGGTTTTGTTGTTGTTGTTGTTGTTGTGTATTTGATGTTGCACCCCATCCTCCTCCTGTTGAACTAGAATGGTCGTTGTTTCCCCATCCTGAAGTATCCTTTTGCTGTTGTTGTGTATTTGGTGCAGCACCCCATCCTCCTCCTGTTGAAGTAGAGTGGTCATTGTTTCCCCATCCTGAAGTATCCTTTTGATGTTGTTGTGTATTTGATGTGGTACCCCACCCATCTTGAGATGGTGTACCCCACCCTCCTCCTGTTGAAGTAGAATGATCGCTGTTTCCCCATCCTGAAGTATCCTTGTGCGGTGCATCATTATTGCCCCAAGCCATATTGGGTTGATCTTCACCCCACGATGCTGTCATTGTGTTTTGATTTCCAGTGTTCCAATCAATCTCAGGGTTCCACGGCTCAAGGTCATGCTTGTACGTATTCCATCCCACTTTCTTTTCTTTGCTCATCATTTTCCATTTGGCCTTTTCAGATGTTGATGATGATCCTGAATCCTGATATTCATTGATGATTGGTGTATTGCTGTCGACTTTTGATTCTGCTTCTGCTGATACTTTGGCTGATGCTGCGTCTTTGTCCTTGCTCTCTTTCGCATATTCACCAACAAGATCCTGAGATGTTGTTCCACCACCAAAAGGAGATCTCGCAGGTTGTGAATATTCTCCACCAGGCAAAGTGCCTCGTAAAAGACGCTTCATGTGATCGTAATCAGGATTCTCAGCAAACTTGAGCGATTTGGTGTACTCTGCAAATTCAACTAAACCCACAGGTCTTCCAGCACAAAGGTCGCTCATAAAGGTGTCTCGTTTCAATGTACGCATCTTGTCCCAACCAGCCTTCGAATTGCGTGCTGAGATACCCGACCAAGGCAATGATCCAAGAACCATATCCAAAATGATATAGGCCAACCCTTCCAAATCATCTCGTCGTGTATGTAACCTTCCATGATGAACATTCAACGATGCATAGCGTGCTGTGCCGATCTTGTTCTTTATCCTCCTTTTGCCTTCAGGATGTGGTTTGCCGGTTTCTATGTCACGCCAATACGTCGTCAGGCCAAAATCAACAATATAAAGCTTTGGATATTGCTGGCCCCATTGCTGAAAGACGCTCTGGCAGGTTGGCACACTGTACTCATAGTGGGGCATTTCAGAATCAATGCGCACCATTTCAACCTTGGGCAACTGGCAGGATGCATCGAACAAAAAGTTGTCAGGTTTCATATCTCGGAACACCAGGCCATTGTCATGCACATGCTGAAGAATATCCACCTAGTAATAGTAATCCCAAAATCAGGTTTCCCTTCCAATCAATCCCATCATCATATGACTCGCTTACCATTTGACAGCCCAGATCCACAACGGCATCCAATCGAATGTCCTTGACACTTTGACGCAGCTCCTTGAGACTTGGGCCCAATAGATCCATTACCATGCAATTGAATCCATCATACTCGCCATACCAATAACATTTTGGGATACCCACTACATCAACTATGTTAATCCGATGTCTCATACTACCATTGACTTCAACATTACCTCCTCCTTCCAACTCTGCATAATACTTGCTCTCCTTTTCAAGCTGTGGATGGCGCATTGTCTGTGGCTCTCGCTTGAGTGCAAAAGCTTTTCCAGTATGGATGTCTCGAACTAGTTGTATGAATGGATCAGCATGGGTGGATACACAAACGTTCATATGGATATACGTGCATACCTTCAAAGACTTCACCAAACGAGCCTTGTCCTATTTTGCCGAGGACGAGCCACTGGTCATTGATGATAATGTTGCGACTTGTTTCACTGAGATCAGAGCAAAGGCTGCTCACTGATTGACGCCGTTGTTGTTGTGTTGAAGTTGAAGCAGTATTCTCGTGGATAGAGTAGTCATGCCTGGATGTCAATGAGGGTGTTGTTGGGTGTTGAAAGGCGCCTGACATTGAGAAGAGAGAAGCGTGGTTGTAATATAGGAGTGGAATTAGATGAGTTGTATGCAGGTAATCTCGCCCAAGCCAACAGGGTGCATAGGGTGGAGTAAAGAGCAAGAAGGCGGGAAGCAAAACACGTTGAGCTGTTGTGGAGGGTTCATACATGCATTTTGTGTGTGTAGCCAATAAGCATGGCGGTGAAATCAGAAGCACGTACACACCGTCACCACCACCACCATCACCCTTCCATAACATGCTGATACGTATTCTAGTGTAATGGTTGTAACCAAGCATTAAGCTCGTGTCAATAGCAATTGAGTTGAAGTCATCTCTTTAAAGCACATGCAACATGCCCTGCGGATTTACAGTATTTTTTTTACCCCTCCAGAGCCTGAATTCAGGCATGACAGTTCTTTGGCGATCTATCTTTATCGCTGCATGAGAGATGAACGAGCCAAAAACAACCCACCGATGTTTACATTGAATGTTTTCATGATAAGCAAATAGTGCAACCTTGATAGGTGACATCCATTCATCGCTCAATGTGGCATTCCGCCACTGTTTCTGGTTTACACGCACACGTACACGTTTAGCTTCAATCAATCATAGCCCATATTATACGCTCTCTCGCTCTCGCTCTCACTCTCTCACTCTCTCTATCGCTTATTGACCCTGAACGAAAACAAGTTGCGGTCCTTGATGTTCCCTTTTTCGTCTCCTGGCAACCCCTAATAACTGCAAGTATCCTCATGAGCTCTTTGGTACATTAGACCTAAAGGCTACCCATTTCTCTTTTACTACTTTCTTTTACTCTTTAATTCACTTTCACTCTCTTTTTGTTTTGCTCTCATTCCACTCATGCTTCAAGTACAGGAATCATCTCACAGCACTCTGTTGCTAGCGCCCATGCTCACACCACCAACTTCAGTACACCCACAACCAACAACGTCGTCTTCGTCTCGGTCAACTCGTGTTGTTGAGCAGCTTCAAGATACATTGGATGGTCTTCAAAAGGAGCTCGTATCGACTCGTTTACAGGTAGGCATGAATGAAATAATGCATCGGGTGGGGGCGGAGTAAAATGATGATGATGATGAGGAGGAGGAGAGGTTGATTACGCTCTATATGTATGTCTCCTAGTCTTGGATAGAAAGTGAAAGAGAGTGCGTGCGTGTGTGTGTGTGTGTGTGTATGTGTGTATATGGATGGATGGCTTGAATCCTTATTTTCCCCTTGTCGCTCACTTTGTATTCCCCCTTTTTTCTTCTTCAGCTCGAAGCAGCTCGACAAACAAAGGCACAATCTGAGATCGACGCACAAAACTATGTTGAATCCAATAAGCAATACCGACATGATATCAAGGGATTGATGCAGGTGCTCGAATCCAAGCAAGAATTATTGGATACCACCAAACGTTCATCAATGGCAATGGAAGCTCAAGTCAAAAAGTTGAGAGATGAAGCTTTGGCATCACGCAAAAAGCTAGAGGAGCTTCGAAGGAAGGAACAAGTTCTTGAACGTGATCGTAATGCAGCTGTGGCCGAGAAGGAGCAAACCGAGCGTCAGCAAATTGTTCTCAAGCAAGCAATGGAAAGTTTAGCTACTCGATTTGAACGTGAGGTGTGTGGACTACGACAAGATCTTGATAGTGTGCAGCACCAAGTACAAGTGATGGCTGATGGAAGTGAAACCATTGCACGGACCGTCGAAGCAAAGATCCAACAGTGTACACAAGAACGCAAGATCCTGATTACTCGGATGCAAACCCTGCGTAGTCACATGCAAGGAAACCTGCAACAATTTGTCGACCAAATGCATGCAGAAATCCAACCATTACTTCATTCAGTCAATCGATCAGCTTCCGGCACAAAGGATTTCGAATACTCAGTGCTCAAATGTCGTGGCGAAGTGAATGGCCTAGTAGCAAGGATCCGAGCATACACCGCTGAAGCTTCTTCTTCTGCTGCTGCCGTCGAATGAACATCATCAACGATAATATAAGGGGAGAAAGGGGAAAACCAGCCCACACACAAATGCATATCACTCATCTGCCACACGCCAATGTTTATAATAGTAGATGTCTTGTTGATGCAGCTATGTGATATTACAACCCGTAGTAATGTATTGATGTATCCTTCTCCTTCTTCCTAACCCCCAACCCTACTCTCCTCATATAATCATCCCTCCTCCTCTTCAACAACTAGTACACATATTCACACACGTAGCAAATAACCATTTACGTTATACGTTTAACCTCCTCTCTTTTTAATCCTGGTTTCAACCACAAACAATGTCACGTAGTACATCTGATGATGGCACCAAGAAAATAAAACCGAAGATTGCACAAATAAGGAAACGATCTTGTATCACAATTCTGGAGAAATGAGTTATCTGATCCTATAGTCTCAACCCCGGATCGTTTACCCGATCAATTTTTCTACTATCATTTCAATGAATAATGAAACAAGTGGCTTGGATGGCAGATGCAAGTGCAAAGGTTGTTATAGCATGGCATTGTATTCATGTGTGTTTTGGGGATGTATTTGGGTGATCCGTTTACTGAACAACCATAACAACAAAAAGCACCAAACTGGGACAGGGTTGCCCTGGCACACACACACAACACGCACGTCTCCGACAATCGCACCAAGCTCGTACCACCATAGGGATCAGATTATTGCACATCTTGCTCGTCACTTGTTCTTTTTTCTTTTTCCCTCCATATACGTTGACCTTTTTGTCCTCTTCTTTAATCCAGCAACCCCTGATCTTATTGCCTACTTTACAATACGCAAACCCCCTTTTCATTATTATGGATAAAGACTTGTCACAACAGCCCGTGCTCGCATGGTGGCACGTTTTAGAATCATCTGCCTTTGTCCTTATTGCAGGTACACCCACACTACAATATAAACAATGGTCGTCCCAATGCGTCCCACTCACCCATATGCCGTTCAGCTGCAATTAGCCTTGCCATGGGGCTTCGATTAGAACTCTCACTTATTATATCTGGTGTGCGATGCGTTATACAGCTAACGTTGATGGTAAGTTATAGGTGGCGTCGTGAAAGGAAAAAAGCGGATTAACTATAATAAGGTTCTCTTTGTTATGCTCAGGGCTACGTGTTGGATGCTGTACTAGGATCCAATAATGCGGGTTTGGTGGCGCTCATGAGCCGTAAGCATAGACCTTCATGCTTGTAATTCGATGTGCCTTACCTTATCTTTGTTTTCTAGTGGTGCTATTGTTGTTGGGTGCCTATGAAATAACATTCAATCGTACACGGAAAACCTTCCGGGGATTGGTATGTAGCAGAAACAAAGAAATCACACCCCTACTACAACCCTGGTCATCATCAAGGATCATTAACGCTAAGCTCATTGTATTAGTTTTTAAGAATGTTTGTGATCCTGGTTGTCAGCAATGCATCTATCGCTTTATTGGGCTCTGCCTTTGCGTTGCAAGAACAGCCATTCTGGTCCCCACCCAAGTTTATCCCTATCGTTGGTATGCTCCTTGGTAATTCCATGGGAAGCATTGCCATGGCAACAGAGCAATGTCTTGATAACATCAGGTACAAGGGTCATAATGGGAGGGGGTGGTGGTTGTTTCATGAATTGACTGACCAGGGTGAACTTTTTTTTGTGTGCCATCAAAGCGACCACGCCAATGTATTAGAAACCCGACTCTCTTTTGGAGCTACACGATATGAAGCAGCTAAACCATTCGCGATCGAGACTATTAGAGTATCCATGCTTCCGATTTTGATGCAACTCAGCGTGATGGGGTAACGTATTTTCCTTCTCTTTTCATGGGTAGAAGGGGTTGTGGAGGGAAAAAGAGAGAAGCTATGCATCCTCTTCCTTGATGACATCCTTTCTCCCTATACTCCAAGTTCGATGCTAACGGAGCTTACGATATAGCATGATCAACATCCCTGGCATGATGACGGGTCAATTGATGGCAGGCACACCCATGATGGATGCTGTCATTTATCAACAATGTATCATGTTTATGGTAGCTGCAAGCAGTGCCTTGAGTGTCGTCTTTGCTGTTATGGTAAGATGAATAAGGATGATGCTCGTCACCATTCACTGACATGTGATTCACATTAGATGTGCATGCATGTTGTTATCGACAAGCACCATAGTCTGCAATTGGATCGTATTCGTGACAACAAACCCATCATTCGAAAGGAATTCTTCATTCGGGTGGTACAAGCCGTTGGCAAACTCGGAGAACGCGTTTACAATTTGTCATGCCGCCGTCGCTATCACGACCACAAGGATGTCAAATACGAAGAGGTCGAAATGCAGTAATTAGGTCATCTTCCATGTATCTCCATCTCCTTTGTACGCTTGCTCTTCATTGCCCTCTCTCTTATTGTATAGATCCCTCGATTGTATTTGTATTTACGCTTTGCTTTATTCGTTCATTATTTTCATCATTACCCGGGTTCTTCCTTGACGACGACGACGCCACCTCACATTTGTATAACACATATACCTCGCCTTATTTCACGTATCCCTTATCTAGATCATGACTTGCAAGATGAAATACATATGATCTCCACCACGTTGTACATAATTCAAGGTTCATTTTGATCAGCAGGATCATATCACCTGGGTGAACACAGTAACAAGGAAATGCCGCCAAGTATTGAATGATGCAACAATTTTCCTCCTATAAGCAGATTTCCAATTTCTATAATGAGCATGTCTACTTTGTTGGATATTAATACCGAAAACGATCAGCTTGCTGCACAAAGATGAGACATGTACACCATATCAAAGTGGTATACATTGCATCATACCATCCCCAGGAACGTTGTTCATGTGATCTTTGGTTCATTGTTCTTGCTCCGTGGGAGCGGCTAAACAATGTCCGCCCATTCCCCCAACATACAATGTGTCCAGCGCTCTCCGCCACAATAGGATGTTCATGCTACTTACACGTATTGAGTAATCAGGTTGCCATGGCTACAACAGCGGGGACGACAACATTTATTAAATCGAGAAGGGGTATTGTTTCTTTTGTTGAATGTGGCGTTGCAAAAGCAATACACTACCATACTTTTGTATATAGCAAACTTTCCACATGACCATAACCCAGGGCAACAAATGAGATCGATCTATAGCTGAATGCCCATCAAGTAAGCAGTAGCCCTGAGTCTGCATGAGATAAATGTATCCTTTGTGATAGTATATTACCCGCTGCAGGGTTTATTCATTGTGATCAGCAAACTCTATGCATATGCAAAATGCTTTTGGAAGGTAGACTGCATAATAGATGCATGATTATGTATGTTGTGTACTTCATGTTTAATGCAACAAAAGACGTATATGCGTAAATATAAATGCATGCATAATGGAGAGAGAAAGAGAAGCAAAGAAAACGATGCGGGATGTAGGTATGTACGGGATGACTTGATGAAAATGTTAATATCCTTCAATGTTGAGAGGTGGTTTGACTGGTTTGACAGATCGTCGTGGTCGTGTTGCAAAGTTGTCTCTAGCACGCCATTCTTCTGGCAACATGAATCGAAAACCGGGTGATGTGCATTCTTCTGGAAGATCCCAATAATGTTGTTGAACCTCGGCTACTCGTCTCAAAGAATCAACTGCACCACGATTGGGCTTGATTGTGTTTAACGATTCCTCATATTCAAGTTGGGCATCCGGGACAAGAGGCGCAGGTAAAAGCTGAGCCACACTAGCCGCCACACTCTTGGCAAGTGGTTCAAGCTCATAGCCACCTAAAGACATTGAAGGTATCAATCAACCCATGAACATCACTCAAACATGATTCCTTCCATACCTTCCAAGCTCAATACAAGCCGTCCCTCGCACACTTGCTCAGCAAGCTCCTTGGTCATCTTTGTCAATAGCGCAAAACCTCGTGGTGTCACTTGATATCCTCCAATCTAACATTGCATCATCAACATTTTCTTCTTCATGCATCTATAAATCCATGCTGCACGTACATTTTCCGGATGACCTTCAGCAGCATCAAAACCAGCGGATACAAAAATCTATCATCAATCAAAGAAGGGTTTTAGTTGAAGTTGAAATGGCGTACACAGGATTCCCCTTTACCATGTCGGGTGCAAATTGACGTGCTATCGGTAAGACAAGGTGATAAAACGCCGCAACCAATTCAACATCACCCATCGGTTCTAAGGTAAAAGAAGCTTGTTAAGATCTTGGTTTTCGTATCATTGTTGAAGTGACTTACTGCATTTGTCGTCAGGAGAATTGAACGCAATGTTGACATTTCTACCAAGCCCTTCACCTTGACCACATTCATCGGGAGAGCCACTGAACGGATAAAAGTTGCCATTTTCCCATCGATGCAAAGAGATGTATAAAACATTGGGGTTGTCATAAAAGATCTTTTGTGTCCCGTTGCCGTGACTACAAGTCATGATGAGTCGAATCATCCATTGATAATATGGTTTCCAAGATACTCACTGTATGTCCCTGAAAGACACCACCAAAAAGATACGTTAGTCAGCTTGAAGTCCTCTCTTTACAAATACAAGGCATTTACCAGTCAATGACGAGCACCTTTTTAATCGTGTCGGCGTGCTTTCGTAAGGTCGATGCTACAGCGACGGCAACATTGTTGAAGAAACAGAATCCCATGGCACCGTCATCTTCGGCGTGATGTCCTGTATTGAGGAGGAGGAGGAAGAAGAAGAAGCAGTGTTATTTCATGTATCACGGATAGCAATAAATGTAATGTTTACCTGGTGGACGAATGAGAGCAAATCCATTGTGCAGTGTCCCCTCCACCACATGATCCACTAGTTCCAACAGAGCGCCTGCAGCTACGCGTGCCGAGATGGTGCTATAAAGAGGATGAAATGGTGTATCCACAGCTACGATATACGCATGTTAATAATAAACAATAGCCCTTTGATCCATGATTTGCAAATGTGTACCAATGCCCAATTCGCCACAGGTCATTTGGAATATGAGACCAGGTGGTGTGACCATATTAAGAGCCTTGTCACTCAAATGATGATAATCCTGGTCCATGGCTGCTGCTGCAGCTGCTGTTGAAAACTTGCGTTGTTGTTGCTTGATGAGGTTTCTGTCGACTTTGACGACTTCACCACCTTCCACACCATGCGTCCTTCTTACTACTGCCGGTGATGATGATGATGATGATAGTAGTAATTCCTTGTCTTTGGATGGCGATGCAGGGGATGGTGGTTGTGAGGGTACAGTGATTGTTGGTGATGATGCTCGTGAAGTGGAGGGAGATGGCGTAGTTGGATTTAATAAAGCTTGGATTGATGTGGGAGGATGCGTTGTTGTTGTACGAGGTGAAGATGCGTTCGATTCGATAATATTAGGTGATGGTGATGGTGACGATGATGATGATGAATGGTGCTTGATAGGAGGACAATAATTGCGGACATGAGAATGTGTATGCACGAGTACAAGTTCTTCGAGGGTGGCTTCTCGTGCGTGGATCCGCTGGAAAAACCTGAGGAGTCTAAAGACACACACATATATATCCCATGTCTCAGTTGCCACATAATACCGATACCATAAGCACTATTATTCTTTTACCGATTCGCATGTAATGCTTGTAGGATGGAATTAATACGTTCAGGCCTTTCCGGATGATTCGCTCTCTTTGAATGACAAGGGCATGTGTGCCACAACATCTGTGGATCTTGAACAAGGCCTGTGTGGTGCTTCACATACATTTCAGCTTCCTTGGAGTTGCAGAAAGTCCGATAATCCTTCCAAGAAGCATCACTTTCTTTGCCCTTTGGCCCATATTGCAAACGCACTGCTCCATCCCACCGGATCGATTCATAGCTAACCCAATCAGCATGGCTAGCATCCCATCCTTCATAGTGTACAAATATCCATGGTCCATCGTCATTGTCGTCTTGTTGAATGGTCACAACACGGGCGCAGTACCATTCTTTTGTACCATCATCCATTTGTTTCAGTGCTTCCACCCGGTCGCCCACATGAAAAGGCAATGGCCCAGATTGTTGCTGGGATGATGGTGGTGTCGAGTGCTTTGATAATGATGGTGGCTGTATCTTTTTGTCATTATCCTTTTGTGTGTTATCGATCTTGTTGTTGGCTCTAGTGACTAATCAATGAAAAGAAAACGATCCAAAGTGAGAATGGAGGTTGATTTGCATGTCAAAACAAACGTATAATGATGCCCATTCTTGTGATTCCCCCCCCCCGAATTGATTACATGGTACTTACAGTGATCAGCAGCTGTGCTCCCCTTCTTTCTTTGTTTTCGTGGATGGTTCTTGGTTACAGATAGCCGATGTTTCTGTGTGCGCATGTTGTGTATTGTATCATGGGCTGCGGGTGATGGTGATGATGATGATGAAGAAGATGATGATGACGATGATGCCTTGGCAGTGCGATGAGGTTGTCTTCGAAGAGCATTGTTTACGGATGAGCGAGTATCCCGTTTACGTTTTGAAGATGGAGGATCATGTGTATCTGAAGATACATTGGATGATGATGGTTGAAGCTATGAGTGAAGGAAAAGGACATTTTTCTGCATTAGAAGGGAATGGGGTATGGTTGATTATTGTATGATGCATTGCATTCTCAGCAAGTTACCATGAAGACCAAATTTTGCAACACACGAGTGGATGAAACGGGCGGTGGTTGCCCTCTTTTAAAAATGAAAAATAGTGAAAGATCCAAGTGGAAAGGGGAAAGGAAAGAAGAGAGAAACGACGGCAAGAAAAAAAATCAATTTTAGGGTCAGCACAATCTTTGGATTGGAAGCACACCAGAGCAGCAGCAGCAGGTGCCAGCCAGCAATATGCCCTTTCCATACGCCTATTAGCTACCACTGGTGCATCGGTCCCCTATCTATACCGCCATTTTGTATCGGTTAGTTTTCTTTATAAACAAGAACGATGCCATTGTTAGAGGGAGCATTGTATGTAATGGAAAAGAAGGGTAAACAATATGGGATGAATCAAGGGTTAATCTTGTCTCATTATTCACATTGTGAGTCTTTTATGTAGGCGTGCGTGTGTGTGTGTGTGTGTGCATTCCTCTTTCTTTATTTGCATTGTTGCACTGAGCTTTTTTGTACACGCACGCAAGAGAGAATATGTGGGTGTGCAGGCTTATAGACAAGATAGCGGACCCATAATCATGGGAATCTCTCTTGTTTGCGTCACTCTCATGCAAGAGACATCCATTCACCTCTCTTTCTTTCAATCCACGTGTGTGTGTGAGAGAGTCTGCGTGTCTTTTTCGTATCCTCATTCGAGTCAGCAATGCAATGTCTGGTTTGGCTACAATGGCTAACCTTCTTGGCGGTGGCTGTGGTCGCTCATTCGTCGTCGCTTGCTTATTCCGCAACACCGCTTGACCTCTTGACACCTTTTGGTAACGACCCCGATTGCCCAGAATGCCCTCCTTGCTTCAATTGCATGCTACCTGGATTCGATTGCTTGCATTTCGCCAACTGCACTGAGTCCACTGGCAAATGCAGCTGCCCAGCAGGGTTTGGAGGCGACGATTGCCGACAACCATGTACGTGTAACACTCCTTGTCTCACTTTATGCAACATCGTTGCTGACCACTTATCATCCAGTATGTGGAGGCTTGGCCGATGGAAGAAACAGAACTCCAAGGGAAAAGGATCATTGCGATTGTCCTGAAGGATGGGAAGGCATCAATTGTAATGGTAAGTATTGCAATCATGCAATAGGAGAATGATGATACTAATGGCACTGGATGTAGTATGTACAATGGATTCGGTTTGTGATCCTCTGGTGCCTACCGGAAACAATGGAACATGCTATCGTGGAGGTCTGACAGTGTTTGAGAACCATCAAATGTGTAATGTTACAAGTAAGTTTCCGATACAAGGACCCTGCACTCTTAGCTGACACCTATATACTTAGATCGGAAGATCTTGGAACAGCTGAAGGGCCAAATACCCCAAGTGACATTCTCATGTAACCGACATCAGGATACTTGCGATTTTCAATGTACGTATGTGCCGTTATTATGAGAAACATAGGGATGACTAAACATGCCATGTAGTTTGGGTGGATGAGATCGAGTCATTTTATTGCCATTTGAACGAATGCAGCTTTGAACAAGGTGAGATGATGGGACCGACGGCAATTTTTCCTTTTATTGATTCATTGCGTAGAATTTGATTATGATCAAAATACAACAAACTACAAATGCAACAAGATCGATTGCCGATGTATCAAGGATGAGATGCTCTGTGGAAAGAATGGAAGCATAGGTTAGGCAGTAGGTGGATTGCGTGCTATGCGGATGTTATTTGGGATTGTTTAACATGTATCTACCACCACCAGATTTGACCGATCTTCTCAAGGACGAAATCAAGGGTCCAGCGAGCTTCAAGTGCACAAATAAAGAGTGTGCGTTTTCAGGTAATGAGGACTACTATGTACTAAAAGGATCATCGTGACATCTAACACGGAGCATGGATACATACACAGAGCCAGCAATGGATGATCTTATCCTTGGCGTATTTGGTGATGATTCGATTTTCTTAAATTGCAACTCTGGCGAATGTTTACACTATACAATGGTCCCAGGATTCAGTGTAAGTAACGTTATGGGATCCTTGTATATCACGATCATGAGAAGCCTAATTGTATATCCATTAGCGACCTGAGCGACCCATCAATTGGATCATGATTGTTAGTGGTATTGCCGGTGTAGCCGTGTTCCTCATCCTTGTCGCAGTGATGGTGGCCTATCTTGCCAAGCAATCAACACAAGCGAATTCATATATCCAATTGGCCGATGATGAAGCGGGGAAGCTATTGAGCGAGCACACGGCGACAAGTTTGATCTTTGACAGCATCTCGTACAAGGTGGGACCATTGCAGATATTGAATCGTATCACTGGAATGGTGCATCCAGGTCAAGTGATGGCTATCATGGGACCTTCTGGATCAGGCAAAACGACATTACTCGACATTCTCGCCAATCGGACAAAGACAGGCAACGTTTCAGGCGACGTTTATGTGAATGGCCACAACCTATCACCATCCGAGTATCGAAAGCTTATTGGCTATGTCGATCAAGAAGATACCATGATCCCCACGTTAACCGTTTATGAGACGATCTTGTATTCGGCACTACTTCGATTGCCACGATCCATGAGCAAGGCTGCTAAGGAGTTCCGTGTACTTGAAGTGATGCAGGAACTTGGAATCGATTCGATCAAGGATTCAAAGATTGGTCAAGCGGATGATCGTTCCATTAGCGGTGGCGAGAGACGTCGTGTAGCCATTGCTTGTGAACTTGTGACATCTCCTTCTATTCTGTTTTTGGATGAGCCTACCAGTGGATTGGATGCTTATAATGCTTACAACGTCGTTGAATCGCTCGTGTCACTTGCAAGAGATTACAATCGTACCATTGTATTCACCATTCATCAGCCACGATCCAACATTGTCACGCTTTTCGATGAATTGGTGGTGCTCAGCAAAGGATACACCATTTATTCAGGCCCACAATTACGAGTGCAATCATATTTCAGGAGCATTGGATATCCTTGTCCTCCAGGTTTCAACATTGCTGATTATCTTATTGATTTGACGATGCAACCAAGCGAGCCACGATTAGGAGGCGTTGATGGCAACACACCTGGATCGAGTAACAACAACAACAACAATGTCTTTGATGATGATTTGGAGAATACCAGCGAGCAGTGGGAATCTGAATTAAATGCTCGACAAGAACGATTGAGACGAGAGCGTGCAGGAAAGAAACGAGTCCAAGGGGTTACAGAAGAGCCTGATGTGGTCGTGGATAATGGAGATCAGCAGCAACGATCTTCGATGGCAACGAGAGAGAACCAAATGACTGAACATTTGAAGCGATTGGTCACAGCGTATGATCAAAGTATGGTGGCCGTTACAGTGAGAGATGACGTTGAGCGTATTCTCTCTTCAACGTGAGTGGCAATGGACCATATGATGGTATTCATTTGTAACTTGATATTATCTTATAGACAAGCTGCTCCGGATGAGATGGAAGATGGGATGGAGCGTCCTGTTAAGCCAGTGAACACACACGAGCGACCAGGGTGGATTGCCCAATTTCGAATACTGGCAGATCGCACATTCAAGAACCTTTACCGAAACCCCATGCTCATGTTTGCTCATTATACTATTGCTGTTGTGCTGGCCTGTAAGTCAATTCTTTAACAACCAAAAGTGCATTGAGGATCATTCCTAATATTCCATCATGTCATTTAGTGATATGCGGCGGGCTGTTTTATCAGGTCTCCAATACAATTGCTGGTTTTCAGAATCGAATGGGTCTTTTCTTTTTCTACGAAGCCCTTCTTGGATTTATGTGCTTGACATCGCTTCAAGTCTTTTCAAGCGAACGTATTCTTTTTGTACGAGAACGAGCCAATGGTTACTATTCGCCTGGTATTTACTTTCTATCAAAGGTAAACAACAAACAAAGGGCTGTCAAGGGATAATGTGTGGTGGGGAATTGGAACCGGGAGATGCAAGGAGCTAACGTCAACAATGAACAGGTTCTATTTGATATCATCCCATTACGTGTGGTCCCTCCATTGATGATGGGCCTGATCTCGTATTACATGGTGGGCCTTGTGGATGGTGTTGCCGAGTTTTTCAAATTCCTGTTGGTGCTGGTATTATTCAACTTGACAGCAGCAGCATTGTGCTTAGCTATTGGTGTCGTGTTCAAGAATCTTTCTATGGCCAATCTATTATGCTGCATGGTGATCCTGTTTTCAATGCTCTTTGCAGGTTTATTACTCAACAAAGGTAAAATGAGGTGGGGTGGGAGAGGGAATTTCGTGATCATTGTTGTAGGAGGGACAAAGTGAAACCAAATTCCGCGTGCTTTGGTGCAACAACGCTATTTGACGGCATCGATACTCATGTGAATGTGTCCATTAGATTCCATGTCGCCGTATTTTGGTTGGCTCAAACACTTGTCGTTTTTCAATTATGCTCTGGAAGCGCTATTGGTGAACGAAATGCTGTATTTGCAATTGGTGGAGGAAAGATTTGGATTAAACATTGATGTAAGTGCAAGGAATAATAAAACGGGAAAGGAGTAGCTATTGACACGTTTATGTGTGTCTCTCTAGGTACCTGGTGCAACAATTCTCTCCACATTTGGATTCAATGCAAGGAACTATTGGCCTGATGTGATCAAGCTTGGAGTCATGTTTTTGAGCTTCATTCTTTTTGCCTTTGTATGGCTCGTTACTTTTGTCAAGGAACGGAGATAGAAAAGCATTTCTTTTTCTCTATTCATGGTATATAAAGAAGACAATGATCCACAAAACGTCATCATGCAATTACCCGTGTATCTGCCCCAGCATTCTACAAACTCCACTCTCTGCTGAGCTTATGCGAACGACTACAATACAAGAGTACTTTCAATACACAGCTCGTCAAACGGTCAATTACAGTTGTGTGACCATGAATATCCAATTTGTGTGTTGATTGTCCAACCGCATAAGTCGTTTCACAATCAAAAGAATATAAGCCATGCACATGGACCATATTAGGAACAGCTTACAAAAGGACAAAGAGTAATTGCTTGCAGAGTCTTCATTCATCATCGATATCATTATGTGAGATATTAGCCTGACTACTGCTGCTCCTAGTTGCAATAAAGGAGAAAGGTTTCATTTGAAATGGAAAGCGGAGACAACGGCAGAGGAAAACCCGGGAAACCCAAAATAGAGATTTTGTTTGTTTTGTGTGTGTGTGCTCGGGCGTTGCTGCGCTGTTGCTGTTGTGCCTCAGATTTGGACGACGTACCCAACATGCGGTTTTCCCCCTGGGCAAAAATAGTAGGACAAGTAAAAACTCCCTTTTTGGGCAAAAGATATAAAGCTTACAAGAGGACCTCGATTGCCTTTCTCTTTTGCTCTTTACAACTACTAATAACAACACGACGTTGCAATCCTTTCTCTTTCTTTCTTTTTTATATACTCCCCTTAATCGATTTTTCTTGTCATGAGAATCACTGCTGCCATCCTTGTTGCTGCTGTTTCATTAGCCTCGTCAGTACTTGCTCAAGACGGTACGCCAAACATCCCTGCTGGCGGCTCAGCTGGTGCCTCCTACTCTTGCGACCCAAATGCTTGTAAACTACCTGATTGTTTGTGTGCTTCCACCTCGCCCCCAAATGGTCTTAAACCCGAGGATGTTCCTCAAGTAAGTTACTTACAGGATGATGATGGCTCACTTTTGATTGCCATTGTATACTCATCATCGCTTTTATCGTGGTATCATAGTTTGTCACCATCACTTTTGATGACTCTATTCAAGCCAAGCTTGTCGAGACAGCCCATGAATTGTTGAATGTCAAGCAAGTAGTCAAAAGAGTAAAGCAATTTGTTCCTGCACGATAGCTAACATGTATTCTCCTCTCATGCTCCCTTCCTATCACTCACAATCACTCCTTGATACCTCCGTATTTGTACGTGTGTGTTATCTGCACCTCCTTTTATCGCTGACAGGAATCCCAATGGATGTTCCGCAAAGGTAAATCAATGGTGCTCTGTGTGTTACGCGTATGTGCGGTAGTCTAATTCTCCTTCCCCAGGGCTCGTGGTATGTCTCTATGGAGTATACCGATTTCTCGCTTGTTCAGCAGTGGTATGCCAATGGTCATGAAGTTGCAGAGTAAGTAAAATCGATGCTTTATTGAATACCACAACATGGGCTAACATGATTTTTTGTCTACAGCCACACTTTCTCTCACGTTGGCACGTATCCAATATAATGATTCTGCAAAGTAATGAATGATGATTGTTATACTAACGCTACGTCATCTCTTTCTTATTTGTCATAATCAATAGGCTCACCATCGTCTCAGTAAGTGGTCGTTTTGTTTTCTCCTTAACAATGAGTCAATGTTAACCCATTGCTTTATAGAGAAATTGCTGCAGCTCGTGCCATGTTGCATGATTATGCCGGTATTCCCCTTGGAAAGATCCAAGGTTTCCGTGCCCCATTTTGTACGTTACAAAAACATCATTGACCATGATCACATGCCTTGGGCTGACATGAACTTTGCCACATTTTATAGTGAATTACACCGCCGAAACGTTAAACAACATTGCCCAACAAGGTTTCCTCTATGATTCCTCTGCCACCGCTACTGTGGATGACTGCTACTGGTAAATCCACCATCGTATGATCTTTGATTTTGATACAAGGTGGCTAATTTTCTCTTTACATGATACAAACAGGCCCTACACACTTGACAATGGCATGGCTAATGATTGCTGGACCGGTATTTGTTCTGCCAATGTCAAGCTTCCAGGTACCGTATTCGTAAAAATGAAACAGGCCATGTCTTGAGTATTTTTAGGATTCTGACAATTGTTCCTTTTTATAGGTGTGTGGGAAGTTCCCATGTACGCTGTTATGGATAATGCTAGCCAAGCACAATTGATGGACGTGTACCTTGCTGGATCCGTGTCCGATGTCAAGCAATGGACCAGCACTAACTTTGACCGCCATTATAATGGTAACCGCCAACCCTTCGGCATTTACGTCCATCCTAGTAAGTGTCATACGTTACATTTGTATACATACATAATCGCTTTGCTAATTATGGATTCATACAGCCCATCTTACCACTTTCCCTGGTCTTGATGATCCCTCTGCTATTAAGCAAGGTGTCGTTGAAGTCATCAAGGAGATCACTTCTAAGCCTGATGTGTGGGTTGTTACCAATGCTCAACTTTTGCAATGGGTAAGTGTATAGCTTATGGGCATCCTTGTTGTTGTTGTTGTTGACATGATATGGCTTGTATAGATGAAGAATCCAGTGCCCAAGAACCAACTTGCCGATCAAGCTTACATGAAGTGCGAGTTGCCTAATACAGGCAAAGAGATTTGCAATGGTCTTGAAAACATTACTGTTTCGGATGCTGGTGTTGTATCGTCGCCTTTGCTCAACATGTGTAATTTCAACACCACCAACTGGGGCACGTGCTTCAATTGCCCTGGCAGTGCTCCTACACTTGAAAGTCCCACACCTAACGCCACCATCCAAACCAATGACCCCAAGTACCGCCACCCTGTGCCTGACAACTGTGACAGCATTTGGTGGGATCCTGTGGCGGGTGAATGCTTGTGCACTCAACAAAGATGCGCCTACAAAGATACCGCTGTCCCTGTTGACACCAACAGCAAGAACCCTGATGGCAGCGACTCTAACAAGGATGGATCAAAGAAGGATGGCGAGAGTGCTGCTATGACTTTGTCACCTGCTACGTTCACAGCTGCTCTCATTTTCGTGGGTAGCATTGCCACTGGCTTGTTTTAAATGTGTTAGTATCTCCCATGCATTCATTCTCTCGTATGTAAAAGTACCCAATCCCCCACCCTTTCCACCCAATTCTTGCATGGTCGTTTTTCTTTTCTTGTTCTTTTCTTTGTTCTAGTCACACTTTTTAGTAACCGTTGTCCGCTATAAATCGATTTTATATATCACAGATGCATCCTAATAATGGGATTATGATTCATTTTAATGGTTAAATGGTATCAATGACATGTCATAAAGGAGAGGAGGATGGTGGATCATCATCTATGCTAGAGTAAAGCGGCGTTTAGAGTGAAGCGGCGGGGTGGTTGTTGTTGGGGGGGGAGAGGAAGTCCAAGTCAAAGAGCCTCTTCGCAGAAAAAAAAGTTTTTTATTCCCGTTTTGACAACCGCGATCATGGCAAAAGAGGACAAGAAGAGAAAGCACAAATCACAACACGACGATGACAGCAAAAAGTCGAAAAAGAAACACCGTTCCGAGAAAAAGTCTGCCACCAAAATCGTCAGCGTTTCTTCGCCTTCCCCAGCACCACCAGCAACTCCCAAATCAACCTCCTACAGTGCGTTTTCAGAAATCGTCGGCAGACTCTATGTGCACCTTGCACCCATGTGGGCTGGCAATGTTATGGAAGGTGTAACTGAACAGTTGAATGCTTTCCTTATGAAGTAAGCAGATATCTTGATGTTCGAGAGACGAGGAGAGAGCTTGAATTGACCTTGGATAACAATGACAGATACGTTCCTCAGTTGGATGGCATTGTTCTTGCACACAGTGATACTGAACTTATTACGGAGAAGGGTCAAATTCGCAATGATTCACCATTCTGCCACTTTTTCATTCGTGTCAAGTTTTTGGTATGGAAGCCTAAAAAGGGAGCCAAGCTTGGTAAGTTAAACGAGGATGAGTGATTACATTAGAGACACTAATGTGGATGTATACTTGAATTAGTGGGTCGCATCAATTTACAATCCCAGGATCATATTGGTCTTTTGATTTTCGGCACATTCAACGCATCAATCCCCAAGGCACGCATACCAGCTGATACATATGAATGGCGATCTTCTGTGGATTCTTCAGAAGAACCAGTGACCAAGGATCAAGATGAGGATGACAATGAAGATGAGAATGAGGATATTCAACAAGATGCTGAACAACAACGAAGCCAATATGGTGAATGGATCAACAAGTCTACGGGTGTACCTGTGGGTGGCGATGATGGCATCGTTGAGTTCAATGTAGTCGAGTAAGTCTACTACAATGGGTTTAGAGTATTGGGATTCCCTTTTGCTTATATATACCTTTTCTTTTCCATCATAGCATCATCGAAGCCAACGATATCCTTACTGTTGGAGGCTCCTTATAGAATCCTTGTATATAATAACAACACCACACATCGCATACAACATACAACATAACCTTTTTCTTATCCGCTGTATCCCCGATGCAACAAAAAGGAACGAACGAGCACCATAATAAAACATATCATATGGCATCTGCAGGTGGTTTCCCATACCCATTATGAGTATTGAATACGCGACAAGGATGTTGTGAGATTGGTTGGTATTAGGGTGGGTCGTCGTGAGGGGTTGCTTTGATGCTGCCATTGGCACCGGATGACATGCCATTATAGCGATGTTCATGATAACATAGGAATCGGGATTTTTTTATGAAAAGGGAGGTGTGCCATCTTTCGAAGGATGGATGAGTGCTGGCAGCATGATGCAAGCATACAACACGTGCTTTCACTGTGGCAAGAAAAAAGATCTATGAATGAATGTGCACATGACTGCCACGCTATTGACAGTCAAGGTAGGACACAGGGTATTGTTTTCTGGTGGTGATGGATGCAGTGGGCGGGAGGATAGCTTTACAAGTTCATATCGGGTCATTCATTTCTATTCCCCCATGTGCTTTACTCCTAACTTTGTTATCATTTATATGACAAATGTCTTTTTCTCTTAATAACCCTTGTATACAGCATTGAGCAAATATATAAAATGGCCATGTATTTCCCCATGGGATGCCTCGGAATGTTTATTAGTACTGGAGTAAATGTGGTGGTGGTAGGTGAACGTAGGAGAATTTGAAAGGAGGTTTACAGGGAGAGAGAGAGGATGCACACGTTCGATCGGCGTTATTTGATATCATGCATTATGGATAGATGGGGGAGCGTGTGTGTGTTGTGGTAAGGTTTTGATATGTTTTATGCATAGTATGTTGCAATACTTGTGTCACCTGTTTTGGGTAGTACAGAATGAAATAGGGTTTACACAAAGCCAATAAACGTTCGCCATTGAGCGACGAGCTTTTCCCGTGACGGTGTTCCAAGCCGCCCCCAAATTCCAAAAGGTATATAAAGGCCAAGGATTTTGATTGTTCATCCATCACTTTTCTTTCTGTGTTTACCCTGAGTTGTTACTACCCATTGCTATTTTTCCTCACACTATGATCCAAACCCTTCCCGGAAACGGAGCCACTGTATCGTCTGGTGCCAGTAGTTGGAGCTCGGCAAAACTTGGTCATCTCTTGTCAACAGAGCTACTTCAAGATATACACGAAAACTTTGACGACATGGGCAAGGCAGCCAAGGTGGGCATTCTCTTTGCTATGTTGTATGTCCGCAAGGGCGATATTATGCGTATGCAAAATGTCATGAGCAAGGTATGTTATTCTCCGCTTGTTTTAAAAATCCTTTTCATGCTGGAACACAAAATCAAATGCACATGAGACAAAGGAGAGAGTGAGAGAGTGAGAGAAAGCGAGTGAGAGTGCGAGGGACCAAATCACCATGACATTTTTTACTCCTTCCACCAAGAAGATGAAAATGATAAACAAAAAGTCATTGTGGGAAGTGAAAGTGTCATGTGTTACGTGCATGCGTGTATTGCGTGGTGTGGATGTGATTGGCAGTTATCATCAAGCAGGTCATGAAGAATCCACTTGGCACATTCGGTAGCTTTCTTTTTCTTTCCTGTAGCAGGAACAATGATTCTCATCATTTACCTGCCCCAGACACGCATGAAAAATAAAGTTGACCTCCTCCTCCCCAAAAGGATAAAGGACAGTTTGTGTTGCTGTGGATCATAAAGTATCTTGTATATATGCATACATGTGGATGGGGTGGGTGAGTGAGTGAGTAAGGATGAGTGAGTATGTGAGGCATGTGCTTGTCTCTGTGTGCGTGTGTGTGTCTATGTGTTCCATTTATTCATTCCCCTTTTCTTTTCTTACTCTATTTGGGCCTATTTTGGTTTAACGCGCTCTTTATCTTTTGCACTGTAGATTTATGCAGCTGCTGAAAACGACGATCACGAATGGATCCAAGTCACTTCACGAATTCTCAAGAATGCTCTTACTGAACGACGACTCAACACTCGTGTGGAGCAATGGTCCCCTTCATTTGGTGATGTCGTCGACAAGATTGAGGGTGCTGGTAAGTTGTCGTTGTTGTTGTTGGCTAGCCTACTCGTTCTATTTCAAAGTGTATCTCATAATCCCCCCCCTTGTTCATAGTCAAGCAAGATGGTATCAGCTTTCATCCCACTGAATATGCATTGTTGACCAAAGAAGCCCAACCTGAATGTCCTTATGCATCCAAGGTGTATCGTTCGGATGAGCCTACGCATGACCAACACTTTAAGCTCAATTCAACTGCTATGGACAAGTCAAATGCCGATCGACAGCAACTGTTCCAAGAGCTTCTCAAGAAGAATGATGCAAATGCTCGTCGCTCAATGTCTCCACCTACTAAAATGGGTCGTCCTGGTGTGGTGGGTCCCAATGGTCCTCTTCAAGGTCGCCCTCGTCCACCTCCACCTACTGGCATGTTCCGCCGTTATCCAAATGCTTCACAACAACCACCTTCTTCAATGGCTCCCAAACCTGCTGCAAAATCGCTCTTTATTCCTAGTCGAGCAAGAAAGCCATCGTTGGGATCAGCTTCAAACTTTACAAAGATGCCACAGGGTATGCCCAATCGTCCACCCCTACCATCACCATCTGCAGACTCTACACCAAAAGGATTCCTTCGTCAATCACGCGTACAAATGATCGACTTTAACGAGAACACAAGTTTGGAAAAGAGCAATGCTGAAGAAATCAATGCCGCCAAAGAACGTAAGTGTGCTTGGAAAAGGAAATATGAAGGTTAGGATGGTATCTAATAGGGATTGTTTTATAGAATTACAAGCTGAGAAGGAAGCTAAAAAGGAGATGGCTGCTGAAAAACGACGTTTGGATAAGGATCGAAAGAGACGAGAAGCTGAAGAAGATCGTCAACGTGCACGTGAAGAAAAGTTATCAGCTATTCCTGCTCCCGGTGGTGATCCCAAACGACAACGTCGCGCTCAACCAAACAATCCACAAATCAACACATGAACCAACCCCCTTTCCCTTTCCCATCCTCTCGCTCTGTAAACAATCAACACATACACGCATCTATGACTAGGTCTTTATCTTACAGCTCCCTCTTGCATCATATCCCGTTTTCTTTGTACATATTCTATTCTTAGCTCACAAAACATTGTATCCTTATATCTTTGCTATTTCATACGCGTGTTCAACATTAAAACTCTCTCTCTCTCATTGCTATCTTCCTATTGTTCATCTTAAATAATCAGGAATGCAATTTTGTCTATGGATGTATTAGTATCTTGGAAGTGAGAATTGTAGCATGGCAACAAGAGGCCCTGATCCTGCATTTATTATGCGTCCGATTGTAATTTCATTTTGATGTACAGATAAGGTTTTGTGATCCCTGCCACAACGAAAAGCCGCCATGACTATCCTTTACGCGTTCGGTTCCAATGGCAACGGTCAACTTGGAGTAGGCCACACTGACGACATTAACACCCCAACGCCATGCATTGGCATTCCAGACACTGAGACAATCCTCAAGGTGGTGGGTGGTGGCAATCATACAGCTGTTTTGACACAAAGTGGCCGAGTGTTCCTTGCTGGGCAATGGCATACCAGTAACGACATGACGACAACAACCTTTATCGAACCCGAATGTGTACAAGGACGACACTGGCAAGACGTTGCTTGTGGTTGGTCATTCACAATCCTCATTGAGCGAGAGACTGGACGTGTATATGGCTTTGGAACGGCACGATCGGGTGAACTTGGTTCTATGACAAAAGACCCAGGGCTGGTAGCTATCGATACTGTACCACCATTAGCGATGGTCGATTGTGGATGGCGGCATGTAGTCGGCCTTGGTCGAGATGATGGATGTGTTTACGGCTGGGGATGGGATCGACATGGCCAACTATTGAAGCGTATCAACATCAAACCACACATCCAGCAGCCTAATGCATTATTGTCAGCTAATAGCACACCCTCCAAGATCCGACAAATTGCATGCGGTCATTTATTTACGGCGTTGTTGACAGAGGATGGCACAGTTTACGGATTCGGGTCCAACAAGTATGCACAACTTGGAGATGGCGAACTACAGCAGGGTGATGATGACTTGATCCAAATCGATAAAGGAGTTTCATTAATATCTACTGGATGGCACCACATTGCTATGGCAAAACCAGATCATGCACATAGCTTGGTATCTATTCACAACAAAGGACGTAACGACCATGGACAAATGGCAGGGCAAGATCATTCTATGCATGTGGATTATTTCGTGTGTGGCTCGGAGCACATGTTGGCACTCAAGCAAGGCAAGGTGTATGCATGGGGATGGAACGAGCATGGTAATTGTACATCCACCCAAGAAGATGTTTTACAGCCTATCGAGGTTCAACTCCCAAAGCAAGGCACAGTGACTATCATTGGCGCTGGATGTGCTACTTCATGGATAGGAATAGCATAATGGAGATTATGTACATTTATTCTGCATCAAATACAACACTAGTTGGCTTTTTCTTTTTCTTCTTTTTCTTTTTGGTTTCTGATGACGGCTCTTCAGGTGTCAAACTTTCAAAAAACAGACCAGCTGGGAATGATCCATTACTCGTGGTGGAGCTGTGATGGAGGTGGTTGGATGGAGAGGTAGGTCGAGAATCACCGCTTTCAGAAGAATAGCAGCTGTCACCGGATAAAGAATTTCTTCGGGAATGGTAGTTGCTCTGAAGCTCACCTCCATCATGGCGTGCTGAATGATCAAAACCTAAACAATAGGCGTCTATCCAATATCCTTCAGTATTCACATGCTCGTATTCTTGATCCAAGGGTACTTACAATCACTTCCCAAGTCAATTCCCGAAGAAGTAGCATCATCCATCGGCTCTGGTTCCCCAGCACCCATCAATGGTAGCGTTGCAGCATTGTATGACGTATACATGAGCGAGAATCTTAGCGGGGGTGTTGGTCCAAGGTGAGGAGCTGGCCGTGCACATGTATCAAGCTTCCATGCGTATTTGGTCTCAGTCTGTGCGAGCGTATCGGATCTGTATAGGGGAATTACATTAAAACGAGTTCGTGTTGTATACAAGCTTTGATAACGACCCATACCTTAACGTCGGTAAGAATTCTTTATATTGCTCGTGTGATGTCATAATACCATGGACCATGCCAGAGGGATCAGCATCCGATTTAAGCCTGAGATGATTCAGCATCAGCAGAACAAACCCTCGGGATTCTATGTATGGAATGTCATTATTGATGCTTGTTATGTTGAAAAGTGTCAACATTTACCTGATGCCTTGCCTTTGCCATAAGATTGGATCATGCGGGTAATTAGATCATGCTCTTGCAAGATGGTCGATAAGATGGGTTCATAGTTGGTGGACAATAGTAAATAGAATATCTTGTAAAACATAGTATGGTAAATGCTGCTTGTCCTATATCCACATGCGTCAATTTCCATGTTACAAAACGTGATCCCCCTTCCTGTGATAGCTTACGTCTTTTCAAAGAATAAATCAATATACAATTTCCAGAATGCATCAGGCACGGAATCCAATGTCGTCTCCTTGTCGCTTGCATCAGATAATGTGGAGTAGATAATGTCCAGGATCGCCATATGCGATAAAGTAAACGGATGACTACCATCCAATGGAGTATGAGTATTGATTCTTTGATAAGCACTATAAGCATACCTTGGGAGGGAATCATAATCCTGGAGGATTATATTGCACAATGCAGGGATATGATCAGTTAAAAGCTCTCGCACACGATGACATATGCTGTACAATGGCCCTTGTATAGGTTGCGCTGTGCTGGATGCTCTTGTTGGTGGAGAACCACTATGCCATGACATTAATACCCTATGCAATGGATGGTATTTTCCCCATCCTCTTACCTGGTTGCAAGACTCTTTAGCATGTTGATTGTATGTTGTCGACTTCTAGAAGGTGCTTGATCTTTGATAAACTAGAAAAACATACGTGTCAACCTCTACATTGGGTATTCAAGCAACCTAATCTCCCTCTTTACCTTGACCAAGAAGCTCACAATATCAGCCCCCGCATCTTCCATAAGCTCATTGAATAGAGGTGCTGATCCATCCATTTGAGATGCCTCTTCCACAATCCTCAAAAACAAGTCCTTGGCAGCGTTCGAGAAGTCCGGTTGATCTTTATAAATAAAATATCAATTAGATGTACTTTTGGTGCAAATGGTCTTTCTTGATACATACCAGCCAGCTGAATCGCATCCAAGAACCATTGAAGGAAACCATGGTTACTTAGCATTTCCAAACTGCTTTGTCGTTTTGTTCGTGATTCCTCATTGTTGTCATAGACAAATAGAAGACTGAGAATAGAGTCGGTGATGGGTCCATGGGCCAGATAGGGCATTAAAATGTCGTAAAACTTGGATGCATCATCTTGGAGGATCATGTAATTCATCATATCGCAAGGGTGCCTTCGAACCATGTGCTGAAAAATTTTGCCAAAATGGTTCAGGTTGCCATCCGACTTGGGTGATAACACGTCGAGGAGGTGAGTGACTAGGAAGTAAAAGAGAAGATTCACGTTAATGTTTCAGTTTCATCCATGCATGTAGAATGTCGTCTATTACCGATTGTTTGGAAACAAGAATCCTGTACCCAATAATGATTAGCGCTTGTACCACACAACAATTCCATGGCGTGATAAGAGCGCTTGGTTGCTTCGAAATCATCGGTGTCACGTTTATATCCAGCATAGTTGATACGATCTGATAATGATGATGGTGATGATGATGATGACAATGCCGAGTCTTGTTCTTCTTCCTTGAGACGTGAAATATGAGACATGAATATATCCATTACACCTACACAACATCATCCCATATTTAGATGAAATTCAAAGGGGGAGAGGATGGGTAATGACGAACCTTCATGCAACAAGACACTAACAATCTTGATATCCATGCGTGGCGATGATAGTTGCAGTAATTTTCTCACCAATGCCTCCGACGTAGCCTTGTACCCGGGATCCGAAGTGGGTCGCTTGCTCGATGCCTTTTCACCATCTGAGGATTCGGATTCATTCGAGTTGGGAGAAGAAGCTGAGTCGTTGTTGGTGCCGTTCACGTCGTTGGTAGTTTGACGAGTCGATAGAGAAGAAGACGTGTCTTTGGGACAAGTATCTACCCTGGCTTCAGTAGCTGAGTCATTGGATCGATCGGGCGATGAGACATTGTCCACCGCTGCATTGTCGGATGACATGGAAGAGAGTAAGAGAGATACTGGGAAGGGAAAAAAGAGATAAGGAAAGGGTACAAGAGGCTATCTGCTGGCTCGACTTTTTTTTTCTGTGCTGCACCCTCGCTGATCATCATCATCCTCCGCAGAGTCACACAAAGACAACACCACCCACTCACTTTTTTATCCTTGGTTACGTTTCAAGAAGGCTTTTGGTTATACGAATTGCTTACTATTGCGTAGTAGAGATATCATAGTTACAGTGTCTACAATCCAGTTGTTCCAATTGACCATTATCATGTAATCCAAACCACCAAAGAACAAGAATAAACAACATCTGTTGCCATCTGCACGAGCACTTTTGTTGACGTTGCTTAAGAGTTGCATAATCGCATTCTTCTTCATGTGACAATTTTGGATGAATCATCAGTTCATGTTATTAGAAAAAGTTTACTTAGGAGAAGCATTGAGTGCAATAGAGTATACCAATGGTGGTCATCATTGCTTCTTGCATCGGCAAATGGGAAATCTATTTACATCAAAGCCGAAGAACCAGCTCTAAAATCACGTGATAGTTTATCGAAGAGGTACTTGGCATCCCTTTTCTTCTCATGCACTTTTACAACCTGATCAAAACATCTTTCAGGGAATCAATTGTTCCCCCATTCCTCGAATCACAAGGGAGACATCATCATCCTCATATTGCTAGCATGAAAACGAATAGTATTTTAAGGTGACAAGTGATATGGCTATGCTATTTATTGATATCAATTGATAGGTAGTTGTAGCAGTAGTAGCAATGGATACAAAACACGTGGTATGCACTAATGTCATCATGTGGCAAAGGTATCGGATAACCGAAAAAGAGGGGTGATCTAAAAGACAGCGTGCAAGTCGAGACATTCTTTGACGTTTATCACAGCTATTGAATGACAGATAATATTGACCACTTGCGGGCTGTCATGGGAAGTGACGATGACGACAATGACATGCAGTTTGAGACACGACAGACAGTGAGTGAGCAGCCAGCAACAACATCGGGCAATCGCATCAGGCTCGTTCGACCATCGTCGACCATGGATCGTGGAACGTGGAGCGAGTTTTCAAGTCATCAAGAACCAGAGCGACCATGTCAAGACACCATTCGTTTATTTGATGGGGAGAATACGCCACAAAACATATCGTCTTATGGGTTCCTGCTTGGTATTGCGTGTGGTGGCGGGCTTGTGTTTGCTTTCTTGTCCAACAGCTCGTCATGGCATGTGCCTCAGTTTGGATTGTTCCTTGCAGCATTGGCGTTGTTCCACTTTTTGGAGTATCTTGCAACAGCTCTCTTTAATCCTGACAAGCTCACTCTTGATTGTAAGTAGAAGGGGAAACAAAAACCTTTATCATGGTGTATTCAATGATGTTCTCCATATCCAAATAGCTTTCCTTATCAATCACAGTGCTCATTATCATGCTGCTCATGCTGTCGCTTTCTTGGAATTCATGATTGAATACTACTTTTTCCCATCATGGAAGACATTTGGAATGCTCAATTATCTTGGTAAGTTGGTGATGATCAATCTCCCTTCTTGTCCTGACCGTGTCATATACGTAGGCCTGGCTCTTGTGATTGTGGGACAAGCATGCCGAACAGTGGCCATGTTCTCTGCAAGACACAACTTTTCGCATCACATTGCTGATTATAAAGCAAAAGATCATGTTCTTGTTACTCACGGCATCTACAGGTAAGTTTGTTGGATCCTGAGCAGAGGAGATGAATGAGGATATTGAACCTCTATTTTGGATGTAGCATTATGCGACACCCCTCGTACTTTGGATTCTACTGGTGGGCAGTCGGCGTGCAATTCCTACTGATGAACCCAATTTGCCTCATCCTATTCATCTATTGGCTTCAACGTTTCTTTGCCGAACGCATCACCTATGAGGAATACACCTTGCTACGCTTCTTTGGAAATGATTGGACTGTATACAAAGCCAAGACACCTACATGGATGCCATTGATTCCCTAGACTCTACCATTTGTGCATGATATCATTCCATAAATTATTACGTACACGCATTCAATGAAGAAACCGTATGATGAAGGGGTGAGTTGGTAGCCATGGTTACCGACAGATTGAGCTGCGGATGAATATTTGGCCCGATCCGACATTTTTTTCATCACCATCTAGAATCCAGCATGGGTTGTTTGACAAGAAACGGGATCCTTGTTACTCTTTCTTTCTCTTTTTTCCCATTCCCATCCACTTTTGAGTAGCGATGACCAGCCATGATATCACATCATCCTCATCGGATATCGAGAAAGCAACCACCACTATAGACGATAATGATACAATGACACAGGATCCATTACACACTACCCCGTCAACTAAGCCAACTACTTCACCATGGCAACGACTTATACCGCGTATCCTTGCTTTCATTGTCATTGGATTGGTCTCGCTCATGCTGTCATTGACATTGGCACGGCATGTACTCGGCATTGAACTTCCCCATACACTTGAAGATGTGAAGAATACAGCAACCCACCTCGAAGATATGGCAAGCACAACCTGGGCCGAGTCCCTCAAAGTAGCAAGCGTATTTGCTGCATTGTACCTATGGCAACAAGCATTTTCTATGCCTGGCTCAGTGCTGTTCAATCTACTTTCTGGGCATTTGTATGGTATCCTTGTGGGCACCTTATGGACGAGTTTCTTGACAGCCCTAGGTGCGACGTTGGCCTATGGATTAGCAATGTTGGTGGCAGAACCGTTTCTCGAGTTGAATTGGGTATCTCGGAAGGCTGCAGCCATGACTCGGCAGATGCGGCGAGAACAATCGGTTGGCCTATTTTGGTGGTTACTCTTTGTCCGCTTGTTTCCCTTTACCCCTTATTGGTAAGTAGATGCACATGTATGGCTATATGATAACAATGCTGATATGAGAAATAGGTTCATCAACATGGTATCCCCCTTCTTGAATATCCCCATTGCCCCGTTCTTTTGGTCAACCTTTCTGGGATCGATGCCGTACAACTTTATTTGTGCACAAGCGGGTGCGGTGTTGGGCGAACTGAGTTCGACAGCGGATATATTCTCCGTTGGCCTGGTCATCAAGTTGCTACTTGTATCACTCATCTCTCTGGTGCCTGTCGTGTGGGGAAAGAAAATCAAACGCATTGCAGCACGTTATCTCGGTAGACCATCGATGAATGACGACGAGGAAAAAGAGGACGATGACATGGAAATGGCTGAAGCAACCGCCACAACATCTACATCACCCTATACACGCATCCCCAACACTGTACAATAACTACTACAACAACAACACATATCCTTTTCATCCATCCTTTACTATCTACATATTTGCATTTCATCCTGCTTTTCATTGTACACGGCAGCACATGATCCCGCCCTTGACCCCTACTTTACACCATCTATTTTCTATTTCTAGTTCGCTTCGTAATCACATTACTTTTAGAATAATAGCAATATACTGTACCATGATGATCCCGGTTGATATTGAGATAAGCTATTCTAGCTACATGCTAAAAGTGTCTGGTCAATGACAGCAAAGACGGAGATCTAGCCATGGTGTGATGACAACACCAATCGTGTATAAAAGCGGCTAGATCGTATTATGCATGCTTCTCACGAGTCAGGGGAGCTATAAAATAATACTTTATGAGCCGTTTGTTTGTTCTGGCATGGGGTAAGTAGCAAGTGAAACTATACAACTCTGTTTTTGTTTTCCTTTTTCCTTCTTTTTTCACTTTCTACAACTATACACAACCATGACAACCGATGCTCTTATTGCTGCCGTAGACCAAATGCACCTATTTGACCTTGCGTCATCCACACCATTACAGATACCACACATACTACGGCTTCCAAACGAAATCATCGAAAGCATCATCAGCGAAGCATCAAGGATACAACGACGAGGAGCGCCACAATTTCTCGGATGGGCTTATCCTGAGCATGAAGCACAACAATTGAGATCACTCGCGCTCACATGTCGGCGTTTCTATGTTTTGTGCGCACCTTACTTGTGGCGAGATAAGGAATTTATTCTACCAAGAGAAGACGACGAAAAATTGCAAGGACAAGAAGATGTCCAAATGGCCACCGATATATTATCTCGGCAACAGACAATTCTAAAACAGCCATTTGGATGCTTTGTGCGATCGCTATGTCGTGATTTATCAAATGGACCCCACTACAACATGAACAACTCTCGTCTCATGGCCCAACTTGTGTGTAACTTACGAGCACTGCGGATCGATTTCCACCCAAAGGCACGTGCAGAGCATTATGGATTGTCATTTTTCATTGAGCATTGTCCTCAGCTTAATGAATTGTATCTTGAAAATTGCCGTGACACATACAACGATTTCGATTCAGTTGTTCGCTGTGGACGTCGCTTGACATCATTGACGTTGCTGTGTTGCACCATCAAGCAGTCGACATTGAATGGTATTGCACAACTATGCAAGCGCACCCTTCGACGACTTATGCTACAGCGGGTGCTTATCGAACCTGGTGATCCTGATACGCATGATTCACACAACATGACCAGCGCCACTATGACTGTCAGCCATGTACTTCCCATCCCGATTCCCTGTTACACACAACTACTACACCATCAACAGCTTACCCAACTTGCACTCTCGGATCCTTTATCGTATTCATTCATCGAGCTCATTGTGCGTGGTTCACCACAACTATCAAAGTTGGCTATCATTGTACGTGAGACGGATACTGTTTGTTGTACGCACGCATTACTACTCCTTGCCGAGCTCAAGGAATTACAAGTGCTGTCGCTTGCATTCAGGAACGTTCATCCACTATCGACTGCCTACGAAAGATTACCATGTCGTGCTATATCAGGTGCATGGCAACACTTTGCTGATCGCCTTCCACAATTACGACTTATTCATGTCTCAGCATCACAATTGTTGCTGCCTGCAGATTTCTTCACTCGTTTACTTGACGCTCATCCTCATCTCTCACACATCATGTTCCATCATATTGCATACGTCAAGAGCAACAATGAAGTATTTGGAGGATACCCAGCTATCAACAACAATACACCTTCCATAACCACTATCTATCGCTCTGAACTCGCTAATGCCAACAATGGCCTCGATGCATGGAAGCACGACCCTGGTTACGATAAGCGCTTTTTCACCTTTGAGCAAGCATATGCTCGTGGTTTCCAATGCTTCGATGAAAATGACCGAGTGTGCTTTGTTATGGGATTCGAAGATTGGCTTAGATCAGATTAATGCGACTAGACCACCACCACCACCATCATCATTACAAGCAGTAGCGCACCTCTAGCAGCGTATATCAACCTTTAATACACATGTACATGTCATCATCACTATGCATTCCCAAATCCAATACCAAACAACGATCAAAGTTATACTACGTGCTTTATTAAGTCAATAAGCCAAATGACCAGTGCATCCAAACTATCTTGTTTAAAAGTGCAGGAGATGTAAAATTGCTCTGGTTGTGCCGCTAGAAGGTCGACCAAGATGCTTTAGGCTGATGGTAGAGAATGACCCTTGACGTATCACAAACGTCAAGCATGAGGCTTTGTGAATACACACGTACTTTCGATTGCGCTCTTGAATCTCACATAGCCATATACCATGTTTTTTGGTTGTGCAGTCTTGTGATAACTCTGCTCTATTAACGACCCCGTGTTTGGTCATAAAATTTTGAGATATGGGTGTCTTTATGTTTTCCATATGCTGCAAGCGTGATGCTATATGAAAAGTGGTCTTTGCTCCTCGTTGATAGCCTCACTCATATGAGTCAAAATGCAGTAAGGACTTGTTTGTGTAACTCAAAACCAAGAGGACGGGGCTTGAAGGGTCAATGTTATTGGCGGATAAATGCATGATTGTAGCCCCCCTTTAGAAAGGCCCGGCTATGATAGCCCGTATAGAGTGGTTTGTTCTTATACAAAGGTTGCATAAGATAGCATTAGCTGAAAGTTATCAGAGGTAAACATGGGATGTTCATGTACTCGTGGAACATTGTATCATAGCTCATCCTTTCTTAACACAATGAATTAGGCTTACAATGAACCAACTTTATTATGTAACAAGCACTATGTTGGATACAGTATCGTCACTCTCGAATCAATGTAGTGCATACAAGCGTTCGAGGACCATCACTGCCTTTCGCCTATAAGTAAGTGAACTAGGAAACTGTGACAAAAGAACCAGAGCATCTCGATACGATGATGACCCATCTCACTTTCCAACCTTCAAGTTTCTTCCATTCCCCCTTTCAATCCAGAGACCAACCAAGTGATACACATCTTGCGCATATGAATTGATTGTACTATGCTCTTTTTAAACATTATATTGAATTCAATGGAAAGTCGAAGAATAGCACATGGTAGAGTGGATGTTTATCGAGTAAGTATGATAAAGGAACAGCATTGTAAATTGGATAAGCTAGGGGTGAATCACATCGAGCCAAGGGGGGTAATTGTGCCATTGTATTCGTGGTTGCTGCCGTCATAAACATTCTTCATCCATGATTGTAGAATAGCTGCTGCATGCATTGACTTGAGTATTCCAATAGCATCCATGGCTGTAAAGCACCTTCTTTCGTCAACTCCATCCCATCCACCATCATCCTCAGCCGTTTACACGTGATCCATCCTCCTTGTTGACAACGCGTAACCATAGCGACATTCCAGCACATCTCATCACTGCACTTGATTGCATCCATCCATAAAATCCGATATGTTGATTGACAATAGCCATGTGATCGCTACTGGTATGCTCCCCTTTCCATCCGGCTGTTGGTCAAATCCTTTCTTGGTCATTGTCTTCCATCTCAGCTCGGCAAGGTGAAGATTGCTTGTATTGCGTTGATTTTGATAGCTGATATGATATCCCATCCATTGAAACCTGTATGTATCAAAGCAAGTTGTTGCAAGTAACATGAGACAATGGAGTAAAGATCTTGTGATAACAACAGCTGCTGTTATGTTTGATCGTGGCAGAAGAGTGTGCAAGAGCGTGTGTTGTAGTAGAACGACAAGGCTGTGAACGTTGTTTGAGACAATGGAGTAAAAGACATTGCTAATAGCAGCTGCTGGAATGAATGCTGTTACGATTGATTATGGCAGAGGAGCGTGTACAAGAGAAGGTGCAGTGTCAATGGAAGGCGTGTGTTGTAGTGGGGTGTGCACAGGCCATGGACCTGCCATTCAGTCAAAGTCATTCAGATCAAGGCAGCTGCAGGAATGACATGATGGGTTGAAGCAGGACAATGGTTCGCAGGTTGTAGTTGTATGTACTTGAATGAGGCAACAGTTGAGAATGAGAGGAAGAGTGAAGATGCTGGGAGTGGAAGGAAGTGGAAATTAAATAGGTGGGACACCTCTTGTCTAAATGCATGAACACTGTATATGAAACCTTGATATTGAGATTGCCCCTCTCGAACCTGAAACTTTCACACAACATGCTCTTGGACATGCTGATCAACTTTGTCCTCATGGATCTTCCACGCTTCATTATGAAAAATTTGAGGACAAGTACTTTTGCCGTAAGCAAGATGGAGCTGCTTCTTCCTAATGGATGATGTCGAGGGCTCTATCTGTAAGGTAAAGAACCAAGTGAAATGCCACGTGGTGGTTACACATACATGCCCTTGACATGTTGCTGCACAAATGGATGGTGGGGAAGGTATGCTGAAAATTGTTATAGGTAACCATGATACGGTTTTAAGTATAGTATATGTAAAGAGAAGAAGCAATAGGTTTGCAGAATAAACATGAATCTCATCAGCTCCTGCGTAATGCATAGAGATCCATTGTCAATTAACATGTTTGCTATAAAGCTACTCGGGTGCCAAGCTACACGGAGCTATTGAATCAAGGTCACGTAGCTTTCTTGTTTTGGATATACGACTTGATGTGTTTGCAATCATGCCATTTTAACAACCAACACGGGATGCTTGATCTGATACAATCTTGGATACTTGAAATAGTCAGCACAAAAATGACAGGTACCAATGTTAGCGGCTCTTTGCATAGCAAGGCGCTGTTGCAATTGTTCGTATGGTTGACCCAATAGATCACCTTGAGCAAATCCACATGCGTGTGCAATCTTACATATACCGATCCAGATTCGGCGATTTGCTCCGCGCGCAATAGTGGTATGCCTTCCCACTTTATAGCATGTTAACAAAGCATCCATGCAAAATCAACATGAATGCACTCTGCGTATCCATCATCAAAACATGTACATGAGAATTGTAGTCCCATTGACTAGGCTGAGAGCTTTTTAATGGACAAGTGATGTTAGCTACAGCCGCCTCAATTGCTCTATTTTCGCCAATGGGTGTTGTTAGTAGGACACAATTATCGAGAAAACAACGACAACCACTCCCCTGCATGTGCAGATATCATCTAATTTGACATGACAACATATATAGTAACATGAACACACAGACAGCTTGCACGCGCACATTGCATGTACATCAAACATAGTTTTGGGTCTTGTGTTTTTAATTAATTGCGAGGAGGAAAAGGGTATGTCGAGAGCGGGAGATTTGTGTGTGTGTGTAAGATGTGTGGGGAGATAAAATGGGAGCAAGGCATGGAGATTAACCAAATCGGGAAGATTGTGTGTTGCGAATCCCAAGAATGGAGCATTTGCCCTGTCTTGTGGCACGCCGGCGGAAGTATGGAATACTTTTTTGCTCTCTTTTCAACAAAACAAGCAGTCAAGAGAAGGTCAGGAATCTTTGCGCTCGTGTATGGAACTTGTAGGACAAGGCTGAATTGAATTTACACATCGCATCGTTTGTCCTTTCTGAAAAAGGATTATCCTTTCCAAGAAGAACTTTACGCAATCACCGTATACGACACTCCTTTCACTTTCTGTCAAGTTGTAAGCAAGGAGTCTATCCGGCAGGGAGTGCAAGGATTAGCCCAGCTAGTATTAGCGTGGATGTAGAACTATGGAGCCAAGTTACACGCTGCCATATCTTGTGCTCACCAAAACCTGCTAAACCTACAACCATGCGTACTAAAGTATAGATGTGTGTAGGGATGATCCAATAACTGATTTACTTTCCCGCTCAGAAAATCTGGTTAATGCGCAATAAATTAGCACATCATGTTGAGTTTCCTAAAAGGAAATGCTGTATCCCTGTCAAAATCTTATATAAGGAGAGATCCCAAGCATCATCTTATTCCCATTATCAAACACCCATTCCCTTCATTCAAACAACCCATTCCATTTCCTTGAAACAATCATCATGAAGTTCTCTCTCATTGCTGCTGCCACCGTTGCCCTTGCTGGTCTTGCCTCTGCTAATGCCATCCAACACGATGTGCACTGCATCAAGTACGCCACCGGTAGGTTTTCTTATATACATCTTGTAATTGAATCGATCACTTATTTATATGTTATTAGCCGAAGTTGCCCAATCTTGTGTCGAGTTTACTGAGGCCAATGGTGTCAACTTCCGCACCTTCCAGGACATCAACAGCGGTCTTCCCTCCAACTGCGTTGTTGAGAAGGATCAAGAATACTGCATTAGCGTCGGCCACACTCGTGCTAAGCGTTGCCTTGCTGAAAAGAAGAAGGCTGAAGAAAAGAAGAAGCAAGAACAAGAGCAACAAAAGGAGGAAGAGCAACCCAAGCAAGAAGAGAAGCCTGCCAAGAAGCCCTCTGGCAATGCTCCCTCTGAATACGCCATCCCCCGCTCTGAGACCTCTGGTTTGAGACTCGTCAACAAGATCAATGAGAACTGCCAGTGGTACTATACCATTCTCCCCGAGGATGATGGCTGCTACGCTGTCGCTGAGAAGAACAACATCCCTGTTGAGACCCTTTACAAGCTCAACAAGAACCTCCACAGCAAGGAGCCCAACGTCTGTGACAACCTTGACACTGGCAAGACTTACTGCATTGGCTTGTAATTTTAATACCATCATTGTGTAATCCTTCTTCATTAGCATGCATTAGCTTTTGCTTGTGATGATGATGACGACGACGATCAAATAAAAAGAATACCATTAAGAGTATACTGTTTTATACATGTGTCAATCTACAATACATATTTACAGGTAGGAAATAATGGATTCAGGTGGTGCATCACCAGGACAATCTTCAAGTCCTTTGGGATTCTTGGTTTGCCAGTTCCATAATGAAGCACATGTCTCCTCAAGCGTCTTTGTTGCTTTCCATCCAAGTTCTTTGTTGGCTTTTTCAGCGTCAGCAACCAGTCGTGGTACATCACCAGCTCGACGACCCACAAGTTTGTATGGTAATTCATGGCCGACAGCCTTGCTGAACGCATGCACCATGTCAAGCACCGATTGCCCACGTCCTGTGCCCAAGTTGTATGCAATGCAGCCGATATGTGGATCCTTTTGGAGCTTCTTCAATGCAGCAATGTGACCTTTGGCAAGATCCACAACGTCTATATAATCGCTGTTGCATCATATCGATCAATCATTTGAAGAGGAATAGTAAATCAAGATGAGCATGTTGCTTACCGAATACAAGTACCATCAGGAGTATCATAATCATTACCAAAGATAGAGAGATATTCACGACGACCGATAGCGACTTGAGCCAAAAAGGGCATCAAGTTGTTAGGGATACCAAGCGGATTTTCACCAATGTTGCCAGAAGGATGTGCGCCCACGGGATTAAAATATCGTAGTAATGCCCCGTTCCATTCCTTGTCTGATTCACATACATCTTCAATCAAGTGCTCAATTGTCTCTTTGGTATGGCCATATGGGTTTTTGGCACCCTATTGTATGATATCATTAATCTTCCATTTATGGGGTATCATCAGCAATGAAGTATCTTACTGTGGGTGATGTCTCAGGAATAGGAACGACCTTGGGTTCTCCATACACAGTAGCCGATGATGAGAAAACGATATTCTTGACACCTGCTTCTTTCATAGCCTTCATCAATAGAATAGATCCGGTGATGTTGTCATGGAAATAGTCGAGAGGGATCTTCGTTGACTCGCCAACCGCTTTTAGCCCAGCAAAATGGATCACAGCCCAAATGGATTGTCGCTGGAATACTTGTTGCAACGCCTTCTTGTCCAACAGATCGACCTTGTAAAACGTCACTTTTTTTCCAGTGATCTGCTCAATACGGCGAATCGCTTCGTACGATGAGTTGCGTAAATTGTCGATGGCCACCACCTCGTAACCTTCATTCAGCAGTTCTATAATGGTGTGCGATCCTATTGATCCCCTGTCAGCATACGAGATTTCTGTTACAGACCACAATGTTATGCATACCAATATAGCCGGATCCACCCGTGACAAGGATCTTATTTCCAGGCATGATATAGCTGTAGTATGTGTATAAAGAGTGTGTATGGACATAAAGAACGGTCTTTTATACGAATAAGGAAGGGGTTTTGTGAACATCCCATGCGTTGTGCGATCAAAATGAATGAATGAATGTTTAATGCATTGGTTGTTTCAGAGATGCTAATGGTTTTCTAGAACGATTATTACGTTTGATAATGACAATGGATGATGAAGAGGAAGGACGTCCCACACGTTGAGACATTGGTTTAGTGAGAGTGGTATAAGCTTGTTGCTGTGATGGTAATCGTCGTGGTTGTGGTTGTGTTGAGGATGTTGCAGGTGTTGTTGTTGCTGTTGCTGTTGTGATGTGTTCGGTCTCCACTCCTCCATTCATTCCTGGTGTAGCCCAAATCTCCTTCAAATCCATGCACATTTGTGCCTTCAAAAAGTCGAGGCTGCATTGCTTTCGTGGCTCCGGTAACATCTGCTTCGTTTGCTTGATAAGCTTGTTGTCAATGTTCCGCCCATGAGTGGGATGTTCCTCGCCAAGAAGACAGCTGATGCTGGGATCACTCTCTTTTTCAAGATGTGACAACGTATCTTGAATAGTGCAGCTGACACCTTCTTCAATCTTGATCTCGTTGGATGGTGTAGTACAAGTCATGCTTGGTTCCTTACGTAACACGTGATCCACATCCACTGCTGAAAAGAACGCCACGCTCTATGCGATAATTTAGATAACCATGTTTTGTAATCCAATCCTTTCCTTGCCTCTGGGAGACTCGCCAAACCCAATTTCCAACTAAAGAGCGCACGTGTCCAAAGATTGGCAACTTGCAATGCGAGAGCCGTACGATGTTGATCCTTTTCCGACGAGAGATAACGCACTTCATCGTGAACCGAAAGCATGAAACGAGCATCGATCTTGTAGCGTTCAATAAGATGAGCCATGGAAACAATGAGCAAATGGAGATAATCGACACCCGAGCTCTGCACAACCCAATTGACGCGTGATGTAAGGAATTGTGATCCAGTGTATTTTGGCTTCAAGGCATCCGTAATACCACATCCAAGGACAGGTGTACGTGGCTCATTCGACAAAGCAATCTCTTCAAGTGCATTGAACATGTAACTCTCGCTTCCACCATGCCAGAATGTGCGCTGAAAATGATTCTTGGAAGAATGCTCCTTTTCACCCTTGGTGTTCGCATAAAGATCAAGGGCACGTGACTTTGCAGTCTCAGCATTCATTCCTTGAGCGTATTGCAATAAAAGGCTTGTAGCATACTTGACACCTGCACCGTAAATGCGTGCATAATTGAAAATCTTGGCCTTGTCACGACTGATACCCAAAATATTGGCCGTCTTGCTATGCAAATCAGTGCCATCCGCCTTTGAGCCTTGCAGTGTCATCCATCCTAGTGCCGATGCGCCGTGGAAACCAAATTGTGCGTCACCAATGATACTCGAAATCCATAGCTCTTCTGAATCAACATCTGCACCCACAATCTTGTATCCTTCAGGCGCCTGTACCATCGACTTGAGCTCTGATCCAATACGATTCGCCTTTGCATTACTTGCTGTGAGCCACGTCTTTTCAACAGCACGCCGTGTAATGGTACCCATAGTCAGCATTTGAGGTAAAATCATGCCATGACGTTGACCAGGTTGCTTGAGTGGCATCGACATGTCATGTTTCACTTGATCATCCCACACCACAAATTGTCCCAAGATACGTTCACGTGAACTGATCCAATAAGCTGACTTGGCATTGAGCTCCAAAGCCTGTTTGGCAGCATCGTATTCAGACGTCAAGATGTTGTTCTCGAATGCTCCAATGTAATTTTTGGCGAGTGGATTACCACAATTGGCCTCAGGACCATCCTTGTGTGGTACTTTGAAATAGGCGTATTGCTCATCCGCCATCACATGCATCAATCCTTGTAAATTCTCTTCGCCTAGCTTTTCACGAGCCACCTTGAAGCACCATCCTTGGCTAGGCAAATAATGCAATGGATAGCCTTGCCATTTTAAGCGCAATAGCAATGGAGCAATACGTGATCGGATTGAGATCTTGAATCGGTCGGCTTTGGTATCATACGCATCCTTGAACCACTTGGGTGCACCTTTGAGCTTGCGTTGACGAGGATTCACATACCAATCCAGTTGACTGAGCCATGGATCATTTTGCCATACATCGGGTTGATCCACAAGTTCACGTGCTTTGTCTGCCAAGTCGCATAACTTTGTATCCACCAATGTTGCAAGTTCCTCGTGCTTACGTGTCGAGTTGGCCAAATAGCGTTCCCAATTCTCATTGACGGTGAGAAACGAATTACCCATGTGAAGCATGCCTGCGAATGATACTGGATGTGGACAATTGCTTCGAAAGCGTGGTAATACATTCTTGTAGATGGCGTGTGTCACTTGTACGTCCTGCGCACAATACGTCATGCATTCATTAAAGTTGTCGCGTACATCTTGTAATGTTCCAGTTTCAAAATAGGATCGTTGGCTCTTATCCATATCAATCTTGCAATGGAATTTGGCGACATCTTTCAAGCTGTTGAGTGAGCTCACATCGAAAAAGTTGGGTCCACCATGTACAGTATCCAATCCATCAGGTCCTGATGCTGTTGATCCCTCCAATCGTTGCTTTTCCTCATTGCTACGTTTGATCCATGCTGGTCGTTGCTGTGAACATAATCCCGAAACGGCAATATGAAGACTCATTGTATCCAAATATCGAATGCCGGATGATACGCGATTGTATTCTTCTGCTATCCGTGCTCGATCATAGCCCACATTGTGTCCCACCACCATCCGTGATGTCGATTGATCCTTTTCAGATAACATTGGAATCAAGTGTACTGGTGAATTGCTTTCTCCTGTGACATAAGGGGATGTCCATGAATACCAAGCTTCTGTTGATGCTGCCACTGCAATCACTGGAAAGTGACTATCCTGCACCAAGACTTCCACATCAAACACGAGTTCATCTTCCAATGGTGCTGCAACCGATGTCGTATTCCCCTTCTTATCATATCGTGTCCATCCACTCTGTTGTATCCACTTTGATGGCTTTGCTGGTAAATCCGCCTTTGCAAATGCTTCTGATTTGGCAATGTATGGCCCCGCTTGTTCAAATCCGAGCCGCATAAAATGCTCTTCAATATCCTTGCCATACAGCTTGGGTACTGTTACATCCACAGGCTCTTGGATCTCAGTATCTTTGCCCCATACGCCTTGCCGCTCAAGATGCTCCTGTGCCAACTTTTGACGCTCCTTGGCATCTCTTGGTTGCGTTCTACGTGGTGGTGCCCCAAATACTTGTTGGTGTAGCTTAGGAGATAAGAGTTGCACATTGGCAGCATTCATTCTCACTGTATATAAACGCGGTGTTAGTCTATCATTGTTGTTCCCATGTGAAGCGTCAATTACATACCGTCATTGTTGGCGTTGGCTTTGGTCAATTGACGTGTGCTGACGTGGAGTAGGCGATAACACGGAAGGGATTGGGTTGCATTGTGACGGCAGGCGGCATGTAAAGTGTAGAGTCTTAGTCGTGCAGTCATGATAGTGTTTGCATTGTATAGAACAAAGGGTGAAAAAGGAGGGAAGATAAAGAGTGTGTGTGTGTGTGTGAGAGCGGTCTGCATATCTTTAATGGGCATTTCTTTGTATCATTATCTCCCCATACAAGCCACCTTATACCCAGGCGTAGCTATGCTGTCCCCACTTCATTGTTAGCCACGAAATACAAACATCACCCTCTTCATTCAATGATATCAGTTTTGAGATTATGGATATGTACATAATGAGGTTGTTATTATTAATCACAGGATCCATCTGCCAGAAGCTTCATAGTTCGTTTGGATAGCATACAGCTGTCAAGCGTCAACATTGACACGCCGCCATCATGCATCATGATTTCACATTATCTCATGGCTCATTATTGTAAGCTTACCGATCAATGCAGTATCATACGCTCACTAACAAAGCCTTCAAATCAATTCTCTTTTTGAAACATTTGTGTTCTTCGTCCCTCTTAAATACTTGATGGGATATACGGATTGACATCAATACAAGAGAGATTTAGTGTCTATCAAAATCGGCCTATTTGACATACATCAATTGCACCTGGCAACATTACACAGCATAGATGATTGAATTATTCTTAGTATGATGGAGTGAGTCTCCCTTCCTAACCCATAACCCATTAAATAAAGTCATCGTCGTCCGAATATGCGGGGTTTGACATTTCCCCTTTACTAGGGAAAATGTACAAAATTAGCAACAAACTACTGATGCTTGTCATCCATGCTCACTAATCATGCTATCATTTGGTTGTCAATGACGACAATGCTATTATGGAAAAGGTCTCCATGGACATTGCAGCAGTTATCGTTATGAAGGCATGCCATACATCTGCTGCCGGGATGTGATCTAATGCCGCTTCCGCTCCGACATAGTTACGACATGTGTGGTATCATTTTATTGGTATCCAATAATACTCGAATCCATTGAGCTCGTCATTTGTATTGAAGAAAGCGGTTGTGCTTTGTAACACTATTCCAAGAAATCGGCTCAACACAATGATGGCCCACATTGAGCCACGTCAATGAGATGACGTTGTCGGTAAAAAGGCAAAGCGAGCTAAAGCTGTGCCGTTGTAGTCGCCATGATGAATGTAAGCACGACCTTATCCTTCTAAACAGGAAAGTCCACACGCATGTCTCGGAGCGCGGTATCACATTCCGATTCTTAACACGAGTGAAATGAGCCATTTACATGCTACGATAACAGGTTGAATGGCTGTCCATCCCTTGTTTTCTTTATGAGAGGGAATTTTTGCTTGTTTTTCTCCAACAGGTGACGCCGCCACCGCTATTTGCCAAGAACTTCCACTTTTCCTTTCCTGTAGCTTTCACCATCATTGTCGCTTCTCCCTTCTTCTCCCGATAAAATGCATCACACAATGATTCCCTATGTAGTCTATCATCTTTGTCAAGTGCAAGAATAGCCAATCTTTATTCTCGATAAGCATCATTTTGTGCGTGTGATAGCATAGACGACGTGTTGGGCTTTTACAAGTGGAGAGCTTAAATAGAGTTTGCACCCAGTTCATGCCCATGCCTTTACATCACCTTGTCTCCGATCTTCCGTTATTCCAGGTTCATCAACGCGCATAGTTCCCTAAAAGATGTTTCCACATCCCTTTTGCTGAAAAAGAAATGATGAGAACATAAGAGAAACTCAGTTTGATTGTGTGCCCCCCATTCCCCATGGATGGCATTTTGTTGCAGTGGACATGATGGCGCTTGTGCAACGACCCTCCATGTTATAAAAGGCCACGTACTCTTCGACGTGCGATTCTTCACATTTACAATCTCTTTTACATAACATCATGAGTGGTAAGTTATCCTGCGGGTATATTATTGAGTTTTCTCTAAACTCTTGTATGGCTATCAATCATAGACGAAGAACGCGAATTCGAAGAGCAAGTAGAGGAGGAGGAACAAGAAGAACAATATGAGACCGGCAACCGTGCTCAAGGAACCGTTCGCTACGGGTAAGTCATATTATAGATGTGCTTTGAGAACATATTAAAGTGGCCATATACCTAACATCATCATGTAGTGACGTTATCTGCCTTAAGCACGCTTCCACCGGCAAGTATTTGACCTCGAAGGAGGAGGGTTATAGCCATGATGGCACCAGTGGTCAACAAATTGTGAGTAGTCGTTTTATGTAGATGATGATTATTTGCATACAAGATGACTTACATGCAATGTATGTTTATCTAGGTCTTCACCAATGACTATGAGGGCGATGATAGCCAGGAATGGCTTGTCATTCCTGTTGAAGGCACCGGCCAAGAGGACGGTGGCGAAGTTGGCTTTGATGATGAATTTAGATTGAAGCATCAGCAAACTGGTCGCTACTTGCACTCTCATCCTGATATTCCAAGCCCTGTTACCGGTCAACAAGAAGTCACTGGTTTCGGTGGAGAAGACGAGACCGATGAAAATGATATCTGGGTATTGCAAGCATTCCCTGATTATGAGTACCCCGAGGAGGACTATGTAAGTTTATCGCACATGGGTGACACACAATCATGAAAAAGAATCAACCCTTCTGATTTCTTTGCAAATAGCTCTGGCATTTGGATATTCCCCTCGTCATCCGCCATAAGATGACCGGCCAAACCTTGTAAGTTGCTAGTTGCATCACTACTTTTTATATGCGTATACTCATCACCATGAAATACTTATAGGCACAGCCATGAAGAGGAATTTGATGATGGTAACGAGGTCACCGCCTACGTTGGAACTGATGACAACGACCAATGGATCGTTGCATTTGATTAAAGCTATTGCTATTCCCCAGTGTAACATGTACATCCTTTTTCTTCCACACAATACCAAATAAATGGACCCATTGTAAAACCCAGCGCCTTGGCATTATCGATGGCTCGTAGCTCACTCTTCTTGTACTTTGGATTCCTACATCGTATGATACGGATAGTAGTCTGATGAATGTGCACCATGTCAACACCTATCGCTATAGTGGAAACGGCTATACGGTTTCAATGGCTGTACATGCAAACATGTCACTTGAAGTACTTCGCCAGGTTGAGATAGACACGAGAAATCAATCATGCTTTACGTCCTTAGCGATATAGCAAGGCATTCCACAACCACTCAACGTTTCATGCATGAAGTTACATTGACATTGTTTACTCCGATGTGCTTATACCCAGCTCAATGCCATAAGATTTTGGTATCCTTCAAAGGAAGCTATTCAGTCAATGGGATCATCACGCAATTTTTGCACTGTATGCTAAGAGCTCTTTACACTTCAAACGGAATTTTGCTTATGCTCTCAGCGGTGGCCATTTAAAAAGCTGTAAGTTATCACACGCAATCCCCATGTTTACAACTTTCAGGCCAAACATGTTTTCCATCCATTCCAATCCACACACGTATCCAAGATGCTGAACCATACAATGCATGCCGTAAGATAAATAACTTTATGGTCAAGGATCAAATTGGGTTCTATAATACAACTATACACTTTATTACTATTTCATACAAATGCTGGGAGACCGGTGATAGCCTTGCCAAGGATGAGGGCATGGATGTCATTAGTTCCCTCGTATGTATTAACCGCCTACCGACCGAAACCGAGAAGTCTTTAGTAAAATGTAAATTTTTTGTTGATATTACCACTCACCTCGAGATTTGCAGCATGTCGAATGATGTGATACTCATCCGAGATACCGTTACCACCCAACATATCACGGCAATCGCGAGCAATGTTCAAAGCCTTGCCACAAGAGTTGCGCTTGATCATGGAAATCATTTCTGGTGCAAGTTCGTTGGAATCCTTGAGACGACCCACTTGGATACAGGCTTGTAAACCAATGGCAATTTCGGTGTGGGCATCAGCAAGCTTCTTTTGGATCAATTGACGGCTAGCAAGGGGCTTGCCAAACTGCTTGCGATCGAGAGTATAGTCACGTGCAACGCTCACGCATGCTTCAGCGGCACCGAGAGCACCCCATGCAATACCGTAACGTGCATTATTCAAGCAACCGAATGGACCCTTGAGACCCTTAACGGCGGGCAGCATGTTGTCGACAGGGACTTCTACATTGTCCATCATGATCATACCAGTGATTGATGCACGTAGAGAGAACTTGCCCTTGATAGCAGGAGCCTCCAAACCCTTCATGCCCTATTACGACGTAACACATACGAGCAAGTACATCCATTATCTTGGTAAATAAAAGTTGCCCTTTTGAAAGTTTTTCCCACGGATGGCCTTGTACACACGCTACATACCTTCTCAAGAATGAAACCACGGATAGCACCATCCTCCTCCAAATTCTTGGCCCATACAATGAAGACATCGGCAATAGGAGAGTTGGTGATCCAAGTCTTGCTGCCGTTCAAAACGTAATGACCATTGACCTTTTTGGCTGTAGTCTCCATGCCAGCGGGATCAGAGCCATGGTTGGGTTCAGTCAAACCAAAGCAGCCGATAATCTTGCCCTTTGCTATAAACGCATTCACATTAACAACTCCATCACCATATGATATCGATATCCCTCTTCAACTTACCGAGATCAGGCAAATACTTTTCCTTTTGTGCGTCTGTACCATAAGCATTGATGGGATGCATGACAAGAGAAGACTGCACAGACATGGCAGAGCGGTAACCAGAATCGACTCTAGTAACAAGCATACAAACATTAGGATGTCTGTTGCCTGGCAACGTATTTCCAAGTATACTTTACCTTTCGACTTCACGAGCTGTCAAGCCATATGAGACCGAAGATACACCGGCACAACCATATCCATCAATAGTGGAGCCGAGGAAACCAAGCTCACCCATTTCGCTCATCATGTCGCGGTCAAAGTCTACATCCAAAAGTTAATATCAAACACGTAAGAGATAGAATAGAGACATACGTTCGTTGCGATAGCCTTCAAGGACACGAGGCATAAGCTTTTCCTGGCAGTAATCGTGGGCAGCATCTCTACGAGCAACCCCCATGTCAACATGAGTCACTCATTGCAAGCAAGAACGTTACTACACATACCTGACCATGCGTTCTTCGTCGGTCAAAAGCTTGTCGAGATTAAGGGGATCTTGCCAGTTGTACTTTACAAAGGAGCTTCCAGCACGTGCAGCCATGGTGCGATGAGCAGCACGAGCAGCAACAGCGCGCGTAGTTGCAGGACGAACGAAGTGACGAGCAAGCATGATATGTCGTGTGTGTATGTGTATGTACAAGTGGAAGAAAAGAATTAGTGGGAGCAATCTCTCAAACCAAAGATGCCTTTTATAGCAAATTGGCATGGAATACAAATCACGGAAGGCAACGGGGCAAAGAGTTTTTCCATTTCACAGGCCCTGGAGTGAGATATCACAAGACTGAATTGGATTACATGCATGCAAGCTATGGATCTACCACTTTTAAATAGAAAAGATGTTATCATTTAAATGAAATAGCCTCATATCAAATTGCAAAATGCCTTCATATCGTTCAGTGTTATTGTTCTTTCTATGCATAACCGATCATTCCCTTACCCCACAAAATTAAATCACTCCGGAAATAGGTTTACACACCAGCAATCTCCTTTGACTAATAGAGTTGTCGGCCATCCAAATCCCACTTGTATCTGACACATTGAATAAGAGAGCTATGATCGATGATGCTATTCGCTCGGGTTCAGGATTATCGCTCAACCCCACCATCATCAGTGATTACCAAATGTTTCGCTATATTTTCATAGTCTAGCACAGCTTATTTGTTATTCCGCAGGAACCATCCTTAATCTTTTTTGATCCAGCCCCTGTTTCCTCATTCATCAATCTTCGCTTTGATCTACTATCATAAAATGCTGATGTTAGTGATCGATCATGCACTTGATTTTACATAATTTCAGCTCTCTGCATGCTCGATTTGCTGCCCTCTTTATCGCATAAACCTTAAGCGTTTTCTACATGCGTGCAAATGGATCTCCTTTACGTTCAAAGTCAACTTGTCCTATCGAAAAGGATGGTAATCTTTCAGCCTGATTCATTAGCTTCATACATGATGCACATTGAAGTCATTCTTTTTTTTGATCGTTTGAATGCATCTCTCTACATCCTATACCTCGTGCATGAATGCTGTTTTCCCAAGGATGGTGGCACATTCAAAGTTGTCTCGTCCTCTGTTACTGTTGCTCGATTCAGGGCATCCCTCTTCATGTTGTCAGACAATTAAGTAGAAATGTCGATGATTTGAGGAGTTTGTGGACGATAATGACCCCGACGATAGCTGAGGATGCGATGGATCAAGTGGTCTGATTAGGTAGTACGCCGGCAAAAGAGCCAACTATCACAATGAAAATCCATAAATCGCCACAACGATGACTACATGTATCAGCTCAAAGTCACATGGCTGCTTTAAGTGCTATTGCTATGATGATGCGCCCATAAGCGTCGTTTTTGACGTTGGAAGAAGCAGTCAGCAAAGAGGTATAATAGAGAAAGGATAATGACACGTTCTTTGTATGTGCATAGGCGTGAGAATTTCTATGCTCAAAAATGGAGTGAATGATAAAACGGTGGCACGCATACACTACGACGATGATGAAGCCTACTATTACCCTATCATCATCAAAGCTGCTAGTAGGCGTAACGTTGTGCGTGCATCAATCGGCGACTAATGTAGACATTTACTTTTTGACCCCATGTCAATCACAAAGAGGCTTGCCATTGTTTGGATAATGCTACAAATCTTTATTGTGATATGCGAATTCAAGTGCTACAGGCTAATGATAAATGAATGCAAGAGCAGCGATTGGCTACTTGGTTGCCAAGTGAAGTGTGTTGGGTGGCAACCCGCCAGTCACATTGATGACGCATGGCCCAATTGGGCTTTCGATAGGCTTGCTGTTTTTTTGCTGTTCCCTGTACTTACACACACAACCTTCCATATTACCATGTCCATTGCCCGCATCGCTTTCGGTTCCATCACCAGCAAGGTAGAAAAAAAGAAAACCTCAGTATTACGACATTCGAGATCACCCCACTAAGACATGCGTACGAACCCACTTTGTTAGACTTCGCTCGCTGCCCGTTCCGTTGCCGTCCGTGGCATCGCTTCTTCTGCCGTCATGAACAAGGGTAATGAGAGGGGGTGGAAAACTATGCACACGAGTCTATATATATGATCAGCATCTCATATGATGAAATGATAGACGTTGTCCAGGAGTTGTATCTTAAGGAATTGAAGGGTTACAAGCCTGCTCCTGTTAGTACCTTTTTCAACGATGTCATGGATGAGAATGATACTAATACCGGTATTAGGTCAAGGCTGATGAATCCCAAGTCAAGGACCTCAAGCTTCCCCCTGCCCCTGCTGTAAGTTTGGTGTACTTGTATATATATAGATAAGACGTGGATAATAATTTGGAATATGCATTTAGGCTCCCACTGTTGACGCTGATTTGGCCGAGCAATTGGCTGCTTATGACAAGGAGCCCGAGGAAGCTACTCAGTAAAAAGAAAGAAACCCAACAAACGCAAAACGACGACATCATACACCGATAGATGCATGACCATTTACAAAATAAACCATGGGCGGGTGTCTGTGTAAAATATGGATAAAGTCTATCTCTGTTGTAGTTATTGTATGTATCAAATGATGTGAGTGTGTGGCAGTAAAAAGCTCAATGTCATGCATGCATGCACTGATGTATAAAGGCGCGGATGGATAGCCGAGAGGTGGTGGTTGGTGGTGGCTTCGAAGATTCAATAAGGAAACCCATTGTTGCTGTCAAAAAATTGACCCGCTGTCTTTTTTCTTTTGTGTCGTTCTCTCACTCACTCACTCACTCAACTCACACAACACAACACATACACTCGCATTCTTCCGCCATGGATTCCAAAGATCGTCATGAGGACAAGGTCCTTGACGAGAGCATTGGCGAGAGTTACCCACGAAATGAGTTTGAAGCTTACCAGTCTCCCGAACCACCCAATCTCTGGAAGGTGTTCAAAAGCCAAGTGACAACCCGTGAAGGCTGGTGGGGCGACTTTGATTGGATGAGCATGTGCTTGCCATCAGTCTTTGTAAAGAAGGAAAAGCGACATACACCTTTTTGGGGCCTCAATAGTCGATTGCCATTGGGTTTGGCTGCAGTGATGGGATTTCAACATTCTTTGGCTATGGTTTCAGGTACAATATGATAATACCTATATCTTACCCATGATCCATTAACATGATTCATATCATAGGTGTCGTAACTCCAATTCTCATCATGACCGGTGAAGGATCCACAGCTTTCAATCTTGATACGGCCGATCAACAATATTTGCTCTCAGCAGCTTTGATTGCATCTGGTTTATTGTCTCTGATTCAAATTACCCGTTTTCGCCTTTTCAAAACCAGTAAGCATTTATGCGCCAATCTACAGATCCAGAATCTGGGATTTTTATTAATCATGCATCTGAATTTCTAGATTACTATCTTGGCACTGGTTTGCTATCCGTTGTTGGTCCTAACTTTGCTTCCATTGCTGCTGTTAGGTATGATGATACCCTATAAGAGGAGGTGTGATCTTGTGGATACTGACAATGGCATCATCACTTACATAGTGCGGTGGCTTCTCAAATGTATTCTTCTGGATATTGCCCTACCGAAATATTGGATGATGGTACTACTCGCTATTTACCTTGTCGTCATGGATGGGGAGCAATTCTCGGCACATGTGAGTATATACGGTGTAATTCATTATACGTAAACTAACATCTTTATTCAAATAGCCATGGTATGCTCCTTATTTGAGATTGCAGTCAGCTTCTTGCCACCGAAGGTGTTGAAGCGTATCTTCCCTCCCATGGTGAGCGGTGTCACTATCTTTTTGATTGGTTGTTCTGTTATCAGCAATGCATTGAAGGATTGGGCAGGTGGTTCAGGTATGAGAATAGCAAGGAAATAGGCTGTTGGATGGTATTGACATACGTCCTTATTATTAGGCTCTTGCGCTTCCATGCCTGATACTGGTTATTACTCCTTGTGCCCCAATGTTGATGCACCACATGCTCTTCGATGGGGTAGCGCCGAATTCATTGGTCTTGGATTTTCCGTTTTTGCAACGATTGTCCTAGTGGAGAACTTTGGATCATCCTTTATGAAGAGTGCTCAGGTAAATTACAAGGAACATGTGATGTGAATGTAACTAATGCATGTATGTAACACAGATTGTGCTTGGTCTTATTGTCGGCATGATTATTGCAGGTGCCACTGGTTACGTGGATGGATCTTCTATCGATACAGCTCCTGTTGGCACATTCATATGGACAACTACTTTCCCTATTACTATCTATGGACCGGCAGTGATCCCGTTCCTTATTGTATACCTCGACAACATCCTTGAAAGTCTTGGTGATATCACAGCATCATGCGACGTCTCTGGTGTTGAAGTGGATGGTCCCATGTTCTCAAGTCGTGTTCAAGGTGGCTTGCTTGCTGATGGTATTAATTCATTGATTTCAGCTTGCATGACTATTAGTCCAATGGTAAGTCCACACAAGCAAATACCCAAAGATAGATATGCTAATGTATCGACGATATAGGTCACCTTTGCCCAAAACAATGGTATCGTCGCATTGACGCGTTGTGCCAATCGTATTGCCGGCTACTTTTGCTGCTTTTACATTTTGTTGTATGGAATCTTTGGAAAGGTGTCGGCGACCTTTTTGGCTATCCCCAGCCCAGTAAGTTGATTCTTGTTTTCCTTTAACTACATGCTAGGATTTCACTAAGACATGTATCATAGGTGCTTGGTGGAATGAATGCTTTCCTTTTCGCATCGGTCACTGTATCGGGTATTCGTATTCTTGCATATCTCAAATGGACGCGTCGTGATCGTTTCATTGCCACAACAGCTCTTGCGCTTGGTTTGGGTGTGACTCTATGTCCAGGCTGGTTCTCGCACGTGTTTACCTACAGTGGTCCCAATCAGGCGTTACAAGGTTTTCTCAATGCTGTGGTGACAGTGGTAGACACCGGCTATTGTGTGGGCTCGTTGATGGCCATCTTTTTAAATTTGGTTGTGCCACACGAGTGGGGTCCACAAACGCTGCAACAAGAAGAGGAGGAGAAGAAAAAGGAACGTGAAGCCATCCGTGAAGGTTTCATGCGCACGAATGAGCTGGATGAGCAGGCCTCCGCTAGCACTTTGCCTTGCAGCAGCCCGGAACCTCGTCATCATTAATATCGTTTATTACGCTCATGTATTATAGTCCCTAATCTTATCCACACTACACATCCCCTTAATCGCAAGCATTATTCCATTCTTTTCTCTCGCGCATTTCTTTTAGATCCTTTTGCTATAGACTACATGTTTTGCATTCATCATTTGTTTGACAGCTGTGCTATAAAGTTAATCTTGAGCTCAGAAGCAATAACATTGGGAATGAATGGTAAAAGGTGAAACGTGGGACATCAACTTTAATCAATAGACTGCCAAGAAACTTGTTTACTAGCCATAAATACATATTCACTCTCCCATTCTAATGTAGCGATAGGAACAATGACACACTCTTGTTACAGTAAATGCGCGATTGGAGAACAAAAGGATTACATTCGTGCATATGTAACATGCATAGCACATGCAGTAAGGAGAAAACACAAGTTACCCTTGATCGATTAGTTGACATGTGGTACGATACACAGTCTTTTGCTTCCACACTATTATACGTGATGTCACATTCATCCGTGTATGGCATACACTCATTCGAAGGAAAGAGATTATGTGTTTCGGAACTCCTCTTTCTCTTTCACATCCTCTTTCTTTAACATACCCACACCTACACCCACACCCACACCCACACGCTCGTGTATATATGTTCTTATGCGAATAACGTCCCGGCGACGATGACTAATATCCGTATTACAACAACAACAACAACAACAAACCATTATCAATCGCTGTCGTCTTCCACGACGCTTCCTGTACCTTCAACCTATCACACCTCCTTTCCTGCCAGCCCCGATTCACTTCAACGCCTAGGCTCTGGCGATGATCTCGACATTTTCGGCATTGCAGTTTACAGAAGCAGCATCCCAAAGCAAATGCGTACGTGATTGGGTTTATTCCACTTGTTGTTGGGAGGGGGCGGAAGGTTACACTACAACAACTCGAAGGGCCATCCTATTTACATGTATCCCATTCTACAGGCTTTATTCGGAAGGTGTACTTGATCACCACGTTACAGCTCGTTGGCATGGCAGGACTCGCCACAATTCTGGTACGCGTCGATCCTTTCTTTCAATGGCTGCAGCATAGGTAAAAAGGAGGAGTATATAAACCTATCAAGGTCAATTGCTAAGCAACGGGTTGCATCTATGTTTTCTTTTTTGATAGCAAATACGCATGGTGGGTGCCACTCATTCCTACATTTTGTATCGCTACATTGATTGCTTGGCATTTATGGATGCGATATTTCCAATTGGCGCTGGCTCCACGAGTTACCCTATTGACATGCTTTTCCATCCTCATGGCTATGATCGTTTCGGATATAGGCAAGTGTACATATACATCAATTGGATGTAAAGGAGACTAGGGAGCATCATGTTGACAAATGTTTAGTATCCAAGCTCTGTTACATTGATGGCGTGGTCGTATTGTTCATGTCGATCTTTGGATTGGCGGGGATTCTGTTATTCACTTTACAGACACAAGTAACTTTTTCAGGGACAAAGCCAGTGTAAGTAACAAACAACAAATGTGCTATAATGATGGAGTGACAAGATGCTAAACATCAACCAATAGATTGGTGAGTGCAGTGAGCATTTGCATGAGCTCGCCATGGTTACGACGTGCCTACGATATGGATCCAGTGACTATTCTGTGGCCTATGCTGCTTGCATTGATCATTTGCGGTTACACGATATTGGAAATGTATTTCATCATGGGCAATGTGACAGTCGACGATTTCATGCTCGCCAATGTGTGCTTCTATATTGACGCCTTGTATCCGATGCGATGTCTTCATAATATTTGCGAGCTGACTGATAATGTTGGTGTCTTTCCCGATATTCTGCGTCCAGGGTATGAATGAAAGCAACAAGAAACCTTAGCATGATGCATTCTATTCCCCCATCCATCCATCCATCCATCCATATTACCCTGCCATCATTTGTACACCCAAAAAGTATGCCCACAACAACCACACACACAGAGTCATACCCCTTCTTTTATCACCCCATCATTCATTCCCACTGTTCAATAGAAAAAGAGACATTTTATATTGATGATGACCTGAGACTATTATGAATGATGCGTTAAGCATGGTGATGGAGAGAAAAAGAGACAAAAGAGGGCCCGTGCATCGTTGAACAAAGGGATGTCGGCTTTAGGAGACCAGTAAATTTTGGCGCCAACAGCGCGCTATGTGTACACTGCTGCTGCTGCTGCTGCTGCTGCATAAGACCTGTGATCAGCTGTACCCATTTTAGTCGGGCGCATTTAGCAAAACTTTGTTCACTTGCCCTTTCCTTTTTTTCTTGCTCTTCTCAGTGTTCACCATTCGATTGCCTTGTTTCCACGGCACTCATTTCTCGACATTGACCAACTCATTCCCTCGTCAGTGTGCTCGATACGACTCCTTTGTTCAAGAAAAAAGAAGGTTTGGGCTCAGCTTAATTTGTTCCTTGTTTTCTTTGTGCAATAACAATGACCCTGTTTAATAGTTATGCAACATCAAGAATACTATGAACCATCGCGTCAAGTAGTCAATAGCAAGGAAGACAACGTTGGCTATTCGAGTGGGTTGTCGTTTCCTATCTCGGCGACTATCGATGATGGCACACAGCATCAACCAGAGGAAGGAAACGATTCGCTCCCAACCGATGCACAGACACATGGGCCACCAGGGATCGCACAACATATGACCCAAGAGTCCAGAATGATGGTAACGACCCTTACTCTATATCCAATGATCTATCCTAATAGCATCCATTTCCCATTAAGAATCATCATCATCCTTCCTATCAATCGAGCATGATAATGGATCCAGCCAATCATGGTATCAATATCACCACTACCGATTTGTTTGATTCGAAGCCTCCTTTTACTACCAATACACCCGTGACCACCAATATCAGCAGCGATCCTGTGCTAGCTTTTCCTAGTGCGTCCTCCCATTCGCAACCAATGATGAGTACCTCGTATTACCACCGTCGTCAGCCTCCCCCTCCTCCTCCTCACACAAACTACCCGGCTAGCCGAGATCCCTTTTTCTCATCTGCAACCATGCACAACAGCAACAACAACAACGCCCATATTGATACAATGCAAGAACAGAATAGCAACCATTCCGAATTAAGCTCAACATCACGTGTGTTTCCTTACCAATTACCACCAATTATGTTATCGAGCACAGACACAGGGAACTCACCACAACAACAATCATCATCTTCACCCAATTCGTCCATATTACAAATAAGCAACGCTGCATCTACTGCAAGTCACCCATTACACACGTCTGGGGCATTTACAACGACTTGTTCTCCAGCCGATTGGACGACTGCATATGCAACTACATCATCATCATCATCGTCAACAGCACATCACACTTTCTCATCCAATTTCCCACCCGAGCTAAACATGATACCCATAACAACAAAATCACCTCATGATTTGCACGCTACAACAACCAATCGCAACATACCATCATCCACCACAAAACCTTATTTAAAAGAAGCAGAAACAAAGACATCATCCTCGTTGGCTATGACTACCAAAGAGCTTGATACTCATGAATGGAACAGTAACAATGATATGATACAGGTAAGTAATCACATTTGGACAACGTCATTGTTTTATGTGCTTATTATCGTTGCTTAGGAACCAAGACGCAATAGTAGTCGAGCCATTATCATTGATGCTCGCTCGGGGGAAGATTCTTCTTCCGAAGATGAAGGCTCTTTTTCCACTCAACGACGACGACACAGCGCTACGGCAGCCATCATGTCATCAACCAATGGTGACGCAGCTTCACGAGATTTTGGAAAGGAGGACAACAATGCACCATCACGCGACAGTGGTCTGGAGCATCTCGTATCACCAAGAGCGATCCGTGAAGCCGAAAGAGAGGAAAGAGAAGTTGCTATACGAGGCACACGTCATGAACATCCATTCTCGGCTTTCCCTTCGTTTATGTCAATGAAGCACCTGCAAGAAGATGAGATCAAGGCTTACTATCATCGTATCGAGAAAGAAAATGATCATCATCATCCCCCATCTTTGCCACTCCATCATCGACAAGCTTCACTCAGCCCAAGTTATACTGAGGAATCATCATCATGTTCATCACCTACCAGCAATAGTCCCCTGTTGAGCTCACCCACTCCTATTACCGATCATCACCATCATCACCAACGTACTATTTCAACCATCGTGAACGACATTATGGAACCACAAGCTGATACGGAGAAGAAAAGATCATCCAAGACGCTGAAAAAGGAACGATTAAAAAGACCACCCAATGGATATTTATTATTCAATCGAGACATGCGACGTAAATTGCTGGAAAAGTCACCCAAGATGACTGTTGCTGAAATCAGTAAGGAAATTGGTGACATGTGGAAACGACTACCCGAGGTAAATAGACACAAATGCACCCATGTTGCACACGATTAATTTTACATGCATCATCATTAGAATCAACGAGATTGGTATATGCAGCAGGCAGCATTGATCAAGCAGGATCATCTCAAGAATCACCCTGGTTTTATTTATCATCGACGATCCAAAGCTGAGATTGCTCAGGCACGACGACTTGCCAAACAACGTAGAACATCAGCTACAGCTGCTGCTGCCACCACCACTACTACCCATCCAACCCATGAGGAGCCATCCGTCACTATTAGCAAAGGCAATTGGGTGGTATCCACTACAGCAATGACATCCATCATTGATACTGCTGCCAGTGAGCAGCAGCAGGAGCAACAACAGCATTCTCGTAAGAAATCAACAACGACAACACGTGATCCTCGAGGACGTAAAAAGAAACGACATCGACATCCTGAGGCACCTAAACATCCAATGTCGGGTTTCTTGTTTTTCTTGTCAGCTATGCGACCACACGTTGCTAGGCAATATCCTGGATACCCAGTAGGACCCATTAGCCAAATCATTGCCAAACAATGGAGGGCAATGCCTGATGAAGAACGATTACCTTGGCTACAAAAAGCTGAAGAGGATAAGGCTCGATACGCTCGTGAAATGCAAGTCTACATGGCAAATTTGGAACGTGGCAGCGTGGCACAACAAGCTCCGGTGGAAACAAACGATCAATCAAATACCACAAGTACAACAACAACAACAACAGGACAACAGCAGCAGGTACTGCCAGCTCCTTCATCATCATTAATACCCTCATCATCATCACCACCCACCACCACCTCCTCCTCTTTTCAATCCAGTTTTTTCGCCCCTGGTCTAATGGCATCCGCTCATGTTGATGGTGCTAACAGTGCTTCGAAATACACATCACAGCATGAGCTCGCATGGTAACACACATTCATATTTCCTGCAGCAATTATGGACCCTGGCATGAATATCATACATATAATAATGTTGTTGGAGTTGTATCTATTTCCATGTGACAATTACTGTAGTAGTAGCCTTCACTCAAAATACAATGATGACCTTTCTCCTCCTCCAAAAGACTCCTTTCTATCTTATGATTCTCCTTATGTATATCAAATGGAATGAAGAGAGCGAGGGTGGCATGGGATGATAAGAAGAAATGACATGTGCTAGTTTTTTAACGTTGTTCTGGTCCGGGTGCTTTTGTTGGTTGTCATGGCTACATGTATACAAGTGATGAACGAATAACCCCATCCCTGTTTTCATATGATAAAGTCCACAAGTGCAATTGTTTCATGTGCTTTACTACTTGTTATCCCTTTGCTTCCCATCACTTGTTATCATTGTGTGTATGTTATGATCAATGGCTTTACTGCGACTCGGTCATCAAGTCCGCTCTCTTTTCGCTTCATCAAGACCACCAGCACTCGTCTATAACACCTCTATACCTCTTGCAATCACCCCTCCTCCCAACAACAACACCACTCTCATAAGCAGCTCGACACATACCTACAATTACGACATGACCACCGGGGTTGCTGCAATGGGTGGCGACATGCCGCCCCTGTTATCATTACCAATGAAACGAAGCGACTCGATGCAATGGGCACTCGCACTCTTGCGTTACATTGAGAATGCCTACGCCGAAGACACTGCCAAATATGAACCAGATGCCCATGCACTTGATGAACTACGCCAAGCTTGCTGCTTCAGTAATGACCTTCAACAACCTGTCGAACCCACGCTTGCAGGTCTCGACCAACTCTTCACGTAAATGTCTCAGGCCTTAATGTATCATGTGTATATGCACTGATACTCACACGCCTATATTCGTTTTCTAGGTACTACTCCCAAGTGGTATTTGTATGCACTCGTTTCCCGGTGGATGTGAGTAGATTGTGGTTGTGGTGGTCGTCGTGGTTATAGGTTACTGATTTTAATGCAGGTAGGGCTTGAGTTTCCGTGGCACCCTGTGTTTCAGAACAATTCCAAACCAGGTGAGGATAGTAGAGTACTACTACTACAATAAGGATCCTCTTGAATGCTCATAGTCTTTTTTATATAGCACCATTGAGCAACCTCAATTATGAGAAGGCCTGTGTCTTATTCTGTATTGGAGCCATGTACAGTCAACTTGGATGCAGAGAGAGTCGAATATCAACCGATGGGATACGCAAATCATGCAACTTTTTTCAACATGCTGCTGGATGCTTCAAGTATATCGACAAGGAGATCATCAGTGACTTTCGTGGAACTCCACCTCTTGATATCAGCTCAACCAGTCTACGTGCTTTGGTATCATTGATGTTGGCACAAGCTCAAGAATGTATTTGGCAAAAAGCTATGATGGAGCATATGAAACCAGGCACTATTGCACGATTGGCGCTCAAGGTGGCAGAATACTATGAATCGGCATTGACAGAGCATAAGCACGATGGCGGTGGTGCTACGACGACATCGATTTTCACCAATCAATGGCAAACTTATATGCAGCTTAAAACGGCCTACTTTAATGCTGTGGCACAGTATCACAAAGCAAATGAATGCATTTCACAAGGTCGATATGGCGAGGAGATTGGACGTCTACGATTAGCCGAGATGCATAATCGCAAAGCACTGGATTGCATTGTTGGATCATTGGGTGGTGGATTATTCTTTGGCAGTAACACGAATGGACTTGTGCATGAATCTTTCACCAAGAACGTGCGTGCATTGGAAGAATCGATCGAACGTGATTTGATACGAGCAGAAAGAGACAATGATCTTGTATACCTGGAACCCGTACCGGATGCCACACAATTGCCACCCATCTTACGTTCTGATATGGTCAAACCAATGATACCCACAGGCGTCGTAGATCCTGCTCAACGATGGTCCACATCGCATGAACGTCCCATGTTTGAAAAACTCGTGCCATTCGCCGTACATCAAGCAGCAAGTGTCTATTCAGATCGCAAGGATTTTATTATCTCCAATAGCATTTGTGCTCCATGCACCGATGTCCAAGAAGAATATCAAAGGTAATAAGGAATCGAAAATGGAAGAACATGATCGCTAATGAATGCGTATTCAGATTCTGTGAGCAATTAAAGTTGCCTGCATGCATTGATGTTGTGGATCCAGAAACGGTGCCTGCAACACTTACTGCCTGTGCTGAAGAGGTGCAACATGAAGGCGGTGGCCAAGCGATACGTGACATGCTCAACAAGGTGCAGCAAATGTCCATCAAAAACATGCAGCTTGTGGATGATGGTTTCAACTTGCTTGAGGAAGATAATGAACAAGATGAGATCTTCAGGAGGCAATACGGCAATTGTATGTATTTATATGATGGTGTTGGCAGGTTGCTAATCAACGTATTGTTTACATAGTATGGAATCGACCTCCTTCTCAACAATTGACTTCGACGCTTTTATCACAAGGATCCAAATATCATGATACATTGCAAGCTGCTCAAAAGGCGGATCGAATTGTGCGTGCCAAAGTCAACAATTGGGGCAAGGCTATCGATATGCTTTCACAACCCGTGGCTGAGATTATCGCCAATCTACCAACGGTGCGAGATGATTCTCAATTTGAGCAGCTGGATGATATTATGCGACGACTACGTGGATTGATTCATGAAGCTGAGGAATGTGAGACGCGACAAAAGCGTGTCATGGAAGAAGCGCAATCGATGGGTGCAGCAGATGATATCTCGGATGCATTACTAGCCAAGGCTGCTGAATTGACGGGTGGATCAAGCGTGGTCAAAATTGAACCTGAACAATTCAATCAAGTATTCGAAGAAGAGCTCAAAAAGTATGATGGATTACAAACCAGAGTCCAAGAAAGTTGTCACGAACATGAACGCTTGATGGCTCGATTACATGAATTGCATGAACACTTTCAGTTGGCGGTGCGAAACAATCATCAGCCAATGGCCACCAAACGTGAAAAGGCGATCCAGAACCTTGAACAAGCTTTTGTCAAATTCAAAGAGATTCGTACCAACCTCGTTGAAGGCATCAAGTTTTATTCCCAATACATCGATACACTTACCAAGTTTCGAGATGCATGCGCTGACTTTGCTCTTGCAAGGCGTATGGAGGCTTCAGAATTGGCAAGGTATTATTATTATTGAACACCATGTCCCTTTTCTTCAACTTGACTCATACCTCTTGTTTGATGATTATAGAGAGAATCCCTATCGAAGGCCATGATACAATTACCCATTTGTTACCATATTTACACTCGACATTTCACTCACACTATGTACTACTTGTGACAACAAGTCTCTATCCCTTGATCCAAGTACTCCTCTCTAAAATATTCTATTCTTTATCGTCCAACACAATATATTATTTACACCATTGCATCTCTTTTTCATATCATGTGGAGTGATTTACCGTAATTGATCATTGTGCTTCCATGACCTTCAATCGAATTACCCCATTATTTGTTGGTTTTCCTAACCTTGAATCGATGATTTGCATGTGTGTTGACAGCATCCATGATGCACATCACGTAACCCAAATACGCTTACTGAACCCAGATCTTCATGATAAGAATGGCATGTTGTAGTACACTGATGCCTGATTTGGTTCGGATGGTTCCGCGTCAGCGGCATAGTTTTTGGAAGCTATCTCTTGCGGTTGTATCTTTCTTCTTCTTTACTCTCTTCCACACATGAAACACTTTAGCATTTTTGTCGCCCTTGGTCTTGCTGCAGTGAGCGTAGCTGCACAAGCAGGTGAACAAGCAGTACTCAAAACCAGCGAACGCCACCAACAAGACCGTCGTCTCATTCAACTAAGGTATGGAATTCCCCCACGACAATGTCGCATTGAGTGTTGGTCATTGCTCTTTATTGCATGTTGCAGTATGGCCACCTCTATTGACGACCTTTTACGCTACTTTGTTCTTGTCCTCCTTCTTATTTACACGTCTTTGAAAAGTGAAAACGACCCTGGCACTTGGCTTACCGAATATGAGATTCTCACGCTGGTGCAGCAACGTACACCTTTCATGGATATCACTGATCATCCCCCTACTCTGGGTGTTGAACAACTTATCGTTGCTGATAGTAAGTGTATTGCATATGGGATTCAATTGGATGGAGAAGAATTCATCGTGGACAATTTTACTAGAGGTCCCTGCCGAGACATCTTACCATGAAGAGGTGCAACGATTCATCGATGACTTGGATACCACAAACATGCAAGAAAACTTGGAAACCTTTACGTCCTTCCACAATCGCTATTACAAGTCGTCGTGGGGTGCACGATCATGTGCCTGGCTATTGGAGAGAATCAAACAAATCGCCGAACCTGCCAATGATCGCGTTACTGTGGAGCCATTCCATCACAAGGTATTGAATGATGCAAGGCACCCCGTCGATTCATTTCAGCATATTTAACATATGCTTCATAGTGGGATCAATTCTCTATTATTGCTCGATTCAATGGCACCAACCCTGATCTTGATAATGAAGTGGTCATTGTAAGCGCACACCAAGACTCCGTCAACATGTGGCTTCCCGACTTTGGTCGCGCCCCTGGTGCTGATGTATGTAGTAATAATACCATGCAACTCTTTTCTCGTTCCACTCATCTTTGAATTATCCTAGGATGATGGCAGTGGCACTGTTACTATCTTAGAAGCATTCCGCAGTCTCGTTGACAATGGATTTGAACCCGAACGTCCCGTTGAGTTCCACTGGTACAGCGCTGAAGAGGGTGGATTGTTGGGAAGTCAAGATGTGGCCAAAGCATATAACAAAGCTCACAAGGATATTGTTGCTATGGTGCAAAATGACATGACTGGTTACATCGGTGCTAATGGTGAGGTCTTTGGTATTGCCACCGATTACGTCCACTTGAAGGTATACATATCCACAAGCTGCTCTGTGTACAAAATACCCACTTTGAACCCCTTTTATAGGTGACAAACTTCATCAAGAAATTGGTCGATACCTATGCTGATATCCCTTACGTTGAAACTGAATGTGGTTATGCATGCAGTGGTAAGAAGGTCGATTCTCATATGCCTTGACAATTAGACTCACTTTTGTATGTCAATAATGCCAGATCACGCTTCGTGGCGCAAGTACGGCTACCCCTCATCGTTTGTAATGGAAAGTGCATTCGATGACTCAAACCATTATATCCATACCTGGGATGACACCATTGACAAGCTTTCGTTCGATCACATGAAGGAGTTTGCTAAGGTGGATATCGGTTTTGCTGTCGAATTGTCTCATCAACGCGAATAAATATGGCAATACAACATCTTGCACATGATGAATTACTAGATCCAAGTATGACCAGCACATTAGTCTTTTTTGTTCGCTCTCTGAATCAACATGGATGATTTTGGGTGGTGGTAAATAGACAATCTACTGCACCATGTGCATTCAATAAAGGCATGTTATATGATTTACGCGTGAAGCGGCCTTTAGTTGTATACAAGTCTTCCAAGTTCCTTTGCAACAAGTGATCATGGACCCCATCACCTTACTACATAACACCTTTTTCCATATTTCACCTTACCCCATCTACACAATAATGCACATTTGGCTGAAATGAAAACAATGCTATGCGTATGCAAGTGTACATTTCAATAGTCGTCTAGTTGATGCAAGCAAATGGGTGATCGTGTGATGATGACGGATTATGCACTTTTATCGGAGGACAAATAATTTGGGTCGTTACTTAATTTCCGGCTAAGATTATCGTACCATGTTTGGAATGCCTTGACAGGTAAATAACCATTGTCGGTGAGATTACCCAACGAGATTGCATTAAGGGGAAGATTAGGCTGAACAAATGAATTGACGTAGTTGTACAAGTTTTCAAGAATTTTGGCGGCAAGGTAACCAGCTTGGCTCATGTTGACAGGCGGCTTAACGATTGCCATGGAATCGGAGCCCGTGTCCATGGCCATGTCACCTTTTAGTGCTTCGACTTGTTGCTGTACTGCGGGGATAGGATCGATCGAGATGCCGAGTGTGGCAGTTGTCGATGGCATGGGTATCGTATTATTGTTCTTGTTGTTGCTTTGTCGAAGTCGAAAGATAGCACTTGGCTTTTCATTATATAAGCTATAAGGGGATGACAAAATCAGATATGCATAATTATTCTCTTCCCGCTTTGTTTCTACACTTTTCTAGCACCCTCCTCAACATAAACATCCTCTTGTATACTTACGCTCCTAATAATTGCCATTCCTTGTTTGGCCATAAAAGATGCACCGTTGCACCGTATCCTTGTTCAAATGGAATGGTGCCAAGCAAAAATACAACAATGTGGTTGATTGACTGGGCGTCCGATAACTCAAAGACGTACTTGTTTGCATCCACCTGCTGTAGGTTTGTTTGTACCTAGGAAAGCCGTGAAGATTTGATGTTAATAGATGCGCTAAAAGTTGTTTTGAATGTTGGCGTGTGATACCATACCAGCCTTCCTGCAACTATGCAGCCAAACATGTTTGAAGAAAATGAGAGAAACGCTGTCTACAAGCCCGCTCGCAGCTGGGGTTTTTAAACATCCTTTGTTCGGTGCCACAGTCACAGTCAGCCCGATGTTGGGTTCCACCGCACGCGAGTTTTTTTCCAGCAAAATCTTGATCCATCCATGCATACGCGTTATGTGTGTAGCACAATCATCATGCTGAGATTCATAAAGACCTGCCATCATCAGCATAGCCAATGCTGTGTTTACGATCACACGTGAGCCAACCTATTATCAATGATCTTTCTTTCTTGGTAAACGCATCGAAGGCAACCAAAGCAAGGTTTATTGATAGCATTGGTAGAAATTAGATATCATCTACTTTGAATGAAAGTATCATCATTCATTGTTCATTCAAACAATGAGCTGGTCCAAAAGTATGTGCACTATGAAGGAGCACTGTTACGATCCTAGCAATCTTATTGGCCAATCTTTTCAATCGCATTTGTGCTGGCGGAATCTGTTGAGCAAATTTGCTGCATGAACTTGGGTACTCACATAATACAACCTTGAAACCAGGGCCCCAAAAAGAACCGTGCTCCATCAAAACGCATACAATGATGCATCATCTACACAATTATGATCATGATGTAAGGCGATTACCTAAAAAGTGCAAGACTTGAATGTGGGAGAAGAAAAAGGTGCTTGGAAGAAAAACACACGGATCATTATGGTGACACACAAAGAAATCTGGACCCGTGCGTTTTGCTGGTGTATCAAACGATCATCTTGCACCAACCTACCCACCATCTTTTTTACCCCAACATCCATTTTCCTTTTTTCTTTTCCCCCTTTTTTCCCTCCTCCTGAAACTTGGCTTGTTTTCCTGCGAGTGGACAATGACTATCCATTCTCCTCATGCTCGGATATACGAGAAGCCCGTAGACCGATTGGATTATTATTATCAAGCGATCCATACAACTATCCTCAGCAAACAAAATGCTGTCAGCGGCCTTATTCCCGCTTCAGTGGCTATCACGGTATGAAAATTTGCTTCCTTTTCTTAACTTACTAATGCATGTCTAATGATTGGCTGCTTATCAAAGACACATGGTGATTACACGGATGCATGGGTGCGGTAAGTAGTCGACAAAGAGCCTTCATAACCTTGGTTTAACATGTATACTCGGATCTAGAGATAATGTTTACTCTATTTATGCCGTGTATGGTCTGGCTCTTGCTTATCGGCGGATTGACAATGATACCGGAAGAGCATGTGAGTCCAAACAATGGGGCCCGGTGATGGTTGCTATGGGATACAAGCATCTCTTTTCTCGATACTAATGCCACGTACCAGTTGAATTAGAGCATTCAGTTATCAAATTGATGCGAGCTTTATTGTTTGCCATGATGCGACAAGCAGACAAGGTAGAAAATTTCAAAAAGACACAATCGCTTGAGCACTCTTTGCACGCCAAATATAACACCAACAATGGTGAAACGGTGGTGGGAGATTTTGATTGGGGTCATCTTCAGGTAACAAAATAATCCTAGCTCAAGGACTTGTAGCTGATAGGTCTTTCTTTATAGATCGATGCGACAAGTCTTTTCCTTTTGGCATTAGCTGATATGACAACGAGTGGATTGACCATTATCTTTACGCAAGACGAAGTTGACTTTGTCCAAAACTTGGTATTCTACATCGAACGTAAGTATGATTTTTCAAGAGTTGGATATTGGCTAATACAAAGCGTGTAGGTGCATATCGCACTCCTGATTATGGCATTTGGGAGCGTGGGAACAAGTCTAACCATGGTCAACCTGAGCTCAATTCATCCTCAATTGGCATGGCACTTGCAGCATTACGTGCTATCAATGGGATCAATCTCTTTGGTGCTAGAGGTGGTCCATCATCGGTAAGCCCTCCTAAAAAGTTGTGTGTAACACAATCATGCAAACATAGCCTTTATTATTAGGTGATCCACGTACTACCCGATGAGTTGACACGCAACTCAACCACGCTACACAGCTTTCTTCCTCGTGAATCCAATTCGAAGGAGATCGATGGCTCGGTGTTGTCAATCATTGGCTTCCCTGCATTTGCTGTATCTGATCAAGATTTGATTCGCCGATCCAAGCAAGAAGCCAAAGATAAGCTAGAGGGCAAATATGGATGGAAGCGGTTTCTACGTGATGGCCATCAAACTGTGTTAGAGGATACCACTCGCTTGCATTATGATCTCAATGAGCTCAAGATCTTTGAAAAGATTGAATCCGAATGGCCCTTGTTTTTCACTTACTTGGTTTTGGAAGGCTTGATGACGGGCAATTTGGATCAAGCACGCGAGTATAGACGCAAGTTGGAGCCTTTGGTGATTGACTCGCTTACCATGCAACCCGTATCCATGTCACCAGCAGCTCCTGTATCACCGGGTGCTTTATCATTTTCATCGGGATCGTCATCTTTCATGAGCCACCATAGTAGCAATAACAACAATAGCATCCCATTGCTTGCCGAACTCTACTATGTCCCTGCTGAACACATCGATGCTGAAAAAGAAAATCCACACTCGCAACCACGCTTGGCCAATGATAACGTTCCACTCGTTTGGGCTCTTTCGCTTTACTTTTTGGGATGCTTGATTGAAGAAGATTTGCTATCGCCCTCCGAAGTTGATCCACTTGGTCGTCGCTTTAGCGCCAACAAAGTTGCACGTCAGCATATTGTGCAAATTGTGTTGCTATCTGAAGATGCAGCATTGCAAAGCACCTTGTCCATGTATGGCCTTGAAACTCAAACTCTGGAAGAGATTACATCCAATATCACTGTTCTTCATCCACGTACCCTTGCCGAGGTATATGCTGGTCTTGGGCGTAATGCGAAAATGGGCTTGAGTGGCAGACCAAAGAGGTAAGTGATGTGTCTTTTAAAGCAAGATTTGGGGGAGGTATACTAATACAAAATGGTAATCTTTAGGCCCGTGGGTGTTTTGGGCACATCACGACTCTACCGTATCCAAGGGCAACTTTATGCATTTACTCCTCATTTTATGGACAATGAAGAATTCTATCTTAATGCAGACCCAGATTACCTCGTATCAGCATTTGAGAGCGAACTCAGCTTTACAAGTGCCAATTGGTTTTACCCTGGAAGGCCTACCATGGTAGTAGTGTTGACACATGCATTATTGGGAAGCATGCAAAACCAGCTTCAAGACTCAGAGACATACCCATTGACAATGACGCAACCGGATCGATCCAAAAAGAACCTTTTGAATTTTTTTATGAACCTACGTTGTGGCGACTGCAATGGTGTACGTGTGCGCTTATGTCGATTAACTGAATCCGTTAATACAAGCAACATCGAGTCACTTGACTTTTTGGTCAATCAGCCTGAGTGGGAGAATATCTTGGTGATGGCCAATCGTACCGCACGTCGCCGTAGACGACGATCAATCCATCGAAAGCTCGCCTATGATGAAGGTGAAACACAAGCCAATACGCCTCGTACGCCTGGTACCAAGACACCTTCTTCAAGAAGACGTAATACGGCATTCCATGGCAAGTCGCTTGCATCTCCGCTTGATAGGCTTAATCAAGAAAGCTACTTTGACCAAATCAGCACTGCACTTGCCCAACTTGAAGCTGATGCATATGAACCCCGTTTCAAGCTCAAAGATCCAGAGAATGTACCTCTTGCTCGTAAAACAGTGGCCCATGCGGATTCCCCATTGGGTGCTAACAACAATAATGCTCGCATTACTGAGCTAGATACATCGGCAAGCAGTAGTTCTCCAAGCGTTGTAGGCATAGCTGGTATATCAAGTGTATCAGATGACCAGCAAGATCAGCAACAACAAGCTATGACTGATTCACCTTTGGCATCCGATATGCTATCACTCGTTCTTGGGGATCCATCACAATTTCAACAGGCTGTTGAATCCCTTGTTGCCTCCGTTAACTTGTATGATCAAATTGGTAAGGTACTAATTAAGATGCAATGATATACCATGTGCTCATTATGGAGTTGTAGACCTGCTTCAATACCTTGTATCATGCAAGTCGCTCGATTTTTATGTCAATGAATTGGAAGCCACCATTAATGAGCTTTTGGAAGAGGTGTATCTTAAATCAATGCGTCTACAGTATTGGTCAATTGCACGCCAAGCTGCTGGTTTATTACGTAAACTAGTGCCATCATTGACAATCAACATCACCGATCTCGTGATTCGGCAGAAGCAAGTTAGCATTGGATCAGGGCCACAAGAATACCTTTTATCGATGCCTACAGGACCTGATGCCTTAAGGAAGATGATTTCAGAGCACTGGTAAGGAATACAACATGAAGGAAGGATTCGAAAGACTCATTGTGGGAAAACAGCAACGACGATGTACGTGAAGGGCCTGTAGTTCAAGAGATCATTTTGTATTTGGGAAGTTTCATTCGTACCGCGCCTCATATTTTTGATGGCATCCTTCGACTACGAACCCATTACATCATCATTGCATTACGTGAAGAGATCAGCCGCATCAATGGATGTGACGAGGAAGAGGCAGTGGAGCATTTGATGCAATTATCACCCTTTGAGATCAAGTCGCTATTAGGCACCATCTTGTCGGGTCCAAGTCTTTGTGATGCTACTACAAGTGATATTGTGGTACGCGACAAGCCTGGTGGATTTATGATGCTTTCACTTCCACCCGCTGTACCTAGCATGACTTCCATTAGCAACATGACTAGCAACAGTACCACAGTAATCGAATCCGCTGACAAGGACATCTTTATCCGCGTCCAATCGGCTGGATATGCATCGGGCAACTTTGCACGTGTCGAGATCAATGGCAACTCTATGCATGCAACATCACGTGGTGTTCATGTATGGGCTATTACGCGTGATGGCGTTCACAGCGGTGGGAATGAGAGCAATGGAAACAAATTGCTGTTGGAGCGTGCATCATTCGATACCCATATTTCGATCGAAGAGAGTCGAAGTTTCAAACGTTTTATTGATTGGTTGGCCGCTGGTACTATCGTGGTGATTGCTGTCAAGGATGATTTCATCGAACATTTGGATCAAGGTGGCATTGATGCTCTCAAAAGTCTTGGTAGTACCAAGATCCAACAAGTTGGTTATCGTGATTCTTACGTGCTGATCTCTGAGAAAGGCAAGTATCTTTATTATCATAACATGATAATGAACCAGCAATAAAAGCTAACAATGACAAATGATAGGTGCACCCAAGGAAAATGCAATTGAGGTCCACAAACCCCATAACATGGGTCCGACACATGTCGTTGAACGACACATTGATCTACAGCTAAGCAAGTCTAATGATATCCATGTTGCACCGACCTCGTTGGGTGGCAACCCTGAAACCATGACAACCGATTTCCCAAAAAGCAACGGGCGCTGGTTGCGTCGTAGAAAGAATGATGGCGCTCTTAATCGTGTACCACCCAACTTCTTCCCTCGTGTATGGCAGATCCTTGATAGTAGCAAAGGTTTGCGCATTCGCAAGCATGTCCTTCCGCGTGATCCAACAGTCCTTGAAAAGACGGCTGAAGAATTCAACTTTGCCCTTGCTGTGGAAGGTTTTCTTGGATGGTTCATCGACCCTGCAGAACGTCAAATTGCTGTGGAGACGTTGATGATCATTTATCGCTTCAAGGAACGTAATCCCGAGATGCGGATATTGGATGACATGATTGATATCTCTGCCATTATGGATACTGCCATTCAATACTTTTGGAAAAAGTGGGCCAAAGATGGATATGCATACGAGGCGAACAAGGATTTGGCACATACTTTGTTTTATGATTTGCCACAACAAGGATCATCTGAAAGCACCTCATCTTATCTCGCCAAAGCTGCTGTCAAGGTGTTGCCACTTGAGTTTAATTATCAAGAAGAAGAAGCTTAAAGACATACTATAAATACAAGTTTATGTTGGGGGAATAAAAAGGAAGTATCTTCATTTATCAAATGATGGGATGATGTCTATTGATGGGGTCTCTACATGCTCTATTCCATCATCTCTTGTAAGCGTTCTCGTGCTTGTTTACCATTATTCCATTGGCCATTCTCATCACAGGTAGGTAAACCCACTTGTTCCACGGCGAAGCTGGCAGAGACAGCACCATAAAAACATGCCTTGTATGGATCCATATTGCATTCTTCCAATCCGATACATAATCCTCCACAAAAAGTATTGCCTGCTCCTGTGACATCGCGTACACGTTGTGGATCTTTGCTCCAATAGGCAGGTACCCATCTTGGTGTAGTGTGATCGGTTGAGTAAACGACAGCTCCTCGTTTTCCAGCACGTACAATGAGCGACTTGGGAGTAGTGGTGGTGTCATTGTTGCCGTTTTTTGAATATGGATTGCGGATAAAAAAGTCGTCAAAGAGCATTTGGCTGTATTTCTCAATGGATTGTGTTGTATCTCCAGGTTGCTGGATATTCAATAAGGCTGCAGCTTCTTCATGATTGGGCGTCACCACATCCATCAATCGAGCAGCTTTGCAAACAACATCATAAGCCTGTTGAATAATCAAGTAAATGATCCGAGATGTCGAATGAGATAATTATAGACGTATACCTCTGGTAAACAAGCCCATGGTAATGGTTCCCAAACGAATTTAGCCGGGACACAATCAGCTCTTGCACGCCACTGGGTCACAATGTCAATGGCTCTCTCTGGTGCACAAATGATATGGATGACCTTGACAGACTTCACCCACGACAAAGGAGGATCCAGGGCTGTGATGCGAATAATAGGATGGATGTATTCAAAGTCGCTATGCTGAGCTTGTTGGTATGTGCGTGAATCCACTTCCAGCAAGGCTTACCGATGATCATTGGCACCGAAGATATTCAATCCTCGCGTTGTAGGCATATCATCATGACGTACATGTTGCAACGTGATCTCGAGACTGTCAAGCTGTTGCTCAACTTCCAACGGTAGATCATGACCTTCCTGTGCAAGGTATGCAATCTTTAGAGATTCAGGAGGCTTCAACCATACTCGCATGCCTATATTGAGGAACGCTTTAGTTTATGCACTGCATGTCGACGACTCAATGCGTACCATAGATTGCGTAAATGCCTGCACCACCAAGAATATTACGTTCCTCTGTACCATCAGGATAACGAATGTCGTCAATGATAAGGCTTCCGAAAGAGGTAAAAATTGGGTCAACCATAGGAGAGAGAAAGAGGTGGAATGTGTGTTGCACCACCTGCATGATATCATATGTCTCATTTACGTGAAACCTGGAGTCTGTTCTTTAACCACAGGTGGGATACTACCTCATTCAAACCAACACATGATGTAAAAAGAGAAGAGATTATAGATTTTCATTTGATTGCTTTTCCATACACTTTTCCAATAAAGTCATAATATTATCTAATCCTTTCAAAAGACCCTCATCTTGTGATTGTCTATTGGCATCCCACCTCGAGTGTGCAAAGTCAATCAGCCGTACATCGCATAGCTTTGGTTCTTCTTCTTCATCCTCCTCCTCTTCCTCATTCTCTCCTTCTTCCAGTGCTCGTGTCTTTTCTTGCCGATCCTTTTGCAACATACTTTTCCATGTCGTATCTGCTGCCTCCTTATCACCTTCGAACACCATCAATAGCGATGCACAGTACATCTCCAACTCGGGATGCTCCTCAACGTATTCACGAATGGACCCAATATCGTCGAGAAGGTTCTCCAAAATCCAATTCATCTTGGTACCCGAAATACGCTTTCGATTGCTGTCATTGTTGCTGCTGCTACCACCAATGTCCTTCTCTTGTTCTTCATCCTGCACAATCACTGGATCATTGGCTTTGGCGTAGGCTGATGTAGGGAAAAAGAACGATAATAGACCATCCAAAATCGTGTCAGCTGTTCGAGAACGACCGAATTGCTTGTCATAAATAGCCCATGTACGATCAATGGTATTGTAGACCTAATCAGTAAATGTAAACACCTTCTCCACGGTGATAATGAGTTGATAATACCCCTACCTTCATTCCTGATATACGAATCCCGAGTTCTTCAGAGGTGGTTCCTTTGGCATTCTTTTGCATCTTCTCCCGTTTCTCTGGTGTCGCATCATCATCGTATAACCGGGTGCCCAATTTGAGATCGAGAACGCACGGACGTGTAAAACCATGCAGCACGTTTTCTAAACATAGATTCTGTGTATATCACACACGCATCCCATGCGGTTAAGGATCAATCAATAACAATGAATACACATTCCATTCAATGATAGAACAAAGGATATCATCCAAAGATCGTCCTTGGGAGTCGCTAGGTCGATGATCTTGTAATGGTGTATCAGCATCGGTGGTAGAGGAAGCCTTGAGAAGAGTCTCTGATAGCTCTGCATCATTTATATGCTGTTCACGTAACATTGCCAGTTCTGAATCGGTTGCCATATGCAAGTTGCCAAAACACTTGGGAATCCAGCACTCGAAATCGGGACGTTGTTGAGCTTCTTCGTAAAAGTCGATTTCCTTTCTGGTCGCTGGTTTGATCACCATAAGGTCGTGTGTCGAGAATCGAAGTAGTCGATCGTGTCCAGCCACTTGATCGGTGAATTTGACAAGCTTTGTCGCGTTGGGTGGAATGACGGATGCCATGGCAAAAAGGAGGAGACAAAGAAAGGGATAATGCTAGCTGTCCGTTTCTTCTGAGTTTTGTACAAGTTGCTTTGCTGGATACCCTTCTACATACACAACACACGCATATTGGTCCCATAAATGTAAGTTCAAAGACATGCATTATGGAGGGAGAGAAAAAGAGTATGTGCCATTGAAGATGTATGTGGATAACGTGGATGATTTATGCATGATACTACATAGACCCCTTTTTGGGCATCTGCAAACATCTATGGCAATGGATCAAACACAGCTGGCGGGACCATGGTCGCGATGATCTATGGTGCCATTCTACACGTATCTTTATAAGGTGCTTATTACCGGATTCAATGGGTCAACCATAGTCAATCGTTGCACACATACATGCTCACACAAGGCAACGTCAGATCTTCTCTTCTCCCCTTGTGATACAGACGATGTTGAATCAAGATCTTTTTTGCATGACACAACAGACATGAATGATTATTGGCGAGGTTCCCATGCAATAAACGCCGTTGCTCTCTCGGAACAAAAGAGCGTGAAAACTCCGTTGAACTTTTCCAAATCTTTCAGGCACGTCGGGTTAAAGTAGCTTGTTTCATCTCGTTTAGATTTCTTACTTCTTTCTTTCCCGCTCTCTATTGTGTATACTATGGCCTCACTACGTGGAATTATAATTGGTGCCTTGACCCATGCTCATCATGAGCTCGAGAAAATGTCCAAGGCATATCCTATCTCTTACGTACAAGCAAAATCTCGAGAGGAATTCTTGCAGGATTGTCAAAGTGAAAAGTATCAAGATGTGGTTGCTGCCGTACTCTCTTATGAAGCCATCCCTGTAAGTATCCCCTAAGGTGGCTCTTTAAAGCATGATCGTCTTTTACCAACGCGTGTCTTAGACTTTGGGTCCATTCAACAAAGAGTTCATTGATAAGCTTCCTCCAAAGTATGGACCACAACGTGGGAAATGAAAGCGCCGCCCCAGCCCACAACCCCACTCACTCATTGTCAATTTAGACTCAAGTATCTCTCTTGGAATGCTGCTGGATATGACCCTGTAGACATTGATGCATGCACAGCACGTGGCATTTTCGTTTCGCATACCCCTTCTGCTGTGGACAACGTACGTGTTATCGCCATAGCTAACGTGTGCATGAGATTCACCATTATGCAACATCTAGGCCACTGCCGACGTTGCTGCCATCTTGATCTTGTCGTCATTCCGTAACACGTCTCAATTTGAACGAAACTTGAGAGAAGGTATTTGCATTACATCAACAAGGGATGGCTGATGAAGAAGAAAGGTTGACAATTTTAATGGATTAGGCCGCTGGCGTCATGGTGTCCAATTTGGCAATGATCCTGAGGGAAAGACTTTGGGTATTCTTGGAATGGGTGGTATTGGCAAGGCGTTAGCCAAACGTATGTATGGCTTTGATATGAAGATTCAATACTACAATCGCAACAAACTTGATCCCGAAGGTACGGAGATGAATGGGGGTGCATGAACTTTCGCACACTTTAGGCAATCGCACAGCCACTGATTTCGTGTGAATCATCATTCTTTAGTCGAGAACAAGTATCATGCATCTTACGTTGATTTCGATACTCTATTGCGTACATCCGATTGCATCTTTGTCAGCGTTCCCCTCAACAAATCCACTTACCACTTGATCGATGGTCCTGAGTTTGCAAAGATGAAGGATGGTGTTATCATTGTCAATACAGCACGTGGCAAGGTTATTCGTGAAGCAAGTCTTGCTAGAGCCTTGGAGACTGGCAAAGTAGCTGCTGCTGGTTTGGATGTGTTCGAAGATGTAAGTAGTGCCCCTTTTTCCCACGCTATTGTTTCGCCATCATCCTCATCTAACACGTAATCTCTGTAGGAACCTGATGTGATCCATCCTGGCCTATTGAGTCATCCTCGTTGCACACTTCTTCCTCACATCGGCACCAACACCCAAGAAACCATGCATGCAATGGAAATGGTTTGCTTAAACAATTTTGAGACCGCACTCACTAAGGGCACATTCATCAATCCCATTCCTGAGCAAAAGCATCTGTTCTAGTAGTTATATTGAAGAGCGACTATATAATACAGATAAAAGGGGGATTATGATACTACAACTGAGGATGAAGAAGAAGAAATGATACAAGCAATTATACAAGGGGTGGGAATTATGGATGCAATGTACACTGAGAGATCTAGACTTGGATGGCAGGTTGTGAAATTGGATTGTTGGTTAGATCTTGATAAGGACGCTTGGGTGGTGGATAGGGTCCTTCTACAAGCACCATGAATGCTTGACGCAATGCACGTGTAAGGGAATTTCTCTTTGATGATTCGGTTGTCTGATGCGATTGACGTTTCGACGCAACGGTTGCTGTGGGTGGATTTGATTCTTGTGCAGGGGATACTGGAGGAGTGTTGCTGCTGCTGATCGCCATAGCATTGTTGTCATGTGCCTGTGCAATGGTTGACACGTCGATCTTGCATGGCTTTAGCCAAGGGTGATACAAGACTAAGTCCAAGGATGCACGCGTTGTGTCAGGAGCAAGCATTCGACGTAACAAGTCCTTGACATCTTTTTAACGACATTAGCCATGGATACGGTATCCAACAACGCGTTGTATCTTACCTGACGATAAGTCTGGAGGAACGCTGAACCCGGCATGGAGCATCTTTTTGAACATTTGACGGTCATTGGCAGCATTAAAAGGGAACTTGCCTACAAGCATACGATAGAGGCTGACACCAAGAATCCATACATCGACAAGTGATTGCTGCGATGGGGGACCATGGGCAATTGACATTTCTGGTGGAATGAACTGGGCGTTGCTTTACATGTTTGGAAAAGGATGTAAGTTTAGTCGTGTCGTGCAAAGGCAATAAACAAGGCAACACAAAATGATGTACTCACCCACAAAATCGGTGCTGTTCGGTATCCCCCCTGATTGAGAATCGTATCCATTCGATATTGCTCTTGTCATCAAACAGGATTTCGATATCACGAGGTATGTTGCTGGTACCAGAGTACTCCTTTTGCCTTTCCAACTGCCGTCGATATGCTGATTTCACCATTTTGGCAAATTTATGGCGACATTGGTCTTCATCACCAACCAGCTCTGGAGGAAATCGAGATGCATCACTTTTTTGTTGTTTCGAGGAAAGGAATAAAGAAGATGGCTCGTATGACGATTCGACTGCAGATGATGATGGTGATGAGGGATGATCTTGATGCTCCTTATCGTGTTGTTCAATTGAGTGATTGGTATCCATGGTAGTTGATGAGATAGGCTTCATTTCCTTGTCCTCGTTGTTGTAATCAACTGATGAACGCGATAGACGTGGTTGTGGTAAAGTTGAATGAGTGGATTCGGATTTGACGGTCTCGCTTTCTTCGAGAATGGTGTATAACTCTGCTGCGGTAGTGCGTCTTCTTTCGTCGTCGTGGTGTTTGGATGTGAGCTCAATGGATCGTTTGTTGGCAGGTGAAAGGGAGGATACCCGCTAAAAAATGAAAAATGAAAGAAAGAGCAGTGGTTAGTTGTTTTGAAAACTTGGGCGCTTTGAAAAGGGAAATTGACTATGACAAATGCGCCATAATCAATAACATGGTGCCTGATTTTTGCTCTTTGTGACACCCGCCTGATGCTTCTTGTTCAACAACGACGCCAAAATGAACAAGCCTCCCCTCCTCCTTTTCCGTTCAATCAACTCAATATATTTACCAGTATCACATATTTCATCCACACACATAATAAAGCCTGCAATCAATCATGGGGAGAGAAATTGGATGTGAATGAGAACGTGGACCACCGAGATTGAGTCAGCTGTTGCTGCTGCATTAAAGTAACGTGGATATCCCTTTCAGGGCAAACAAACAAACACGCAAAGTAAACGTGGATGAAGTAATGCCTGAAAAAGCTGCTACCCGCCAGATCTCATAGCACCCCCTTGCATGATTTCTTGCTCCCACCCCTTGTTCATTCCACACATGGCTTTCCTCCATTGCCCATAAACACCCATTCCCATCCCGAGTATCGGAATCTGATAATTGTGGCAAATTGAAAAGCTCACCTGGGAAGATCCTACTCGTCGTGTAGTGACAGCAATGGGTTGCCGGGTACTAGTGCCGATGACAGCTTTTGTGCCCGTGTCGTCGTTGTTGCTTAGAGAATCCGGTTCAATAAAAGGCAATGGTGGTCGATCAGGTGAAAGGCCGTGGAAATTTGATGAATGTGGTGATAGCTTGGCACGTAGCCGTTGCCACCAATGTTTAATAGGATCGGTATTGTCGCGCTGTCGATGATGCGATATTGTTTGTTGTTGTCTTTTAGTGCTGTTGTGTTGCTGGGATCCTGATGGAAAGCGTAGCATCATCTAGATGCCATGAAGGTTGTAGACAACAGCAAAAAAACACGCTCAATGTGTGTAAAAATGGTGAAGGATAGTAGCTTTAAAAGAGAAAGAGAAAACCAAGGTTTCCGTAAAAGTTTTCCGTGGCTGCTATACTTATTGTGTGTTCAATAGCCTGTTTATCTTGTCGCCGGTAGCTTTGTGTGTCCATAATGTTGCCCGTTATATATGCTCGAGCCGGCTTTACAAATCCGGCAATCATACATCCCACGTTGTTATCGACCCTCCATTGCTGGTTATCTAATGTACATGTATGCACCTTTTGTGTGCTTGTCTTACAGTGCTTATGTCCGTGTCTCATTGTCTGCCAACTTGACACTTTTCACTATGAGGCAAAGATTGCTACTATGTTTTATTTACTTGTTTGCTTCAAAGGACATTTTCAAAAGATATCGTGTTTTCAATCGCTTAAAATGGACGTGGTCGCACAACGCGTGGCACACTTTTTGCCTTCTAGTTGTCCAAAACCCCTCACTCCTAGCTCATGATCACGGCCACTATTGTGCCGAGATCAGGATTTGCACCCGCCTCCCGAATAAAGCAATGTTGTAACGTGGTTGTAGTGACAGAAAGAGAGACCAGGGAAGGGATAAGCAAGGAGGTAAGCAAAAAAGAGCAGCAACAGCAATCTCGGATAAAACATGAGAGCGACACAATGAATATGTAATAACAGGCTGGATTGACCAAGAGAAACCAGATGATCTACATCACACCCTCATACCTCCACGACAACATTTGGATATCCGGATTTTGATGTTTCCTTTTTTTCACTCCCATTACTGTGTTAGTGTAAATGTTGGCTATACACAATTTGGTATCACAACAACCGATATGATTGATTTTCATTCTCCTGGATCGTGGCCTTCCTCCCTGTTTTATTTTGGCTTGGCACATCTGCCATTGAGTCATGTATGTGTTGTGTGGACGCCCATGATTTGCCACACATAATATACGTTTATGATCAAAAGGGGGTGAACAAGGCATTTCTTCCACCGCAACGGATTCACTGGAGGTTTGTACAACCACTATTACCACGTTGTGATTAACGCCACCTATAGGATGGAGCTATACAAATCGTGATCCTTGGTCTAGCACGAGCCTGGGCCCACGCAAGGGGATGTGGCAAAGTATCCCCATCATTCTCTTACAGCATCATCCGACATGTCAACCTTCGGTATTCGGATACATGGAATCTTTTTTCCGCGCGCTGTATGTGATGTGATATTAGGTTCAGGATCCACGCTTGGCTTCTATGTTTGAAGGATCCACAAGAACGACACGGACCATGTGGGACCTTACGAAAAGGTTACTCCAATTAACAAGGTATTCACACATCAATTATTCGGCACAAGCCGTTTCAGGAATAATGACTTTTATGTATCCAATTGCTATGCTATTATGTACACAATGGACCATGGATGGGTTGATTGCTCGTATTCTCTCCAATGTGGATGATGGTGGTGCATGTGATGGAGTTCGAAATACGTCACTGTGACTAGCTGCATACCCGGGGGTGGAAGGATTGGGCTGAGAAAACATTGGCTGAAAGGATTGGGCGTCTCGCTTTTTGTTTTCTCCATCGAACTCTTTTTAAAGAAACCACAGGTGCGTCAACATACACAATGCGCGTAAACGTCCATTGAAGAACACCAATGTACTTATCTATCTATGTCTATTCAGAATCATGGGACATCATCACGGTTATCAAGGCTGGTAAGCAATTGGCAATGGCAACCCATTTGGAGCTTGGCATGTGTATTGACCTTTTATCATAACAACAATAGGTGGGGACATATGGGCGGTCCTACTCAACGTGTGAGTAGATGTTATCCATGGCAACAATGAGAAGAAGGGGAAAAAAGGAGAAGGATTTCATATAGCAATTTACTGACATGATGTGATTTATTAGGGCATCGTGACCTACATGCTTTCTCCCTTTGAGCAGAAGCCTTTTGCTGGTGCACTCAACAATGCCATCTTCAACACTTCCCGCCGTGTCGCATCACAAATCCCTTACGTTGGTGTTGCCTTTGGTCTCGGTTACTTGATCTACAGCGGTGCCAACAAGTATCATGCTCACCTTACCTCCAAGGCTGGTCATGCTGAAGCTGGCGATCACTAGATTTCTTCATTTTCATTCCTATAATACATAAAAGCCCAAGAGTATATCTTTTGTCATTATACAAATAGCGAGAGATGGTAGAGATGGAGATGGAGAGAGTGAGATGAATGAATGGATGATACTAATCTATTGGGGTGGGCTGAGTTGACGACGAATAAGAAGATGTGCACACACACATAGAACAACCGCTATAGAAAAAAGAGCTTATAGCTAACGAATAAGGCAAGCCAAGTGTGCATCAGCTCCCCCGGTGCTTCTTTTGTACAGACTTAACTTGGCTTGGTTTCTTTTTCTTTCTTTTACTCCTTCTTTGCTCTTTTTACTATTCTTCTTCTTCCCTTTTACCCTTTTTCCTTTACTTCATCCTTACGTTCCTTGCACACCAGAATCATTTCATCCAATGTCAGCAACAAGGGGTTCTATCGATAACCGCTACATGTGGCTCGGTCTTTACTTTGCTTTCAATCTCGGCCTCACCCTTTACAACAAGGCAATATTACTCGACTTCCGTTACCCATGGACCCTTACGGCCATTCACACCTTGTGCGGCTCAATCGGTTGCTACATCTTGTACTTTTTGGGCTACTTCACTCCTGTGAAATTAAAGGAGCAGGAGAACATGGTCATGCTAATGTTCTCGGTCTTGTACACCATCAACATTGCCATTAGCAACGTCTCTCTGTAAGTACTCTTTTGTATTCTATTGGGGTGGTTGCCATGCTGCTTTGCTTGTAGTATGGGGGAGCGTATCATGGATACCGTTGCGAGCATGCGGCTGGGTGATTGGTTGAGCCAAGGATAGAAAGGGGAGCAAGGGGATTGTATACATACACACACACACACACGCACGCACACACACACACAAGCATATCGACGCACACAAGAGTTACAGTGTTACTAACCAATTTCTGTGTTTTGTCGATCATTTTTTTAGCAATCTGGTATCAGTGGCTGTAAGTTAACTTACCCGGGAGTTTGCTATACCCTTTTCTATCTCGGAGTCCACACCGCACAACGATGCAACTCAAGAAATATTAAACTAACCACATTAATATCTCCGTTTTATTAGTTCCATCAAGTGGTGCGAGCAATGACACCCGTATTCACGGTGATGATCTCGATTATGTTTTTGCAAAAGTCTTATTCAACCCTAACGTATTGGTCTCTATTGCCGGTAAGCTATTTTGTCTCAGACTTGGATTTTGGTACCTTATCTAAAATGTTTGGGATCTGCGACTTTTCCCAAATAGGTCGTCGTCGGTGTCGGCTTTGCAACCTTTGGTGAATACGGATATACGGCAATGGGCTTTATGCTAACCGTTCTCGGTACAATCCTCGCTGCTGTGAAGACTGTTGTCACCAACCGTATCCTTGTTGGTCGTCTCAAGCTTGAACCTTTGGATCTTTTATTACGCATGTCGCCTCTTGCTTTCGTTCAATGCGTCATTTACGCTTTCATGACAGGCGAACTTGAACGTGTACAAGAATTCTCTGCTGCCAACATGACTGTAGGCTTGGCTACCGGTTTGTTGATCAATGGTGCCATGGCATTTGGTCTCAACATTGTCAGCTTCACCGCCAACAAAAAGACAAGCGCCCTTACTATGACAGTGGCCGGCAATGTCAAACAAGTGCTTTCCATTGTCCTTGCCGTCGTCATCTTTAAGCTCGACATCAATGCCACTAATGCATTTGGTATCATTCTGACTTTGATTGGTGGTGCCTGGTATGGGTAAGTGTCATCATTATTATGTTATATCCCATTCATAACAAATCATTAACAATCACCTCATCAATTTGCAGCAAGGTGGAACTATCGGAAAAGGCAAACAAGGCCAAGCAGGCCGTTCTTCCTGTATCTCAACCCAATGACGATGAAAAGGATCATGTCAACACCAGCCGCTAAAGCAACAGTAGCAGCATCCCTTATCTTTTCCTCATAACATATTTGTTCTCTTTCTTCTCGCTATCCCCTTTTCCTACCTTATCGTATTCATCACAATCACCCACACAAACACACATCTAGACTTAGTTGCATCCTTCAAAGAAAGCCATACGTGTACTTTTCCCCCCTTTCTTGTATCGTCTTTCTTTATCCTTCACCATTCCTCTCGTTTTGATGGTTCCCAGCGATCCATGCATACCAAAAAGGCAATAAGGGCTCAATGCCTTTTTTTGACCAAGAGCAAAGAATCAAAAATCATCATCAGTAACTATATTGGACAATGTGTGTGTGTATTTTTGGAAATGAGTGATCCATGCGTCATGTGTTTATGTTTGTGTGATGCATTACGGCTGAGTACACTTATGAAACTGCGACCTGCGCCGCTTATATCATCATGTGGATCACCATCCTGCTGATCTCCTTTATGGAAAGCCAATAGCAGTGGCAACGTGATCATCTTCGCCATAAATAATCCTGTAATTGCAATTCCCTGGTAACAATGCATCCGTGTTGATAGTACAAGCGCTGACATGGACAGCCAGGGTTTTCACGGGTCGATAGCGTATTGGCTACTTGCATCTTAGCACGTGTAATAATATTGCATAACGCAATGCATAGTTGAGATTTGCTTTTGCCACCATCGTTGCACAAGTGTCATGCGCGCATAGCATGAAGTAATATGCAGTCCTGACGCAATTTTTCTATTCATATACACGAAGCGACTATTCTTAACCTTTTCAGAAAAGTCTATGATTCGTACAACTGCTCAATCATTATCTCATTCATTAAACCATTATGCTCCTTGGGATCTAAATGATGGAACGTTCAATTAGTTGATGCGCCTTTTCCCCTATATGTAAAAAAAGTATATAAACGGGTAGATCCGTGCCTTTTACTCACACGTGATGTACTTGAAAATCCAAACGTGCGAGCTGTTTATGGCACTGAATAGGTGTATAATCGAAGATCAAGTAATCCAATGACTGTAGTAGAAGATGGATCCTTGTGTCGATATGCATCAAGCTTTGATTGCAGCAATAGGATAAATGCTGTATGTAAGGTTGACAGTTGTAGCACGTATCCTTTGCTGTTAACGTATAAGCAATCGCGTGTAATTGCAATTATGCATGAAAGAAGGACAAGGTATCCTCATGGTACAACGTATTAGTACAAAAGGATGCAATTTCTACACTGTTGGATGGCTATGATTACGTGCAAATCATTTATGGTTGATCCCAATCTAAACAGGCTTTGTGTCATCTAATCCAACTTTACCTAATCATCATCAATCTAGAAAACAACCAAGTGATCCTTATCTTGCACATGTGAGCTGATAATACAATGCTCTAAACATCACGTTGGTGAATCAGAGGAAGTCGAAGAATAAGATATAATAGTGAGGGCATTTATTCTAAGTATATGAAATGAGGAAAAACAGCATTGCAAGTCGAAAGTAAGGTGTGGGTGAATAGCATATGGTCAATGTGCGTCACTGTGTCATAGTGTCTTGATTTCTGCCATCATAAACATCTTGCCTCCATGATTGCTCCGTGCCTTTACTCGAGTATTCCAATATCATCCATCTGCGGCTGCAAACCACTTTCGGTCAAAGAAAGTTACAAGCCTTCTTGTTAATGCCATCCAATCCATCATCATCCTCAGAGGCATCCACGTGATATGACCCATCGTTCCTGCTGACAATGCGCCAAGTAACCAAAGCAACATTCCAGAACTTCTCATACATCCATCCATAACCATTGCAATTACAACATGTTGATCGAAAAGAGCAACGTGGTCGCTTTTGATGCTTCTTTTTCCCATCCGGCGGTTGGTCTATCACTTGTTTGCGCATCTTCTATTGTAGCTCAACTAGATGAAGTTTGCCTGTAGCTGATGGCTGATATGGCGGCATCCAGAATCAACTGGTCAATACATCCAATCCATTCCATCCCATGTAATACCAAAGCAGTATTCAGATTCGTATCCATAAAGAGTTCGTATGTATTAAGGCAAGTTGCTACACGTAAATAAAGCTGCTTCTATACAATGGCTATCTGCTGTTCATGTTTGGTCGTGGCAGAGGGGTGTGCAAGGGCGTGTGTTGTAGTCGAATGGCAAGATTGTAAACGCTGTATGAGACAAAGGAGCGAATAGCAATTGCTGGAATGAATGCTGTTACGTTTGTTCATGGCAGAGAAGTGTTCAAGAGCGTGTGTTGTGTCAAGAGACTCGTGTGTTGTAGAAGAGTGACAAGAAGGCTGTGCACACGCCATGGACTTGCCATTCAGTCAAAGACAATCGGATCAAGAGAGTTGTAGGATTGACATGATGGGTTGAAGCAGGACAATCGTTCGTTGGTGGTAGTTGTATACTTGAATGGGGCAACAGTTGAGAATGGGAGGAAGAGCAAGACGCGGGAGGTGGAAGAAGTGGAAATTAAAATAGGTTGAACTGATGTTTAATGCCATTTCTTTGTTTGAGCGTCGCTCAATCAAATCCTCTCAGATCATGAAAGTTGAAAGATGGAAATGATGGGCTGGAGCAGGAATCAATCGTTCATATGCATTGGATTGGGCAACAAAGGTGAATGGGAGGAATGGGCTATTAGCCGGCAGTTCACACATAATCATTCAGTTTGGTTTCTCTGATATTGGATGATGTTTCTTTGTTTGTGCGTTGTTCAGTCAAATCCCCTCGGATCAAGGAAGTTGAAGGATGGGGATCCTCGTCTGGAGTAGGACAATCGTTCATATGTAACGGGTAGGGTAAAAAAGAGTGAATGGGAGGAAGTGGCTATTAGCTGGCATTTATGAACCATTCCTAAATAGTCATAAAGTATCATGCATCGCCTGTGCTGACTGGCTCAAGTTACACAAACACGCCCGTCTGCATCTTTGGCTATAGTCATACTACTTGACAATGGACAAAGACCACTCTTCATATAGCATCACGCTTACAAACATAAAGGTGCCTGTATCTCCAAACTTTACAATGAAACGTGGGGTTTTTATTAGAGCAATGGGCTCGGCTTGGCCAACAGCACCTTGTGTGCAAGTTTCGCGTTCAATGTCGCAAACAGCCCAAAAAATATTTTTTTGGTCGTCGTCGAAAGAGGTTGAGCCCCGGATCCAGTTTGGCTGGTAGCGACATTGCTAAATCTGGGATTGCCCACGATGAACTTCATACTTTGACACAAGATTCCTTTGACCCCGACGAGCACGTTGTTCTATTAAAGAGCCCACGTTTGATTGTAAGATTCTGAGTTATGGGAGTCTTTATGTTTTACATATGCTGTAAGCGTCATGCTATATGAAAAGAGGTCTTTGTTCATTGTCAAGTAGGGGGACCCTGACAAAGCAAAAGATGCAGAGGGTCGTGTTGTGTAACACAGCTACGTTTGCATGAATGAAAGGGTCATTGTATAATTACTTTATGGATCATCTAGGAACAGGCATGTATTGCTAGCTAACGGCCACTTTTATCCAATCATCATTGTTGCAAGATCCACTGCATGGGAACGATGCCCCTGCTCTAGACATTCATTTCCATGATTAAAGTAGGTTGATCCGAGCTGATATGGCTGAGCTACGGTCAAAGAGAGATTACATCAATCCATACATCAGCATACGTGCGAATGTCTCAGCTGATTAATCCTTGTTCGACCGTAACTCAACCAAATCAGCTCGGATCAACCTACTTTAATTATGGAAATGAATGTCTAGAGCAGGAGCATCGTCCACCTACAATAGAATGCACAAAAGTTGGGAATGCACAAAAGTGGCTATTAGCTGCCAATGTATGACATAAAGTGAGGGTTGCGTACCTTTCATGCATTGTCCCTGAAGTCCTGACTTTTTAGCTGAGTTACCCAAAGAGGTCCTTCTGCATCTTTTGCTCTATTATAGTCATACTACTTTACATTAAACAAAGACCACTTCTCATATAGCATCACGCTTACAAACATAAAGGTGTCTGTTTCTCCAAACTTTACAATCAAACGTGGGCTCTTTAATAGATCAACGTGCTTGTCGGGGTCAAAGGAATCTTGTGTCAAAGTATGAAGTTCATCGTGGGCGATCCCAGATTTCGCAATGTCGCCACCAGCCAAACTAGATCTGGGGGTCGACCTCTTCGACGACGACGACCAAAAAATATTTTTTGGGCTGTTTGCGACATTGAACGCGAAACTTGCACACAAGGTGCTGTTGGCCAAGCCGAGCACATTGCTCTAATAAAAACCCCACGTTTCATTGTAAAGTTCGGAGATACAGGCACCTTTATGTTTGTAAGCGTGATGCTATATGAGAAGTGGTCTTTGTTCATTGTCAAGTAGGTGGGCCCTGGCAGAGCATAAGATGCAGAGGGACCTCTTTGTGTAACTCAGCTACTTTGCATGACTGGAAGGATGGAAGGATGATTGGTATACTATTGACTATAGCCCATACATTGCGAGATACAGGAATTTCCTCACAATCGGCACTGTTGCCCACTCTATGACATGTGAGCGATTCTCCTCCTCCAGACATTCATTTCCATGATTAAAGTAGGTTGATCCGAGCTGATTTGATTGAGCTGCGGTCAAAGAGAGATTACATCACTCTGGACATAAAGCACGCTCGATGTAGCTCAACCGATGTAATCTTGTGTGAGCGTAACTCAACCAAATCAACTCGGATCAAGCTACTTGAATCATGGAAATGAATGCCTGGAGCAGTACAATCGTTTGCATGCATTGGATTGGGTAACAAAGGTGAATGGGAGGAGATTGCTGTTAGCTCGCAATGCATGGGCTATAGTCAATAGTATACAGTATCATCCTTCCATCCTTCCAGTCATGCAAACTAGCTGAGTTACCCAAAGAGGTCCTTCTGCATCTTTTACTCTGTCAGGGTCCACCTACTTGACAATGAACAAAGACCACTCTTCATATAGCATCACGCTTACAAACATAAAGGTGCCTGTATCTCCGAACTTTACAATGAAACGTGGGGTTTTTATTAGAGCAATGTGTTCGGCTTGGCCAACAGCACCTTGTGTGAAAGTTTCACGTTCAATGTCGCAACTAGCCCAAAAAATATTTTTTTGGTCGTCGTCGTGGAAGAGGTCGACCCCCCAGATCCAGTTTGGCTGGTAGCGACATTGCGAAATCTGGGATTAGCCACGATTAACGTGAAACTTGTACACATGATTCCTTGGACCCCGACGAGGACGTTGTTCTATTAAAGAGCTCACGTTTGATTGTGAAATCTTGAGATATGACTGTCTTTATGTTTACACTATGCTATAGGCGTGATTTAGCTGCTTCCACCTAATGAATGATGTCGACTGCATTAACCGATAGATGCAGAGCTGACTGAAATGACTCGTGGTTACACACGCCCATGTTGTTGACAAGTTGCTGCATAAATGCTGATGATTGTTTTTAGGAAGACACGTAACAACATCCAATCGTATAAACACTACCCTTTATGACAATGGCAATGACAACGTAGCTATCTACGAACATCATGTCCTGTTGCGTTTGGTAGGGGGAGACAAATGTTGATTGCGGAAGCCCAGGGGTCGAGTTACATTGACGCGCACGGACCTGATAGATGCCAATTCCACCAACAGTGAAAATCATGGAAGCCTTACCTAATTACAAGGAGTATGGACGATTTAAATTTCAAGCAGTGGTCGTTATTATTGGCCCAAGTGTATAGGATGTTGATGAGTTACACATCCACAGCAGTAATTGTAGCAGGCGGGGTGGCATGGAGTGCCATATTGAGGACAACGGAAGGCGCAAAGAATGGGCCCGCTCTTCTTCCCTCCCACTTTACAAAGTAAGGTAAGACCAACTCCATTTACACAGTACAGAGTATTAAATGTATCCATTGCCTTCAATGCACAGCTTCAATGGGTGAACAGGTGGTCAATGGCGACGCGATCCAGCTACGGAGCATTTCCCAACAAACACGCACGCGATCTACCCTTAACTCATGCTTCCAATGCAACACAACGCGTACGTTCAATCGCTGCATTCCTTTTATTATTTCAACTTGAACATTGTGGTGCTGAAGTTCACCTGTAGCTTTCTCGTTTATACAAGGTCCAGGGTGTCGTCGTGTGCGTGTGTTCCTTCAATGGTTGTCGTCAAGGAGATGTGCCAACACATTGTTACTTTGGGTATGTTGACACGAAAGCGAGTGCCATCCTTGTTACCTTACATTGCATTTATTATAGCTTGAATAAGCTGGGCTATGGTATTTGTGGCAGCAACAAGACGTTGATCTCAAAGCAAGAATGCTGGACATATATTTCACTGGTACGCATGATATTGGGACCTACAATGCAAGACCTGCTATTAACGATTCTTACATTGAACAGCAGCACATGATGGATGGCATGGAGATACGGTTGTTTGATGCAAGAACTTGTTGAGAAATGTCCCAAGGTAGAGTGTTGTTGCTTATGTGAGTATCACTGTGAAGAGGTTTCATTGTAACCCTGTGGATGAGAGCTGATAGTGTGATCATTCTCATTAGTGTTTCATTGTGATCCTACATTCGTTGTTATGTTCGTCATTGTGGTCCTTTGGCTCTTGCAAAGAGGTAAAACCGAACCGAGTGTTTGTATTGGTTGATGAATTACATACTCATGTCACTTTTCTTTGATTAGTTCGCTTCATCCCCTGGTGCATCCGCAACGTTGGCTGTGATGTCAATAGCAAATTCGAGAAAACACGTGGCGCGCATGCCGATCGACGCCAAACAAGGTGCAAATGACAACATAGTGGCTTCGAAGACGTTTAAGGAAACATAGCCAAAGGTAATTAATGATTAAGGTTTATGGAAGATAGTAATTAAGTGAGGGACGATAGTTTATTGATTATGAAGCTTGCGGCAGCAGCGAACAAGAGCAAGGATATATATTTAATGCAAGCAAGGGGCTGTGTGATCATGCACATGCTTATCTTTCCGACAGCATGATTTCGACAAGCCACATTCACGTTCACAGGCAGCTTCGCTTTCTGCACAACCCGATCGCCAATTGATCATGTCCCGATCGGAAAAGAGCAAGGGAGGTACCAGACCCATCAAGCTCCCAGCAACTATCTTCCAGCAATGGCATTCTATCGTCGAAGCAAACAATGACGCTCTCAATGAATGGCCTACCGTGAAGGACGCTCTTGTCAACTTGGTCAGTTCAGCCAATGACTCTTGGGAACGACAGGCAGGATACTTGAAGGAAACGAGTATGTTGAAAATGGATGATATGAATAAGCAAAAGCATTGATCAAGTGCATGTATCTAGGTAGAGCCATGAGCCGTTTGAAGAAGCAACCTAGTGCTCTCATCATGAACCAAGTCATTGAGCCTATCGTGTCAAGTGGTTACTTTTGCTGCACTGAAAATCTCGCACGACGACATTTCATCCCTTTATTGGAGACATGCGCAAAGCAGGATGGCAACAATAATGAAACGTTTATTCGGTTGTACAAAGAGTATATTCAACTGGATCGACAAAATCGAGAACACACAATGGCACAGTCGGCATTGACCATCACCGCCACCCTGGAATTCGGTTATGGAAGACGCGTCGTATTGGATCACTATCGTGCAACAATCGCATTTTTAATTGCCGGCTTGGAAATGACAGACACCAAACTAACGGCCATCAACGCTCCAACATCCAACACGACACCATCTTCAGCCAATAACACACTTACAGTATCCGATTTGATGTACGACATCCAATACACGATCAAAACTATCCACATTCTATTATCACGATTTGATGACTACGGCAGGAAGTTGTTTGCAACATTGGATGATACGCGCGATGAAGACATGAAGCTTATTTCAACCTTGCTCAACATTACGTTCAATATGGCGGCTGAAACAGATGTTTACGTCAAAGATTGCAGTCAAGGAGCAGGCATGGCTGTGGGAGCTGTCATCAACTTACTTCAGGATCCAGTATTTGCGCGTGATTTGACGTTGGGATGGTTCTTTACCCGATCCGATCAACAATTGGAAGCGTGTACTCGCACAACACAAGCATTGGATGTTGCTCCTAAGGAGACATTGATTGGAGACAATGGATGGAAGAATCGTTCAGTACCCATGCTCTCCATTGTACGTGGTCTTATGTCTTGCTTGCGTCAGGAGATTTTGTTGGCACCATTCTCTTCAGAATTATCATTTATCGAAGTATTAAAGAGGTATATGTCGTATGGGCAAAGAGGAAGCTACAATGTACTCATTTCATTCTCATAGTGGAGTACCATTTCAAAATCTATTCGAGGTCCTATTCTACAGCATCAATCTTTTCTGCTCACGCACCGACCTTGAAGCACCTATCAAAGTGGTTGCTTTTGATTCGATGGTCATGTGGCTCAGCTCATGCAAAACCATGATGCGACTCTCTATGAATGACCAAGGGCAATTGGATCAGCAGATGGTGACAAGTGCTTCAGCTATCTTGAATGAGAACAATACCGATCAATTGATTCATTACGTTTGGGACCATTGGGATGATCCTATTGATGCTATTCAACATAAGGTAAGAGTCTTTTACCCCTTGCTTTATGAACCAATGTAACTAACATCATTCAATACAATAGGTCAAGACAATCTTTGAAACTACCCTTGATATTCTGGAAGTGAAGGCCCAATATGCCAATACCCAAGATGCGCACAAGGAATATTTACTGCGACTTTTGAAAAATCTCATGCGAATGGATGCCCATCGAAAGGTGAGGATATTACACAATGGAGGATACTCTATTCGGTTGGCTTATAAGAGCAATTACAGGTGAAATATGCCCTTTTGAACATTTTGGTACCCAAGGTTGGATCGGACGCCATTCTTGATGCTGAGCCCGACTTCATGTGGAAGTGCATGCGTGCTATGGATAGTCTGGTTTTATCACCCCAAATCACAGGATTGATTCTTGCATTTCTCTATCGTCGCATTGAAGAGACTATGCCAGGCGTTAAGTTTAAGGGTCAAAACACAAGGTTACAGGAAAACGAAGATACAAAGGTAAGCAATATGAATAAAAAGATAAACATCTCCAATGCTTACACATCTCGATTAGCCTGCCATATCAAATTGGATTGAATTATGGGCGCCATCTGTGCTACGAGCTCTGACATCATCTTCAGAAGTGCTACGCAAAAACAACGGCAGCTTCGTATTGCAACCACTGTTCAAGATTTGCAAGGGATCATTCTGGTACCTTATGGAGAGGCTTCAATCGGATGTTGAGGATCCAGTCATTGACCCCAAGTGGCGTTTACATGCATTTATTGCCGTGTTGAAGGTGGGAAGATCCTTGGATATTGTGGATGGTGATGCCTATGTACTTGGTAATGTTTAAGGTCTTGTATTCCTTCACGTTCATTGTTGCTGATGGGGGTTTTTATAGATAAATCAGTGACGGACCCACGCAAAATCTCTGTGGATACGCTCAACTTGGCTGTCTATCACGCTGATCCTCTCGTGCGACTTGATGTGCTTGGTCTACTTTGTGAATCGCGTAAGGGTACTTCAACGATTACCAAGGTGGAGATGGATATTCTACGCAAATTTATTCCTCTCAACATGAATTCAACATCGCCCGAGTTTCGACAAATGTTCTGCGCTTATCTTTCTCGTCTCTTTTTGCGTATGCGAGGTAATTTGTATGCGCAGTTCCGCAACTACAAGGCGAGCAAGGCGTACGTGGCCAAAATGGGGCAGGATGATAATCAAGACAAAGTGCAAAAGGCTGAGCTTGAAGCGATGGAAATGCGATCCAACATTGAGCATGGCAAATCATTCTTGTATTGGCTCCAAGATCTTATTTGCACATCATTGTATCCTGGTGCATCCTATCAACGCGTAGCTACGGCATTACGTCTTCTCAACATCATGATCAGCACTTTTGGTGTCACCGAGCTGCCAATGCCTGATGGTTTTGCTACACGACCTGAATTTCCTTTCCAGATCCCTATTGGTACACCACGCATGACAAAGGTCCTTATCGACACACTCATGAATCCATACGACTTTAATCGTGTCCAAGCACTTGAGATCCTTCATCAATTTCCCAATCCCCTTCCAGGTGTTGAATCATGGCAAGAAGCTCAGCATCTCTTGTGGTGGGGTTTAGACAATGTCACGAGCACACGTGCCGGCGAAAGTGATAGTGGTGCAATGGTTTTCCGTTTGATCTTCAACAAGTATGTCATGCAACTTGGATACGATCTATATCCCGAACGCAACAGCCGAACACAAAAAGATACTGCACCCGAGTTAGCACCAGGTATAGGGCAAACGAACTTTTTTTAGAGGTGGACGTTTACTCATTTGAGAAATTATAGTCGTGTTCACCGAAAGATTACTTGACTTGCTGGTGAAGCAGGTGGAAGCAGCAAAGGAAAATTTGCTTGTTGCAGCACAACAACATCCGATGCATGGAACATTATTGGCTTTGCAGTGAGTATCCTTATTATTTGAATTGATGTGTTGCTCACTCATCGATACGTAGGTATGTTTTCCGAGAATTGGATTACCGTAAACCTGCAGTGGTTGGCAAATTTGATGAGTGGAAACAAGTTCATGCACGTGCTCTGAAGATGATTCATGCCGTTTGCGATGCTGTCATGGATGTTTTATCAAACCCATCCCCAGAGGGCAACGTGCCATCATCCTTCCGTGAAATGGAGGAGGCTATTGATGATCTTATCGATGATGAGGATGACGGTGGAGAAGGAACGGGACCAAAGCATCAAGTTATCTTGAGCTGCTGTTGGCGTGCTGTCAAGGAAGCAAGGTATGTGGATCAGCGCATTATGGATATCAAAATAGTAATCATTGCATATAGCTCCTTGCTCGAAGTCATCATCTCCAGAGCACCAATGTCTGATGATGGAAGTGTAAGTATGGACATCAACAGTATTCGCCACAGGATACTTATCATATCTTAATAGGCTATCATTACATCCACAGACATGAAGGAAAGTGGCGTCCTTTTACGATCCTTATTGACAACAATCCGCCATCGTGGTGCCTTTTCAGCCGTGTTCCCTGCCTATGTCTCTTTGAATACTAGATTGCTTGATTCAAATGACCGTGCTATCACTCAACAGCCATCCGTTTGGCTTGAGGTATGATGCTATCATTGAACGACGTGGGGGTTATACTTATAAATGTTTATTTCATAGGAAAATCTCGATAGTCTTACAGCAAGCAATATCTCCATCACACGACGCAGCGCAGGCCTGCCATTGTGCATCCTTGCTATCGTGAGCAGCGAGCGCTCCACCAAAAAGACTTTACTCAACAAGACGATGCAACGATTATTCAAGCTCGCCTTCCAAGAACCACCAGCTGATGCTGATCAACGAATTGATCTCCCCCAAGTTCACGCATACAATATTCTGCGCACTATGTTTATGGATGCCAAAGTTGCTCAAAGTGTCTTGATTTACGCTGCTGATGGTTTTTGCCTTGCTATCAATGGGTTCTCTTCATCAAGGTAAAGTAATTACATGATCTATGTGACGTATCAAAACTTAACACGCTTCCATAGCTGGGCTATTCGTAATTGTGCCGTCATGCTCTTTTCAACACTTTTACAACGCACTTTTGGAACCAAAAAGACGAAGGATGAACATAGCAATGTGAACAAGTTGACTGGTCGAGAGTTCTTTACTCGTTATCCACAATTGCACGCCTATTTACTCCAGGAGCTGAATGCAGCCATTGAACAGCTTTTGAACAACACAGCTGTAAGTTTTCGTTGAATGGGATATTGCAGTACACTAACCACGTTTCTTTCTCCATTACAGGGTGCCAGTGTTCATCCCGGATTGTATCCTATCTTAACCTTATTGTCGCGTTTGCACCCTTCAGTGATGGATGGCTCCGATCAGGTGACGGCCATGTCAGCTTTTGTTCCCTTGGTGATGACTTGCGCTGTCAGCTCCATTTACAAGGTATGCAATGGATCATATAGTCCAATACGATGTTCTCACAAAGGTATTGTAGACACGAGAAATGGCAGCCCGTGCATTGGTACCCTTGATCCCATCGAATGATTTGGTGGAGAGGATTTTGGAGTTGTTGGATATGCCTCAAGAGACGTGTCAAAATGAGATCCATGGTCGTTTGCTTCAAGTGCAATTCCTTTTGCGTGGTCATGTTTACCATCCCAGTCTTAAGGACATTCTTATCGATCTTATCAAACGAGTACCTGCTGCCATTGTCATTCTATTGGAACGTTCAAAGTCGATGAATCGAGTGGCATACGCATTGCTACTTGATATTTGCAACGAATTCTTCTTTGAGTGCGATTGGATACGAGCTGATCGTGAGCCTGCATTTATTCAAGGTAATCTTTTTGTATGGGTTGACAAAGGTAATAAGCTGACACTATATAAACTACAGAATTGGAAAGTGTTGCCAAGACAGAGCTTCAGACTTTGCGTACGACATTGATCGATCAATCTATGGAGCAAATACGTGAACCACGTGGACCATCAACATTGATTGGCAACTATTTGGCACGACAATCAATGGCACGCATCATTGTCATTAGTGCATTGAAGCATTATCGTGGCTCGCTCAAGGTGTCTGATACTTTGTTCCTTTTGGATGATCCCGATTATGAAGTGAGATTGATGGCCATGAACTTGCTGGAACAACATTTGGATCGTGAAAGGGAAAAAGAAGGGTAAGCTACATTGGTTTGGGTATTCGCTATGGTATTGATGGTGCATCTTTTACAGTGTTGTGGCCCTATACCGACGATTGTTGATCAAGACCTTCGAAGGCGAAGACAATTTGAATTGCTTTGTGCTAGCTGCCCGCTCTTTGTTGTCCTTGAAGCAATCAGAATCATTCCAAGAACTTGGTTTGGAGTTCTCTTATGCAGAATACTGGAATAGACTCCTGGAACAATTCGAGAATAGTCGATCCCAATCGGTGACAGAGGTGGTACTTCCATTGCTTGGATCACTACTTTCAAAGGTAAAAGAGAGCTATGGGTTGCAAAAGAGTGATGGAGAAAGATACTTACTCTTTCGGTTATTAGATCTTGGAACAAGAGAATCTCGATAGCCAATGGATCGCCAGCTGCATCACTGTATGGAGCCGTTATGTTGTGGATAACTCTCATAAGGAAGTTGTAAGTATGAAGAGCTTGGATCAAGAAGAAAAGGGGATGCTCATATGAAATTTCGCATTTACAAGACACTGCCACTACGTGAAGCTGCCGTCGAATCGATTGGTTTCATGGCCAAGTACTTGTTTAATCGTGTTCAAGCATCACCCATGGTCCATGTACAGCTGGCTATCACCCAATTACTACAGGTAGGTTACACATCCATATGACATGAGAATGGAAAGCTAAATGTGATGGTATCCAGGATGATGATATCGATATCCGAGAGATCACGGCAACCATCGTTTCGGAAGCACTCGCCCAAGTGGTAAGTGGATGAGTTAGGAATGGGGGGTAAGTCATATTGGCATGGGATTCACAGTAATGATTAGGCACCTGTGTCTCCTGAAAGGGCAATTGAGTTGGTATATACCTACTTGAGTACGTCCAACGAGTATCGTGACGAGATCCAATCAATGCTGTTGAAGCACCTGCAAGGCGAACAAGATTTACGTGAGTACTTTGCTGCTTTTTTTGACATCGTACTTGCTTTTGCTGATACGACGTTTTCTTTAGCAACCACATGTAAGGAGGAGTTATCCCTTGTCAAGGCACTTTTCGCAAAAGAAAACCCCAACATTTACAAGGAAGATATTATTGACGTTCAATGGACGTTTGTGGATCTTGATCGCTTTACGTTGGCAAGAGCTGGCATTGAGCTTCCAGTAAGCTTTATTACCAAGACTTTGGAGGATATTCATTACTTGTGCACTTTGCTTAAGGATAAGTCTCTGGAGGTGAGTGTTGATCAAGATGTTTCTTCAATCACAAAAACGCTGAAATACGTTTGTCTTTATCATAGCTAATGACCCGTGGCCCGTATGGTGTCTCATCGAAGCCTGCAATCTTCCTTGCTGCATATCGTGCCCTTCTTACAGCCACACTTGCATTTGATGTTATACCGGAGGAAGAGAAAGAGCAAGGTGGAATTCTCAAGTTGGTCCAAGGTAAGGCTACAAATCATATACAAGCAGGGAAAAGATGGTATCTCACATGTTTTCGTTCATGTTTTAGCACTGGATGTGGAGGTCAAAGAATTGGTGGAAGAGAGCATGCATCCATTATTATGGCAGTTGATTCACGGTGAAACTGGATTAGCATCCAAGATTGACTACTACTTGCGACAACATGGTCAACCCCGGCACCGCGCTATGTTCCTTCTCTCCCCCGATTCCCAATAGATTGTGTATAGACACATTTCTTGTACAGCAAATCAATTATGACAACAAAGACTATAGATTGTACTTGTTTTAATTACCCATTATTGATATGATTTATAAGGAGACATTGATTTTGATGGATTTGACCTGGTAATAGTTCTCGAGAGCGTATTCGCCACATTCACGTCCAATACCACTTTGCTTGTAACCACCGAAAGGTGCATTGACATCCACAAGACCATAGCAGTTGACCCCTAATGCAAGACATGTATTGTTAGAAGCGTTTAAAAGAAGGATAATGGAGGGAGATCATTGTTCTTTCACTTACAGACTGAGCCAGCTTCAAGGGCGTTGGAGACTTTGATAGCAGTTGTAATGTTGCCGGTGAACACAGCAGCACCAAGACCATAATGGGTATCATTGGCCGATGCAATCACCTCTTCTGTAGACTTGAATTTGGAAATAGCAACCACTGGACCGAATACTTCCTCCCTCATGATCAAATTATCGGGTTTGCAATCTATACAACAATGTAGATGATGATTAGCAACAATATGGATGACAAATACAACACCCACCTGTGAAGATAGTTGGCTCAATAAAGTAACCAGTATCACCAACACGGTTACCACCAAAATAGCATGTAGCACCTTCTTTTTTGCCAGCTTCGATATAACCCATGACACGATCAAATTGACGCTGAGAAATTTGTGGGCCTTGTTCTGTCGTTGAATGCAATGGGTTGCCAACCTTACGAGCAGCTGCGAGTGCATGGAATTTGGACACAAACGTATCATAGATGCCTTCTTGTACATAGATGCGTGACCCGGCAAAGCATACTTGGCCTGCGTTCATGTAAATGCCATTGTATGCCCAAAACACGGCTTTATCCAAATCCTCCACATCGTCGAAGATGATATTAGGCGATTTGCCACCCAGCTCAAGTGTCACCTTTTTCAAGTTGGATTCAGCAGCAGCCTTCATGATTTCACGACCCACAGCGGTACTACCCGTAAATGCGATCTTGCCGACATTGGGATGACGAGCCAATGCATCACCAGTGACAGCACCATAGCCTGTAATGATGTTGATAACACCTGGAGGGAACCCTGCTTCTTTGACAAGCGCAGCAAACTTGAGAGCCGATAGTGGAGTGAGCTCTGATGTTTTGATGACCACGGTGTTGGCAGTTGCCAAAGGAGGAGCCACCTTCCACGAGAGCATTGTCAAGGGGAAGTTCCATGGGATGATACCAGCGCATACACCAATGGGTTCATGACGCGTATAGGACAACTTGCCTTCTGTCTCGATCACTTTACCATGGATCTTATCAGTAAAGCCTGCAAAGTATCGACTACATGAACGAATACATGAGAACAACGATACCGGATAAGGACAATATTCAACCTACAGCTGTTGTACAACAGAACCAACATCCATGAGAGCATTCTTGAGAGGCTTGCCATTATCGATGGTTTCAATAAGAGCGAGCTCTTGTCTATCACGCTCGACAAGATCAGCAAGCTTATGCATTAAACGTGACCGTTCGCGAGCATTGACATATCGCCAATCCTTGAAAGCTTCACTTGCAGCAGCAACAGCAAGATCTACTTGTTCTTTCTCGGCTATTGTTGTTCCCCGCATCTATGTCAGCAATGTATCTTCCCAAAGTGTGGGGCGTTGTTTCAATTACATACCAGCTTGCACTGCAGTAATCACTTTGCCAGTAGCCGGATTGATAGTATCAATTGTACTTCCACCACGCACAAATTCATTGTTGATAAAGAGACCAGTGTTCACTACGTATATGAATATGATTGTTTTCTAAATGAGCTAAATCCAGGGGCGTATAATGTATCATTCATTGGTTACTTGCATTCGAGTTGTTGACCATTGGTGGCTGTGAAGGGGACAACAAAGGACGACATGATGGTAGCAAAAAGAGAAAGAAAGATGACAAGAGCAAAAAAAGGAAGTCGATCGTAATCCAGAAAGAGGGAACGCTTTGACTTTTTATATAACTCTGTGTACTACCAAATGTGGTGGCACGTGTTAATAACTTTGCTGATAGACGCTGACATACACAAATCATATCGTTCGTGGGACAACGCTGCCCACACTAAACGCTTTCCTTTCCCCATCATTATCGATTACATGTCTCTATCATCTTTACCCGCACTTGTAATTTTTCTCAGTTTGCGTTGAGTTTATAACAAGCGGCCATTCTTAAGCTGTGGGTGAAACTTTGATGTGTAACCTGCGCCACATGATCTAATTCATTGTTCTTTCCTCCTTCTTCTTGATGCTTCACAAGCAAACAATCTCATATCCATGGCAACCGCTATTATAGCTATTCAGCATGTCAATCTACATCTTGTATTCGGGTGATCAACTATGAGCAGCTTTCTATCGTATCGTGCAAAGGGCATGCAAATGATTTTGCAGGGAGACCTTGTGCCGATAACAACAGCGTCAGTACAATGAATCAAAACTATGCAAGGGGAAATACGGATATCATTAAAGGAGCGTTTCCCGCGTACTGCATTCGACATCATAAACCTTTTAATCTTACCCAAGTAGTAGCTTAAGCAAGGAAACAAGGTAAAGATAAACTTTTGCTTGGTGATTTGAAAATCGTTTGAATGCGTGGTGGCGGGTAACATAGCTCTACGTAGTACCAAGCTATAGGCTTTCATTGTTTGTATGTAGCCTTTATGATTAAGATTGACCCATATCGCAAGCACAGCATGTACTTTTAAGTAATCACGACACACAAGTTTTCTTACGAATAACGAATGATTATATTTTCTATGCGAAATGCTGTACAAACAAATGATAAATGAAATAAGCTACTTAGTAGTTGTGTTGGGTGGGGGGATAAAGAGCTAAAGGGCATGGAATGGAATTATGCGAATGGGAGCGACTTGATTAATCAACTTCTTCCATCTTGGATGTTTCGACAACCTCCTCGACTTGAGCATCATTGGCAGCAGGAGCATCTTCCAAGACCTCGTCCTCATCAATAGAAAGACCAAGAGCAACCATACGATGGATACGAGAGGCAAAAGTGGCAGGCTCATCAAGGGAGAAACCAGATGTCAATAGGGCAGTCTCAAAGAGAAGGGTGGTCAAGTCTTTAACAGTGCGATCGCTGGCATCAGCTGCAACCTTGTCCTTGAGAGTCTTGATGATGGCATGCTTGGGGTTGAGCTCAAAGGTCTTCTTGGAAGCCATGTAAGCGGACATGCTGTTGTCACGGAGAGCTTGAGCCTTCATGATACGCTCCATGTTGGCAGACCAACCAAATTGACCGGTAGTGAGAACGCAAGGCGAATCGGTAAGCTTGTTGGAAACAACGACCTTCTCAACCTTGTCACCAAGGATTTCCTTGACAGACTTGCAAAGATCCTCAAACTTCTTCTCTTCTTCCTCACGAGCCTTCTTCTCTTCCTCATCTTCTTCGATCTCGACACCTTCCTTGGTAATGCACACGAGCTTCTTGTCTTCATATTCCTTGAGCTGAGTGGTGGAGTATTCATCAATAGGATCGGTCATGAGCAAGACTTCAATGCCCTTCTTCTTGAAACCTTCCAAGAAAGGCGAGTTTTCAATGGCAGCACGAGATTCACCGGTGATGTAGTAAATGTTCTTTTGCTTCTCAGGCATACGAGTAACATAATCCTTGAGCGAGGTCATTTCATCACCAGACTTTGTGGAGTAGTAACGAAGGAGATCAGCCAACTTGCCACGGTTTTGACTATCTTCATGGATGCCAAGCTTGAGATTCTTGGAAAATGCTTCATAAAACTTGTCAAAGTTCTCCTTGTCCTCGGCAATCTCAGCGAACATTTCCAAGCACTTCTTCACGAGGTTCTTGCGGATGACCTTCAAGATCTTGTTTTGCTGCAGCATCTCACGTGAGATATTGAGTGGCAAGTCTTCAGAGTCGACGACACCCTTGACAAAGTTGAGCCATTCGGGAATGAGATCCTCGCAATCATCCATGATAAATACGCGTCGCACATAGAGCTTGATGTTGTTGCGCTTCTTCTTCGTCTCGAACATGTCAAATGGTGCACGCTTGGGAACAAAGAGGATGGCACGGAACTCGAGTTGACCTTCGACAGAGAAATGCTTGACAGCCAAATGATCCTCCCAATCGTTGGTAAGAGCCTTGTAGAATTGAGCGTATTCTTCATTCTTGATATCATCAGGGTTGCGAGTCCAAAGAGGCTTGGTCTTGTTGAGCTCTTCAGTATCAGTGGTCTTCTCCTTGATGGTCTTCTTTTTCTTCTCCTTCTTGTCGTCTTCATCCTCAACTTCCTCAATCTTGGGCTTCTCCTCATCTTCCTTGATCTCCTCGGCTTCATCGTCAGAGACTTCCTTCTCGACCTCCTTCTCGACAACCAATTGAATGGGATAAGAGATGAATTCAGAATGCTTCTTGACAATGTCCTTGATCTTGCGCTCCTCAAGGTATTCAAGCTGGTCCTCTTTCAAGAAGAGTCGAATCTCCGATCCACGGCCAAGAGGTGCATTAACTTCATCACGTGTGATAGTGAACGAACCACCAGCAGCAGATTCCCAAATGTATTGCTCATCGTCATTGTGCTTGGTGATGACTTGCACCTTGTCGGCAACGAGGTATGCAGCATAGAAACCAACACCAAATTGACCAATCATGGAGACATCAGCACCCGAAGACAACGCTTCCATGAAAGCCTTGGTTCCTGATTTGGCGATAGTACCCAAATTGTTGACGAGATCAGCCTTGGTCATACCAATACCAGAATCACGGATGGAGAGGATGTTGTGCTCCTTATCGGGAATGATGCGAATGAACAAGTCCTTTTCAGCTTCCAAGGCAGAAGAATCGGTCAAGGATTGGTATCGGATTTTGTCGAGGGCATCGGATGCATTGGAAATGAGCTCTCGTAAAAAGATTTCCTATATAGAACGTCGTTTAGTACTTTCCTTTTTTATATACACAATAACAATACACATACCTTGTTGGAATAAAAGGTGTTGATGATCAAGCTCATCAACTGGGAAATCTCGGCTTGAAATGAAAAGGTCTCAGTCTCAGCGGTCATGGTGCTCAATGTGTGTGGTATTGGGAGTGAAGGGGTAGAAAAAAGTGATGGTAACACCAAGGTACAAGCGGCTATGGTGTGCTTTTATACTATGGAAGGCCATCAGCATGAATGCAGTCACATTGTGTTTCCAGCAGTTTCCATCATATTGGAGAGTATTCTCGCACTCTTGGAACCAATCATGAATAAAGATTATAACAAACTTGTTTCTGATTTTAATGTCCACTCATTCCCAAGCGAGCTTTTCTACATTACCAAACATACTGTTTGACGAGTCTTCTAGAAACATATCATTATAACTCAAGCTATCAGGGTCCGTAACTAAAAGTGATGATGGCATGACGCTGCTATCCTCCATGATAGTACGATCTTCATGCTCATATTGCTGCTGATAATGATGGCTGAGGATCGATGATGATGAGCTACTGATAGTGGATGTGGATGTAGATGGCCTGGGTTGGGTCCAACCTTGATGAAGAGCAGCATCAGCAGCAACGTCGGAATATTCTGGAAATGGAGTTGGTGCCAATTGCTCTTGTGGGTCAATGCTCAAGTAGTATGGGGCTTGTAACACAGGTGTCATGGTAGCACAATCTTGCATGACAGGCGATGTAGGCCAACAGGCTGCCATTACAGCCGCTTCCCAAGATCCATTACCATAGCCAAGTGGCAAAGTGCTTTCAGATGGCTCACTTGCAGCAAAGACCATTGAATCAGGCGATGTCGAAACAATGCATGGTGTTTCGGAAGACATGCATGAAATTTCATTATCTTGTTGTCCCGTAGGTTGTTGATTTGATGCTTCCACAGCCGATGGCAATGACGATGAAGATGATGACGACGATGTTGATGATGATGATAATCCTCCTGCACGTCGACGTCTTGGAGTATACTTGTAATTAGGATACCTGATATACAAAAGTTAGGTCATCAAAAAATAAGTAGGTTTCTACTCTTTATACTTACATTTGCAAATGCTCTTGCTTAGCAATCTCAGCGACCATCTTGTACTTTTCCTTCACTTGTTCAGGCTCTTGTCGCCACCATTCTGCCACAACCTTGGAGATGTCACGATGGTTGGCTCCAGGGACTTGTTCGACAATAATTTTTTGCATGTCAAGACGATACGCCAAAAAGCAGTTGATAGGTCTCGGAATGCGTTCCGGATGACGTTTCCGCTGCTTACGTTGAGGGCGTTGGCGTCGAGTCATGTTAATGGTTTGTCGATCCGACACTTGGGCTGCAAGCTTTTCCAAAGCCTTTTGGCGTGTTTGACTAATAGGTGTAGTATTGCTCATTACGATGATGAAGAACGTATAAAAGGGTGTGTGCGTGAAAGAATAAGGCAACACTAGTATAGAATAACAAAACGAATGGAAAGGGTATAGAGATAATTATAGGATGACTGTGTGCACAGATTATTAAGAGATGATAGAGGAAATTAGATGAGAAAGAGAAAGAAGGAGGATAATGTTAAAATCGATTCTCGTGAGGTTCATTCTTATATGATATCGAAATGCTTCTTCACAACCAAATGACGGAACCTTGGAACCAACAAAAGAGAGCGCGTGAACGTAAGGATGATAGTGAGGATGCTAGCGTGTGGCTGGTCCATGGATCCTTCCATACGAATATTAGGATGTATCAGAAAATAGCACCAGTGCACGCACGCATGGTTACCCATGGCATCTGCAAATACCCCTTGATCCTTTTTTCCTTGTCTTTACTTGACAGACATGATGCATGCAATATGACACATTGTTTCCGCTAGACACAATGAATACATAACGTGGCAATTCAATTTATACTACCGATAAACATTTACAACAGCATTAGCATGCTGCATTCGTCTCCCTAATTTCCCTCTCTCTTTGAACTTTTCTTGGATTGGTAAATAAAGACTGAATCATCCAATCATACATACACAATCGCTTAACTACATACAAGGAGGATAATACGATATGCATGAGATCACTTACGGAAGCAGCAGCCGACGGTTCGGATACCAAGGAGGTAAAAAGGGGGAGTATGTGCAAAAAGAAGCATATAAATACAAGCTCAGCGAGCAGCATCAATGATCCACTTTGAGAGAAAGAAAAACAAAAGATAGACGCGAAGGCACGTGTCAAGGGAATGTATTTTAGGTGATGACAAAACAACGTCTTTGTTAACTTCATCCCTCCCCCACGCACCACGCACCACGTTGGGTGTGAACAACAAGAACAACAACAAAAACAGCACAAATGAAAACAAAAAAAAGAGCTTCTTTGTAGTAAACAAGCACGAAGAATCTAGGTCAAATATACCAGCAGCTGATGTTGGGGGTGTGGGGGTTGGGGGTAAAACGGCAAACGACAAGTGAAAGAGAGAAAATATGATTGTAACTTTGTGTGTGTGTGCAATAGTAAAACGAAAAAGTGATAGCGTTGACATGATTATTGACGGTGGTGATGGTGATGATGGATGAGGATATACAAGAATATGGTTTCTAGTTGATTATGCTTCCATGGGGCTATCTGGACGAGCAGGATCGTCTTCTTCTTCATCGTCGTCTTCTGAGTCCGACATGTGATTATCTTGCTGTTGTTGGCTGTTGTTGTTGAGTAAACCATTACCAAATCCTCCTACAATGGTAGCGTCTCGAGGCATCTCGTCCCATAGTTGGAAAAGGACATGTTGTGGCAATTCTCGAAAATGATTGGTACGAACGACGGCACCAAAATGATCAAACATGAAATGAAGAGCTGTTTGTTGAAGACCACGTTGACCAGCAAGACCAGCACAGTGATAAATCTTGCCTACAGTATTGATATCCATATCGCTGTGTAGACGTCGTACACATAATGCAAGTAGACGTGGTAATAGATACAAGTTGGCCATCACAAGCAAGTCGGCAATAAGAACGAGTGGTGTGATTTCATCGAGGGTGTCGGTATAAAGAAAGCGCACAAAGGCTTCAAGGACAGGAAAAGGTTCTGGTAATGTGAGTGTATCGGATACGGATTCTGCCATTCCTGAAGCTAATAAATGTGCAAAGTGTGGCCACCTAGCGAGTAATACAAGTCGATGTGCACGTAAAAGACCGGCATCAGGATCGATACTTGATTGAATAGAGAAATCGGTACTTTGTGATTGCTGCATCAATAATGAAACAAGGTCTGTACCCAATTGAGGAGGTGGAACAGGTACAATGCCGTATTCTTTGAGATCCACATGTAGAATAAGTGCATAATAGTCGTCGGGTTCTTGATCTGATCCACATAAATAGAATGATGTATCATGCTCAGCCATGGCAAAAGCGTGCCATCCACCTCGATCAAAGGCTGATCCCATATCACGATGTGTCCATTGCATTGAAGGCATATCCAATGTCCATAAACCAGTAGTGGGTGGATCTTCCATAGCCGATACTGAGACGGGTGATGTAACAACAACAACAAGTTGATCTCCACATAGTTGAGAGAATCGTTGGCCCCCAAGTGAGGGTGCTGAAGGTGAGTCTATCTCGAGATGAGTGACGCCATGCCTTTCAAGGTCGATAAAAGAAAGGTGGTTGGAGCGACCCATATCATCTTCAAAGCCTCCAAAGACGTAGAGACGTTTGTTGTACCAAAAACTTATATGTTGTGATCGGCGTACGAATGGTATAGGCGGGTGCCACTCCCACGTGGCTAAATCCAATACAAGCAAAGTGTCTGCAAACATCCCCTGTGATGCCAATCCTCCTGCAATATATAAACGATCACCATGGATAGTCGCTGAATGCCGTACTCGTCCATCAGGTACCGCTCCCAATGTCTCTGGTTGCTCCCATGTCAATGTTTCCAAATCCAATACAAATACATCATTGTAAAATCGTCCATCCTCCTCGCCGTTGCCGCCAAATACCACAAGCTTGTTACGCGCTTTCCATAGTGTTGCCGTATGATCATTACGTTTAGCAGGCGCTCTTCCCCGTGTATATAAAACGCGTTCCCATCGACACCTTCCTTCCACATCATCCGGTTGTAACACAAGTCGATACAATGCATTGAATACTTCATCCGAATATTGATCGAATCCACCAAAGACATACATGGCATCTCCAACTACTGTCAACGATGCTCCAACCAATGATCCTAATGATTCGCCCGTAGTCAAACGTGGTTGAGCTGTATGCTTCATAGTCGTGCATGTTCCTGTTCCTACTCCACCAGTGCTTGACGAGGGTGTCAGCTCACGATTGGGGCTATGTACGGATAACGGTGTCCCTGGTGCCGAGCTGTTCATATTCCCCTTTGCTGGTTGCTATTGCTGCTGCTGCTGCTGCTTTTGTGAGTTGTTGCTAGTGTGGTTGGTAGTGGTGATGGTTGTAAGTGCGTGCTAGTGTGGCTTATCGTACTCTCGGCTATTCCCCTTCCTGTATATCCATGAGTCAATATACCCTATACTCTCCCTCTCTCCCTCATGTACTACCTTACCCTTATTGTAATAATGTCGTTTCAAAAGCACGCTCTTTTTCGAATGCTGCTGTGCTCAAAATATAGACTGGTGTGGTAATGCCGCTTTATCCAATCAGCCGTTTCGACAATGGAGAATTATGGGTGAGTATGCAGCAATCAAGAATATGAAATGGACGTTGTAGCTGGCTCAATGCAAGAGTGTAGTTGCTGCGGATTCGTTGAATGGAGAGTGAGGTCAAGCGGTTCTCAAGCAGCTGGCTCACAAACTAGAAAGTGCGAATTGAAGCTCAAGCTTGTCTAGCGGCATCACAAAGAACACAACGCCGCTCTTTGATTGGTCGAATCTCTTGTCTGTGTTCCGAGGAAAGCATGGATCTCTCACTCTCTTTCCTGCAATATAGCCAATCAATCAACCTTTCATTCATTTGCATTCCTTAGCCATGCATGTATAACAATGAAATGATATGCTTTTATTTTGAAATGTATGATCAAGTTTCTTTTTCTTCATTGGTGACTGGTGATGACGATGATGGGATGGCTTCGTTTTGATTGTTTGTAGTCTCCTCGTTTGCATGAACATCTTCTACAATAGACTCGCTGACATCATTTGACTCAACTTCCTCGGTAGGCTTCTCAATGCTATTCTCTTTCAAATGTTCCTCGAGAACATCATCACGCATGAATTCAATGACTAGTTCACAATGCTCTGTGTGGGGAAACAAATCGATTGAAACAGCTCGGGTGGGTCGGAACGGAGAACCGGGATACTTTTTGGATGTCGCCTTGCATAAACTGTGTACACAGACACATTCCCTTTTTAGTACATGCATACATAACAACATACACGCCCAATCAACTCACCCAATAAAATCATCCAGTGCTTGACGAGAATCACAGCTAATATACACAACACGCTTGATGAGTGGAGATCCACGAATCGCTTGAATAACGGATGGATGGACACCGCTTCTATATAATCATCCCATAGCTGATGTTAAGAAAGGATCTGGTAAATGATACGCCTATCTTCTTACCTTGGTGGATCCAATACTGCCACCACCTCTTCATTGCTTGCAGTTGAAATGACATTCACCTTATCCTCCACTTTGCCAGTATAATATTCAATGTTCTTGATGTCTATAATCCAACCCTGTAAATATGTTTATCATACCCAATACACATCCTTCTTCCTTACCATTCAAAGCACAATTCTTTCCTGCATCCACAATAGCTTCAGGCACCATCTCGATACCAATCACGCGATCAACCGATTTAGCCATGGTGATACCAATGGTGCCAGTACCACAACATAAATCCAACAATGTCGTCTTTTTGCCATGTCCCACATTGCACCATTCAGCACACTTTGAGTACAAAATCTCGGTAGCTGCCGTATTGACTTGGAAGAAAGAGCTGCTGGAGATACGGAACTTGCAACCCAAGAGCTCCTCGTGAACAATACCATCACCCGTAAGCACCTCCACAGGAGTACGATCGGTAATACCATTGGATGCACCATTCCAAGCCTGGAATAAGAGCGTTGTTACCTCGGCTCCACCTTGTTGATTCTTGAAATCATTCCAGTACTCGATAAGCTTTTGCTTTTCCTTAGCGACTTGGTCTTCGGAGAGAGTATCGGTATTCATCTGCACCAAAATCATGACTACAAAAGTACATCTTAATGTCCGATGTTTCTTCATATAGGGCATATATAGTAGTATTTACCTTCACCAGTGCTTTGAGTCTTGGTCAAAAGTGTCCTCCATACACCAACCTTTTCGGATCTACTGTACACTGGGTATTCTGATTCACGTACATAATCCTACATTTTCGCATGCGTATTAGAATGATACCTCCTCCCTTTGTAATAAATACTTACTTGCATGGCACGTGCAATGCGTTTTGCGATATCAGGCACATTTAAACAATCGGAAGGATCCAAGACTGCGGTGATGCCAAGCTTGTAAAGACCAAGTAAAAATCCAACCGTAGGCTTGCCATCCAAATCGTGTCCAATGGTAAATTCACACTTGGTGCGGTATCCATTCACATTAGGGGAACCAATAGGCTTTTCAATATCACAAATGGGTCCCTTTCTACAATACCATCCATCAGCTGAATTCTTCCATATCACCATGATAACTCCATACCTAGCCTTGATCCATGCAAGCTGTTCTCGTTTATCTTCAGGAACATCCTTCATATTCATAAGCTTCCATTTGAGCTTGTCAAGCACCTTGCGATTGTTGCGATCCTTCTTGACGAGTTGTTCCTCATAAGAGAGCCTATCACCATCATATATAAATCGATCCATCCTCTCTTCAATGGCAAAACAAAGGGACTTACTTATGCAACGGGGTAACTTGATCAGCAAGTTTTTCAGCAGGCGTGCGTGTGTCATCCTCAGGGTTCTGATCCTTTTTGTTGTTGGGCCGCTTCTTCTTGTCAAGCTTCTGCATACGTTGCTCGTATTTGGCCTTGCTCTCGTGAGTGTATTCTGCCTCAAGCTTCTTTCCCTTGAATTCATATCCTTCAAGCTTGCTTAACATCTCCTTGGCCTCCTCTTCTGACTAGTAATAAACCCAACCATTCCGTGTCAGATATTGCGGAGCCATTCTTCCCTCATCCACGTATCATGTATACATACCGAAGCAGTGATAATAGCATAATCCCATTTGGGTGCTTTGCTCATGGACTTTAACCCTCTCTCGATCAACTGCTTTCGCACCGTCTTCCAGTCTTTTTTGGGGAAGTTGGTGATGCGGATCCGATGAAAGCCATCCTCGTTGTCTCGCGAATCAATCTTGACCCGCTTAACGTCTTGGTCTTCTGTATCAGACTCGAGTGGCCGTTTACGAGTGAAAACCGATTGCAGCAGTGATTTGGCGTAGCTGAACATGGTGTATTAACAAGTCGAGTTGGGGCAGTGGTGAACTTGTAAAAAAACTCGTGTTGCATACCCCGCATGGCCGTGACTGGTAGATAATGCAACATCCCAAGAACCTAAAATCCCCCATCCTCCTCCCCCACACTCCTTTAATTATCATTTAACTCAATGGGTTCAATAAAGAAGCAATCAATTGTGGCACATTCATGCTGATGTTGCATCTCCATTGTCATGGTAACCATCACGCTATTGTTGCCATCTGTCGACAAATCAAACTAAACGTGCAACGTTACACGCATTTACACGCATACGATCATTTGTCAACAACCCTACAGCATAATCAGTGTGGCTTGAGCATACAAATTCATATGAATAAATCACGCATGGCACAAAGGATCAATCAAGGAATAGGAAGGGGATCAAAATCACAAAGGCATAATGCATAATAATGAACACCATGGTGATCAATACGAAGAACGATAGAGATGATGACTAAAGATGAATGCATGTGTATCCTCAATGTATGGGACTACCCTGAGTGCTTGCCAGATGACACGCTTCTGTTTATATATGTTATCAAGTTAATTCGATAGCCTTGCTTTTATGTGCATTGCTGTTCATACAAAGGGGTCATGATTGACAGCAGTGGTACGTATATTGATGATCATCCACCAATACCTGAATTAGAGCGAAGGATCATAATACAGTATCTCACACCTCGTTTCAATAAAATGGCCATCTTATATGATATAATCACAACGAAGGAATTATGCTATCGAATACAGTCTTTGTTCAAAACACAATGAATTGATCATGCCCATTCTCTTTCTTACGAGTGGATGTATCCTCTACAATCCTGCATTTCCATACCATAAGTCTTTCTACCATGCAATGTACCAATGCCTATAGACAACGAGGTTCAACCTTACAATGTCATATGTATTCGCTAAAGTAATCCTTTTAATCCATACAACGTCATTCACATTGATAGGTACACGAATTGCGTCAAGAGGGGATATTATCAATTTGTAAACTTTCTACCCTTGGGCGTCCTGAAAAGGTGCATGGATGGGGGTGAAGTGGCTCTTGATGCATGGTACCGAATTACATGCATGGGCTTGACAAAACGTGGAGTTGAATGATGATGGTTGTACATGGTCGACAGGTTGCTGATAGTAGCTGCCATGGAATAGCGTGTAGAGTATGATGGTTGCATGCGCCAATCTCTCAGGATGATAGCATCAAGCAAAATGGTCTTTGCCACGCGTTGTATATATCCAATTCATTCCATTCGATGTACCAAAGCAATACAGTATTCAGACCCATATCCATACGTCGTATGCATTGAAGCAAGTTGCTACCCGTAAATATAGCCGCGTCTATACAATGGCCATCTGCTGTTACGTTTGGTCGTGGCAGAGGAGTGTGCAAGAGAGTGTGCGTTGTAGTAGAATAACAAGGTTGTGAATGCTGTTTGAGACAATGGAGCGAATAGCAACTGCTGCAATGAATGCTGTTACGTTTGATTGTGGCAGAGGAGTGTGCAAGAGCGTGTGTTGTGTCAATAGAACGCGTGTGTTGTAGAAGAGTGGCAAGAAGGCTGTGCACAGGTCATGGAGTTGCCATTCAGTCAAAGACAATCGGATCAAGACAACTGTAGCAATCACATGGTGGGTTGAAACAGGACAATCGTTCGCAGGTGGTAGTTGTATACTTGAATGCACCAACAGATGAGGATGAGAGGAAGAGTGAAGATGCTGGGAGTGGAAGAAGTGGAAATTAAAATAGGCCAATCTGATGCTTGAATGATACTTCTTTGTTTGAGTGTTACTCCTTCAAATCCTCTTGGATCAAGGAAGTTGAAGGATGGAGGTGTTGGGCTGGAGCAGGACAGTCGGTCACATGCATTGTTTAGGGCAACAATGGAGAATGGAAGGAAAGGGCTGCTAGCTGGCAGTTTACAAATAACTTACCAATTTGATTCTTCTGATATTGGATGATGTTTCTGTGTTTGAGCGTTTTTCAGTCAAATCTCATCGGATCAAGAAAGTTGAATGATGGGCATGCTGGGCTGGAGCAGGACAATCGTTCACATGCATTGGATTGGGAAACAAAGGTGAAGGGGAGGAACGGGCTGCGAGCTGGCATTTATGAACCATTCCTAAATAGTGTACAAGTATCATGCATCGCCTGAGTTGACTGGCTCAAGTTACACAAACACGCCCCTCGGCATCTTTGGCTATAGTCATACTACTTGACAATGAACAAAGACCACTTCTCATATAGCATCACGCTTACAGCATATGTAAAACATAAAGGTGCTTGTATCTCTAAACTTTACAATCAAACGTGGGGTCTTTAATAGAACCGTGTTGCCCGACGGGGTGAAAGCGATCTTGTGTCAAACTATGAAGTCCATCGTGGCCAATCCCAGATTTCGCATTGTCGCCACCAGCCAAACTGGATCCAGGAGTCGACCTCTTCGACGACGACGACCAAAAAAATATTTTTTGGGCTGTTTGCGACATTGAACGCGAAACTTGCACACAAGGTGCTGTTGGCCAAGCCGAGCACATTGCTCTAATAAAAACCCCACGTTTCATTGTAAAGTTCGGAGATACAGGCACCTTTATGTTTGTAAGCGTGATGCTATATGAGAAGTGGTCTTTGTTCATTGTCAAGTAGGTGGACCCTGGCAGAGCAAAAGATGCAGAGAGACGTGTTTGTGTAACGGAGCTATTTTGCATGATTGGAATGGCCAATGTATGATAGCATATACACTATCTATGATTGGCAGCTAACAGCCACTTCCCCCCAATCCCAACTTTTTTTCATTGTATGACATTGGAATGATGCTCCTGCTCGAGCCCATCATTTCCATCTTTCAATTGTCTTGATCCGAGACGATTTGACTGAGCTACGCCCAAACAGTGAATATGTAAATTAATGAATCGCAGACCCTGCGAATGTCTCCGTCTTTCAAACTTTTGGACGCTCCCATTCAAAATCTTCGGATGAAGCGTGAGGTTTTTATTAGAAAAAGTTGATCAGCATGCTCGAGAGCACCCTTCTGACCAATTTTCAAGTTGGAAGTGAGCAACTTCGGGGCGGTGGGCCGTCCGCTCTTTTGTTGCCCATCATCCACCGTTTGGACCCTCCCGCATTCAAGACATTCTTAATGAAGTGTATGGTTTTAAATGAATGAAGTTGATCAACATGTTGCAGCGAGCCTTCTGACAAAGTTTCAGGTTCGAAATGGGGAATCCCAAGATAATACATAGTATTTCGATGAATCATGAATCTGGGGCTGACCGGCATTCCGACTTACATAGTAAACCCCACATTATACCCTCCCATTCCAATTTTTATAATGAAGCATGAGGTCTTTTTTAGAGAAACGTGATCAGAATGTCCAAGAGCACCTTGTGTGAAAGTTTCTGGTTCGAGAGGGGAAATCTCAGTATCAAGGATTGATGTACAGTGTGCATGCATTTATACAAGAGGTGTCCGCTCTATTTAATTTCCACTTCTTCAACTCCCAGCATCTTCACTCTTCCTCGCATTCTCAACTGTTGCCTCATTCAAGTACATACAACTACCACCTGCGAACGATTGACCTTCTTCAACCCACCATGTCAATCCTACAATTGCCTTGATCTGATCTGTCTTCGACTGAATGGGGTGTACACAGCGTTCTTGCCACTCTTCTACAACACACGAGTCTCTTGACACAACACACGCTCTTGTACGCTTCTCTGCCACGATCAAACGTAACAGCATTCATTGTAGCAGTTGCCATTAGCAAAGTCTTTACTCCATTGTCTCAAACAGCATCCACAATCTTGTCACTCTACTACAACACACTCTACTACAACACACGCTCTTGCACACTTCTCTGCCACGACCAAACGTAACAGCAGCTGCCATTAGCAAGGTCTTTACTCCATTGTATCTTGCCTCAAGTTACTTGCAGCAAACTGGCCTGTGGTCTCTATTACGTGAACAACAGATAGCCATTGTATACAAACAGCTTTATTTACGTGTAGCGACTTGCTTTGGTACGTACGGATTCCAATGGATGACACCATATCAGCTATCAAGTACGCTGCAATACAAGCAATCTTCGCGTGGTGGAAATGATCAAGAAAGAAATAGACCAACAGCTAGATGGAAAAGGAACACATCAGCAGAGGTCGCACGGCTCTTTTCAACCAACATGTTGGATTTGATGGATGGATGCAATCAAGTGCAAAGATGAGATATCGTGGAATGTTGCTTTGGTTACTTGTCGCTTTGCCAGCAGTAAGGATGGATCGTGTCATGTGGAAACGGTTGAGGATGATGATGGGTTGGATGGATTGACGAGAAGGACTCGTATCTTGGACGAAAGAAGGTGTCTTACAGCCATGGATGCTATTGGAATACTCAAGTCAATGCATGCAGCAGCTATTCTACAATCACAAGCGATGTTTATCAGCAACCAAGAACACAATGGTACAATTATCCCTGTCGGCTCGATGTGGTTCACCCCTAGCTTATTCAATTTACAATGCTGTTCCCTTGTCATACTTACTCGATAAACATCCACACTACCATGTGCTATGATTCAACTTTTCAATTGGGTTCAACATAATATTAAAAGAGCATCATACAAACAGTTCATATGAGCAAGATGCAGATCACTTGGTTGGTTTCTGGATTGAGAGGGGGAATAGCAACTTAAAGGTTGGGAAGCGAGATTGGATCATTCACGTCATCGCATCGAGATGCTTTGTTCTGTTGTCACATTATTGCGTTCATTAAAGCTTCATAGTTCACATATTGATGGACGAAAATCAGGGGAGATCCTCAAACGATTGTATTGCAAGATAATAAATTCGAGAGCGATGATGCCTAACGTAATGCTTACTACAGAAGCTTGGTTCATTGTAAGCTTACTCCATTATGTTCAAGAAAGAGTGAGTCGTGACACAATGCTTCACGGTCACATGTACATACCGTACTGGCCTTTTCAGCTAACACTATATTATGCAACAACCTTGTATAAGAACAGGCCAATCCATATAGGCTATCATACGAGGATCTTATTATCGGTAGCAGGCAGGGGAAAGATTGATCATGCATCCTCCACCAATAGGATCGACCCCTTCGCGTCGCGTCCTCCCAAGCTTTGTGACACTAACACGCCCCTCTGCATCTTTTGCTCCCTCAGGGTCAAGCTACTTGACAATGAACAACTCGTAAATATTGTTTCAGGGAAGCCTATTGCATATGGATGGCAAAGGGTTGAGGCTCCTATAAAGATGAATACTAGGAGACTGTGGTTGGGTAAATGTGTAAGCTTGTGGAAAGTCATTCACAAAAAGGTCGAAAGTTTACGAGCAAAGCGAGAAATTGGGGCCACCAGTCCGACCGCTTTTATTATTACTAATGACTAAAGGTATGAATGGATTATAAAAAGTATAGCTAGTAGGTCTGCTGACGAGTCGAATTGTTGATGCCCAGATAAGTGCTTGATCCTGAAGGATGCATGTAACGCAAAATAAAGTTAAGCTATGCATCGACAAAGAAACGGATATTAGTATACATCATCAAAAGAGGAGTTGCACCAATGCTTTACTTACAATAATGGCACCAACGAGCAGGGTAGTCAATCCAATAGGACCCCAAATATCATCGTATCGTATCATGGGTCTTGTTTTGATTTGATGAGCACGATATCGAAAACGACCAAATGCGTACAATGCAATGCCCATGGAAATGCCGAAAAAGACTGCACCTGCAATTGTGCTGATACGGTCACCGAAATTAAGTAGAGTAAGGGCTGCGACCAGGATAAGGGCTGCAAATTGCAACCAATGGATAAACGTACGCTCGTTGGCAAAGAAAACCTTGGGTTCAAGCCATACTTTGATCTTTTTCTTTTTCTTTTTGCCATTCGCGTTATCATCACCCTCTTGACCACCACCATTCTCAGCTTGTTCTTCTTCCTCAGGGATAGCAGCTGCCACGACAGGATCTACACCACCTTGCATGATCGATTTTCTTGATTTGGTTCTCTCCATGTCAACCACTGAAGACTTGAGTGGTTCTCGCTCCATAGCTGACATTGGTGTTGATGATGCTGAGCGAAAGCTAGGTGTCCTCCTCAAGTGGTCCAATGCATGGACACGTGCATCTTGAGCTGATAAACGATGTATTCTCAATTGCCGATCAAGATAACCAATCCTGTTGGGTCGACGCAAACTGCGACTATAGGTCATCCACCCAGTGCTTGGGTATCTGGGATCCTTGCCATTGCGTATATCGACATCCATATCTCCACGCATCCACCATGGCACTAATGGTAAAGGTGCATACAAACTTGCTGTACCATGCAAAAATGCCGAAAAGGCTGGCACCTCATACGCTAAACCCATCTCCACCAATTGCGACATGAGATGCGTCGTGTTGCTTGGTACTGTTGCTTCCAGGATAGCATATGGGAACTTGTATGGCGTTTTATCATCATCCACAGTGCTGAATTCGATATCGGTGTCGAGATGAACAATGGCGCCATTGCCACTACCTTGTCCATACCATATACGGTTACAACGCATTGCCAATGTCGGCTCAAGTCTGTATTGTTTCACATAGGAATGCACAATCCCGGTCAATGGAAATGCCGCTGGATTATTGTTGAACGCCATGAATTCTTGTGCTGTGCAACCTGCATAAGCTTGTGCCTTTTGCTCAATTGGAGTCGAATTCCAGTCTTTTTGATATACGTCACGCCGCACTACAAGGTCTTGGCCCATTTGTTCTAATCGAATTTCCGTGCCACCATCGTCTCGCTGCAATCGGCTATAATACATGTTGAGTGATTGTGGATTATCCAAATAATATGTGGTCACGCTCGATTCGATTTTTTCCGGCAAGTGAAAAAGAAGCATTGCTTGCAGCTGTGTGAGATTCTGCTCATGCACCCAAAAATAAGACATGGTCGAGATTGATGGCGTGGATGATGATAGGGTTGGTGATGAGGAAGATGCCGTTTGTCGGGAAGCTTCATCATCCAATTCCCCAAGCTTGATTAACAAAGGATCGAATCGCTGTGTATCCAAAGGCTTATCACTCATCAGGTCTGCCAATAGCTGCTGTGTCTCATTTCCTGTCAACTCATCATGAAAGGCAATAATGTGCTGGAATGCCATAAAGTTGTATCGTGTGAATCGGGCGAGTTCTTCGAGGTCATAGTAAATCTCTTTTAGAGTCTCTTTGGCTGAGGTATAGGAGCGCTCTGTTGTTGCAGGATGTTTGTTGTTTTGTATTCCTCGTTGACAATGGCTGATCCTTGAATCAATCTCCCGTTGTTTGCGTGTAACAAACTGTTCCACCTTCTCAACTTCAAGTTGTATAGTAGTCGAATAATCTCGTTCTTCTTCAGCGGTCCATCCATGCTCGGCCTTTTGTTGCAAATGTTGTTTGATCAATCGCAATGGCACATATTCATATCGCCATGGCTCATATATATTATCCTGCAATTCTTGCTCAAAGCTCATAGCGAACAAAAGTGGGAAAAGGAAAAAGGATCGGGATTCAGTTGATTGACAAGACATTTGTTTATATTTCTGAAACAGCAGTAATAAACGAGATTTCACAATTTCTGAAACACAAGGTAGACAGCGTGCACAATGGGTAAATGCTCGTCCACAATATCCACGATATCCTCTTCTTTGTCCAATTGGGTTGACAATGATGATGCGGTTGTTTCTTGTTTTCGATCCTTAGAATAGCCATCGGGTACAGCGACCACCATCTCCTTGAGCTTGAGCATAGTTGCATCCACCGTTCGTTCGATATCCTCCAAAACTAGCATCCCCATAGGCCATAGTTTGCCATCGGCCGATCGAATGTCTTGCGTGCCAATGATCAACATTCCCTGTGGTGCTAGTTTGTTTACTGCATCGCGAGCAAGTTGCATCAATGTTTGTCGATACGCATTAGTTTGGTGTGCAAGCAGCTGAGGCTGATGAGCTGAAATGATCAAACGAAGAGGAGCTTCTGGTAGTGATGGCTTAGTCATCATCGTCTCGTAATGCATGACATCGGTTGATTCCTCGCTCAGCTCTGAAATTAAACCCTTGTGTGTCGTGGTGTGTCAGCTTACACATCAATGAAATTTTCTTTGTCTGAGCTTACCAATTGCACCAGCATCCGGGTATTCTCTTCAATCCGCTTTAGCCGCTGTTGTTCATATTCTGAAAGCGTGCTTTCATCCTTCTTTTGCTTGCATTTCATCGCTAAATAAAATACATAAGAATGAAAATGTATAAATGGAACATTCATTGTGATGTACCTGAGTTATCTTCATTGCATCTACTCAACAGCAGTTGTTGCTCAGCCTATTTGCAATCGAATTATGTGTGAGATCCCATTGCTTTATACGTCCAAAACGATAACAACGTACCTCATTTGTCTGGAACTCAAGGTGCACCTGCTCCCAGTTGGTATCATCACGCCCAAATCTCTCCACCATGCGAGACATGCACAGCTGCTCAAATCGATATTGCTCGGTGGGCTTGAAAACCCAAACAGTACCCATAACCACACTTTTGCGTAATATAGCACTTGATGGCACACCATGCTGCGTATATGACAACTTGATTTGATCTTGTGATGTTTGTTGCTGTGAATCTGCAAGCATCATACACAATCAATATCAACAGATGTAGTCATTGTTCGCCAAGAAATCCATCAGCATACCTGTTTCCTGAGGCATCATTCGATCCATGTTGCTAAGCGGTATCTTGCGGAAAGTAGCAATGAATTCGTGTGTGAACACCAAAAAGTCAAACTGCACGCATAAATAAGTGCCGAGGCCGAATGCGGAACAATATCGCTGCCGCTTGATGACCTGTTCCATGGACAATGTTAGTAGCATGATAATGAAAAAATGTCCTTGTACGAGTCTACTTGCCAATTCCTCAAGTTCAAATCCATTGTCGATGTATTGTCTCAAAAGCCGGAAGCCAACAGGAATATAGAAACAGTGCTCTCGATTATCGCCAATACCCAATGTCAGCTGACGACCCATTTTCAGCAGCCTATGTATATCCGAAAGACGTGTGAGCATGTTTTTGATTGGACTCTTCAATTTCTCACCTCCAGCTCTCTTTCACCACTTTGATGTATTCCAGCTTGAATTCTTCAATGTTTGTGAAGCTGTATTTAAATCATGAAATAAGTATACCATGATAATCCACGTTGATTGTTCAAATACCCACCGGGAAAGATCGCCTTCGAGATGAGTAGAATAAGCAACACAGTCTTTGTAGGGAGGATGTGAGAGGATGTGATGGAATGATTCGTCACCAAACAAGGATCCTTCAAGATGGCGTGAATCTGCTTGAGCAATAATGGGTCGATACTCGGCTGATGTCATTCCTGGTGGTATCTCAAAGCAGCAATTACGTTGGGATAATGCAACAGCAGCCTATGGAGATAAAGCATTAGTCATTTTGTAATAGGCAATAGCTCACCGAATACTTGCCGGATTGATATCCACACCCACACATCTTGTATTATGTGATTGTTAATAAAAGTCCTTTGATCTTCTTCACCATCCTATTGTTACCTGCGTTGTAATAAGAAGCATTCGATTGCATCCGTGCCTAAGCCCAAGAGTCAGCGTCCCGGTCACTATGCCTTGTCTTTTAACCCACCTCGACCTAAGAAATTGGATAACACCCTTTCATCCTTGTCGGTATGCTTGAGAATTGACCTATATCAATCAAGCAAAATCTCAATATACAATATAAACGTACCGAAAGAATGACTTTTACCTGCGTACGGTTTGCGGTAACCAGGTACCTACACGTGCACACACCTCGTTAACATACACCCTATATTGAAACAATGAAGCCGTACCATGATAATCGGTACCAGAATGGGTTGCCCAGCGAGGTGCACGACCAGGGATATCATAGTAAGTCGAATCGAATACAAGTGAAAACAGCTGATGTGGTTGCGGCTCATAGGTAGATAATCGAGGAACAGGGGCCACCTTGCCATCATTGCTAAACTTGGTTGAAGAGAGGGCATCACGCGTCAAATAAGGCTTGTGCGTATAATCTTCGATTTGTGTCACATAGCTGTCAGCTGCCACCACTGGATCATTGATCAAGGTATTTGGTTCGGAAATCAAAGGACGACCACCATCATTGTTATCCACCAACAATGCCATCTCAAAACAAGGACGACACATAACAATGCCGCCATCATATCCTTTACGCCATTCTTCAGACTCTGTGGTGCCACAATAACAGCAAGTGATATCGGGTGATTCCCCAGCTCGTAAGCGACGCTTCTTTGGAAACAATGGCTTTTTGCGTTTGGCTGAAAATGAGCATAGTGAGATTAGACACCATTGATAAGCAACGTATGTTCATGTTTACCTGCTGCTAATTCTTTGGCACGGGCTTCCTCACGAGCCTTTTCTGCCTCGACTTCTTTAAGGATGGCAAACGCTATAAAATGATGATCCTTTAGAGTTGTTGTTGCTTGCTAAACATTGTCGATCTCCTTACATGTCTCTTCAAAATCATCTTCATCATGTGGGTGATTACGCTCTGGCAACGTATCAAAGCACTATTCAATTGTTAAGAAAGATGCTCTGATCCTCCTAATATCCACATACCTCGCCACAAAGATCATAGGATCGAAAATAGCTTGATGCGCAGGGTAAACACGTATACCACGATTCATCTTGCATCTCCTTTTGGCATCCATCGCACTTGAAGACGTTGACGTAGGTATCTAATAACACCAAATCATCAGCTTAGATGTTGATAAGCAATGATACGAATCCAACCTTTCTTGTTGTAATACGCTTCATGTGTTGGGCAAAAGAAAATGAGGCCATTTCGGAAATAATTGACTGGCTTGTCAGCACAGGGCAAATGGAAGCTCTTGTTGCATTTGGATTCAAAGCATCCGATGGTTGCTCCTTTTTCCTTGCATCCATAGCATCGCTTGAAAACAAGAGAAGCTGTTAGCCATATCCAAACATTGTATTGTTGATTGCTCAAATCACTTACCATACCACGTCCTCTTCGAAGTGCCAATGTCACATTGTACCATTTGCCGTCAGGTGTACAAAATACTTCTGGTGAGTAGCGTGCGCAAGCATCGTGAACCCAAAATTGGCGTTTTCGCTCCACACCATTCTTGTTGTATGTTGCAATGACAAATGGGCCAATAAACTTCCCAAGGTCTTCGGATGTGTCATCATCATCATTGCAAAATGCACACACCTTGCGACGTTGCCAACGTTTCAGGTACTTGTATCCTTGTTCAGCAGTATCAATGGCTGAGCTTCCAGTAAATACTTGGCTCGCTTCTTCAACTTGATCTTGCTTTGATGCAGCTGCCGTTGTTGCAGCCGTTTCGCCTCCCTCAGTGTCCTTGTCAGCTGCTGTAGCAGCACTGGGATCCTCAATGACATCTTCCTCCCATACAGTAACCAGCTCACCCTTGATTGGCATAGGCCCAGCTTCGGAATCAATCACAGCTTGTACAGCAAAGCTAGAACGTGGATGTTCATGCCAAAATGGAAATCGTTGGTCAAAGCATCTACAATACGAGAAAACCATTAGTACCACAAGAGAGATAATGTCAATTCCCATGATGATACATTACAGCAAGCAAAGATCAAAGCTGTGCATGGTGCCATCTTCAGTAGGTGACTCGCAATACGTGCAATAGTATCTGAATTGCTTGATGATTACACCACATTGCCTGCAAAACACTTTGTTTCCTGCAATAGAATAAATAAGCACCACACCTTGTTGATACGATTGTTTTCATCTCCTTACCATCCACATCAATATCGCCGGATCCTTCTTCCTCGGTTGGCATATTCTCAAGTGTTCTTCGTCTGCTCCGTCGCAATTCAGCCATGCGTTGAGCCAACTCAGCAGCTGTAGCCGCAGCCTCCTTTGCACGTTCTTGATCCACTTGATGATCATGCTGACATTGTTGATAAGCTGCCGATTCATATCGTTCCTTGTAGAATGGCTCGATACATTCGACCTCGTGATCATTTTCAATAACTTGTATACGGCGGCTCCCCACACGAATATACTCGTCAAACTTGTCGATCCATCCACAAAAGTGTACACGCACCATGTTGCGCTCCATCCTGACGAGTCGTGCCTCGTACCACTTTTTATCGAGATGAAGGACTTGTACATGTTGCATATAGTCGTATCCATACACATTGGCAATAAATCCATGATTATCATCACCATCCACAGGTCGGCCACGTCGTATCAATGTTGATATGGGGATCTTGGAGGGGAAAACTTGTTCCTCCCATTCACCATCCTCCTCCTCCTCTTTTTCACGATCTCGCTTTCTGGATTGTGCTTTTGTCGTAGTGATACGTCGTCTTCGTTTGCCACGGCTGCTTGTTGCTGATGTTTGTCGCTTACGTCGTCGTCGACCAATACGCTTTTTGCATGTGTAGTCTTCATCATCGTCGTTATCAATGACAGCGCCATCATCATTATCATCATCCTCATTGTCGGGGATTTGCGTGAGCTTTGAATTTGAAGGCACTGAACAAGAAGAAGGTGGTGGTGGTGGTGGTGGATCAACAATGGGTACAAGATAGCCCAGCTGTAAATAATCTTCAGGGCCAATCAACCGATGGGGTCGTTTTTCATGTCGCAATTCTGGATTATCCTCCAAGCATAACAAATCTCCACCTGTGGCAGCAATTCCTTCATTGACACCGCCTGTTGTTGTTGCTGTTGTTGTTGTCGATGCTGATGATTCATTCGATTCAGTGCTTGCAGGTCGTATTTTGCGGCTGCCAACCATAAACCACTCATCATAAATATCGCTCCATCCATCATAGCGCACCTTTACATAGCCAGGTTTCATGCCCACTAAATGGCCTCTCTCCCAGAAAAACTTGCCCTTGGCGGTGCGAGTATTGAGTACCTCAATAGGTTGGTTGTTGTAGTAACCATATGGATTGGGGACAAAACCATGCTCATCTTGGAGCTGTCTCATGGCGCGGCGTGTAGCAAATGCACCTGTTGTTGTGAATTGGCTGGTACACTCTTGAGAGGGGATCTTCTTGGTAGACTTTGGAGCAGCAGCAGGTGCTATGGATACATTGGTCTCCACGCTTTTTCCTTTGCTGGTCTTTGGCTGCTGAGGTGCTTCACATGCTGTTTGCTTTGGCGTGTCCTTTTTGGCAGATGAACGACTCGCTTTTCTTCGTTTGGCTGAAGGTGATGATACTGAGGATGAATCCATTGATATTGCTGCATCAGTCTTATTCTTTTCTTTTGCTGGAGCAGAAGATTGAGGGGGTGGTTGTTGCAATAGAGACTCCATTTTCTTTCCCTCTTCCTCAAGGACCTTTTCTTCCTCGGGTGTAAGCAATCGAAGACGCCGGCTTCCAACAACCAACCAATCTGATTGTCTCAACGTCGGATACCAGACACGTATTTGAGTATCACGCATCTCCCGTAAATAGCCAAGGTACTCAATGTTCTTTTTGCCCATGACACCACGCTTGCATGTCACTGCCACAGCACGATTGTAGCGATATCCAAATGTATTGATCCGGAAGCCATGCTCGTCTTTCAATTCTTTGGCCATGCGACGTGTCAAATAGACTTCATTGTCATTGGATATCTGATGTGGATCCGTATCCAGAGTAGCTGTAACGTAATCATCTCCCTTGGCCTTGGTTGTCATTGTCATAGTCTCTGTAGCCGATGTAGCCTGAGGTAAAAGAGGATCACAATCTTCTTCATGTACAGGGTCTAACATCAGTGATAAATTTATGTTAATGATTGATCATGTTGTTGTGTATCCATAATTTCATGTCATTTACCTGTCATAATCTTGTCAGGCTTGATCGTTCTCAGCCGACGACTACTCATTATGATCCACTCCTCCTGATCTTGCCAATCGATGTATTCGACCTTGACCCGATTGGCATTCATCATGGTAAGCACGCCACGATACCAATGACCATTGAAATTGAGCACCTCTACTTGCTGCATACGAGTAAAGCCATGTGGATTAGGGTGAAAACCATGCTCTGGATCAGCCAATTGCTTCGCCGTGTTGCGTGTCATAAATGCGCCTGTGGTCACAAACTCATCCTTCTTCTTTTTCCCACTATTGGTCTTCTTTTGAATGGCTTTACTTGCACGCGACTTTGTGGGCGGTGGTAGCTTCTGCTCACGATGCTGCTGAGTCTTCGCTTTGCGTCTCGTTCCAGATATTGAGGTGGTTGCCCTTCGTTTTGCGGTACTGCTGTTGCTCATCTTCGCCTTATGTTGTCCCAAAACTTTGCTCTGCTTCTCTTTTGGTGGTCGACTTGCAGGTCTTCGTCTCCTTTGATGCATTGCAGCACCAGCGATTTTGTTGATCAAGCTGACAGTTCTGAAAACCCATTTGGTCTTGCATCCATCGCACATGAGAGTGGGCTCAAAAGCATTCTGTTGCTCTGGCAATGCATCACAATCAATGCACCAAGAAGGCTCGCTATCCTCATCATCATTGTTGTCATCTTGCTCATCCAACATCCATGGTCCAAGTACGCTGTCATCCGATTGAAGTGAGCTAAGAGAGCTGACATCATCGAACAAGGAATCCACATCAACATTTTCTTTGTCATTCGGTTGCGTGGCATCATCTTCTTGCGCATTTTTGGTTGATGGCGATGGTGGGGCATCATCAATGTCAACACCGGCTGTTGCTGTAGTGGTTGCTGTAATTGAATCTGAAACGCATTTCTTCTCCTTGTCATTATCTTCATCCTTCTTCGTCGCCATGACAACATTATCTGCAACTGGAACTTCCTTCCGAATTTGAAAGTAATTGGTTGCCATGAGATTCTGCTGTTGTTGGTGATGTCCCGAAGAAGTTGTTTTCTCGGCTGCAGGTCGATGAACGCCACCTCTTTTCTTGGATACACTCGTCTTATCATGATCCTTATCATCTTTTCCATTTCCTCCTTTGCCTTTGACCAAAAGCAATTTGCCCATAAAGCTGCCAAACTTGCTCTGCTTGAATACTGGTTTGCGATTTGTCGTCGTTGTCGTCGTCGGAACAGTGCCGTCACCTTCAATGTTACACACGGCCTTTTCATGGATCCTCGAGGATGATGATTCTTCAGCAGAAGTTGACACTTTTTCATCTTCCTTCAGCTGTGACGACGAAGGTGCATTTGGTGTTTGAGATTGAGATTGAGATGACTTTGATGGTGGAGGCGATGCTTGTGGCAGCTGTGCTGGTGCTGATGGTACAACAGCGGATGATGATTGGTGATGATAGCTGGCAGTGCTGTTCTCCACATGTGAATACCCATTCTCCATAGGATGATGATGATGATAAGCATGCTGATTCACAACAGGATAATACCCGTAATACTGCTGATAGTAATACGCTGCGTTTTGATCAGCCTAGAAACATCCGTGTCAAAATGCATGTCACTCACAAAACACTTCCCTCCTCGCACACTCTATCACATACTGCATAATTGTATACGTGGGGATGATTGTAATAGTACGCTTGATATTGGTTGTAGTGAATGTCAAAAGCTTGTTGCTCGGAGGGCTGTTGGGGAGAAGCTCCTACAAACAAGTAGTGCACATGATTATGTACGTGAGTTTCGAGAAACATGCATAAGCGAGAGAAGGCACAAGAGTAGAAAGGGTGTTTGACATTATACCTTGACCATTCGACATGAGTTGCCAATTGAATGCGTTCGATGCGCTGGATTCGTCCGAATACGACATTTGACAGGCGCAAAGAGTAAGCGGGAAAGGGCGTGGGCGTTCGCATGGCCATACAACAACAACAGTTTTTCTCTCGCAAGGTTGGTTTTGTTGCACAAAGGGTACAAAACATGGCACCCATATCGAGTCGACGTGGCAACCCACGCATTCTCATTCACGAGTGTGGTGGCTTGTATTGTTCTTTGTTGAAGTCGTCATGGTGGTTGCAATGGTGGTTCCTTGTCAACGGTACCAGGGGAACAATAAATGCCAAGTGTAGATGGATGGAACAAAGAGGTGTTTCAGGATGATCAGCCACCACCACAACCATCCCATGCGGCGGAGCTGAAATTAGAAATGGATGCATGAATTCCACTCTCCCCCATTCTCCCATTGCCTTTTCTTCTCTTTCCTTCATCTTGCATAACCATGTCCGAAAGTGATAGCAGCACACATTATCTATCAGGTGTAAAGGCCTACATAATACCCACAAAGTTACGACCTTATGCCATTGAATCGATGAAAAAACAGCTCGAAAAGCATGGTATGCTTAAAGTAAATCGCCTTTGTTGCTGCTGCGCATACAATTCTCACTTTTGCAAAACCCGTAGGTGGTGAAGCATGTCCATCACAGAAAGATGCAAGCGTTATCCTTACTTCTTTGACTGCAGCTCCACGCATCAAGCGACATGTTGAGAACCACCAGGTAGGACATCTTCAACATCAACCTAATAACGAAATGCATAATGAAATTCATTTTCAATCATCTTTTTCAGGTTCCGGTTGTCAGCACCCAATGGCTGAAAGATTGGTGAGCATATCATTGTTGCATACCTTATATCAAAATGGCTTATCCTATCTCGTGCTAAAGTGGAAAACAACGCGAGCATATCGCAATGGACAAGTATACAATCGAGATGCCACGTTCAAATAATCAACAACAAGGAGAGCAACCCAAAGCGACTGATACAGCAGCCAAAGACGTGGATGAAAATACGCCAGACATATCACATGAGATACTAAACCGCCGATATGCCAACATGCCACCTGATCCTCTACCTGGTTACGATGAAGAGGATGACCCAGATCTCAATGAAAGGTAAGGGAATAGGATGCATGCATTCTTCTTGGAAATTTTTGCTCATGATTAAACTATAATAGGAGCACGGGTGGTGGAGATGGTATTGTATCATGATGACGCAGCTCTTACTTTGTATTCATTCGCTGCCTTTATTACATGACCATTTTGTAGACGATGATTCCCTAGCCCCAGATTACTTAAACTCAAAGTACGAGTGTCTACGGCCTACACCCCTCAAGCCATACCACAATCGCAAGTTGGTTGCACTGTTGCGTCTTCTTGAAAGGCAGCGTGAAGTGAATATGGAGGAAAGAAATGCGCTGAGTTATAGACATGCCATTGCAGCCATCAAGGTATCTTTTACCAATGCTTGGTTAGGGTCATGAATAATGCATTAATGGAACAACCATCAATAGGCTTATCCTCGAAAGCTACGTTCAGGGAAAGAGGCACATAAGATCACCGGTAAACATTATGGTATAAAGTACGAGGAACACTTCTTAACGACTTTTTCATGTGTAGGGATTGGTGAAAAGATATCGACACTGGTGCAGCTCTACATTGATACAGGGACTATTCCCGATGCTGAAAAATTGCTGAGCGACGAGAAATTCAGGACATTGTCTCTGTTTGTGAAAGTCTTTGGTATGTGTTGATAGGCGTGCAATAGGCATGTGTCTTATCAAATGTTTAATAGGCGTTGGTACTAAGACTGCAAATATGTGGTACAATTCTGGTTACCGTACACTGAAAGAGGTGCTTGAAAAGGCCAAGCTTGTCAAAGCTGTCAAACTTGGTATACAGCTATTGCCGCATTTTGATCAGCCGTAAGTTGTAAAGCGATTGAATTTTGGAAGCCGTCATTAAGTGATATGAAAAAGGATGTCAAGGAGTGATGTCGAAGAGCTTATTGATATCATCAACAAGGAGCTACCCAATGTGGATAAGCATGCATTCACACAACCTGTGGGAGGATACCGCCGAGGTAAAGAGCAGAATGGTGACTTGGATATTGTGATTGCAAGTCGAAAGCTTGAGCATACGACGGATCATCTTTTGAAAAGGATCGTTGAGCATATGATTGAAGCAGGTATACAACAACAGCTTTATTCAATCCATGAATCTACCTAACTAAGTATATAACAAGGGTATGTCAAGCATGTGCTGTTGATGTCTGGCAAGAACTCCAACCACTTTGGTAATCATTACACCAGCGGCGCTGCTGATATGGAAAAGCTGGATACGGTAAGAGAAAGTGTGCCGATGCTGAATGTAGAAAAACAAGGCTGATGTCGTTATCGTAGTGCTTTGTTGCATTCATGCAGCCATCCACACAAATCATGCGGCAAGTGGATTTCATTGTGGCAGCTTTGGATGATCAACCGACAGCTGTACTTGGATGGACAGGCTCACGCCAATTTGAACGTTCAATAAGAGATTACGCCAAAAAGGTATGAGAATGCAATGTGGTCAAAGTTCTAATTGGCTTATCCCATGGCACTATGTATCATAGGAGAAAAATCTCTCTGTTCAAAGCCATGGCATGTTCGACCGCACCTCTAGCAAAAAGCTGGCAAGTGAATCAGAAAAGCAGATTTTTGAAATGATTGGAATCCCATGGCTCGAGCCTGAGATGCGTAATTGTTAAAGATTAAAGAGTATTCCCAAGCTATTTGTCATTCAACAACAATGCTACAAGTTTAATTGCTGAGTTATATATGTGTATATGTGGTAATGCGTGTACAAGAGAAAAAGGCAGCTTGATCGCAAAGGAAGAGAGGGATGGATGGTGAATTTACTACTAGAATCAAGGAACAAACGTATGGGATCACATGGGTCAGGTTTTATGGAATTTTTTTTGCATACATGGATTGTCAAGGGAGGAAGGCATCACGGCAAAGGTCGTTTACCACTCAAAGTCACCATTGGCACGATGGAAAAGATAATCACGTCCATTCACCAACATGATACCATCCTTGAGAACACACTTCCACTTGTTCTTGGTACGGGTGACCTTTTACAAAGCGAGGTATATTAGGAGATTGTATGTAAAACCTATGATGGCATTCTTACCTTATCATACAAGCACAATATGATGTGTTCAATCTCTTCAGCACCTTCTGCGTCATCATCAGCATCGTCCGAATCATCCAAATCCGAATTGATATCATCATCCTACCACAAACCCAATTAATCACGTGATACGATGACGATCCCTTCCCAAACACGTGTACTTACCCCTCCTTCACCTTCGCCGTCTAATTGTGGGATACGTGCTTTTGAACTGATAGCGCCAGCTTTGATTGCACGATCTCGAGCATCGCGCATAAGTTGCTTTATGTCGCCAGGGAGTGACGTCAATGGTACTGCTTCACCAGTAGATGATGTCGCCGAGAACTCCAATTGTGATGCTCGTCCTGCGCAAATATCTTCAATGTGGGCATCGATTTGCTATTAAATCACATTAGTAAGAAAAAGGTGACATGTAGCCTATTTGATCTTACTTTTGTAGTGAATTCAGAATCGGCACAGCCATCGTTTTGCGGAATATTGGGACGTGGACCACCTGGAAGCTGTAGATCAGGACCCTTGGGAGCTTGTGATGATGTAGGAGGATTCATCAAGTGATACTGGCCATTGTTATTACTAGTTGCATCGCTTGCTGTGCGGTTGGCAAGATGATATGGATCTGTTGATTGCTGTTGTTGTTGCTGTGGTTGCTGTTGCTGTGGTTGTACAGGATGTGGTGGAGGAATATGGGGTCTGATTCCAGCTCCAGCAGCTAATGTTGGCAGACTAGCAGCAGCAGCAGTATAAGCCTGTATAGAAGAACCATCGTTAGTGACCATGATTTCCCTCTCTTTTTTTCCATATCAACTTACATTGGGTGGATATTGTAGATGCGGCATACCATCGGCAGCACCTGGCAAGTTGAGTCCACTGTTGTTCGTATTGCCAGCGGCACCAGCTGCAGCATTGCCATGTTGTTCCTCATTCTCGTCGTCATAGTAATTTTCATCGCCCACGCCAAAGTTTGCCACACGAGATCGAGCCACCTTGATTTCCCAAGACTGATGTAACCAGTGAGCATAGAGCATAGATAGTGAATGTGAATGTGAATGTTGATCAACTCACCCGTTGAAGCTCTTGCAATACAGCCTCGTCAATGCCCATATCTTCAAATTCACCACGAACTTGGTTGATCACATCATCAATAACGTAGCGGTATACATTCGACTGTTGATATGCGTATATACAAAGAAAGAGAGACGTTGAATACGATAGGATCACACATACACGTAACACACAAAGCACGCATACAAGAGAGAAATAAAACTCACCACAATGGCGTTAGACATGTTGGCTGTAGATCAAAGGTGTAGATTGCAATTCAGTCGTTTATTTGACTATAGCGCGCAAGAACCACAGATGATTGAAAGAGATCGTAGTCGTAACAGATGGGTGGGATAGTTCAAGTGTAGAGAACAAAGTGAGACAAGCGAATACAAAAGAAAGAGTAAGGTGAACAGAGGATTAGTAAGCGGTAACCGAGAGACAGACGCAGCAATGCATTTAGGGCATAGAAGGGTGCCAATGGTGGAGGTGGAAAGTGTGATGGGTCAGCGTCATGATGCTCACCTTGCAAAGGATTAGAAAGCGGAAAAAGAAGCGCTGGAATTTATACTTGTAAGAGTCCCAGCCGCCTTTTTATACCCTGCCGCTCGGTTCAATGTTTTACCAACTCAGTGTTAGATGCATCTCGCTGCATCATATTGCAGAAACATCCTTCTCCTTGCTCAAATTAACACTGGTAAGAGTACTTTGAATGAAACCAATCCAATGATGATCAAGGCCTCATACGTTAAGCATACTATGCCACAACCTTTAATAAATTTCTTCATCGAGCTCTTTTACTACTACTACTACGACTACTACTATAACTATAAGTTATATGCAGATAAGTGTTGTTTGCTAGTAGATGGGAATAAGGATCATAGTAAATGATTCACAAGGATCGTTTTTAGTAGTAAATCCGAAAGCTTTGGGCAATGTTGTTGATCAATGAGCGCATATGGTAATCCCTTCTTCAGCCAAAAGGTGGCCTATGTGGTGGACAAAGAAAACAACCCCTTTCCCTTCCTTATGATCTGGCTCTAGCGACCGCCATCAATTGGGATGGTCAAGTGGAAACGTCGTATACAAAGCATTCCATCATAAGCAACACATGCATTATACGCAATGACTCAAGCACATCATCGTACGCACTGCGCCTCATAAGCCTGATGCACCACCCAACCCCCGAAAAAGGTACCAGATTGTCAATCTTGTTTGACACTATCGATATCCATATTGCTCATACCACCACGCCTCGCAGTCTTTTCCACCTTGGCATACATACGCCACACCGCTATGACGACGTGCCCGGTCCCTGCAATGGTGGCCACCCCGACATTGTCAATTGCTGAACAACTTCACGACCTATTACTCGAAAAGCAGCAAACCGAAAAGTGGCAATGGCTATGCACTGAATTGCTACGTGAAGAACAACACCCTTCAGAACAAGTCTCTACTTTACGCAACCGAATTCACACTTGGCGTGTTGCCGATCGGCCGTTCTATCTCACTGTCGCCAACACGCTCACGTATTGCTTTGACAACCAAGGACGGCTACCCGACTATTTATTAAGTAACCCAGTGTCATTGCTTAATATCACCAACATGGATCGGTATGACGAAAAGAAACATGAACAAGTATGAAGGATACTAAAAGTGTACATAGCATCCAAGAGATCCAAGGTCAATTACATCAAATACAACCCGAGAAAGACTCATTGTCCAAGTTTTTATTCGAAGTAAGTTGTATACACAAGGGTGGATTGTAGCATGAGAGCATAGTAGTAACAAGTAAGTTTCTATCACCTGCGGATTGGAGAATACTATTACATTTGCGGACAACGGCGGGTGGCTCTGATCTTGAGAAAATGCCGCCGAGTCTGCAAGAGTGCATCACATCATTTATACGTGTCTATGAGAAGAAAAACGCCAAACCACGACGTCATGGTCAACCCTATATGCTCAGTGTGGGTGCAAAGGCATTAAGCAAGCATTGGCATCGTGATCGACAAGCTCAATTTTGGGGCGTTTGCACAGGAAGTATGTGTATGGATAGGGAATGGATCATGTTGTACTAACATTTGATCTTTGTGTAGCCGAAAGCGAAAAGAACAAGCATGCTGAAGATGTCATGATTAAGATCCTCAATGATGCTGTATGGATGAATATTCATGGATTACCTGTATGTGTATTAATTTTTTTGGTAAACGCTAATGGCAATGCTAATTATATAACTTATAGCACGATGAAATGGTCTATGAAGTCCGGCAACATCAAGGCTATGGCCTGCGTTGGAAATTACAAGATGGAGAAGAATGGAAGTTTAGAGGATTTTTGGAACCACAAATGCAAGATGGACATAGTATAGGGTGGATTCATTAGATGATGATAACAAAAACACGGGCTTTATGTATATGTAAAGTAATATTAAAGACTAAGCGCCCAGCCTTCGTTAGATGTAAAGCATCGTTGTAAATCCTCATCCGATACCCGCTCTCCACCACCTTCTGAACGACTTGCGAGTGCAACAGGATTTCCTGAAACCGTGTCCTCATCGTCATCCATGCTATTGCCTTGTTCCAAAGCCATCCTGCGTTGTCGATGGGCCATCTGAATAGCGTGTATACGTTCTTCAATGGTGTCTTGTACAATGTACCAATACACCGTTGTCTAATTATTACGAATCCAACAATTAGCTTTGTGAGTGATATCACCATTATCAAAAACTTGCCTCTTCAGTTTGGCCGATTCGATGAACACGACTAATGGCTTGCTTTTCCAGTGACTCATTCAACACCGGCTCCACAATGAAAACAGTATGCGCGGCGACAAGCGTAAGCCCGCTATAGCACCAAATGTTGTCAGAGACCAATTCCCATCCTAAATCGCATAGTAGTGGTTTACCTTGATTGACTTCGGGCATGCAATAAGATCACATGGGTGTCCACATCTTCTCTGAACTGCTTGATACGATCATCTCGAACAACACTGTCAAGTTGAATACAGCCAATATTGTTCCTTTTCAACCCTCCAGCCAAAAGATCCAACACATCTTTCCATTGGGAAAAGACTACCGATTTGCCTCCAGTGGTGTTGACGATATACTTGATATGCCTCACAATGCTGTCAAGTTTTGCACCTATACATCAAGGTCACTCACGTAAGTCTTTTTACCATGACAACCACGTCGCTATACGCATACCGAGTCCTCCGATCGCTTCAACTTGGTTAATACGCTGGAGTAGTTCATATGATATAGGCACATCATTGCTTTGATGACTGGAGCTTTCCACTTGTTTCTCTTCTCCTTTATCCCATGCTACAAGACGATGATGAGTACTGTTAGCTGCCATGTTTGATATTCCATTAGCACACATTTATGTACCTATCTGGTAGCATTCTTGCAGCACAACCGGCTTGTTGCATTGGGGGCATCGTCGATGACCTCTGAACCATAGGTTTGCACATTCCTTGCAATACTATGAAAATGATACGTTGTTATTCAAGGTGCCATCCAACAACCAACAACCAAAGCCTTTCAATAGCTACCATGTGACCACTATGCACGCAAGTTAGTTTCTGTAAGGACCACCATCCAAGATCAATCTTACCAAAATGTCATTAAACCTTTTGTGAACTCGCCCATACATATTAAGCACTTCCTTGGTCCTTCTTCTTGCTCTTTCTCTTTGGCAATGTTCTCCAAATAACGGCATCGAGCCGATTTCTCCTTGGCCAGCTTGTCGTAGCGTTTTTCACTTTCGGTAAGTCGCTGTATCTCTCCCTGAGGATCATCGCTTGTCCAAGCAACTACTTCATCGGAAATACTCTGAAGTGATCGATAATATTCCACACGATGATTGTAAATTGTTGTAAACCGCCGGTATTCCCTAATATCAAACATGAGTCAATTTTGAGTAAATCCAAAAAAGGTACCAGCTTACATTTCTAGGCGCTCTTGCATCTCCCGTTGCTTGGATACCGCAGCATTGAGTCTGCCCATCTCGGTTGTGATAATGTGCCTTTCTGCTTCATGGATATCAGGGTTGGATGCAATGTCTTTTAGACGCGAAATGATCAGACGAAAATTGTCAGACCCTTGAAAACGTGGCGCAAAGGTCGCTCTTGTATCCCACATCTCAGCTTTGAGCTTGCGAACATCCGCGGCGTCATCACTTTCCTCCTGAGCGTTGTCATCCAATGCCTTTTTGGCTTCTTCTTGCTATAAAAGACTCCTATAAGCACCACATGCTAATCCTTCTTTTTATACCGTACCTGCTCATCCATATCTGATCGTAATCCAGAGACCCATACACCTAAAGTAGGTTTTAGAAAAAGGGATCAGCTATTGAATAGGGGCCTGCCATCATATGTTGCATCATACCGTTGATCCAGAAATTACGATCACTCAGCATTGCTTGATACACGCTTTGATAGATGTCGATTTTCTACGATACCAATGTATGATTAATGCTGTTGATCATGCATACTTGCTTAAAGATTTACCTCTTGTACAAGAAGAGACTGCTCGTATTCATCGCCTGGATGATAGTAGCAAATATCAGCCTGTCAAATCGATGAAGGAACATATCGAACACTTACCTGTGGCTTCTTCACCTTCCCCATAGTCAACAAGATTGGAACAGAGTAATTGCTGTAATTCGGCACGGCATTTTTCTAGATGGGGTACTTGTTCGTCGAGTGCTTCTGCAACCGTGTTTATCCGATCCAGCAAATCAAACGAGAAGCGTATGGTCTCCTTCTGTGGGCTGGCACCAACTCGAAGATGAATTGGCTTTAAAGGCTTCATGATGTCTTTTTTGGATGAATTGACCTATGATGTAGATGAAGTCAATGACTGAACGCTTCTTCCCTAACATTCCTCTATGGCCCTACCTTCTCTTCTGCGCGACTCAAGATCTCGCGTCTCACGTTGGCAGCCTTGTCATAATATTCGATTTCTTGCTCCTCTTGCTTCAATTCATGAAAGATACCAGCAAGGAAAAAGTAACATCGATGTAGAGATGATAGATGTTTTGATTTCCTCTGCAAAAGCGGCTGGATACGATAATCATCACCCGAACGTGCATGAGCGACAGCGTCTTGGTTCTTGCCATCATGCGTAGTGGCATCCGCTTCCTTTTCAGCTTGCTCTTCTGCTGCCCTCGCTTCCGCCAAACGCTCCTCGGTCACCTTAATCAATTCCAGCAAGTACGGTATCGTCTCCGATTGATAAATCTCGCGAGCTGTTTCCCATTCCTTCTGTATCTCCCACATGCCAGCACGACGTAGTCGCGCAGTTACTAGTTGATGACCAGCGGCATCAATCTCGTCCTTGACTTGAACAATCAACGCGCTTAAAACTAGCATATAAATGGTCAATGCATAAATCGTATGTAGCTATAAACAATACCATACAATACCTTCATCTAGCGTGCGTACAGCTTGGTTGATGATGCGATTTTTACTTTGGCTACCGATAGTGGGATGTACACATGCCTGCCGTAAGGTCAAAAGCTACATGTGGAACAACATCATGTCAATAAGTAATATCAAAACGTAGCATGTATATGAGATGCATACCCAAGTGCGTAATTTTATATAGACTTGTTGGAATACTTCGGGTGACGCGGATGGATCTTCATCTGACGGCTTCCATCCTCGGTGATCAAGTAAATCAAAGTTGGTGCTTTGGCTACATTGCTCCCACAGGCTTTGATAATAATGTTGTTCAATGGATGAAAAGGCAACCTTCACTACGCGTCGATGCTGATGTGGGATATGGATCTGGCTTGTCAACATGGCTTTCACGTTCCTCCGCATGATTTGTTTTGCGAAATCCCAAAAGAAGGCCTTGAACAACGATGATGAGCGATACAATGATCGGAATTGGTTCACGCTTTGAAGATAAGGCGTGAATGAAAGAAAACGACAGAGCCCAAAGAGATCATCAAAGTTGGATTTGATCGGTGTGCCTGATACGCCCCAAGAATACCAACGAGGGATCAACATTGCCATTTCCACCATAAGTCCCACTGATCCTTCCACCATTTGAGCCTAGCAACCATGATGCGTTAATATCATCTCTTCTTCTTTCACTTTACAATATGATCCATGCTCACCTCATCAATGATAACACGAAACCACAAAAGTTGGACAAGAGGACTACGTTGCACCGGATACTTTGCAGCTAATACTACAGGTTAATAATGATCCACAAGCATAATGCATGTATATACACACACACATACCATGTCTTCTCGGTCGATCGGGTGGTACACGAGCATGATAGATCTCTTCTTGAAGGACCTATTAGGACCTTGAGATTAGATTTCATGCATCAAGGATCCTCATACAAATGTCTTACCTTATAGTCAGTCAACACCACGTCAAACTTTGATAAGTTTTCAGGTGATTCGGCTTTTCCTTTGGATGCCTTTATTCCTCGATACGTTGTCACTTTGAGCGAAGGTGCATGTAACTTCAATTCGGACTCCCATTGTTGTAAGATGGCGGATGGTGTGATAATAAGCGTTGCACCAGTAGTGAGAAGACCCGATCCTTGCTTTGGATGTGTTGGATCATGTCCATTAAGCTTATGCAGAAGCAACAATGCAATCACACTAAAATGTAACGATGAGATCTACAAGCCTGTGATCCTTGATATAGCATCCAATTCGCTTACCATACAGTCTTTCCTAGACCCATTTCATCGGCCAAGATGCCTCCACGTCGTGTGAGGTGGGTTGCACGATCGAAAGCAGCGTCCCGTCTGGTGAGAATTTGGCCATTGACACGATTGACATAGAGCGGTTCACTGGAAGATCCATCAGGGTGTATGATGTCCCAAAAGAATGGCATTGCATGTGGATTCGATGGCATTGGATTGATAACACCTGTATCATTGACGAAATAGTGTCCTTCACGATTCAACTAGAGATATAGATCGAATGAATATTCTTGTTAAATGTAGGAGATAGCAACACACTTACCATCCATTCAACGTTTTGGCTTTGGAAAGGTGTCAATACAGGCATTAAATCTGGTGATTGAGAAGCGGTGATCTTTTTCTCTGATACTGGTGGATGTAGGTGTCGAAAGAATTCTTCCACAGTGTCATAGGATGGAGGCGTGACATTGGGTGGATAAAGCTGATTGACGAGAGGCAAGGTATATGCATTGGCCGCGACACTTGATTTCTGGGGAAGATGGATATAAAGCGTCATATGCAAGTTGACAGCATTGTCGTTAAAAGTGATACGTAATGATCCACATTGGATAGTTTTGGCTTTGCATGCACGTGACAATGTTGATAACTGATCCATATCATCTGCAGGTCGCATTGAGTCGTTTTCTGCTAGCAGCATCCCTTCCTTGCGTAACATCATGCGGCTTCTCACAAGCTCTTGTTGATCGACGTGCATCTTCTCACTTATCCACGAGACTTCCAAGTCGTCGTCGTTTGCTGTATCGATGCCGGACGGTGCACACTCGTGTAAGGTTCGTAAGCTGGTATCATTTAGTTGGAGTGGCATGGCAATGTGTGCTAATGCGATCGAGCGATCTGACAACTTGCGTCTCTTCGGCGATCGATGCTCAAGATTGTTGCCGACCGATTCAGGGTTCCTTTCAACGCAATCCAAAAGGTAGGATACGATCGACTCCTTCGCAATGGCACCATGGATCGCAATCATGTTGGCATGCGTGTGTGAGGGTTTGGTGGAAGAAACGACAGACAATGACCTGCCCTGGATGTGAAATTAGCTTAGGACCGCAGCACACGTAGGAATATTGAAACATTGCTTTGCTACATCATTGGATGGGTGGGGCATTCTTTTATATATCATCTTTTGGAATAAAGTGGTCATCTTGCTAGTATTTATGAAGGTGTTGAAGAATGAACGACTACAGAGCATGTTGCCATATCGTATTCAATCGCCTGAATAGCATCGGTCACTTCTTGTAGTACTTGATCCATGCCGATTAGATCCAGGATACCACTTTTCTCCAGCAATGGCATTACATTTGGGTCGACTCGAACAAGATACACATGCACACCTCGATCATGGTATGATTCAATCACCTCGTGTAGAATTTGCACAGCACTATTATTGTAAGATTCAATGCTCTTCTTCCGCTTGCATGAATAAACAAATGTACCTTGCATCAATCGATTCCATTCCTCCTGTATCAAATATGACATATCGCAAATCTTCGCATCGTCGAGAAGCTTCAGAAGGATGCACGGATAAATCACCGTAATGCTCCAATCTTCTCAATCGATCCTTGAGTTGACCTAAGGTTGCACATACACATTGCCACGTTTTAATTTCAATGTCAACCAAGAAACCTTCCTTCCTCTCGCATCTTTGTACCTGTATTGACAAAGTGTAATGGTTCATCCACGCGTACAATCAATACATCTTCGAGATGTTCTACCACTTCTTGAGAATTCTTAATCGGGCTGAATTTGTACATGGTTTCTTTGACTCGGCCCTATAAAGATTAGGGGTTGATGTGTGTGTTAAAAGAAGAATGACAAAGAATGCTTCTTTCAGCCCCTTGATCGTCGTCTCCCATTTCCACCACCACCACCATCAGTTTCCTCCCTTCCCCTTATTTTCACTTACCATAATTGTAATTCGAGGATAGCTTGTTTGTCGAATGGTAATGATAAGACTAAAGAGCACAGCCAAAGCAGTTCCAGTTTCAAGAGAATAGATCATGGTTGTGAAGAAAATAATGCCTAACATGAACATGTCCTGCCAAGCCTTGACCTTCCACATGAATTGCAAATCGTGCGGTAGCTCTTGAAGTAATGCAACAATTGCCATAAAGATAATACTGCTCAAGGTAGCCGAAGGTAGGTAGTACAAGTACGGCATAAAAAAGCTCGTGACCAGGATGGTGCATACACCTGCAACGGCACCTGACATTTGTGTCTTGGGTTTGACAGCTTCATGCACTTTACTCCTTGGAAGCTATAATGATAATAATATCATAAGACTTTGCATAAACCACATGCAATGGTAGAATACGATTACTACTTACTGAACCAAATGATGGAAAACATTGAAAGAGGCTGCCGACCAAGTTGACACTTCCATATGCAAAAAGCTCACGATTGGCACTCACAAAGTAATTGTGTTTCCTTGCAAATGACTTTGCAGCTGCAATCGACTCCACAAAGCCCACTGTAGAGATCATAGCAGCATTGACAAGGATGTGCTGGATATCTGCACCTGGTGGTAAGGATGGCCAAGATGGAAAAGGAAAGGGTGAATTGATACTTGATGATCCCACTTGACCCAAGACTTCCACACCAAGTTGATCCCAACGAAAGATATAGCATCCAAGCGTGCTCATAACGACCACCAAGAGCACTTCAGGTACACGTTGAAGCCGAGGGATGCGTCGTTTGATGCTGCTTATAGAAAACAAGCTCACCAATGCAGCGAATGAGAGTGATGCAGTCTCAAAATGGATAGCATGCCGATGTGCAAAGATAAATCCAATGCGTTCCAAGGTAGCTGATTCGGGTGTGATGCCTGCGTCTTTGGCTGCTTGATCCAATCCCAATAAAAATACGGTTTGCTGAACCAGGACCGTCACTGCAACAGCTGTAATGAATCCTCGCAGTAGTGCTCGACTCATTAAGCTATCCAGAAATCCAAATCGTAAAAGACTAAGCCCAAGACTAAAGACACCAACGCATAATGCAGTGAGACTTGCAACAGCAGCAGCAGCTTCTGGATCCAATGCAGCCTTTTGATGTGCAATACCGGAACCCACCATCAAGGAGACGGTTGCTTCTGGTCCCACTGATAGCTCACTATGGGGGGTTGAAGGATAAAGAAAACAAGGGATGGGAGATTAGTTGATTATCAATAGTAGAAGTTGTAGTAGTAGTAGTAGTAGTAGTTACAAAGGACATTATACGACAAGGAGATACACTTACGGGCTCATTCCCAGGCACGCATAAACAAGAGCGGCGACCGAAACGGTATACAACCCATGGATGGCAGGCAAACGGCATAGCCCTGTGGCATATGAAAGTGCTTGTGGTATAAAAAGTGATGAGAGGCTGAGACCCGATAAAAGATCTTGCTGAAAGGTGTGCGTTGAATAACCAGGGAGCCATTGTAATACGGGTATGTAATATTTGGATCTCGTTAAAAGTGTCCTCCAAATGGTCTTTGATTCACTCCTGGCATGGATTTGGGTCGATGGTACTAGAAGAAGAGGGGGCATCAAGTGTCAGGTTTCTCTCATACGAGGCATCTACGTATATTGATTTCACTTTACTTGGGCTTGCAGATAGAGAGGTGCATCCGTAGGCAGTGTCACAATGTGTCGTTGGGTTGATTGATAGGTATGTGTTGTTGTTTCCTTCCCTTTGGGAGCTTTGTAAGCAAGTCCTTTCATCCATTTGATCGTCTTCTTGAAAGGTGCTGGTGGCAGAGGTGCCTGTAGTACTATGGCTGCTGCTACTATCATCGTCGACATAGGTGCTAGAGGTAGGTTTGTGATCTACATAAAAGTGTTTCCCCATATATAGATATTAAACACTGTTTCTCGTGGATTGGCGATCACCGGGACTATGTGCACACACGCACATTTACTATTATGGAATGGAGGAGGTGTCATTGGTGATAAAGAGTGAAAGAAAAAGGAGATACCAACAAAACGAAAAAAGTGAGGACGCATTATTATATGCTACATCATCCCTGTCACTTTTTCTGGAAGACCGACGTCAATCACTTATCTTTTGTTCACCCAATTTTCTTGATTGCTTGCCTTCCAATATCAAATCGATAACACACACACACACATACACACACATACGCACACTACTACCCCTCTCTTGTCTTTCCACCCATCTCCTTGCTAGTTGCAGTCTGATTTCTAATCCCTATAAATGTGTCATTGTTGTTATCTTGTTTGGCTGTTGGAATACAAAAAGCAACCAAAGGAAATGCATTTTCTGCTTGTCATGTCATTATGGTGATTGAAAGATAAGGATCTCCTATTTATCACGTTCGAAGTTAAGGCGGCGTTGATGACGATGAAGTCCTCTTTGTGTATTTTCTAATAGGAGCCCATAGAATGACCCTTGTTTTGAACCCCTCTCCATGACCACCAATGTTTGATAGAAAAGAAAAAGCGAATTTGAAGTTAAAAGGATCACATCCCTGGATCCAATGTTTGCACATAAACCCTTCTTCCGGTTCCTAATGCGCGTCAGTGAAGATCGTCGTCCCCTGAAATTAAGAGGAGATCCTGAGTGCCAACTATAATCTTCCATTGCAACCACATGGTGCTTGGATCTTTAGAGATCGCATAAAAAAAGACCATATATAAACCCATCTTCCCTTTGCGTTACACAGCCCCTCTTAGGTGCATGATGAAAACATGTGCCATGCTGATTTTGAGGATCACTCAACAATGACAGCTAATAGCATGGAACAGCTATCGATGCTGAATGACTGAATGAGGAGTGCTCTTTGTTATTATCTACGATGGTCCAATAATGTCAACGAATGCTACCACAAAGAGCGTTTTCTATATCCATGGATTCGATTACAGTCTATGTTTCCACTTTTTATACCATTGCCGAGAGATTAGCTACTTACAGAATACACAACACTATCGCTTGAATGCATGGTGGTGGTGATTCCTATCCGCGCCAAAAGTATGCGGTAACAATGACAATGAAACAAACATGATCGAGTAGCAGCCATATTTATCACGTCAAATCAAGTTGCGAGATCCTCATCGGTAGCAAATACACGATTGAGCTATGCCATGTTTATTGCGATATGTATTCCACAGTGAGCTTTTTGAGTAGTGTCTATGCAAAAATAAGAAAGTGGTGGAGGTCCGACTCAGCCAGATGTGGAAAGGGATACGTGCCATTTGGCTTCTTCTTGGCTTGTTGCTTCCATATATCATTCTTCGCTTACTTCAAGGCTATGGGTGACCAGGGTAGGCATTACCACATACATCTTGTAACCATAAGCTCATGTCAATGTCTATCAGGCTCCATTTACTCGATACTACAGGATGTTCCCATCATGGTGTCTCCTCATTATCGATTGCCCAAGCAGGTTCGCCACCCAACATTGTCTCTTCATTCTCACGCACAACCACACTAATACCCTGCTTTCAGATCTTTGTCTCCTCGGAATTAGCACCTGTGCCCGATTCAATTGACAGCTTGGTATGTATTTATTTTCAGTACTGGTGTTGTTGAGGGGTCCCAGAGGTGTACATAGATACTAAAAGGAATGGGTTTAACAACAATAGGCAGCTTATCCATTTACAGTTGAAAAAGAGACACTTTCTATGATGGAGGAAGCGCAAAAGCAGCAGGAACAGGACCGAGAACGATTGTCACAATTACAACAAAAGTATCGGGAGGAGCGTATCAAGCAGCAAAAGTTAGCAGCACGTAAGATTGCACCTGGTTTCCTCGATACGGAGACTCGTATTCTTAAGCCTGAACCATTGCATCAGCTTGGAGAAGAGAGTGAGAGTATGCGACGTCAACAACAAGTGGATTATCTTCGATTTGAACAAGCATTGGCACCACCTGATCCATGGGACCAACCTGAGAATGATATGATGGCATTACGTTCTATCCTAGGAGCTAATAATCAACCCATCACTACCACTACCACTACTACTACCAACACCATCACACATGCACAACAACAGCAACATGCACCACCACCACCCCAGGTCACGAGTGCAAATGAGCAACAAGGATATCCTCCAGTAATGTGGACAGTAGCACCAGATACCACCAACAATGGCCAATTTCAACATCCACCACCACCTGCTGCTGGTCCTCGTCCTCCTCATCATCATCATACTTCCTCTCCACCTATCGCTCCTGCATTACCGCCAAAACCATTCTTTGATACAAGTGCTTGTTCATCAGGTCATACTTCTCCTCAAACGGTCACTTCTATATTACCCAATGCGACAACGGCTATTGCATCATCCTCACCTTCTGATCCATCCAATTCACCAGTCATTCCACCTCCTCTTCCACCTCCACCACCTGCTCCTCCAGCATCAGCTACCCATCCAGCACATGATAATCTGATTCAAGAACTCGTTAATATGGGATTCTCAAGGCCACAAGCTGCCGATGCATTGGAAAAGAATGATCATGACTTGACAAAGGCCACCAACTTTTTGTTAGATCACGGAGGGGATTGATGTACCTTTTGATATTATATAAAAGAGAAAACAAACAGAAACCAAGCAATTACTTTATTATTATGGGATCAATGGTTGTTTTGTACGTGTGTGGAGAGTGTCTTTTTATATAAGTGGAAAGCGAAAAAGGGAATGGTATATAGTTACAAAGGTTCAAAAAGGAAGATAAAACTCTATATAAATCGATTAAACTGCATTGCTTGCCATGTCAATGTCATCTTCTTGACGACGATACTTGTAATGACCATTTTGTTTGCTGAATCGGATACCCTTGGCAACCCACCATTTCTTGATCTCATCCACCACAAAGACCGAACTTGAAATCAACACAATCTTACCAAGATCATACAATGAAAGCGGCTCAGTTTGGAAAATGGATTGCAAGAATGGTGTATAAATGACCAATAACTGCGAAATGATCGATCCACCCACAGCCAAGTTGAACATCCGGTTTGAAAAGAATCCAATCGAAAAGATCGACTTTCTTGCTGAACGACAAGCCAAAGCGTTGAACATGTCAAAGAACACAAAGGTCGTAAAGGTCTATAATCAATGAGACTCATGAGTAAATCTCCACCTGATACAAATCATTCCTATACATTACCATTGTAGCATCTCGATTGGTCACTTGACCATCCTCCAATTCGGATACGTAAATGAACATGGTACCGAACACAACCAATGCTGCAGCAGTAAGCACACGAGACACAAGACTTGACGATAAAATGTTAGCGCCGCGAGATCTAGGAGGTTTCTTCATGATACCAGGATCAACGGGTTCAACGCCAAGAGATTGAGCAGGTGGACCATCCATAATGATATCTAAAAAAGAAATGAGTAAAATGGGATGGCGATCTCAATCCACGTGACACTTACTGATCCACAAAATTTGCATTGCATTCAAAGGTGTTGCTAAGCCAAGCAAGGTACATACGGCGATCAAAGAAAGGGCCGAGATACTTGTACTCAATTGGAACGTCAAAAAGTTTTGGATATTGTAGAAAATGGATTTGCCTTCCTCGATTGCGTGAAGAATTGTTGAAATGTCATCATCCACGAGAATCATATCAGCTGCTTCCTTGGATACATCTGTGCCGCTCTTGCCCATCGAGATGCCGATATCGGCCATTTTGAGTGCTGGTGCATCATTGACGCCATCACCTGTCATGGCAACCACAGCTCCGTTGGCTTGGAATGCCTTGACAAGAGCCAACTTGTGCTTCGGTGTCGTACGTGCAAATACGGAGACGGTGCCAATCATTTCTTGCAATTGCCGTTCGGTCATGTTTTCAATATCATAGCCTGTCAAGCAGCTCGCCTTGTTGGGATTCGAAGGGATGCCGAGTTTGCGAGCAATGGATAATGCTGTTGCTTCAGAATCACCCGTAATCATAGCCACCGATACACCTCCACGACGAAGGCTGCTGATAGCCTCGGCAACACCTGCACGAGGTGGGTCATGTACAGCGAGAAAACCAGTAAGGCAAAAAGCATTGTCACTCTTTCCGATAGCCGTTGAAATGACACGTAGACCATGCGAGCTCATGGCAGAGACATGTTGAAGCAACATATCCTTAATATCGGACGTCAAAGCAGGTTGAGATGTCTCGGATACGTAATAGGTCGTACACTTCTCAAGAAGAACTTCGGTAGCACCTTTGATATACATGGCATCTTCTTCTGTACTCTTGGATCGACAATGCACCATCATATACTTTTGATCCGAATTGAATGGGACTTCACTTAAGCGTTCAAATGCCTAAATAAAATATGGATGTTAGTCTCCATGTAAGCTATCATTCCCATATAGCGAAAACTTACTTCACGCTCATCCGAAAGACCCGAACGCAATACAACATCCAAAAGGGCAATATCCGTAGGTTGACCAATAAACTTTCCATCTTCGCCAACGTATGCATTGTTGCACAAGTTACCTATATCCCACATCTTCATCAGCCTCACGTGATCTCTTCCACCATTTGCATTCATGCATACCAATTCGAAGCGTCTTTTTTAGGGCATCTGATAATGTTGGTGGTGCACCATGCTCATAGTCAAAAGTCTTTTGATAATCCATGGTAAAGACTTTGGTCACCGTCATCTGATTTCGAGTAAGCGTGCCGGTCTTATCAGCGCAAACGACATTCACTGATCCAAGTGTCTCAACAGAAGGAAGCTGCTTGACAATGGCTTTTCGATTGGCCATTCGAAGAACACCAAGGGCAAGGGTGACCGTAACCACAATGGGTAAGCCTTCGGGGATAGCTGCAACAGCAAGACTGACTACATGAAAAATGTTGAGTGATTAGGATAACTCTCCTCTATTTCTCACTTTTTGTACCCGTTTTATCATTCAATTACCTCCAATAGTGAACATCTCCAACCAAGGACGCCTTTGAATAAGACCAATCAAGACAATGACAGCAATGATACCAAAGGATAAGAAGGAGAGTTGCTTGCCGAGATCATTCATGCTAACTTGCAAGGGAGTCTTGCGATTCTCGACTTGTTGCATGAGCTCAAAGACATGACCAAATTCAGTGCTCTTTGCTGTAGCGACCACCAATCCTGTGCCATAACCTGTATCCATCCCATCATCAGTCTACTGTTTCCTTTCCATGCCAAATGTATATGTATATTACCATTTCGCACCAAAGTACCCATGAAGGCAATGTTGTCTCGTTCTGATAAGGCGAGCTCGGCATAGCTATGAGCATCAATAGCGTTGATATGCTTGCGTCTTGGTTTGTTCTCGCCCGTTAAATTCGATTCGTCAATCTCCAGGTCGACAGTCTAATAATGAGTGGGGTGACACAGGTCGGTATTAAATCATTTAATCCGAAAGTGCGGAAGGAGGACGATCACTTACTGATACCAATCTACAATCCGCTGGAATCCTATCCCCGGTACTGAACCGCACAAGATCGCCAGGCACCAATTCATTTGCAAGCACCGTGTAGACTTGCCCATCTCTATATACGAAATTAGCATACATGCATAGGCTGAGTAATAAAGAAGGAGATTGTAATATACATACCGCACCAAATGACAATAATGAGGAACAAGCTTATTCAAGGCTTCCAAAGACTTTTCTGAACGATACTCTTGGACAAAGGCAACTAGTATACCCTTGTTAGTCATATGTAACAACCTCTTCCCATGAGTACTTTGAGTCCCTTTCCCCCCTTGTACCTGTCACCACAATGATGATGGCCTATAATAAAAGACAATGGCAAGCGTGAGTTGGCAAATGGAATGGGAGTTGTATATGCGCGGTACTTTTTCTTATTACCATAGTGATACTGATAGCGTCGTCCATCTGACCCATGAGCAAAGAGACGACAGCAGAACCGAGCAATAGTAGAATGAGAGGGTTCTCCGTGAATGAGTGGATAAACTTGGTGAACATGGATTCTTCTTCTTGTCGGTCGAGTTCGTTCCATCCATAGATCGCACGCAAGCCTGGTACATCGGCCTGTTTCAAGCCGGAGGTAGTGTTGGAGTTGAAGTCGATGGCCACTTGGTCAACAGTTTGTCGAGCCGATTTGGCTGACGGTGTGGTAGTGTTGCTTTCTAATAAAGTGCTTGCCATGACTTGTCCATGTGGGTGATGGTTTGCTGCAGGGTTGTATCAAGGAAAGAGAGGTGTGTGTGTGTATGTATGTGGTGGTGGCTGTGCACGCGGGTGAAAGGTTGGCGTTCGTTCTCTCTCGTCGACCTCCTCCTTGAGAGTGATATTTATTGACACCGCCGCCCGCTATTTACCATATTGGTTAAAGGATGTCTCATTTTACACCATTGCTCAATTAGATTGAAAAAATAGACTTTTGTTATTGCACTATTGTAATTGAATACAGGGATATCCAGCAGATGAATAAATTGATTTGACACATCATACATTGAAAACGTGATTTGAATTATATAACAGCATGGGACAATTGCAATGTCTTTTATGTGATGAAAGCGCAGTAATAGCATCAAATTAGTGTAACATCGTGGGATGATGAGAGGATGATCATGGTACCTGAGACAACTATTTACAAGGTCAATGCTAAGAAATTGGAGAGAGAGAGTGTGTGTATGTGTGTGCATGTATGAGCGATTATCGAAGGACCTCCGATACCCCTGTTTCTTCCGCTCTTCTTTATCCTCAATACATTCATGATGGAAAAACCACCGGACTTGGTACCTTTGGAACAGCATCGATTGGATCTGGAGTTGCGTTCGCATCCTTTACGTGGTCGAGGAGTATTCACCAAGGCAAGAATCCCAAGAAACACACTTGTCGAAATATCACCTGTATTACTTTTTAGAAAGGACGAATATAAACAACACGGCCAATACACTGTTCTCGATCACTACACTTACATTTGGAGAGACGGCCAATTCGCACTTGCCCTCGGTCTCGGCTCCATGTTCAATCACGACAAGAATCCCAATGTGGGCTATTTCCGTGATCTCGACAACAACCTTATTCGCTATGTGACGTCAAGGGATATTGAACCTGAAGAGGAATTGTGCATCTTCTACGGCTCCAATCTATGGTTTGAGGACACCAACGACGACGATAAAGAATCAATACCCGATGAGGATGATATCTTGGCAACTGGATTCAATCTCGATTAATAGAAGAATGTCGAGATAACATTAGACATTTGTTGTAAATATCCACTTGTACATTATAAAGGAGTGTTATGCCAACGATAACTTTTCATGGATGATCAGCAATGTTGATTAGGATAGTTTTAGTTGCCATGGCTACCGTCCACTGATGGTGCCTTAAGTGTCATAGACCCCCTATTCAAAAAAGGACGGCTGTTTTGGCTTGCTCATCTTGTTCAGTAACCCGATGAGATTATGCATATTGATAAATGCCAAACAATGCAATAACAAAGACCGGATACAATGAATGAAAATGGGTATTTATTATGAAGTTGATGATAAAAACAGCTCTTAGCAAGACCATAATGAACCATGATAAACATCACGTGATCAAATGAAACAAGCCGTCGGTGAAGTAGGTGCCTGTCAAAATCAGACCTTTGTTTCCCTCCGCTCTTTCAACACCACCCTCATTCACGCCATGCTTCGGTACCAACTGCGTGCTTGGGTCAATCCGTCATGCACAACGACGCGCTCATTATCGACTCAACGACATGCTCAGCGTCTCTATGCAACTTCCACTCGAAAGTCTCCAGTCGATTTTGCCGCAATCGAAGCCAAGTGGAAGGCCCGTTGGGCTGAATCGCCACCATTCCAACGTGCAGACGATATCAGCGGCAAGCCCAACTATTACGTACTCTCCATGTTTCCTTATCCAAGCGGCATGCTTCATATGGGCCATGTGCGTGTTTATACCATCAGTGACACGTTGCAACGTTTCCGCCGTATGAATGGATACAATGTAAGGGTCTCTTTGTTTCTATATTACAAAGTTTGGATCGTCTAAAGTATCATGGTTGGATAGGTGCTTCATCCAATGGGTTGGGATGCTTTTGGATTACCTGCTGAAAATGCTGCTATTGAACGAGGAGTACATCCAGCTGAATGGACCATCAAGAATATCGATGCCATGAAGGAGCAAATGAAAATGTTGTCATTGGACTTCGATTGGTCAAGGGTAAGCATCCATTATTATCACCTGGATACCGAGACTCACCTTAGGGTGAATAGGAATTGGCAACGTGTGATCCAGAGTATTATCGATGGACGCAATACATTTTTCTCGAAATGTACAAGGCTGGTTTGGCTTATCAAAAGGAGGCTGTGGTAAATTGGGATCCAGTGGACAAGACTGTATTGGCCAATGAGCAGGTATGTGTCTATGCTATTGGAGTGAACATAGTTGATAACAGGGTAATCAATAGGTTGATCATGAGGGACGATCATGGCGTTCGGGCGCATTGGTCGAAAGGAAAAAGCTGAAACAATGGTTCTTCAAAGTCACCGAGTTTTCAAATGTGAGTGGGTGAATGGATTTTTTTGCAAGCTGGTGTCCTCACACATGATTTGTATGGCAGGAATTATTGAAGGATATCGATCTCTTGGAAAATTGGCCTGATCGCGTCAAGCAAATGCAACGCAACTGGATAGGCAAATCCACAGGAGCAGAATTTGAGTTCCCCTTGGTAAAGTATAATGGCTAAATGGTAATATTGGATAGTATGATTGATACAGTATTCTAGGCCACTCCTAGCAACCAAACACAATCACTCAAAGTATTCACCAGTCGACCTGATACCATCTTTGGAGTCCAGTACCTTGTTGTATCACCTGAACATCCCTTGATTTCAAAGGAGTAAGTTTATTATGGGTGGAGTTTGGATTGAAGAAAAAGGTTAACATTCATGCAAACCTTCATTTAGCTCTTTGCCAGCCGAACAATCAAGCTCAGTTTTGAACTTTGTGCAAGAGCTAAACAAGGTGCAAAACATGGAAGAAGCTGAGCAGAGCAAAAAGGGTAAGATGGATATCGCATACATAATCAAATCGATGACCAACATGGCTGGACATAGGCATGTTTACTGGCTTATATGCGGATAACCCTTTAACGGGTGATCAGATCCCTATTTATGTTGCTCCTTATGTTCTCGCCGATTATGGTACTGGTGCCGTGATGGGTGTCCCTGCACATGATAAACGTGATTGGGAGTTTTGCCATGCCAACAACGTGGTCGATAAGGTTAAATTTGTTGTGGAGCCAAGCATCAAAGAAGTCGGCAAGCCATTGGATCAATCCGAGCCATTTACAGCAAAGGGGGTGCTTACAGCTCTTTCAGGCCCATACGCTGGTATGAAATCCAAAGACGCTATGAAGGCTGTTATGCGTGATTCCCAAAAGATCGGTTTCGGTAAACCAGCGACACAGGTAATTCATCTTGACAATCATCTTGGGTGGGCTATTTGCGTTAACTTTTAATGTTTGATAGTATCGACTCAAGGATTGGCTGCTTTCACGCCAAAGATATTGGGGCGCACCTATACCTATCATCCATTGTCCTGAATGCAAGGTATGACGGGATCACAGTTTGTAAAAAGTAACCTCGTCTCACTCTATGTTTGATAGGTTGTCCCTGTACCTAAAGAGCAGCTCCCCGTTGTACTTCCCTTGGATGTTGAGTTTAGCGGCAAAGGTGGCTCTCCATTGGCTCGCTCTGAAGATTGGGTGAACTGCAAATGTCCAAAGTGCGTTTTGAATATACATTTTGAAGATCTCTAGTATTCTTATTCTCTCTCTTTTCTAGATGCAATGGTCCTGCAAAGCGTGAAACCGATACCATGGATACATTTGTGGATTCCTCCTGGTACTTTATGCGATTTACCGATGCTCAAAACAAGACATTGTAAGAACACAGGCCCTGCAGATATGATATGACTCTAATGCGGAATATATAAATATAGGCCATTCGATCCTAAGAAGGCTTCAGAACGCTTACCCGTGGATGTCTACATTGGCGGTGTGGAACATGCAATTCTCCATCTTCTATACTCGCGATTCTTTTCCAAGTTCTTGCTGAAGCAAGGAGCATACACAGCTGCACCAGGCACCAAGCCGGGCAATGGGGAGCCATTCAATGTGTTACTCACCCAAGGCATGGTTCACGGCCAAACTTACAAAGATCCATCGACTCAAAGATTCTTGAAGCCCGAGGAAGTGGATACTACAGGTATGAAGACATGAACTGCATAGCATACACGTGACATTGCGCTAATCGCATACATAGATCCAGCAAACCCAAAGATTGTTGCTACTGGCGAGAAACCTCTTATCAGCTTTGAGAAAATGTCCAAGAGTAAATACAATGGTGTGAATCCAGTGGTAAGATGCAACAACCTTATAACATCACATTGATATCTTACATTGATTAATAGAGCGTTGTACAAGAGCATGGTGTCGATTGTGCAAGATTACATATTTTGTACAAGGCCCCGCCATCTGAAGTCTTGGAATGGGAAGATGTGAGCATTGTGGGTATGCAACGTTGGCTTGCCAAGGTCTTGAAGCAAGCTGAATCTGCAAAGACAACGACAAGTACACAACTACCATCGCTTGACAACATGACGGATTCCGAGCGCAACCTTTTCCGTGAGACGCATAATACCATCAAGCAAGTGACTGAAAGCATGTCATCCACTTACAGCTTGAATACCGCCATTTCCGATCTTATCAAGCTCTCCAACAGTATCGGTTCATCAAAGCTCGAAGCATCATCACCTATTTATCAACATGCTGTGCAATCCCTTATCACCATGATGGCACCCATGGCACCCAACATGGGCGAAGAATGCTGGGAGACATTGAATGGAGTTGGCTGCGAAAGCGTATTCAAGCAATCCTGGCCTACATGGGATGAAAAGGCTCTTGAAAAAGATAGCATTGATTGCATCATTCAGGTAAAATTGCATCAATGTCTTTGATGGTGGATGGTTTGAAACTCACTGGGAAAGGTATAGATCAATGGCAAGACACGCTTAAGCATTAATGTACCTGTGGCTACAACCAATCAGCCTGAAAAGATTGAACAACTTGTGCGTCAAGATCCTCAAGGCCAAAAATGGCTTGCCGATAAGCCTGTGCGTCGTGCTATCGTAGCAAAGAATGGTCAACTTGTAAATTTTGTCATCTGAGGCGCTGGTCGTCAGATAGTACATCCACCCATAGAACAATAGTATAGTCTTTTTCTCCCCTTTCTATTCCAACAATCATGTATATTCATTCAAATGTTGTCGTTTAACACGCCACTTGGCAAGCATCACATGACTTCAATTGTACTTTTATAAATATGTATCAAACAATGAACCCAAATCGAACAATGATGTAAAGACCCCTTCCTCCTTACTGTGTTCTAATCTTGCAATCTCTAAGCTATCTTTTACCTTGTCACATCCCTATATTTTATACGTGGTTCTCAAGTCGTTGAATGATGATGCTATGCGATATACCAAAACGAGGCTTACTCATAGCTCCAACCGATTCATTGAATGCTTCTTCAACAAGTCCATCCCAGCAGCTGTAGACATCCAACTTCCTTTTGCTTGCCCTTTGGCTTCGTTTTGGTAGCTATCAGGCTTGGTCTAGAATTCTATCTTGGTCATTTTTCAAGTCCACAGGTATAAAGAACCCCTATAAAAACATTTCAACCAAAAGTAGTTGGGGACCATTCATGCATGCGCTCATTGTTGGCTGCGGCATCACACACTTTAGTTTTCCCTCAATCGCTTTCTGGCACCGCTTGCATACATACACAACTCTTCCGCGATTATGCAACCGCGATCGCACGCGGGTACACCTGAACAAGATGACAAGAAGCACAACCATTATCGTTCCTCGTCATGGACACCAACGACAAAACATTCTCTTCCATCAACAGCATGGCCAAGCCCTTCTTCAGTCACATCGCCCGTATCGGAATTACCACGCTCTCCACGACTTGCTCAACATGCACGAGAAAGGTCATGGCATTATGGAATAACACCAACAGCTAATGCTGGTGGAGGCGGATCTGCACCACTCTATGGACGTCCTTTCCCTCGTTCAAGGCATCAACGGCAACACTCGAGCTATTCCAACTATAGCAGTATGAGCGATACTGATCTTCCATGGACGACAGCTGATATTGGATTCAATGCCATCTCTGGTAGGTTTATTGCTTATAGCTTATATAGACATCTTTTCTAATAAGGTATCTTGTATTATATAGGTGTCTTGAATGATCCTGCAAACCGTACACCAACATTTACACGACCCAGCAAAGCCGATGTGCCACCTGCACCACACGTTTCTATCCCCAAGCCCAAGCTATCAGACTTCAACGAGTATATGAATGAGATTGAACCACTCTTTGAGCAATACCAGCAGAATCGACGAGGAGAACAACATGAGCATGAGAGGATGACACCTGATATGACTACCACCACTGCAGCCTTGGATGTACCAGCAGAACGTAGTGGCCGTAATCCATATGGTCAAGTTTTATCCAGTGAAAGCCTACTTATGGATGAAACAGATTCTTCTACATCACACATCAATGAACAACTTGTGCCACTCGACACTGTGCCTGATGTCTTTTTCGATCCTGAATTCACATTGGAGAACCCACGAACATTCGACATGGTTTACGAAGGCAGCGATATCACTGGGAACTTGTCATTGTTGCAAGAAAAGCTGCCCTATTACTTGGATACGGTGGAACAGCATTTAGTACGAGAGATCGATAAGCGCTCGGATTCCTTTTTTGAAGCATCATCCAATTTGCAATCATTGCATCAAGAGACTCTCGAGTGCGTGGATCAAATACGCTCATTACGCGACATGATGCAATCTATACAAAAATCGGCATGTGATGATGGCCTGCAAGTGACAAGGCTACAGATTCGACAACGCAACTTGGAGCGTTTGTATACGAGTATACGAGCAGTGAAGGATATCATTGAGTCACAACACGAGATTCAAAAGCTAGTGAGCCAAGGCAACTATTTCGAAGCACTCGATCTCATCAACCAAACTCGTATGAAGAAGCAGCAAATCAATGGAAATATTCATGCGCTCGGCTCAATATCGTCACAGCTGGATGAGATGGAATCGACTATTGGCAACACTATGCAACAAGATTTCCTCAGCATCTTATTATCGGACATTAGCTATCACCAAGAAACGGCAGAATCAACCATATCACTTACGGAGCCACCATCAGAAAAGATTGAGTTACAAGAGGATATGGATCTCCGGCAGAGTTTGGAACCTAGTGTCAAAGGCCTTTTGCGTACCGATACATTGAAAACGACTCTTGATGATTATCAACAATACCTTTTACGAGAAGTCAAAGCCCTTGTACGTCAACGATACCCAACTACAAATGAAGATGATTCTGCGTAAGTCATTGTTGTTTGCTTCTCATTCGGTGATCATGATGCTAATAAGAAATTCCCATTACTTAGCGTGGCACGTCAACTACGAACCATGCCGTTTGACTCATTCTTTCGCATGTTAGTGGACGTCATGACAGCTCTGCTCAAGGTTATTCAGCGCGTGGTTGTGAATCAACATACTTTAATCAGCTTGGTGCCTGAAGACAGCAAACGACTTGCAATGGATATTGTATTTACGGCAGCAGACTCAGCTCACGCTCAATGTGCCAAGCTTCTCAGCTTTCGAAGCGAGCAGAATGCACGATTGAATCCCCATGATTTCTACCGCTTATTGGCTGTTTCTCGAGGATTTATACAACACTCTGATACCCTTTGCTTTGGTCGTGCTTGTCTTGGCCTAAGAGGAACATTATTATCACAGGTACTTTATTGGGGCGCTGTATATACGTTTATCATGCTAATGCTCAAATGTAGCAAAAGGCCTTTGTTGAAAACTTTCATATGGAACGCATGAAACAGCAACTGCAATTGATTGATAATGAGCCATGGGTGGTCAGCGAGGTACCTGCAGACTTTCAGGATATCGTCGATCGTATATGCAGCAACACACCAATCAAGGATGTCACCACTATGGTCAACGACACAAAGGATAAAAACATTGACACGAGGACAAGCAGCAGCAAGCGGTTGATAGTCGATGGAAAGAGTTATTTTGTTGTTGGATGCAGTCTGCTGATGATTAAACTGTTGGAGGACTACTTGAAGTGTACGGCTGGTTTGGAAAACATGGCAACGGACGTGATGCAAAAGCTCTTTGAGCTATTGAAAGTACGTATTCGAGGATATATGAATGATGTATGTTTATTGCTAAGCGTATTAACAATTGTTTCTTCCATAGCTTTTCAACACGCGGATATGTCAAGCGATATTGGGTGCTGGCGCCATGAAGACTGCTGGTTTGAAAAACATTTCGGCCAAACACTTGGGTATGTTGGATGGATGAAATGCATGTTTGATTTAACCCAATGTACTCGCGTGCTTACATCATTTTATAGCATTGGCTTCACAATCAATTTCCATCATGACTGCACTCATCCCATCACTCAAACAAGGCGTGGAACGATACCTTCCTCCAAAGCACACTGTGCTTCTCAATGAGTTTGACCGAACAATTGCGGATTACGATGAGCATCGACGTGAGATATATGCCAAGCTGGTATCCATCATGCAGGAACGGCTGCTGTACCATATACAAGCGATGAACGACATTGATTGGGATGCTGCTGAACATGACAATACCGATGACCAGCATGTCAACATGTATATGGAAGTCCTTGTCAAGGAAACGTTGACTCTTCACAAGGTCCTCAACAAGTATCTCTCCCACTCGGAGCTGCATGTAAGTGGAAAATCACAAGGCGGATTACACATTTGCCTGACTATGCTTTCTAGGAAATCATGGTTGATATTTTCACCCTCTTTAACAAGCAGCTATCACAAGACATCAAAAAATTGCCTATTCATACCGAATCAGGAAAAAGCAGGTACGCACCTACTATCAGATTGTCCATTCATCTATTCCTTTTGCTCATTGTAGATATATGATCTCGTTAGGCTATCGAAAGACGTTACCTATTTTATACGAAGATTATCATCACTCCCGGGCATAGATCCGCCATCGAATGACATTGTGGACGTTGTGGACAGTATATCGGTTGCACCAAGCTCTTAGCGGCTACAGCACAATTACAAGGATCTAGAACGCCATTGTGAATGATACAGCAGCGGCATTACACAGCTATATGATATTCCTATAAATGGATGTAGAAAGGAGTAGCCAGACCAATTGGGAAACAAGAGCTATTCACAACATTCGAATTACAGTACTTTACAGCATAGTATGTGATAGAGCCTTTAGCGGTCATTAATAGCCTAATTCATTAAAATAATGCTTACAGCTACGATGACGCAACACATATATATCCATTGTCCAAGCGTGTATAGCAACGCCCAATTGGTATTTATCCATTGTCTGTGCATCGTATTGTTGTCAAAATTCTAATCGAAAGAACTCGAATAGCTCTTCTGCTACTTTTTAAGACGACCCCCTTTTTATGCGACGTACAAGTCCCAGCTGCATAATTGTGCATGACCCGGCTAATGGTACAGGCAGGAATCAACTACTCTCTGGGAATAAGGCTACTCTTTTGGGAAGGAGGGAGAGCCCTGCAGACTGTCAGCTTGGCCTGGATGTCATGGTTTTTCTTTCTCCCTTTTTGGTGAACATGTATGCAAGGTGCTGATGTCGACTGTCGCGACCATAAGCAGGCTTCAGGGGTCTTGATGCATAGAAAAATAGCAAAGACCAGGTCTGGTGATGATGATGAAAGCCTTTATACAATGCCAAGACTTCCAAGGAGTATCAACAACAGCATAATACTAGCTTCCCCACGTTTGTTTTCGCTTTCCATACCTGTACAAAGAATTGCATTGACTTGGTCAAAAAAGACAATGAAGGTAAAAAGCAATCATTACATTCGTTCTTTCTTATTGGCCATGATACAAATTCAACTAACTGGTAGCATAGGCAATAAGATGCGAGAGAAAATGATGGAAAACATGATCCAAACCAACAAAGCATGCGCACCAGCAAGGGGCTAGTTGTCGACCTCCATGTGGAAACATACCAATACAACGTATGCATGTGTACGCCCCAGGAAAAAGAAGAGAGGAAATACCAAGTTTCTTTATCTATGATTGGGATAGCACATGTTGTTTCCAACAAAAGAAAAAAGACAACCATGAAATGATGAATGAAGGTACATACGTGTTTGAGGATGATTATGGGATGAATGACGACCGGTCTCCTAATGCCTTTGGGTTTCCATTTGATGTAGGGCAGAGCATTTGTCCATGTATGTAAAGGCTGTGTTTCAAAGTGCTGCATTTTGATCGTGATTCAGCTTGGGGGGTTCCCCATGACCCAGGTATGTGCTGCAATGTGATGTCTATATAAACATGGTGTGAGCACTCAATGTCTTTTCCTATTCACCAACGTCCCCTTTTGACTCGACGCATATGTTGGTACGTTCCGACGACAGCGAGTATTCTTCCTTGTTGGACACACAGCAACAACATGACCGTTTTTACAACAGCTTGTATCCACCATCCACTATCTTTGATGCTTCCCACCAAAATCGTCAACGTTCACACTCAGCTATTTTATCCTCATGCGCTAGCGTGAATTCTTGTGCTCGTGATGACCAAAGCGTTGTATGCCGATTGTTTAACAAGCGCCTTGGGCAATATGACGATGACCGACAAGAGCTTCTCAATGAAAACACAGGTGTGCGTGTTTGGTATGAATCATACTCAAGCATTGGTAACGTCATCTTTTATTATACATGACTCCTATTTATCGCAAGCAGCTAACTTTTCATTCTATGGGTCAATTGCTCTATGATAGATTGGATCCACGACCATATCAAGGAGGGAGTTCGGCTAAGGAAGTTAAGGAATATCACAAGCGATGGATGGCGAGGTCGCTGGATCAAAATGAAAGACGCGTCTCAAGCATGGATTTTGGTAACTTTGACTGGCACAACCGTGGCATTGGTCGCTTGGCTCGTTGACGTTGTCCAAGAGTGGATGTCAGATTTGAAGACAGGCTATTGTACAACCAATTGGCGATATAACAGCAAGTTTTGTTGCTGGGGTCGAGAAAATGGTAAGACTACTTTTTGTTGGCTTACTTTCTTTGTCTATGAAAATACAATGACACGTGCTTACATCAACTTTTAAAAGGTTGCCCTGAATGGAGAACGTGGTCCGAAGCCTTTGGCAATGCAACACAAGCTTCTTCATATTACACTGACATGGCCATGTATTCTGTGTTGGGGGTATGTAGTGATTGATGCAGCAGCTAATGCAGCCAAAGTACATGTTTATGCATGTTAACTTTTGTTTGTCATTTTCGCATGTAGCTTTTCTTCGCTTGGATAGCATCCACAATGGTTAAATATACGGCTGAAACCATTGTTGTGACGTCGCCATCTGCTACCAGTGATAAAGATCAGCTCAAAGGCGTCTCAAAACCAGAGACGAAGACTGTATACTACACATCAGGATCAGGCATTCCCGAGGTCAAGGTGATTTTGGCTGGCTTTGTTATAAAGGGAGTCCTTGGCATCAAAGCATTTCTTGTGAAAGGAATTGGTATGGTAAGTGAACGTTTGTAGCTTTATGTAGCAGAAAGCGTAACACATGATTCATGCTAGATTTTTGCTACCTCCGCTGGATTAACCACTGGTAAAGAAGGCCCTTTTGTACACCTTGCTGCTGCCGCCGCCAACATTTACTGCCGGCTTTTTGACAAGTTCAACAAGAACGAAAGTATGTAAAGCTATGGTTGCATACAAACTTGAATCTTTTTTAATCTTCATCCATGATAGGTAAACGTCGAGAAATCTTATCAGCATCAACAGCAGCTGGTGTTGCTGTCGCGTTTGGTGCTCCTATCGGTGGTGTACTCTTTACATTGGAAGAAGTCAGCTACTACTTTCCGATCAAAACAATGATTCGTAGCTTCTGCTGTGCTATGGTTGCGGCCACCATCCTCAAAGTAAAATCAAAACTTTCCTTCCTGCATCAAAAAGAGGCTCACCATCTAGGATCCTATGTTTTAGATCGCTGACCCATTTGGCACAGGCAAGATTGTAATGTATCAAGTGCACTATGACAAGGACTTTCATGTTTTTGAGCTGCTACCATTCTTGCTATGCGGTGCCATCGGAGTATGTAGTCATCCTATGCACCTCGTCTTCGTGTTTGATTGACCCACTGATATGCTTGTGTATAGGGATTCCTTGGTGCAGCTACCACGTATATCAATGTCAAATTTCAATACCTGCGTAAATCGACAGCTCTTGGTAAATACCCAGTGTGGGAAGTACTTGGCATCATGGTTATTACAATCCTATTGAATTACTGGAATCCATTTGGCCGGTTAGTGTTATCATTACCTTATTACCTATAATCACCTACTTTGCTAACTTTTTTAGTTTAGCATAAGTTTGAGCGAATTTGCTATGAAGTTGTTCTCGCAATGCTCCCCTGAAAAAGATGACGCAGGCTTATGTGTGTAAGTTGCAATACTTTGGTTCGATTTGACGCTTGAAACTCATATCACGGCTTATGCAAACGTATCCATTAGCACCGATTCTTCTGAAATACCTCAAATCTTGACCCTCCTATTGATAACATTGTTGATCAAGATATTCTTGGCGGTGATTACTTTTGGTTGTCGAATACCTGGTGGCATTTTCCTTCCCGTCCTTATCATTGGTGGTATTGCTGGTCGCATGATTGGGCTATCAATGCAGCATCTCGTCATGACGTATCCCGATACATGGCCATTCAAAGTATGCTCGGCTGAGATTGCATCAGATCAGCAATGTATCATACCCGGTATATATGCAATGGTGGGTGCTGCAGCAGCCTTGACTGGTATGACGAGGACAACAGGTAAGATAATATTACTTTCTTCTACGTACATTGAAGAGCTATTTCTAATGCGTAAATGTATACAATATTAGTCTCTCTTGTTGTGATCATGTTCGAATTGACGTATTCCCTCGTGTACTCAGTGCCCATAATGATTGCAGTAATGATGGCAAAATGGGTTGCCGATGCAATGTACCTTGATGGATTATACGACCTGTTGATTGAGTTGCAAGGATACCCCTTCTTGGATTCACGCAAAACTTTTCCTCACTCATTGCATACCGTGCGTGATTTGGTGACTGAACAAGGCGAACAAGAGCATCCCTTTATCGATATGGATGACGACCCAATCACAGTAGGCGCTTTATACAAGAAGCTAGAAGCAATTGATTATACTGAGGATGGTGGATTTCCTATCTTGAGCAACGGGGGTCGTACGCTTGAAGGATACATCGCCACCAGTGAATTATCTTTTGCGCTGGATCAACTATCAAATTATTGTTCTTCGAGCCCCTATCCAATAACAGAACAAGAATGCATGAATGTACCTTGTTATTTTCGACGTAATAAGGGTACCCAACCCTGTCTCATTGCACCAATACGCACGACGCTTAGTGATTGCAATGATAGCGAAGATGATGATGATAACGAGCAAGCAGACATTTTCCGACCAGCGTTGAACGATCTTTCCATCTATGTGGATCAGGTAAAATAGCAATGTGCTGATACCAGAATATCAAGTTGCTCACACAACATGATTCCAGGCACCGCTAACAATCAATCAAAACGCATCTATGGAGCTCCTGACCGAACTTTTCATTAAGCTGGGTTCACGATACATATGCGTGACGCGATCGGACGGCCAGTATATTTCAGTAATTCACAAACGCACACTGCTTGCCTATATTGAAACATTAGAGGAGCATACCTAATCCCCCATAGATGACCTCCTCTTACACAATGTATAAAATTGAATCAATAAAAGTAGGAACCTTAGTCTATTCGCTAGGATATTTATAGGTCAACCGACCATTGAGAGGTTGTTGCACAAATGGATGAAAAGGTTCATAAACGATATCCGATGAAGAAGATGTGTCAAGAACATGGCAGTAAGAGATATTGATTGGGCACCTTTTCTCTTAAAATCATCCCACTATGTATTTGTCGTATCAGGAAAGACATGTATTCCTTCAAGGCCGATAAAGGAACCACTTTTATTATTGCGCCATCTAATCTATAATCTACAAGCAACAAGAAGGAATAAGCTAAGCTAGCTAAACCAAGTGGATGATAAACAAGGCTTAAGCTACTATGTCATAGTGATCCTCGTGCGTCGTAGTCGCCGTAGTCATGAGAGCAGCTCCTGACATAAACAGAAAGATGGGATCTTGCACGCTTCCTTCTAAATGTCAACGAGATACGGGGAATTCATCATATGATCGTCATATTGCTAAGAGAAAGGTAAAGCACGCTTGTGTGTGTCGTTGTTAATCTTGTTGCCATCGTCATTGTCGTCTCTATATACAAGCCAAATCACCATCAATACCATCACTTCATAGTATCCAGAGGCCCATAATTTTTCACAGCCTTCCTCTCCAACAAGGAACAACGACCACCCATGCATCCTGATCCTCAAATAGCAACCACCAACATATATCGCGAGAAGGGCTTCAAATAGACAAAGGTACAGGCTGGGAGTCGAACCCAAAAGAGAGGATGCCCAAAGTTGCACTACCTGATCAAGAACCTATTCAATAATACCATCATTCATTATTACAATAAACAATTTTCATTATCTTCGTTCACTTCACTTGCCATGGTTTCATACGCATGAAGAGCTTGTTGTTGGTTGCTGGAAACTGGTGTAGTGTTGTTGAGCCGAAACAAAACGCCAAACGAGCCAACGTCTTGAGACCAAACCTGCCCTCTATACAAGCTAACACGTCAATCGAACAAGGTATGCTGCAACATTGCGCTCTGAATGTACCTGTTAACACCAAGCGTAGAACGCGAACAACAACGAACAAGAGGAAGTAGCAACGATGTCGCCATGGCAACCACCCACCACGCTCATTCTTACTCCCTGACAATGCATGTTCAGAACTACATTAATACCTCACAGCCAACAAGAGCACTCTTTCTATAACACATTACCTTGATCGCAATGTCGTGAATGGGATAAAAGCAGAGGAGGGAGAAGCTTTGTCTCAAGTCGTGGAGCTACCGTCCCCAAGTTTAAATCCCCTACTGCTATTACACTGATGCCACTCAATGACCCCCCACACACACCATCCACCCATCGTCATCATCACCCTCACGATAGACAATAGGTACACGTAAATAAAAGAAATGATCCTCACGTATAGCAAAAGGGTGTGTGCCATTTTACGCTTTACATGATAATGATGATCCAACAACAGTCATTACGTTACTACCAGGTTAGCTCGAATCAAGAAAGTTCAATGATGGGAATGATGGGCCGGAGCAGGACAATCGTTCATGTGCATTGTATTGGGCACAAAGGTGAATGGGAGGGATGGGCTACCACCTGGTAGTTTACGTATAACTAACCAGATAAATTTTTCTGATTTTGGATGACACTTCTGTGTTTGAGCGTAACTCAACTAAATCCCCTCGGATCAAGAAAGTTGAAGGATGGGCATGCTGGGCTGGAGCAGGACAATCGTTCACATCCATTGGATTGGGTAACAATGGTGAATGGGAGGAATGGGCTATCAAGTGGCAGTTTACAAATAACTTACCAATTTGATTCTTGTGATATTGGATGATGTTTCTGTGTTTGAGCGTTTTTCAGTCAAATCTCATCGGATCAAGAAAGCTGAATGATGGGCATGCTGGGCTGGAGCAGGACAATCGTTCGTATGCATTGGATTGGACAACAATGGAGAATGGGAGAACTAAGGGTATTAGCTGGCATATTGAACTATTCCTAAATGGTGTACAAGAATCATGCATCGCCTGTGCTGAATGACTCAAGTTACACAAACACGCCCTCTGCATCTTTTGCTCTATTATAGTCATACTACTTTACGTTAAACAAAGACCACTTCTCATATAGCATGGCGCTTACAACATAGTAAAAACATAAAGACGCCTGTATCTCTAAACTTTACAATCAAACGTGGGGTCTTTGATAGAACCATGTTGCTCGGCTGGGTGAAAGCGATCTTGTGCCAAACCATGAAGTCCATCGTGGCTAATCCCAGATTTCGCAATGTCGCCACCAGCCAAACTGGATCCGGGGGTTCGACCTCTTCGACGACGACGACCAAAAAATATTTTTTGGGCTGTTTGCGACATTGAACGTGAAACTTTCACACAAGGTGCTGTTGGCCAAGCCGAGCAGATTGCTCTAATAAAAAACCCACGTTTCATTGTAAAGTTCGGAGATACAGGCACCTTCATGTTTGTAAGCGTGATGCTATATGAGAAGCGGTCTTTGTTCATTGTCAAGTAGGTGGACCCTGGCAGCGCAAAAGATGCAGAGGGTCGTGTTGTGTAACACAGCTACGTTTGCATGAATGGAAGGGTCAATGTATAATTACTTTATGGATCATCTAGGAACAGGCATGTATTGCCAGCTAACAGCCACTTTTATCCAATCATCATTGTTGCGAGATCCACTGCATGGGAACGATGCCCCTGCTCTAGACATTCATTTCCATGATTAAAGTAGGTTGATCCGAGCTGATTTGACTGAGCTGCGGTCAAAGAGAGATTACATCACTCTGGACATAAAGCACGCTCGATGTAGCTCAACCGATGTAATCTTGTGTGAGCGTAACTCAACCAAATCAGCTCGGATCAACCTACTTTAATCATGGAAATGAATGTCTAGAGCAGGAGCATCGTCCACCTACAAGAGAATGTACAAAAGTTGGGAATGCACAACAGTGGTTATTAGCTGCCAATGTATGACATAAAAGTGAGGGTTGCGTACCTATCATGCATTGTCCCTGAAGTCCTGACTTTTTAGCTGAGTTACCCAAAGAGGTCCTTCTGCATCTTTGGCTCTCCAGGGTCCACCTACTTGACAATGAACAAAGACCACTTCTCATATAGCATCACTCTTACAAACATAAAGGTGCCTGTATCTCCGAACTTTACAATGAAACGTGGGGTTTTGAATAGAGCTACGTGCTCGGCTTGGCCAACTGCACCTTGTGTGAAAGTTTCACGATCAAGCTTGCCAATCCCAGAATTCGCAATGTCGCCACCAGCCAAACTGGATCTGGGGGTCGACCTCTTCGACGACGACGACCAAAAAATATTTTTTGGGCTGTTTGCGACATTGAACGCGAAACTTTCACACAAGGTGCTGTTTGCCAAGCCGAGCCCATTGCTCTAATAAAAACCCCACGTTTCATTGTGAAATCTTGAGATATGGCTGTCTTTATGTTTTCACTATGCTGTAAGCGTGATGGAGTTGCTTTCTCCTAGTGGATGGTGTCGGCTGCATTAACGGAAAGATGAAGAGCTGAGTGAAACCGCACGTGGTGGTTACACAGACACGTCCTTGACAGGTTGCTCCACAAATGGATGATGATGATGATTGCCTTTTGTTAAGGTACGTAAGTAAACAGCATCCAATAATGAAGGTGTGTCAAGGTATGCATCACATTTGCATGTAGAAGAAAGTCGAGCTGCATAAACCAATTTGTATATGTAAAAAGATACATATACATATTGAATGGGTCACTCATCCTGAAACTCAATGGAGGGATCACTTGACTTTTTCTCTTCTCAAGGTCTTCCCACTTCCCATTCCTCCTTATTGTATCGCAAAAGCCATGTACTTCTTGCATGACCGATAATAACCGGACCGCCTTTATTATTCCATCTTCGAAGCAATAGTATGCGATCCAGAAGCTAGCAAAGTCCAAGCGTGTAATAAATAAACAATGCTTTATTTCATGTAGCTATCTTGCTACATTGCCACAACCATCGTCGTAGCCGTCCTCCGTCATCGTTCGTACTCGTACTTGTGCTCGTCAGTAGGCGTCAATCTCATTGTCGCAAATATCAAAAACACACAAGTTGAAGAGAATGGGATGTTGGAGGCTTCCTTTTGAATCTCGTTGTCGTTATCATTGTCATTGTTGTGAATGTCATTATCATCGTAATCGTCATTGTTCTGAATGTCGTTATCATCGTAATCGTCGTCTCTACAAATAAGAAAGCAGGCAAGTTAGATCTTCTGGTACCGGAATGATGACGATTTGGTATACCGTTAGGCGATCCTCTCCAAGGAAGAAGGCAAATCAGAAGGAATTCACAAAACAAATCACCACCATACGAGCAACGTCGGGCGATCCCTTGTTCTTGAGAAAGCACTGCACGAATCACGCAAGGCCAATTCGATCCATGGCAAGGAAGGGCTCGCTTAGGTAAAATCCAGGCTCATAGTTGTCTTCATTCATCCTCTCCAAAGAATAATGATTCCCAATCCTTCCAATCATTTCCCACCTCATGAAAAGAAATCCTCAAGGGAAAGAACGAGCCTATCACGAGAAGAGCGTGTTGGTTTGCACTGATGTCAAGCTGTTGCAAATCCCCTTTTACCTCAACACGGTGGCCATGCTCTTCCAAAACCCCATAGTCATCGACCCATCAACTCAACGCAGGCCTATAGAGCCTTGGACGCGTTCCAAGAAGCTTTTCCAGCACACTTGGCTAGTGCAGAGCGACGCAGCGGCCACTTGATACAGGCTGGGACTTGAACCCAAAGAGATGATGATGATGCCCCAAGTTGCATTGCCTGACCAAAGAAACCTATTCAATTCATTATTAGCACACACGCACAATAAACACCCTTTTCATTGTTTGTTTCATTGTACTTGCCTTTTCCATATACACAAAGACCCGTTGTTGTTGTTGGTTACTGGAAACCGAAAACCATGGTGTAGTATAG